ACGCAACACGCAAAGAACGGGCCCACGCGTATGCACAACGCAATGATCTGCCCGCCTGTTCCCTCTCGCCGATCTCGCGTGCCCTCCTGCAAGCACATCGAACACGAGGCCCAGACTGCCGGAACATCGCGCAAAGTTGAACCCACGCCGGAGACGTACGGACGTGGAGTTGGCGGGGAGAGGAATGAGGGTCGGTAGGCCTGGACAGTTATGGTGAGTACGTCCTGCACGTCCCCGGTGAGGTTCCACGAGAGAAGATGGCGAGCAGCCTCGACAAGTACCCGCCGCGTCTACCCCCACCCCCTCATCAGCCGGTGGCAGCGCGAACGGCTCCGCAGCAGGAGAGCTCAGTGGGTCATCGCTACCGCCGCCTGTCTACTCTGACGGCACGAAGATCCCGCTCATCATCTGTGATGACTTCAACTTGATGCCAGCCAGTGGCGTGTACGAGTTTCTGTCGAACAGGACAGTATCACACGACCATGCGGACTTCATGGGCCACATGTACGGCAAGTACATGTTGGAAGGCTTGCGGCATCGGTTGGGTACGAAGAGCGTGTACGCGTCGACAGGTGAGCATCCGAATACGAACTACACGCCGAGCTTTCAGGGCCCGCTCGACTACATCTGGTACTCGACGGCCAACCTGTCTGTCAACGCTGTTGTCGGCGAGGTGGACAATTCGTACTTGGAGAAGGTCGTTGGGTTCCCGAACGCGCACTTCCCGTCAGATTGTGAGTATTTGATCTAGTGATCTGTAGATTGCATGTTGATCCGCACCCCGCAGCCACCTGTGCATTGTCTCTGAGTTCTGCGTGCGTCCTCCGAAAGAGCCACAAACTGCTCGTCCTCCGCCTGTGTTCCCGGAGTCGTCAAGAGCACATGCATAGAGGGTATCATGGCATCGCCACATACCCCCCTCCGCACACCCCCCGCCTACAGTGAGTTGCTTACACGCATGATACCTCGCCCACCCACTTGCCCTCACGATTGCACGGACGCCCGCGCGATCGTCCTGCCCGCTCGGCCGCATGCTCATACGCTCATCCGCATGGTCACTCGCCCACCGGTCGACTCAAGTGCGAACCCACCCCACGGTCCCACGAAACCCGTGTTACCCACACGCAAGTGCAACCCATACCCGCTGCGGCGAGTCTGTACCCGGGCGGGTGCGTTTTACTAGTAGTACATACAGGTATATACAATGTGTAGCATACGTCGAAAATGAGATCTATTGCCAGAAACATTGAGCACGGAACCGGAGAATGGGAGCTGCAGCAGTGACACTTGCTGATGATTATGTGAACTGTTATGGCTACGTAACGACTATCTAGCGACGCGATCGCCGCATCTTCCCAACCTTCTAAAATTCGACGGGTCTTGCTAACGAGTGATACGCTGACGCTATGTAAAATCGGAATTTTAGCAACCGTTACGGCCCGTCACAGCCCTTAACCGAAATCAGAGAAGTTCTGATGTGGTATGCACAGGACAGTTCCACCGTGACCTCATTCATCGGCCGCGCGGTCTTCCCAGGACTTGCTGTTGGCTGAAACATATTGTTGTTTCGGCTTCGCCATCATATGAAGATTTCAGGAACTACGCTCATGGTGAGCCTTCTGCTCTTCACAAAAGATCGCGTCGTCGGATCATCCTGACGCGGTATTGTGCTAGGTCCGAGAAGCTTGACCTGTCTGCTTGTTCCGGTCACTTCACACTGGAAGCCAGACAATATCAGCAAGGAGGAGGAAGCATATCAGGTCTACATCGCCGCGTGGCGTGTGAACTTCTGAGTCCGGTGATCTACGACAACAAGAGTGGCTTGCCCTGGGCTTGCCTACAATCGATGGTTCGATTGTGCTCATCATATATAAAGTGCAACAAGAACATCGCTGAATTTTAGGATTTGCTGCTACCGTCTACTGCTACAGCGATGGAGACTCCCAGCGACAACATCCATACCAACGAGGACGTTCGCAACAATACGTCGACATTTGTGATTGGGCTACAACCGCCTCCACTAGCATCTGCCTATGAGCGCGTGCGTGTGCTCCCTTCATATTGGTATCCACTCCAAGCCATGCTAATTGACGGTCATATGTTCTCAGGTGGTATGGAGGGAGGGTACAACCGCTGGGACCGACCCTTCTCATTCCTACCAAAGGCTAAACATTGTAACAACCCGTAGTCCCACTGCGGAAACTGACAGCGGAGACGACTCTATGGATTCAGGCCACTCCAGTCCAGACCTCTCCACCCAGGATTTACTCACGCCGATAGTAAGCATGCGTGCAATCACTCATTATGTTCACTCCACTTAACGTGTGACTAGGACTCACCGGAAATCCCTTCCTTATCAATCAAAGATGAAGTAGACGATACGCATCACATTGTCCATAGGGAGCGTGCACCACACACTGATCATGCAAGTCGATCCGGCCCAAGCGTGTCTGAGTCGCTCGAACTCTCAAATGCAGTCATTTCGACCACTTTTGCACCTAGACAGCCAGACAAGCCCACGCAGTGTATGTCCATGTGTACTGATAGACTTTACTGTTTGTCTGATTCTTAAATGCAACGTCATACAGCACAAGGCTATACAGTCTCGATTGTGCGTCATCCGCTGTATATGATTTTTTTCGTGTAGTAACCTCGCTTCCCTAGGGCGTACTTGAGGATGCCTTTGACTTGAAATCTGGCATGACTCATGAGCTCCTGGTTGACACTGGTGAGCCGTTGGACTTATTGGAATGAAGAGCTAAATGTTCACTGGCACCGCAATCATTCACTTCAGGTTGTGATGATACGTGAGTACAGGAGAAGCATTGCTAAATTGAATCTCAACCGTCACACATTCGCCAGTTTTTGTTTCGGGAGAGGCGTCATGAGGGTCGTGTCTGAGGGACCGAAAGACAGGCATGGAGTGTCGACTGAGCGAGTTGACTGGGATCTTCTGAAGGCCATCAAATCACACATGCTACACACGACCATCCAGCACCGCTTTAATCCTAGGCTCGCCAATGAGGAACTGGAGGCAAGAGGCAATATCATTGGCCAGCTCGATTTTGCTGACGGTAGCATCGCTCGTGAGCTTTTCTTCAACAAGGAATCTGTCTGCTCATCCCAGATCATCCCGTAGAATTAGGTCTTCTGCAGAACCCGAGAACATGGGCCATGCCCTGCTATGACTGGCACAGCAACGAACAAAAAACGGTGTATCTTCACTGGGAGTTTAGTGTTGCCTTTGCCGTGGATGTGCAACTCATGAAAGATACCACAAGCGGTATTCTTGGCTTAGGCCCACACTAGTGAGCGTCTCATATTCCATCTGCTGAAACGCCACTTATAGAGCTGTATATCAGTTCCCAAAGAGCATACAGGTTACGACCAAATGCTCCAGAGCCTCCCGTGAGCATGAACCAGCTCTACTCTCCATACACATGCACTGACTGTACCAGACATTCTTGCAGGCGTTACGACAATGTTTGAAGCCAATTCCATTTACTGTGAGGTTTCCGAAACCATGTCAGTACTGCTGCTGAGAAAATCGTAGCGACACGGAGAAAGTTTTGCCATATACTTTGCCCTTCGCCTGGCCCCTCAGGCTTACCGCGATGTTTTCCCAATCGAACATCCGATGTACGTTGCCATCATTGTACTATGGCGTATAGATGGACGACTCACTATATGAACAGACAGTCGTGGCTCTCCTTCAATGCATCAGGAAAAGCCCCTTTTCAGAATATGTCAAATTGCGGAGTATTGTATGTAATAATGAACAATTTCAACTATTCACCTGTTCGGAATATTATAGGGAATTAGCTACCCCCCCGAACTTTTGTACGAATTTCAGACAATATACAGAGTATGCGAGTGCATTATGTGTACCTACCTCATTGTTATCTGTCACAGATTGAAGAATACAGCACATATGATCCATCATTGTTCATGTTGTCAGAAGCCTCACACAGACAGAACATATTAGGAACATTATATGAATTGTGAGGTAGTACTGTGAACTATCTAGACGGAGCGAGTACATGTGGTGAACAAACAAAGTACTACTATTACTAATTAGCAAGCCTGAATTCTATATTCATCATCTCTCAGAGGTACTACTCGTCCAGTATCTGCTCCCTCAAACCCATTCTCATTGCCAGACTGCAACAGCACATGAAAGTTGTGGCCGAGGCTGAACAAACACAGACGTTAGGGAAGACACATAAGGAAGGCCTAGTACAGGTGAAGTTACTAAGCATCACCAATTGAACGAGATGTACCATGACATACCGCAGTCAAAGCTAACACAAGCATTGTTGGCGCGACTTCACGTTCGGACGGAGCAATCGTCACCGGGCGTGGTTCGGAAGATACGGTATATAGCGCGGGAGCGATCGGGGAGGAAGCGCTACTCTCGTCGGCGCGGTAGCCCCCGCCGCGTCTGTCGGCGCGTTGAGCGTGAACACGAAGGGTTGACGGGAGTGGCTGATGGTCGGGGTTGAAGTTAGCAGGCACAAGGTGAACACGGGGAAGAGACGCACGGGGGGCAGACGCAGTGGCGGCGGCGCTGTGTTCCTCTGATGGTGATGGGAACAGCGACTGCAGTGGGAACCTGGCACGCAGTGGCAATGCGGCGGGATGAGCGGAGAGGGCTGCGACACGCGGTGAGAGCCACACGGATGAGGGTGGTGAGTTGGGCTATGAGGAGGGTCAGCAGAGCGGATAAGACATACAACGTACCTTTTATGCAGCCTCTCGGCCGCGCTAGCCCTCTACCCTGCATCCGCGTCCTTCGTGAGCACACTAACGACACTTTTGCGGCGTCGTTAGTGCTGTTATGTACTGCTAACGTGTCGCGTTGGACGCGCGTTGACGTGTCAGATTGGTTACGACTCACCTATACCTCTGACAGGCCCATGACGGGCCTGTCTCTTCATGGAACAGCCGCATTTGATGTTCTTGTGGTTGCGCGGCGGGCGAGCGGCGCAGGGCAAGGCCGTGGAGGCTCGTAGAGGAGGTAAAGGGAGTTTGCGAACCGCGCTGGCAGTGGACGGACGCAAGCGCTGTCGGACTTGCCTTATGCGGCAGAATTTTCACGTGATGCGGGTACGCGGACACCGCGCGTTTCTGAAGTCCAAGTCACCCAATAGTCAATAACTGCGACGTCGCCTCGCCGCCGTCGTCCTCCCACTCAGAGTCACCTCACCGCCGCCGTCCTCCCACCCACCTCGCCGCCGCCACCAACACCAACACCCGCTGGTGCCACCGCCCACCAGTACATGCCCGCCACCACCTGCCAGCACGCACCCACCGCCGCCGCCGTCTCATGCCGCCGCCTCGCTGCGCCGCGGCTGACGACAAATGGGCGGTGGACGCGTGAGCACGATGCGAAGGTGAGTAACATCGCACGCGATCGAGCTGACTAACGGGGAGTATGGGGCAGGGCCGGTGCGCGCTCGCTGACCCAGCGCGCACATTGGGCGGGCGACCAGGCGACAGCGCATACGCCAACCGCGAGCGCGCTGGGCGAATGCCCAGCACTGCACGAGCAGATGAGCAGGTGAGTGAGCAAGCACACAGGCACAGGACGCGGATTAGCACCACGCACACGGCAACCGCGAGTGTGCTGTGCCAATGCCCAGCACACACGGCCGACGAGCGCGCCGCGACTACACGCATGGCCGACGAGTGCGCCGCGACTACGGGCACGGCAACGAGCAGGTGGGAGGGTGTGCGGGCAGCGCGGGTGGACAGCTGACGGTCAGCGTGGGCCAGGGCCGGGGCGTGCACGCCGACCCAGCGCGCACGCCGGGCGAGCACTCAGGCGACAGCGCACACGCTAACCGCGAGCGTGCTGGGTGAATATCCCGCACGCAGGCATGGCCGACGAGCGCGCCGTGACTACGGGCACGGCAACGAGCAGGCGGGAGGGTGTGCGGACAGCGCGGGTGGACGGGAATTGTGCGGACGCACACGAGCGGCTGCTCCCGCCTGCGGGCGAAGGGTCGGCGGGGAGCGGATGGCGGGAACGTGTGGGCGCAAGTGCGAGTGAACAGCCTGAGGGAGGACAGCGAGGACAACGGGGTGCAGGCAACAAACCCAACGCCGCGCAGATACCACCGAGGTAAGCAAACCCGCGGTCCACCGCCAACACCGGCGGTGTATCCGGGAAGGGTACGGGTTTGCGGGTTGTGGGTGCGGTATGCGCCCTGCGCACTCACGGTGCTACCCGTGTTTTGGGACACTAACGCCGAGCACCGCGGTCTACGTCCTCGACGACGACCTATGCCCTGCCGCCCTATCATGTTGATTATCAGGAACATAATATATATCTTGTGTTGTGGCGTAATGTCCCAATGTTGAAGTACAAAGGACTGAACTCGTGTAATGTACACCGAATTGTAGAATTGATACAATTTTCTTAATTTTCTTCGGTCTGTTTCACTTGTTGACACTAAGACAAATATTACTACGTCATGTACAGCCCCTCAATGGATTCTCAGCAAGGCTTTGTTCATTCCGCTAATACTGCGGAATGCATTGATCATTAGCTATGTTCTGTAGAACACATCAATCGTTACCTATGTTCTGTAGAATGCATTGATCATTACCTATGTTCTGTAGAATGCATTGATCATTACCTATGTTCTGTAGAATATGTCTACATTAGCTTCGTTCTGCACAATACTCATAACTTCTAACAAATTCTCAAAAGGGGGTTTTCCTGATGTGGTTGGCCGTGCACCAAGGAGCCTCGGTGGAATGAGCAGAAGATCATCGTTTGTCAACCTAAGCATCCGGACGATGCGAAGAGGTGGGAGATATACTTGAAGTCACTGAAGTTCCTCCATGTGCCGTCAAGTGCAGTTCGCCCCTCAGCGGAGTCAGTAGTAAAAGGCTGGCCAGGCATGGATTTTGTGGATGATCAAAGGCCCAGGGGATTACGCGTGTTGCTCGATACCGGTGAGGACAAATCATATGAGTCGTACAATGCTTTGAACTCAACCTATTCGGTTTCAGGCTCTAGCGTCTCGTATTTGCCTTCGCCTTTCGTCGAGCAATTCTGCTCGGACGTCTATTATGATGGGGAGACCCCCGTCGAGGTCCTTATGAGTGAGAAATTCCCAAACACATACAAGGTACCTGCTTGGGTGGAAAGCGACGAAAGGAAAGTGGAGGTTTTGTATGAGTTCGAAGGTGCAGGCGGCCGAAGTGTCCAGGTATCTGGGCCGTTCGAGAAATTCTTCTACCAAAAAAACCCCACTCGCTCGGGCCCCCATCGGCCGTTGGAGGGTTTGATGTTCCCGCAACGCCGATCTGACAGCCACGGTGTTTTTGGTCTGGTAAGCATTGAGCTTGTGGTTTTATCTCGCCTTGACACTGATTTCATGCCATAGAACTTCTTCCAGAGCATGTACGTCTCACTCCACCAAGCGAAGAACGGTCTCGACTTCGTACGGATGGCCGCACAATGGCCCGAGAACTTCAAAACCGACTTGCGAGACTACGAGATTACAGGTCTTTCGGCCACTTAGCAATCGAACAGTGCAGGCGCAGTCTCGCATGCTATGACAGATTGTATTTGTATCACTTGATAGTGAATCTGATGTGACTATTGCTACATGGCTCCGCATGTCCTCTGACATCGTCTGAGGACGTTCTCACAAGTTTTATATAATTCTGAACAGCGACACCGATGGACCGAGCACGTTCATCGCGATATCTCTCGAAACCCTTTGTGCCGCTGCTTCCGCGTGTTAATTTCCCAAACTCAACGCGGGTCTCAATGTGAATCACAAGAGGAGTCATTGGACGCGGGGAACCACTTGGCTGTTATGACTGCCGGTGAGTCAAACACGTTTGGGAGGTTTGGAATTCTTGAAGTACATCGAAGACCCCCCAGCTATGACTTCCTGTGTGCACAACATGAAGAGTAAGCTCGTGCGCAGATGCAGGAGCATTGAACAAGACAGACGGACAGACGGACCAGAGTTGCATACATGGGAAAGTGCGTGCGAAGTGATGGAGGAGGTACAGTATAGGCCGGTGATAGGTAGGTAGGCAGGCGATCAAACGCTCTGGACCAGCGGATAGACGTGCGCGTACACAAAGATGCGAATGAACACAGTCAGCGGAGTGTACGGATGGGAGGACGAGAAAGCTATGCAATCCAAGGACAGAATCGGGTCTGCTACGTCGTTGATCTACCCAAACATCGCCAAACAATATATTGTCAATTAACAAAGAACTAAGATGGTGTGGTACTACGACTGTACGTTCTAGCTATCCATGTCTGCCACACGGGGCGTCGATAGTCGCGGATCCGGCAGTCTCAAGCGAGCTTGAAATCGATGTCGTCCGTCCAAACCAGACCGGTAGGTATCTCCTCCTCTTTCGCGTCAAGCACGGCACCGACCTGATCATGACGAGGGACGAGGTGTACTTCAAATGGGAGGGGCGTGCGGCCAGAGTTTCCGTCGTATTCTTCCAAGCACGGGGGCTTTCCTGGCACGGCGCCGATGCAGAACGCCCAGAGCAGTCGCGAGACTGCGAGGAAGATTTCCTTCTCTGCGACGGGCATACCGGGGCATATACGGCGACTGTGTTGGGGAAGTCAACACGCGGTGGTTTGCGGCATATGCGAACCCACGTACCCAGCTCCGAAAGCCCAATGGTCTCTGTCCATTGGATTTGATTGCTTCGAGGACTCAGCGCTGGAGAGGTTATCGTCAATGAAGCGGTCGGGGTTGAACTCGAACCTGCCAGAACACTGTGAGTTCGGTCCAAACAACACGCAAGACACTGCCGACGCACGGATCTACGTATCGCTCTTCGTTGTGGTGGAGCGAATAACAGTTGAGCATCATCACCGTGTTCGCTGGGATATACATGCCGCGGTAGACGAAGTCGGCGTCCGAACAATGGGGGGTCGCCATCCAGAATGGAGAGTGACAACGAAGAACCTAGGATGAGGTCAGCACGCAGTAGTCTGGGACTGCATAACCCCGGACTCACTTCCTTCACGATGGCTCGTACGTAAGGCAACCGCGGCTCATCCTCGGGCGTGGGCCACCGCGAACGTCCTACAACGCGATCCAGTTCCTGATGTGCTTTGGTCTGGACGTCCGGATGGGAAGGCATCAATGCGAGGAACCATTGAATAGTCCCAGATGTCTATACATAGTCAGCACCGAGCGACCCCAGGTGGTCGAAAGTGTACTCACCGAGTGCGAGCCACCAGTAGCGAAGGCGGTCGTGAGCATGCACATGTCGGTCCAGCTCAACTGTTCCTCTTTCTCGAAGGCAAGCAGGGACTTGACGAGGCAGTCGGGGACATCCTCGCCGGAGTCCATGCGCTCTTTGACGAGACGGACCATCGCACCATATACGTCCAGGAAGTCTTGCCTCAGCTTGCGACCTCGCGAACGAGTGCGGGTAGGTATCCATTGGAGAGGTTTGATGAAGTCGACCGCATTGGACCACGGTCCTTGAGACAGATGAATACCATGGAGAGGTTACGGAGACACTCCGGAGCGACTCACCTGTCAATCGCATGAACTCCATACCCAATGGAAGAGCCCTCTTGACGAGAGGATCCGCGACAGACCCCGTGCGGGTTCCAAAGGTAACAGAAAGCATGTTACTGTCGACTGCGTCAGCGAACCTCAAGGCGGAGCATCTCATGCCTTACTTCAGAACATAACGTCCAACGTAGCGCGCTGGGTTGACGGGAACCTCTCCCTGTTTGGTCTCATGGTATAGCGAGCGAATGAGCATATGCGCTTCGTAGTCGAGAGTCGCCGTGTATCCTTCTACGGCTTTGGAGGCCAAAATGGTGTTCGCGATCCTCCGATGCTTCCTCCTGATTTCGGCGTCAGCCAGTCGACGGATTGACAAATGTAAAACGCACCATGTATCGTTGTAAGGAGTAGCCGTGATCGCACCGCCCTTCAGGATTGTCTGGTTCTTCATGAAATAGTTCCAGCGGCTCGAGAAGTTAGCCCCATTGAGCGCCAAGAGGTCTCGGACAACGGTCGGCTCGTTGAGAACGACGAAGAGCTGGTTACCCATCCAGACTGAGTAGATAGGACCATACTTCTTCGTCCACTTGTGGAGAATGAGTTCAGGGTATCTAGGAAGGAATGGGAAGCGGAACGGGGGTCCAGGGGGAATCGGGTGCCCTTCCTTGTCCCGTAGGTCCTTGCGCAGGATGCACCGTAGGAATATATATGAAACAAGCAGCGTTAAAGTGGTGTATAATAGCTTATGGTCCATGTCGACAGCGGCACTATGGTAGTGGAAAAGTCGTTAACTCTACGCCTCTGCGTCGGAGAATCTGGCAACGCACCGACGCGGTTTTCCGCAGAACAATTAATGGCGCTGACTGCCTTTCGCTGGCGAGTTATAGCCTTGGCGAATAATGATGATCATGGCATTGGCAAACGACCCCGAGATCGTGCCCGGCGGGTATATGCATCATTTCCTGGACATAAGCAGTCAGAACTATCTCAAGTGCGTCGAGCTGTCCCCGACACGGCCGCGCGCCAGGAACAGCATTCTGGCTCCCGCATGACCGCATAGCATCGTCGACTCAGCATCCGCCCACTGCACCGTGACATTCCAGACAGGTCACATCCTGACGCGAAGTCCGCGGCATCATAGTGCGAGAGCGTGGCTACCCGTGCGAATTCGTCGGGAGGTGGTACACTGGTAGACCGCTGGCACCTGTTACACTTGTTACAAGAGCGGCTCAGTGAGACAACGAAACACAAGGCGCCCCGACAACGCCCATGTCGGCAAATCGTGTTACTTACCTACTAGGCTAGTCAAATTTGGGCGAAACGAGGGCGCCAGGGCGGCCTTTTCTCGAATTTCCTGCCAGCCGTTCTTTTCCCGCTTCGCAACCGGTAAGTAGTCTGGAGCTGCGACTCGAAATGGCTGCGATCTGATCATGAGCGAACCGACTCAGCGAGACTGTCACGGTTGTTTCATAGTGCAGGACGGGTTTAGGTCAGTGTGAGTCGCTGATGAGTGCAGTGAATCGATGTAGCTTGTCGCTGGCAGAGCTGCTTGCAAAAAGACCATTCATGAGTCGCGTTCTTCCTCCGTTGAGCGACGACCGACTTTCATCTGAAGCTGGTTTGACGCCGCCCCCGCTCGGCGAAGGCCGTTTCACACTGCCACCTACTTAGGCGCCTGACTGCTGCATATAGTGTGTAAGCCGCGTGTGTAAGCATGTTGAAGCAACACGATTTCAACCTGCTCCGGGCAAGTATGTCGGAATGAAAAGTACTCTGGCCATCAGTGACTCCCGAATATATTCCCTCACCCAGTCACCGAAGCGGCTGGCAAAGTGCACCGACCGAACTCACCTTTGATCGCTGACCTGGAGTAATCTTGTCTCACACCACCAAGCGCTTGCAGGCTGCTACGTACAGTGATAGAACATATGACGGCAGATTGTGAAAGAAGATTTGAATCACTGACGGACCGCAGGCGAGAAAACAACATACTAATATGTACGGACTGGCCATGATGCGGCGAGAAGACACCCCTTTTCCAGCGCATTGTAGCACATTGACAGATGAATCGCGCTGACCGCACGGGCTCACCGTGCGGCTGTCTCGGACTCTCGGTGATGACCATTGATCATTGCAAGATCATTACAGTGATCGCTCTCCAGCCAGCTAATTTGACTGCCCGTGATGGTGCGGAGAGTTGTGGCTGGTCGAATCGAACTGCTCGAGGCCTAGAGGCTTTATGTCACCGTGATTGATTTGAGTGCTGAGCGTGCTGCGTCGCCATCCGGATGCTGTCTTCAAGTTGGATGGGTCTGTAAACTGCGGGCGGGTCCGATCAATCGTGCCGACCCGTGTAGTGAAATTCTTTCGCCACGCCCATACTTGTAGGGGCCTAAGGCCCGACCGGCCGCATAGCAGTCTGCTCCGGACTGTCGGGGGTTCCGTTGACCGGGATCGACATGGGTTTCCCAGGCAACTACCAAAACTTCGTATGGTGCCTTGTCACATCTACTGCGCGTTTTGCTTCATGTGTTCATGATTGTTCCTTTAGATCCCCGATCTTCCTAACAGCTGTGTCGTACTAAGTTAGTAACGGCGTGCACAGTATCATGTTGTAATCTCCCAGTCGGGCATCCGGCAACTGCTGGGACACGCCACGCCTGCACAGGTACGGTAGTGTTTTCCGTGTTTGATACTGCGGTGGACAGGATCACAGAAGACACTAGTAGCCCTCCGCTCGTGGTCTTTGAACATATCCCCGCGGTCCGCCCGCGACCCCAAGTAACTGTTCTGACTTCCACAGGATTCTTACTGCCTGCGCTCTGTCCACACATGACAAAGACCACCACTCCTTTGATTTCCGGTCCCCCAACGTTATCGTCTCGCGGAGCAAATCAGCATGGCAAATCAGCAGGAGCCGTTCGGATGCACCAAAACATGAGAAATGCATATCATCCAGAGAGGAACCCCATGGTGCGCTGACCTACTACTTGCGCATCCCGACTCTCAAGATGCTGAGATCAATTCGCAGGGAGTAGTCAATCTGGCAAGTATCCTTTGACCGGCCGTCGATGCCGCGCGAGAGCTGATAGACGGCTTCACACAGAGCGTAGCGGAGAATTCTCTGATGCAACAAGAGCTGTCCGAGTACCTTGAGAACGCCTTCTCCCTAACAGACACAGTATGTCACCTTTGATCAGATTGCTTTCCGCTGTAATGATGACAAGACTCACCTTAGGATCTGACCTATGGTGACGGGCTCACCGGGAGCGCACGCCTCTCCGGTGCGCTGTCCACCTTCCTGAACGCATACTTTCGTCCGCATCGGCCGGTGCTTTCAGACCACCTCTTTATAGGCGCCGGGGTCATGTCCCTGCTGGACCAGGTCGTCAGCGTGCTGGCAGACCCCGGCGACGGCGTCCTGATCTCGGTGCCCTACTACCCAGGCTTCGATCCCTGCATCACGCTGCACAACGGCGTCGTCCCAGTGGGCGCACAGGTTCCGTTAGACAAGATGCTGACGCTCGGCGAGCTCGACTACCTCGAGGACGCGCTCCGCGCAGCCACTCGCCGGGGAGTCTCGGTCAAGGCTGTCCTCCTCTGCAACCCGCACAATCCACTCGCGCGCTGCTACCCGCGAGAGGTAGTCGAGGCATACTGCCAGTTCTGCGAGCGCCACGGGCTGCACCTCCTCGCGGACGAGGTCTTCGCGCTCTCCGTCTTCGCGCCGCACGGCGCCACGCCCCCGCCTCAGCCGTTCTACTCCGTGCTCGCGCTCGATGCCGACCGTCTCGGGGTCAACCCAGCGCGGTTGCACGTCCTCTACGGCATGTCGAAGGACTTCCTCGCGAACGGGCTTCGTGCGGCCGTCCTCGTCTCACAAGCGAACCCCGACGTCTTGCAGAGCCTCCTTCCCGCTGCGCCCTTCATGGTTGTCGCGTCGCCAACGGCCGTCCTCTGGGCTACACTCCTCGAGGACAAGTCCTTTCTTACTGCCTTCCTCGCCGAGAATAGCCGCCGACTATTCGCGGCGTACGAGCGTACGGCGGCGTGGCTCGCGTTCCACGGCATCCCGCACGCGCCCGCGTCGGCGGGACATTTCCTCCTCGCGGACTTCCGGCCTGTGCTCGTGGACGTCGCGCGCTACGGCGCGGCGCTGACGATCCACGCGGGACATACATTGGAGGAGCGCGAGCGCGCGCTCGCGACACACCTGCTCGCGCGCGGCGTGGCGGTCATGCCCGGCACGGCGTGTCACCTAACGGAGGGCGGTTGGTTCCGCCTCACGTTTGCTCTTCGCGAGGAGCAGATGCGCGTCGCGTTCCGCCGAATCGAGGATGCGCTTGGATGGGACAATTGGCAGCCGCGGCGGTCGGACATCGGACCCCATTTGTAGCTAGCACAGAACACAGAGCAGTGTGCGCTTGTCGTTCTTGTATGGTCGGCAACGGAGATTAAGAACAGCGCGAGGATACCACCTGCGATGGTGATGTTGAGCACTTTTTCCAAGACCATACGAAGCATTCTGCATGACATGCCAAGGGGGAGGCGTGATCAAGTAGGCATTGCAAGCTACATTCGACTTCCCAGTCCAACAAGCCCATTCAGTTTCACCTGCAACATTCGCCAGCGCAATCAAGTAGCGGCACTGCAAGTGTCCGCCCGAGTACGCAAACGTATAGCGCATGACATTGTTGTTTCAGTGAGCTCCATTATAAGCCCCCATCTTCCACTATCTGCGCCAACAGGCGACTGCGCTCTTCGGAACGTGGCGTAAGTGCGACAGCGAAAGGACGCGCTCGCCTGGAAAACAACGGTTATGTTGGGGTGGGTGAATGAAACGACGCACTTACAGTAAACCGACAGACGCAAAGCCTGTCTCCCTATCCGAGTTGATCGGAATCGGCCGCCCTGTGCTTGAGTCAAGCTTTGGGCGGACGTCCAGGGCCCACACGATGGTCGCGAGCATCAGGAACAGGGTATGCTCCCCGACGCGCCGCCCAGGACAGCTCCTGTTACGATTGAGTGAGATGAGAATGCGTTGTAGGGGCGAACGGATGGCCTCACCTCCGACCGAATCCGAATGCATGTAGGGGCAGGCTGGGGTTGTTGAGGTAGCGCTCAGGCTCGAACATCGCAGGGTCCTTGAATACGCGCTCGTCCATATGCATTGACCTGCATGGTGTCGTCAGGCTCTCCCTGTCCTATCGGAGACTGTTGGACCTACCAGATATTCGGTATGACCATTGACCCGCCCGGAATGAAGTAGCCGCCATACTCGTCGTCCTATTCATGCACGGCAGTGGGTTGGTCAGTATGCAACACCAGCGGCCAGAGGAGAAGGGCGCACATCGATCACCGCATGCGGAATCGCGGTCGGCCCGCTCGGGCGCCAACGTAGCACCTCGCAGATAGTCGCACGCAGGTACGGCAGCCGCGTCTCGTCCTCGAACGTGGGGCACCTTTCATCGCCGACGACGGCGTCGACCTCCGCCTGCGCGCGCGCGAGCACACGGGGGTGCAGCGCGAGTGCCATGCTGTCGAGCACTGTCATCAGTGCGATCCCCGCGCTGATGGAGTGGCGTTGTAGGCTTACATCAAGCTGTGCGCCATGATTGACTGTGTGTCTGAGCCTGCGAGGTAGAAGGAGCCGAGAGCCTACGCGGGGAGTTATGAAACGCGTTAACAGCATGGGAAACGCAGACGTACCCAGTACTGTTCCCGGTAGTCGGCCTCTGTCTCGTGCTGGTACTGCAGGAGCCGCGCTGCGATGCCTCTGGCGGGCAGACCCGCTTGCTATAGTCGAAAGGCGTGATCCGCTGCACGAGAAGAGCGTTTACAGGTCGGTCGCTTACGAGATTGCGTCTTGCGTCTTCCATGAGACCTCTGTACGTCGTTTCTGCGAGATTGTAATACTTTGATGCGAGGGCTTTGTACGGCACGTTCGGGATGTATTGCAAGAACGGCAGGAAATCGACGTAGTTCTGGCCCCCATCAATAGCATTAATCCTGTCAAGGAGGCAGCAACGTGAGTACGTGGCTAGCTTCCTCAGAACGAAGCCTCACAGATCATCATTGAGCTTGATCACATTCTTGATTGCGCCCTCTGTATCTTGACCGCTTCTCAACGGTTTGTCGTACACTGCCGTCATCAGCTGTCCGGACCTGAGCCTAATCCAGTCGAACAATGCAGTGATTCGACGTACAATTGATCCTACTGCCCGCGACAAGTATTCGGACCAACGCTCAGGCGATTGGGTGATGCACTGTGATGATAGATCGGGTTATTGTTATTTGTACAGCGGCATCCAATCCCGCTCACGCAAACAAACCTGGACTAGCCGGTGGACCTCAGCGGTCTGAATCGGATGGAAGTATTCTGATACAGCCTGAGCACATCATGAACCATGCAAAGCGACATGTCAATACGCAGTAGACTTACTGCGGGTCGTAACTCCGTAGTGACTAGCTTGCGAACCCGGCGGAAGCGTTCATTCGCATGGATGAAAGGCATCATCATGCCGCCTTGCATCGCCTTGGACGCCTGGCTACTTGGTGAGCAATGTCAAGAGACGACTCAGAACACTCACCATAATAAAGTCAGGTCTCCCTGAATAATTTTGTGCGCGATTTTCCATGAGATCCTGTGCGATCCGAGAAGAGCTGATGATGATGACCGATTTTCCGAAGAGCCGTATGTGAACGAGAGGTCCTAGTAAGTTGGCCTGGATGAAATGTGCGTGTATGCGGGTAGACAAACAAGGACACACCATGTTGCTTGGCCCATTCGTCGATGACGGTGACCATGTTCTTGCCCAAGACTTGGTGAGCATTTCCGATTAGAGGAAGGCTGCGAGGACCAGGAGGCAGGGGGAGGCCCTTTGGATTCTTCCGTCGCCCGACATAGTTTGCAAGAAGTAGATATGTCAAAACAGCCAATACTAGAAGTTGAAGCAGGCCCGCCATGCTTCATAGCACACAGTATGCAGTACTTGGGAACAAATTTGTCCCAACTGAAGAGGTCCGAGTCGGCGCTCGTACGGGCTGTTGAACGAACTTGGAACGAACTGGGACAAATCCCCAGTTTAAGGGAGCCGCCTGCAAACGCTGTGTTTTGCCCGCGCATGGCCGGCGGTGCGGTGGTTGGGTGCGACCGTATCTACACGGCTGAGTACGAGACAAGTCGCCGGGTGCTCGTTGGGAGTGTCACTGTAACATGTAAAACACTCTGAACCGAAGCGAGACCGTGACCGTGACATGATGGGATGGGATCCCCGATCTGAGATCTGATCGGTGAACAGGCACCCTCCGCCACACGGCGCCACACCAAGTTCAGACAGAACCCCGGACAGCCCCCGCCGCCTCTACTTCCAACTAGTAGAAGTCTAATAAAATGAGCGACACCCGGCCTGGAGGAGGACGTGAGGTCGACAACAGTGCGCTTGTAATTTCACTGATTAAGTTCGCTGATGCTGCGAGCACGATGGCTACCACGACCGTGACGCCCGACCGTAGGAGCCCAGTGAGGCTCAGCGCTCGGCCCAATGTAGGACGGGAGATGCACCAGTCTCATGTACGTCAATCTGCAACGGATCGACAGGCTGAAGTAGCATAGCGCATCTGCGGGGTATCATCATTGATTATCATGCGACACTTTCCGTCCGCACGTAGGCGATATTTCACAGTATGTAGCTTGTTACGATCTTCCCACATTCTCAATAGGCTACGGTGACGGTCGGCGGCTGATGCGGCCGCATCCGAAGCTCCCGCATCCTCAGAGTCACCTCCTCATGGGACGCGCACAGCGGGCGGCCCGGCATCCAGACAGACGTTAGACTTAGACTCTAGAGTCTGTTGGAGACGGTGTCCTATCCTACAGCGTCCTCCGCGCCGCACAGATGGCAACCTGCAATACTGTAAGCTCGATGTAATTTGTCTGTAGTCTCGTACTTGGATTGAATGTGTCGCAGGGGCATCAAGAACTAGCGACGGTCCTCTCGACAGGTCTGACCGTCGTCCTCGTCATCTCCTTCGTATCTCAGGTAATGCATGTATACTATATAGACGTCCAGCAGTCAGCGCGGCTCTGACCACTGGACTATGGCAGCACTACAAGATAATCTCGAGACGCCTCTCTCTCGGATTCAGCCCATGGTTTCTGCTACTCGGTGCTACCTCGTCCACCGGTGCCCTGTTGGACATGTGAGCGACCACGTCTCCTACCTTACTTTCGCCGGTGACTCATGATGCGAGACGCATTTAGCTATACGCTACAATGGGGCGTTGTGAAGTGCTGCCGACACGTTGTGAGCCAACTTCCCAACTCTCCGTACACTGAGGTTGGTACACAGCTAACCCCGGGAAGAGCGCAGGGGTCTGTATGGCATCGTTGGGCGGGATCATACAAGTCTCTTTGCAATGGATTCTCTTTAACATCACGTTAGTGTCCCTCAGCTGCTCTGCCTCTGACCAAAGCTAAAGTACAAAAGGTTCGTGCTGGTGCTGCTTTATTTCCCTTCGGAGCGCAAATTCACGACGATGGATGGCTCGCCGAGAAGAGAGACGGCGCGCTTTGATCATCGGAGCGTCGCCGGAGCTACCAAATCGACCGACTGGCGCAATATGAAGATATGTGTCTGGTTGACGGCAGTGCATTTGTACGTTGTAGCGGCAACCTCTGCTCTCGCTCACGATTGTTCTGACTGCTCTGACAGCGTGCTGAGTCTCCTGTACACCGTTGCTATCGTTCATTTCGAGTTCGGCCCTAATTACCCTACACCGCGGGTTGCACAGTGGAGCAAGTTCTTGGGGATTTCGTCCGCACTACTATCGATCTTGCAGTACCTGCCTCAACTCTGGCGCACGTGGCAGATTGGTTTGGTCGGTTCGTTGAGTATACCCATGATGTGCTTCGAGGTGCCGGGTGCCACGGTCATGGTTACCTCCATCGCCCTTCGGTGAGTATCATGACCTTCCAGTCGTCTCTACATCCTGACATACTTCAATAGTGAAGGCACGGATTGGACCAGTGCGTCCCGTCTGACAGTTCAGACGAACGCCCTTTGCTGACACTGTCTGATATACAGATTGGGCGATGTACGCTGCTTCTGGCGCCATGGCTGGGCTGTTGCTGCTCTTATGTTTGGCGTGGAAGGTCAGGCAAGCCAGACTGGGCGTTGATGACTTCGGTAGACCGCTCAACAAACCCATCGACACTCCCAATCCCAGTGAAACAGCGCCCTTGTTGACCGGCGATGTCCGTGCTGCGTAATCCGTAATTCATTGTTCTAGTACTAGATGTAGTCGTGGAATCATAGAGACGGTGTGAATATATATAAGCATGCATAGCTGGTCTCCTCGTTGTACAGGGTATGGGATCAAGATATTCCATGAACACCCACAAACCAGTCGTCAAGTATCGTCTGCGCTAAATTATGGCCATCATCTCGTCATAACATCTACTGTGTGGGTCTCTCCGGTGGATAGAAGCGGCGGGGACTCTGCGCACTGTCCGTGACAACATCCGTGGAGACTTCAATGCCGACGTCGCCTGGCTTGTAGTAGGTGCCACTTTCGAGCTCGAATGACTCGACAGGCGCTCTTGAGCTGCCGCTGCCGATCTGTTGGGGTACATATGGTCACAACTGGCCTCGCCGGAACTGACGCAGAGACTTACTGTGACATTGTGCCTGAGGCTCTTCGGCTGGTAGGTACTGCCAGACATCGTGACGCTCGTCGACGCACGCGAGGTGCCACCCTGAAACCGCAAGTGAGCACCGGTAGAGCATACCAGATAGATGGAGCCGACGCACGAAGGTTGACCTGCCGAACAGCACGTTATCCGGTTCCTGTTCAGACGAGTTGATATTGTTCCAGCCGACGCGCGCGTTCAGCGTGCTGAGGAGTGCATTCGTGTACAGCTTGGAGATAGAAAAGTCCCATGCAAAGCTCCTACGCTCAGATATCCGAGTCAGACGTGATTTCCAGCGAAGAAGAGGACAGGCTTACACGGCGGTTTTCTGATAGACATGAAGTTAGATTGTCGTCCTATGCCGGGCATCAAACGTGTACTACTCACCGAGTCTATGGTGAACAGAAGTAGATCGGCCAACGCAAAGAACATGGTGACAAGTCCAGTTTGCACCGTCAAACGGACGATCCTGTTGATTGACACGTTCGTACTAACATGGAACGTCTTCCGGACCGTCTGCGGCAAAAACAGACAGATGGGGTCAGTACCGCGCCGCGGCGACGTGACTGAGAGCTACGACCCACCAAGCTCCACACGAGTGTTACAGTGATGAGGATATCAGCGATCGCCGACGCGACAAACCAGACCCCACCCGTGAAGTTGAAGTTGAACGTAAACTTGGCCGCGAACAACTTCAGAGTGGCGACGTTAATCGTGACCTTGAGCGCGGCACCTGGTTCAACTCTCGCGTGAGCGTCGCGCATCCACGCGCTAGCATGCTAGATGACAACGTACCGAAGGAGACTAGGGAGAAGAGACAAATAAGGATTGCAATTATCTTGCTCTGAGACACTATGCTGATCCGCCACGCCGTGAATATCTGGACTGGGGTGGATATGAGGACCTGGTATGGTACTTGTGTTCAATCCGATGCGTAGGACCGAGACATTTAGAGAGCCACGAACCGTAACAATGGGTGCTCAACAGCTCGATATGAGCATGATACTAGACTGTGGAACACGCAAGGGAAACTCACAAGCGGCCAACACTAGCGATCTGAAGTCAAACACTTCGTTCAACAGCGATGGGAGGCTACTACGTACTCGTCGGGAAGAACGTCACTGCCTCAACCGTTCCTACAAGAACATGAGGACGCGTTGCGCTGCGGTAAAGGACTGAGGCGTACCAAATTCTTGGACCAAGGGCTGGTAGATCAGATACATATCACACGCAGTATTCACTGTTTCGACTATGAAGAGATAGATCACCTGAAGGACAGAATCCATGTTGGACATAATTCTCAGCTAGACGGAATGAACTCACGAAGTAGCGTATCCAAGTAATATCCCTGTCATTTTCGTCAGACAAGGTCGCGTGAAGCAAGCACGACGCACGTACTTCGAGTATGTCTGGAAATAAATGAACATCTGGCAGCCTATGAGTCGCCTCGCCCCTACGTCCGTGTGCAAAGCCGTACCTGCATGACCATGACCTACGATGCGTGAGCGCGCAGCTTCATCTGACTTAAATGGCTCGCACTCACCCCGAACAATATGCAGTTGAAGAAAACGCCAACGAGCATCGGCCCAAAGCTGCAGGACTGGCAGCTCAACGAGCAGTACACTGGCAGAACACGCAGGCGGTACGCACATTAGGTCTACGGACGGCATCTTGGGCGAAGGCTAAAGGAAACAAATGCTGTGCGCGGCGTAGTGCCAGGTCGGTTCTTATACCACCATCACGCCGTCGGGCGCGCTCAGCGCTGAGCAGCCCGAACCACTAGTGACTAGCCGCTCCGCGCTGGCCATGCCGCATATTCGTATTGCTTCTTGAATGAGTCATGTGTACCACGATACACGTCGATACTGTAACATGTGTGGCATTGTCACATCATCAAGGACGGGAATAATACGAGTCGGTTTGCCCTAGAAAATTCAAGCTAAGTCCGGACACTGGCACTGTATGACAGGTAGATCCTTGATACGCTCTCACTGGCGAACGTAAGTTGCCTTGATTACAGGTCGACTGTGTGAGGTTTGTAACCTTTTACGAGGTCAGCGCGCGTGCCCGTACGCAGTGCGGTAGACACGAGTTCGACCGTAGCGCCTGCCAGTGAGAAAGCGCGGTTACATACGTATACTGGCAGGCGCAGACCCATGGGAAGCGGTTGGTGGGCCGCGGTGCAAGTTCGAGGGGATCCCTTGACAGAGCTTTCTCCGGTCGCTGCCCGCTGGCCGCGCTTCTCAGCCGATACGTACACCGCCAACGTGTTGCCGCCCTACCGTCAGGTCCCCGCGTAAGCTGAGCCTAAGGAACCGGCTCAGCTACGGTCACGTCACCGCCAGATGGCCAAGATGGGGAATCGACTATTATGGTAGAGCGATCTGAGGGGTCTGATCCTCAGCCGATGACTGGCGCTTGGGCAAGGTACAAATGCAGAAACACAATTAGAGCCTTGAACTGGCACTCACTACGGCCTGACACCTCTTCATACTGATGTTTTCTGCAGTGTTCTACGGTTGAGAGAGGTAACAAGTCTCAGACATTAGCGGAAGATATCGGTACAGGCTATGTACGCAAAGACACCAAGTGGATATATACTTATTTTTGAAATCTCTTGCAATGCTGTTGTGTCGAAGTGGTAAGTAGGATGTGGCGTGTCAAGTGCATATTGGTGAGGGTCGAGGGTTCGAGACGCACGACTACTCGTTCATTTTTGCTCACACCATCACTTTTTGCGCCACTTTCCCTTCCCACCCAAGCGCCAGTCATCAGCTGAAGATCAGACCCCTCTTACCGACCATCCCTAAATAGTCGATTTCCCATCTCGGCGATCTGGCCAGGATATGACCTCAGCTGAGCTGGACCTTACGCTCAGCTTACCGCCAAAACCTTACCATTAGGTCAGACACAAACGTCGGTGTATCTGCTGGTTGTCGAGACTCGACGCCGTGGTTGTCCGCGCGCTGCCAGTGCCAGGATTTGAATCGTACCTCGGCAGCCTTGGCAAAGACAGCCCCGCCGGCGCTCTTGTGTTCCACTTCCGGCCTACATAAGGTACGTTCCTGAACGGGCCGCGGTAGTTTACATTGCCGAATTGTAGTGATCTGAGTCCGCGATCCTCTGGGTCCGCGTTTCAAGAGTCCCACCCACCCGCCTTGGTATCTCTCGCCGGCGCCGGATACCAGTCAGTGTCTGGGGGATCCAAAATCCGGTGTGCTGAGCCCCGGCGCTCAGACACAGCACAGACGCAGTGCCATGGCACATCCTTTTGGCTCAGGCTCCTGATGCGCACGTCGGCTCTAACCGCACACTTCACAGCGATCGTGCTTCTCAGCACCGCAGCGGGCGCTGTCCATTCCCGTCGTCCCCGTGGCGCTTCGCCCGCGATCCGACACGGGTGCCAGGAGGTGCCAGGGCTCCGGATCCACGGTCACTTCTCAGCCCCACGCCGACCGTCGAAAAAAATGATTTCCTGCCTGGTGTGACGGTGTCCGACTCAGACGGAACATCATGATTGTTGCATGGGAGCTAATCGGCGGATCTGAGCTGCAGCTGGTCCGGACCTGTCCATCGACCTTAGGCGCATCACTTGGCCGACGTGAATGTGGGCGCACCTTGTGAAGATATTCTGCACGCAGTCTGCCAGATCTGTATTGGCCTTCTCGTGCACAGCCTATCGATAGAAAGATAGGAAGCCCACTGGCCGCACGCCGATGTCACTGTAACCCCATTGACCAACTTGGACATTTCTGCACGCACTATCCCCCGAATCAATCGCGCCCATATTGAAACAACAGTCCATTCTCGACCGAGAAACACAGGCGGGTCACTGCCAGAACATCAAATGATTGCGGTAAGATTGTGGAATGGAGGCGAGCGGCCATTTGTGGATCGACCTCACCTTGGTAACACAATCGGGGGTCATAAGCCTTACGTCTCATTCGGCACACTGAACAAACGTGCAATGCTTGCACGTCTGTGCGCACCCGCGGAATATGATTCTGACCAGCATGGTGTTATGTTATCCAAAGCCTTCCTTGATAGAACGCACCGCTCGTGGGACGCGTCACGCGTGCTGCCTCTCACATAAGATGAAACACGCCGCTCTTCTGGTTGCATGCGGACCGCAGTACACGTTCATTCTCATCAATTATTGTACATCATAGCCGCGAGCGGAGGTGTCCGGACAAGGACGAAGGTTGTCTGGAGGTGATGTGAGCACCACTGTGGATCGGAAGAACATCGGTGAACGAGAAGACCCGCACCGCATTGCCGAACGTGGACGCTCACCCGAGCAGGTGAGGAGCCGACTTCTCCAGCGCAGCGACCGTTTCCTCGTGCAGAGTCTTCATTACGTCCTGGCGAACCGCAGCGTCAGCATCGATCGACAAAGAGTCCCGCAAGCGAAAGCGACGCACCGCAGTTTTCTTTATCTCCGAGGTGTCTGCGACGCCGACGCCCGCGTAGACAATGAGATGGTCGCGGTCGCCCTTGGCGATGTTCGCCTTGCGCTCCTCGGGGGACGCGCCGCTCGCAAACTCGGTGACGATCGCGTTATTGACGCAGCGCGCCTGGATGCCGTCCGGCCACACGCCCGGGGGGAACGCAAGGTCATACGCGGTGCTACGCGCCGTAGTGTCCGGGCCAGCGCGCACGAGCACGTCCTTCATCTCGTCACTGTACATACACTCCTCTGTGAAGAGCAGCCGCGTGCCGAGCACGACGCCCGCCGCGCCTGCTGCGAGCTGCGCTGCAATTTGCTGCCCTGTCGTGATCCCACCCGCGGCGACGACCGGGGGCCCGCCGGGCAGCGCCGCGAGCACGTCCTTGAGGAACTGCGCGGTTGGAGGTGAGTAGACGCTGCCGCGGCCGCCCGCCTCAGCACCTGATGAGTGGAGTGGAGGGGTCAGCGGACGCGGTATTCGACAAGACGGGCGACGCTACCTTGTGCGACGAGGACGTCGGCCTTCCAATCGTTGGCGGCACGCACGGCCTCCTGAACAGTGTTAACAGTGACAAATACGAAGGTCTTGCGCCCGCTGGACGCGTCGAAGGCGCGGACCTGCGTAACGTATTTGTTCAGATCGGGCCCGTACGCGAGGAAAATGGCGGATGGCGCTTTGTCGAGGGCAGCCTGGAAACGCGGGTCGGCATCGGTGTTGAGCTTGTCGAGGACCCAGCCCACAAAGCCCATGCCAACGACGCGCTGAAGTTCGGGGCTGAGCAAGGCTCGGGCTTCGTCGATGGCCTGTGCGATCTTGGGCGCCGGCTCAGCGCCTACGGGGCGGGATTGTGAGACAATCGGGTCAGAGCGCAAGACAGGGCTTACCTGCACCGAGGAAGCCGAGCCCACCGCCCTTGATGACCTCCGCGACAAGTGCCGGGGTCGTCGCGTAGGCCATGGGCGCGGAGATGATGGGTATCTTAATGTCTGTAAAGAATATGGGTCAACCATAGGACAGAGAACGCGGAGGCTTGTACGGACTGAATAGCTCGGTAATCTTGGTGTTGACGGAGCGCGCCATTGTGAGTAGAGGTCGACGGCAGGGTATGGGCCGTTGAGCGAGTGGTCCGCAAGGTTGCTGGTACATATAATAGGAGGGTGCGTCTTTTGTGGGCGGATCGCATCTTGTGGAAGGGCCGTCTGCGAAGTTGCGAATTGGTCGGATCTGGTCACTGCTGGGTCTGTGACAAGGTCTGTGATCGCCCAGGCGCCCAAGACGTACCGTGCGACATGTAGCTTATGTAATCCCACCTCCTATGTACCAACCACAATTGTGAAGAAGGCCGCGCTGCCAAATCGAGCATACGTCCCCAAGAACGCCGTGACTCTAGAGTGGACCGCAGATACGTCAACAAGGCAGCGCTCAAGAAGTATCACTGTGATGGTTTGATAGCGCCCTCAGCGCATGACTACGCTCATGCCCGTGGTATATGTCTGACTGATCCCACCCGTTCTGCCAGATCTCTGCCGTGTACCACAAATATTTGAGTGGCCGACTGACATGCGCTACAGGATGTCGGGATAAGGAGCTTCCTTGACCAATCCCCGAAGGCCTGACTGGCAAAGCCTCCGACACCACAGGCTAGGGTCCTAGCTAAGCGGACATTTCAGTGACAGAAGGGACAGCAGCGACCCGCTCGAAGCCACCGCCTCGATCGCCGCGAGGTACCCTGTGAGCGTTTCTGCTAAGCCTGGCCGCACTAAGTTTCCTAGCTCACCTCCCTTCGCTGTTCTCCTATTCTGCAGGGCCTTCCCCGCCCCGTCTGGCGCACGCTCGCCAGTAGCATCTCTACGCGAGGTCTCTTGCCCGTAGTCTCTTCACACAATCACCCTCCTCTAACCCCATCCCATTCCGGCTTGTTTTGCGACCATGTCTACCACCGACGTTCCCTTCATGGTGAAGCTCAATGGGCCCGCAGACTCCGAGCTCGAGCTCTCTGACCTCTCACCGGCCGCCTCGTCTCACATGGTCCCTGCGATCTACTCCTCGCTGGGAGCCACCGCCGAGAAGCCCCGCCGCCACCCTCTCTTTCACCCTAACATCGCTCAGCAACGCAAGCAATATTTCACCTTCTACTATGCCTACGCCACACTCCTTATTCTCCTCATGTGGATTTTGCTCCCTATCTACTGGGCATCGCTCGCGTACACTGATCGGCATACGCAGCGCTTGACCGTGCTCGTTACCGACCTCGACCAATCCTTGATCGGCGAGGGTATCCTTGCTGCTGTGCAGCGAGCCCAGGACCAGGCCGCCGACGTGACGACTCTCGGGTGGCAAATCGTGAACAGCACTGCGAGCGATAACAGCGTCGTTGCAAGTGCCATAGATGCCGTTGTGGATGAGCAGATCTGGGCTGCTGTAGTCGGTAGGGCTTACCGCTCTCTAACGCTGCAGCCAGCCAGAGCTAACTCCATGCACCCAAAAAGTACATTCGAATGCAACCTCTAGTGTGCTCTCAAGTTTCGCATCGGGCACGAGTGGCCCCCCCGCTGGCGCCGCCGTGGACGTGTACTACAACGAGGCACGCAATGAGTTCGCAGCCAACTTCTACATTGTTCCCATTCTCACTGCGGTACTGACCCCCGCGCTCGCCGGCGCAAACGCGAACGTCTCCGCACAGTTTGTATCCGCAAACGCGGGCAATCGGACGGCCCTCGCGAACTTCGTCGCCGCCTCCTCGGCGTCGGACACGCGTGCCGTCGCCACCGCCGCGTACAATAACCTGCGCCCATTTTCCGCACCGGTCGTGTCCGCCCTCACGGAGGTCGGCATGATCCTGATTGTCATATTCTCATTCATCCTCGTGCGTCCCCCGCCCCCTGCCGATAGCGAACCTTGCTGACGCGCCCACTCGTGCACAGACCATGGCGAACAGCGCACTGCGCCCGATCGTCGCACGGCACCTGACACTCCCGTGGTACGTCGTGCTGCGTGTGTGCGCGCCGCTGCTCGCGTACGTGCCGCTCTCGCTCTCGTTCGCGGTCGTCTCGCTGCCATTCCACGTTCCGTTCGACGGGAAGTACACGGAGGCGCAGGGCTTCTTTCTTTTCTGGATATTGTGCTACATGCTTATGTGCGGCTTTGGCCTCGCGACCGAGTTTGCTATCGGTGTGCTCACGATTAAATTCGCGCCCTTCTTCTTGCTAACGTTGGTGAGTCCCTTCCTGCTCACGTGTGTACTGGGCCTGTGACGACGTCTCTGCGCAGATCATCTCGAACGTCTCCGTAACTGAGTTCCCACTGGAGCTGCTGCCGGGCGTGTTTCGCTACGGACGCGGGTTCCCGTTCTAGTGCGTCGTCGTCTAATTCTCTTCCATGTATTCGCGCCTGACGGACCGGCCGTGTGGTGTCGCAGCAACGCCTCTCAGGCCTTCCGGACGATCACATTCAACGCAAAGTCGCATCTTGGCGTGAATGTCGCGGTGTTGATCTGCTGGGTCTTGATTAGCCTGCTCACGGTGAGCGCCAGTACATGGATCATCGAGGGCAGGAACAGGCGGAGGGGGATTGAGGAGGAGGCGCATCACTAGCGGTGGACGTCGGTTTGGCATGAGACTCTGAGGCTTTCCTTTGCTGACGGTGGTCACTGGTTGATTGCGTCAGCTTAGTTTATTGGGGTCTCGGGCTCCCTCTCGTCAACATCGGACACTGAGTCACTGGGGGTCACTTCGGCATGTGCACTACTGGGCGATCCGCTGCAAGACTTCGACTCTTTGTCGAATCACCATGCCTGTTCCCCGCCGTCAGCATGGTCATACATACTTTGAACGTTTGTCGCTCAAATACGTGTTGTATGCATCGCGCACGGGGCAGGTTGCGCCCCATGTGTGTTCTGCTAGGATAGGGTGGTAGAGACTGGAGTGCAAATCCCTGCTGTTTGACCTGCGTTTAGGTACATGTGTTGACCAATAGCGATTGAACTCCCCCGAGTTGTCATATCTATCGTTAGGCTACCCTCTGGCTACTGAACATACCTGACGGTCATCCCCGGGAGTCCGGTGCAGCAGGCTGGGTAGTTTTGTCCATATATGGTAATGCGGTGAATGGCGGAACGCACTGGGGAGCCTCCTCGGACTCCGCTCGCCCTCCGAGTCAGGCCTCAAATTCAAACATCATATCCCCGCTAGTACAACAGGACCTTGATTCGAGTCTCGGCGCAGCAGCCTGGTTTCTCCTGGTCTTCCGTACCGAGCATGGGATTGATGAGTTGGGAACACCCGACGTGCGGTCACAGTGATCTGTAATTCAAATTGAACTCAAACATGTACGGACGTGGAATCCACCGCTCGGCGCTGTGACAGTACGTAGGCCCATCAGCTTCTGTGCACCGCCCATGATTCATATCCAGCTTCTTGTTGCAATCAACGGGACCGCAACGGATGGTGGCGCCGAATGACATGGCTGCCAGCTGTGGGCATTGCCAATCTCCTAACGCGTCGGTCAGATGCGATGACTTGGCCATGACAGTCGTCACAACCGTGCTTGTTGGCCCGTCAGCGCTGTAAGCCTAACAGGCTAACACCCAACGAGCGTACTGAGACGCAGTTGTGAGGACGTATTTCCAAATAGCCCATCCTTAGTTGCGGTCTTCCTTGGGTGTTCCCCCTTGGACCTAGACGATCGCAGGTCATTGACCTTGCCTCCATCGTGCCAGCGTCGACCGCGCTGATACTTCCCTCCTGCTCTGCGCCGCTCCGTGTGTGTTCCGAGCAACATGCCCGGCCTTGTGTTGAACAGCGATCATATTGCAGGCTGGGGCCTGTCTCCGCCGAGCGAGCCAGCGTACAACTCTGTACAAATTTTTGACCAAGTCACTGTCTTCCTCGCGCTCCCTACGGCGCTCTTCATCCTTGCGAGCACCCTCAGATGCTACACGCTGCGCACGGCGGGCGTGCGCCCACCCCGTCGTCTCGCGCTCCTGCGAGTCAAGTTGGTACGCCGTACGATTTCTTCGCTTCCGTGGACCGTGAGTGACCAGATACGCGTTCACAGACGCTGCTTGCGCTCGCCTGCGTCTCCGAGACCGTTTCCTGCTTTGCGGCTTTCGCTTTCACATCCCCGAACTCCGGCAGTGTCCTGGACGTGCTCGCGCTCGGCGTCGCGCTGCCCCTCACCTATCTCAACCACCGGTGCACGCGCTCCTCGTCGACACTCCTGCTACTCTTCTTACCTGTGCATGTGGTCTGGTTCGCCCTACGGTACTTTCTCACAGGGACCGCGGAGCCCGCCAAGGCCTTTGCCGCGGTGCTATGTTTCGTAGTCTTCGTCTTGGAGTGCCTCGGTGTCGAACGCGGCGAGAAGACTCACTGCGCTGCGGAGAGGCCCGAGAGCCCCCTGTTCACCGCAAATGTCTTCTCTGTCTGGTCGTTCTCGTGGTTATCGGACCTGCTGAAGAGGGGATCGTCAACGCAACTTTCCACGGAAGATCTCTATCCGTTGACACAACAGGATAGAGCTGCTCCACTCGAGGAGCGCTTGCGGAAGGCACGAGAGACATGGTGCGTTCCCCCTCAGTCGTGTTTGCCTTTGACCGACGTGGTGGACATAGGAAATCCCTCTGGGCTGCGTTGATCCTCACGTATGGCGGTCCGTACGCACTCGCCGCAGTGCTCAAGATCATTCACGACGTGCTGGCGTTCTCGCAGCCTCAATTTCTGCGATGGCTCTTGATATACATCTCCAGGTACCAGGAGACACAGTCTTCACCACGAAAAGGCGACCTCCCGGTGGAAGGCTTCGCGATTGTCGCAGCGATGTTTTTTGCCTCCATCGCTCAAACCGTCATTCTACACCAGGTATGTATAGAGTCAGTCTAGAGTCTTCGGATATGATAATTCTAACCGCGTCGGCCACGCAGTACTTCCAAATCTGTTTTGAGACCGGCATGCGGGTGCGCTCCGGCATTGTCACGAGTATATATCAGAAGTCGTTGTCCCTAGCCAATGGGCATCAATACGCATCCGGCGACATCCTCAATTTGATGTCGGTAGACGCAACAAGACTGCAGGACCTTTGTACATACGGCCTCATCTTGGTTTCCGGGCCATTCCAGGTTGCTCTTCCCCTCACCGTTCGCATCGTACTGGCTGACGTCCTTGTAGATCACCCTCGCGTTCATATCTTTATACAGGATACTTGGATGGTCCGCGTTCGTCGGCGTCGCGATCATGGTCTTCTTGCTACCATTCAACACGCTGATTGTTCGATTCCTCAAACGGCTGCAAGAGCGTCTCATGAAGGACAGGGACCACCGTACCCGCCGCATTGGCGAGCTGCTCGCGCACATCCGGAGGTGGGTCACGGCCAACGTTTTGCAGACGTCAGCTGAAGCCCCGTGCATATTGTAGCATCAAGTTCCATGCATGGGAGAACACCTTCCTGCGCCGTGTACTCAGCGTGCGGGACAACGAGCTCGCAATGCTGCGCAAGATTGGCCTGGTGACTGTACGCCCATTCGTCCGTCCGTCATGATGCACGACCCATGCTTACGTCGTCTCCAACAGTCGCTCAATGTAGCTGTGTGGAATGGTACACCTTGTGAGCATCCGAGTCAGCGTTGCATGTCTGTGTGCGGGTCTGACTGTATGGGGCGCACGCAGTGCTTGTCGCATTTGCGTCTTTCGCAGTGGCCTCACGGGTGTCTGCGACACCGCTGACACCCGATATAATCTTCCCATCCATCTCGCTCTTCATGCTCCTCATTTATCCGCTTGTCCTGGTGAGCGTACCACTCTGCATAGCATCTCGCACGACACTAACAGCAGCGTATGTCCGTGATTGGTACTCCGTAGTTCGGTCAGGCATTCACTAATATCATCGAAGCCGTTGTCTCCGTCAAGCGGGTCGCGAACTTCCTCGCCGTCGGTGACTTCCACACAAACGGACGCCGGGTGATACGAAATGTGAGGCTGGAGATAGGCGACGAGGTCCTATCGGTGAAGGATGGCGAGTTTCGTTGGAGCAATGATGGCTCGGCATTGCCTGTCTTGGAGAATATTCACCTGGATGTCAGGAAGGGGGAGCTGATGGGTGTCATGGGGCGCATCGGGAGCGGAAAGACCAGCTTACTGTCTGCGGCTGTCGGAGAAATGAACCAGACGCGAGGGGAGGTGCGGCTGTACGGCCGCGTGGCGTACGTTCCTCAGTCGCCTTGGTGAGCACAAGATATCAAGAGGCCGTCGGTTGCGTTCTCATGCAATGTGCTTTAACAGGATGATGAGCGCGACAATCCGGGAGAATATACTGTTCTCGCATGTCTATGACCCGGAGTTCTATGACGCGGTGCTACATGGCAAGTTTCTTCTGGATGGCGAGGCGACGTGATTGCTCACCAGGGAGATCAACAGCTTGTGCGCTCAACGAAGATTTGGCCGCATTACCGGACGGTGACCTAACTCAAGTTGGGGAGAAGGGAGTCACCGTACGCCAACTAACAAGTCAACCGACCTTCTCTGACATCACTTGATTTCTTACATATGTAGTTGAGTGGTGGGCAGCGCGCACGCGTCGCGTTAGCTCGTGCCGTGTATGCACGGACAGAGTTGTGAGTGCGAGTTCGATGTGTTTCACTACCATACCTGATAATAAGCGATTGCACAGGATTGTCCTCGACGATGTACTGTCTGCACTAGACATGCATGTCGCTCGTCACGTCTTCGGTACGGTGTAGCTTGGCACCGTCATCCTTATTGTATGTTCATCTATGTGCAGATCACGTCATCGGCCCCTCTGGCCTCCTCTCGACGAAGGCGAGACTCGTTACGACGAACAGTACACATTTCCTCAGGTGGTTCGACAAGATATTGTATTTAGGTCCAGGGAATGCACCGGAGATTGGAACTTTTGCGGACCTTACGAACGACCCTGGGAGCCAGCTCTGCCGCCTCATGTACGTCGTTTTGTGACCGCGTTCGCGTGCATATGCCTGACGAGGTTATGCCACAGCAAGGAACACAGTGCTTTAGAAACCGCCAATGGAATGTCTTCCGGCGACACAACGAGCTTGTCCTCGCAGGGCAGCACTACGGGGGAATACAAGGTGACCGAGGAGCATGGCCAGACGAACGACAAGCAACGGCCTCGCCGCATGAGCTTTGGGAAGGCTGTGTTGCATGTTGCTCCCTCCGCGTCAAGCAAGCCAGCCAAGGAGCACAGCGAAGAAGGGCGTGTCAAGACGGACGTCTACGTACAGTACATCAAGGCTGCCTCGAGAACCGGCTTCGGATGCTATGTAGTGTTTATGATGCTTCAGCAGGTGCTCGTAGTTGCGGGTAACGACACTTTACGTGCATGGAGCGAGCATAATCTAGAAACAGGGCGAAGGGACGGGGCGCTGCATTATCTCCTCATATATGGCGCATACTCCCTTACATCAACTGCAATTGGAACTGCGGCAGCAATACTTCTGTGGGTGGTATGCTCGGTACGAAGCTCTCGACGGTTGCATAACTCCGTATGTCCTGACCTTTATGCACCCGGTCTATGGGTGAAACTGACTGTTTGTAGATGCTCAATTCCATCATGCGCGCTCCACTGAGTTTCTTTGAGCTGACCCCTCATGGACGGTAAGCATTATGGGACTTTCCACGTCCAGTGATTGATGTTGAAGGACACGGTGATAGGATCGTCAACGTGGCGTCGAAAGACACCTACACAGTTGATCAGGCAATCGCTAAGGCTCGTTTGTGCTGCCATCATGACGATGGTTTGTATCTGATCACCTCTCAGGATGTTGAGCATACCGTGAGGGAGACATGTATTGGTGTGATGATCGTCAGTGTCATCGGATATCACTTCCCAATCTTCGTAAGCATTGTCAAGTTTTCGTTCCCGGCTGGCTGTGCTCAATACTTCGGCAGCTCGTTACTGTCTTACCACTTGGATGGTTCTACATCACCGTCATGAGGTCAGCTCAAGCTCTCTGTCATAGAGTAGTTGGTGCGGTGCCCAATTCATGCCCTGGTCAGATACTACCTTGCAACGTCACGGCAACTCAAACGCCTCGAAGCAACCTCCCGTTCGCCTGTCTTCATCTGGTTCTCGGAAACCCTGGACGGCCTGTCAACCATACGCACTTTCAACCAGCAGTCAATCTTCATCACAGGGCTCCGGGACAAGCTAGACCTCAATCAGGCATGTTACATTCTAAGGTCGGCACGATCCTCTGGCGAGTTTCACACGTATGCTGAACTGATTCCAGCGTAACGGTCAACCGATGGCTCGCAGTACGCCTCGAGTTCGTTGGTGCCACAGTTATTCTGGTAGCAGCGGTTTCAGCACTATTCACACTTGGTATAAATGGGGTCAACGCCGGGTTGGTCGGTTTTGTCCTCTCGTTCGCCTCAAACATCACTGTATCATTGGTGTGTGCACTGGTTTATCATCACTTTGATCCGTATTGACGCTCTTGCAGAGTTGGTTGGTACGTTCCGCAAGTGAGGTCGAGCGGAACGCCGTGAGTGTCGAGCGGATGCTGCATTACATCAATTTGGCACCCGAGGCACCATATGAGACTCTTGAGCCAACTCCGGAGAAGTGGCCTGCCAAGGGAAAAATTGAATTTCGGTCAGTCTACTGAAAGCTGTCTTGCGAACGCTCTGATAGTCCGGCCAGGTCTATAAATACAAGATACCGTACAGACTTCGACTTTGCTCTCAAAGATGTCACGCTCAAAATTGTGAGACGCCAGTCATGGATCCTCATGACGGTCTTTACTGATGATCTCGACATAGAACCCCGGAGAAAAGCTCGGAGTCTGTGGAAGGACTGGTTCGGGAAAGTCGACTGTGCGCACTATATGACATCTTCTTGTGACCTCCTGCATTCAAATGTGTTATGCGGCAGCTGCTCCTGTCCCTCTTCCGGATGCTTGAGCCTACATCCGGCTCAATCTACATCGACGGCGTGGACATCGCTGAAGTCGGGTTGCATGATTGTGCGTGGTTACGACAAGGCAATATAAAGCTTAGCTCATGTTTTTTCTATCTTCAGTGAGATCTGCCATCTCTATCGTACCCCAAGTACCGGATGTCTTCGAAGGGAGCATCCGCGAGAACATCGATCCAACAGGAGCATATCAGGACAGAGACATATGGGAAGCTGTGAATCAGGCGCGTCTTTGTCTAACCTAGGTTGACTTTGGCAGCTAATACTACGCATCAAAGGCGCACTTGAGGTCGTATGTCGAAGCACTTCCTGGAGGCCTCGACACACCCGTGAGGGAGAGTGGAAGTTCAATATCATCGGGAGAACGACAGCTTCTTTGCTTCGCGCGCGCTCTGCTGCGAAAGGTGCGTGAGCTGTACCCTAGAGCCATAGGTCCGGACTTGAACACTTTATCAGTCGAAAATCCTTGTACTGGACGAGGGTCAGTGGGCTCATTGTGAAGTGCGTTGCCAGTCGAGCTGACAAAGTTGTAACAGCTACGTCTGCTGTAGACCTGGACACTGACAAGCTCGTCCAAGAGACGTTACGGGGACCTGAATTCGCGGATATCACCATCATCACGATTGCGTGCGTCCTATCAGTTCAATATTCTGGATAGTCTTGATCAACTGCGCTTGACAGCCATCGACTACAGACCATTATGGACTGTGACCGTGTTCTCGTGCTCGCTTCAGGAAGGGTACTGCAGTTGCTCGTTCATTCTGATGGTACGGCATTCTGACTACCAGCTCAGGTCTCGGAGCTCAACACACCGCGGAGCCTGCTGGAAGATACGCAGTCCGAATTCTATTCAATGGCGGTAGAAGCTCGCTTGGTTTGAGTATACAGTATCCATGTATGGGCATACCCGATGGCGTATGAAGTATGAATGCTACACAGCTTGTCATGAAGTTGAATGCGTCTGAAGGGCATCCTTTCGGAGACGTGGGAGCTGAAGCGATGTTGACCAGATATTGGCGGACAAGCTGTAGCACGAAGATGCGTAGGCAGAGACACCCAGGGGAAGCAACACACTACTGGTAAATAAGACCCGATGACACGATCAACATTCTATAGTTTGTGGGATAAATATGCAGCAAAACACGATACGACGCGACGAGGCATTCCACACGAACAGAACTATGGGGGCTAGTAATGGCTGAAGTCTCGTTATAGACCAGACATGGTAGGGAAATGGAATCAGGATACAGATCGGTATCGATACAATTAAGGCTGGCGCATCGGAAGTAAGACTCAACATCTGCCGGGCACATCAGCGCGAATACAGTAATCGTTTCCTTCGTCTTCATCATCGCGCATCCAAGCATACCTCGTTGTCATGACAGGACGTACGCAGGAACCCAGTGCCTATGGCTCGCCAGGCCGTGAGGTCTGTCCCATTGGATTGTTCATCCCGCTGATGTATGTTCCCCAATCGTCCCATCTGCACACTCATCAGCGCGCACTCCGCCACCCACACATGAAGAATACCCACTGGAAGTCGCTCGGCGCACTACTCCACATCGCCAGCGTGTTATCAGCAAATGTATCCTGTCCCTGTCCCCCCTGCGAGGGCCCCGGCTGGCCGCCGGATCCCGGGACGCCCTGGCCCGGACCCTGCCCCATAACGACACCCATCGCACCGGGGAAGTCCTGCACACCCGCATATGTCGCAGGCATGCTCGCGAACAGAGAGTCATACACCTGCGAATCCTCCAATGGGCCGAACATGCTCGCAATCCCGGACGCATCGAGCCCGCCCGCCATGTCGGCCGACGGACTCTCCACCCTCGACGGTCCCGCCTGTGGCTGAGACTCAGACTGGACTTGCGAGGTGGGTGGAGGCGGCGGCGCGGAAGATGGACCAGGCATGGTGGAGAGGGTGCTTGGCCCGCCGGTGTCTGCGCCGAACCAGTCCTGCGCCAGTGAGCTTGGGGCCTGCGAAGATGGGCCCAGAGGGGTTGAGACCATAGAGGACATAGTGAAACCATGAAGAGGCAGCCGTCCGAGCTCGTCGCTGTGAATGGGGAGCGCGAAGGTGTTCGTAGCAGCGCTTGCGTTGGCGGGATCCGCGACGCCCATCGGACTCGGGACGTCTGACGGCGTAAACACCGATTGCTGCATCTGTTGCTGGCCGAAGCTCGCCGCGGTGGTGGCTAAGCTTGCGGTGTCGCGCGAAACACGCCGCGAACCTGCGAAGGTGCGCTGCGTCGGGTCTAGTGATGATGCGCCGGGAGTGGCAGTGTTCGCAGCGGGGGTGTATCCGTCAGCTCCTGGAGAAGGGTTCGCGCGTGGGCTGTCCGAATCTCGGTCACGCTTGTTGTTTGGCGGAGTGTTTTGAGGGAGAGGGAGGTCACCGACGTAGGCCAGTTCATATAAGATGTCCCTATGAAGGTTGCATGTCAAGCGTCGCCGATTAGTTATCATGCTGACTCTTACCATAATCGACCTGCGGTATGCCATCTGCAGAGCATTGTGAGTATCTACATGCGATGACCATCGAGTCAACCCTACCGAGGTTCAAGCATCTTGAGCATCTTCATGCATTTGTGCACATCCGCCATCTCCTTCTGGGCGTCCGTGGACAGACCACTCCGCTTACCTCCCCAGATATTGAGCAGCAGCACGATTCCACACGTGAACATCGCGACCTTCTCCGAGGCATTGAATTTCAGCAAATTCGTCATCACGGACAGAGGTCACGGAAAACGCACCTGGTTATGTGGGAGCGCTGACCCTGTCCGCCTGCACTGCACATCCATGACGTGTGTACAGCTCCGCGCCGCATTCGTGCAGATCGCCAGACTGGGAAAGCTGAGGGGCGAGGGCTTACGCGGTGAAGGGATGAATGGGCGGTGCACGGAGATCTGGAGCTGGTAGTAGGAGGCATAGAGGTTCGCGGACTGGTTGAGGAAGGTGACGTCTTCTCGATTAGGGTCCCATCGTACTGCAACGAAGCTTAGCGATCAGGAGAGCGGGGCTGTGGTAGAGCGGACATACGGTGGTCGGGCACGGAGTCTATCCACTTGTTGAGGGCAGAGTCGAGCTCGGCGACAATGTGCTGTTCCCACTGCTGACCTACGAACCCAAGTAGCGCTTTGCTCTTGTTAATAGAGTACTGCGAGCAACGGCAATCAGTGAAGGCGCACTGTGATATAGTCGGCGATGGACTCACAATCGTACGCAGGGCAAAAGCGAGGATCTGGTTTAACCTGAGGAAGCAGTTGAAGAACGTCACCAAACTTGGTTTGCCAGGTGGTTGCTTCCATGCGAGCTCCGGATCGTCATTCTCCCAGTACTCGTCATCGCACTCTATGGGAAGATCTAGGTCAAAGCTGACTCAATCGGCGACAACAAGCCGTCGCGTCAGTAACTCCTTCACGGGTACTCAACGGCGACGAGGCTCACTCTTCGTCCTGTATCGCACAAGGTCGCCCGAGAACTGAGGAAATTGATCGATCCATGGATACGAGCACCCTGCAGTCGATCAATCGCGTTTAGCATTTAGTAGATCCCTTATTAGGAATGACAAACCAGAAAGCCCGTTTCCACAGCTCCTCCTCGACCGTGGGCTTTGCGTTGTACACCTTCTTCCGGTGCGCGCCGACATCCTGGGCCATCCGTATACCCACCCCGATGAGAGTCCAGCTTGCCTGTGGCGCCGAGGATCCTTGCAGGAAGATCGCTGTCAACTGGATCGAGCAGGCGTGTCAACCACCGATCGACACCCGATGCCGTCACTCGGCCCACTCACGCAGTACACCTGCAGGTCGTACAGCCGCGGAGGCGCGAGCATGCTCTGGCGGATCATCTGCACCTGCTTGAACCACTCCCAGCCGCTGCTGAGCCGGTTGTCGGGGTAGTTGTGGAGGCACACGCGGGGGTCGTCCGTGTGGCGCGCGCCGATTGCGCACACGAGCAGCACGGTGCTCCCGAAGCCGACGTCCTCGAGGTGGACGCCCTCGCGGATGTTGCGCTCGAACGTCGGGCGGTGCAGGAGCGGCGTGAACGGCTGGACCTCCTTGAAGTACAGGTCGATCAGGAGGAACATGAGGCTCTCCTCGGGGAAGTCGGACTGCTTGTGCGGGCGCGGGAGCTCCTGGAGTTGCGAGGCTAGCCACTGGAGGGCCGGGTCGTAACATGCGGAGTGAGCATGCGATCCTTGGCGGCTCCGAGGCTGGTAGGTGGAACGGGACAGGAGGAGGGAGGGGGAAGAGGGAGAACGCGAACGCGGACGCACCGGATGTAAGCTTCTGAAGGCTTTCCGCCGTGCGCCCTCGAGCAGCGCAGGCATGCTCTGCTCTTTGCGCTCTGGCGTAGGTTTGCCGGAGTACTCGCGCTTGAGGTCCATCGCCGTCTGCACAAACATGATACTGCTGCTCTTTCCGAAGAAGCGCATGGTGGTCGGGTTGAGTTTGATTTGCTGCAGGCTGTTGACGAGCGTTTGGTGGGCCATGACTTCGTCGTCTGACGGTTCGAGATCGTCTGGGTTCGTGGGATGTGTCGGCGGATGAGCAGCGACAGATGATTGGGACGGAAGACACGAAGGTCCTGCACGGGACGGCCTGTCTGCTCCTGCGCGGGTCTCTGCAAGCCAGGCTTCTCTATCAAATCTCCCGCCAAGCTCCTTGGAGAAGTCGGCGTCGGGGCAGAGCTAATCGTCGCCGCATATAGTGAGCAACAGATACCTACAAGGGAACATGCTGCGTGCCTTCTTCAGTAGACCTTCCATCTTCTCGAGACGCGTTTCCAAGCTCTCAACATACCCTTTAGGAGGGCCGCGTTTCTATGCTTATGATAAGTGATCATGAAGTGCAATATAGAAAACAAAGAAAGTCAGAACTCGTTACAGCCATCCAACCGTGAAATCATTGACTATACACGAGCTCAGGGTGGCGTTTCACGAATGGGCCCGGGAATGATCTGTCTCACCCGATCAGAAAATCATTGGCGGCATGCCCCCGCTTGTGAGGGGTTCGAGCAGTCGGTGAAAGTCGGTCTGATGCATATGTGCGTTGTCCCCAGCGTTTCTGCAAATGTCTAAATTCGGCCATGTCGGGTTTCGGTGACCTCACAAGCGCATGTAGCAACGGCATCTCGCGTTCACACTTTGTTGCAGAGTGCTACAGCTAGCAAGATATTCCCAATGCTACTATGCGCTTGGAAGCTACCGCCATGGCATGTGAAACGCGTCGGTGGACATAGCCCCACCGAGGCAGACGAGACGGGGGGATTGAGGACAGACCGTGCAGAAGCAAAGTGGGAAGCAGTGCGCATGCTCCCAGTGACTGACAGCTCCCCAGGCCCAAGAGCGGAAGTAATTGGGGACTGCATCCGACAGTTCCTGCGGGATTGGCGGAAGGCGTAGTCCTACTCACCTTGGCTGCCTCATTGTACGTGCACTCGTAATTATAGGTCGTGCAATTTGAACACTTGTTGTCCGGCATTTGTGCGCCATCGCCTTGAAGCGGCAAGTGAGCAAGGGCCAACTGGCTGGATAGCTTAACTGAGCGGCTTACACCGTACTGAGTGATGCACACGTCAGTCTCGTGGGATGGGAGTGAGAAAGGGAGGACGCACTCTTCTTGCGTCTGCATACATCGCACGCGCGCTGGATCCTCCTCTTCTTCGCGTTCTGAGACGCAATGTCGTTCGGCTCGTCCTCCTGGGAAGACATGCCGCATACGGGGTGTGACGGGTGACACTATCACGTTAGGGGACGCGTCCGGGGCCGAACAAGAGGCACGCGGGGTAGTGGACGCGACAGGCAGAGGCAAGGACGGATGGGAGGGAGGAGCGTCTGCCGCTGGGCGGGGGTCTCTGAGTCTTAACCGGCGGAAATCCTGGAGAACGCGCGTGAAGGCGGCAGGAGAGCGCCGCAGTGGCTGACATGCCTTATTCAGCGCCTCCAGCCTCCGATCAGCCATCTCAGATCCCATCACTGCGCCCCGACGACGGCCCTCTAGTTGACTCCCTCTGACTCCCTGCTCCTCCTGTACGCCAGTCGTCGATGCCACTGCTCGCAGACAGAGTAACTTGGCAGTGCGTATAAAGCAAAACATATAATCTCCTCTCCTAAGCTCTAGCCTGGGTCTCGGGTGCGGTGCTCGTTTGTAATGTATGCCGATCCCTCACTCATCTGATTGGCCAACGTGTCGTCATTGCTCTCCCTGGAGGGCCGCCGGTGACCAGAAAGACGCAGTGTCATCTCCCGAAGTCTCCCGCCGGGGGTCACATCCAATTGATTCGACTTGAAGATCAGTTCCTCCACTGACATTGTAACTACTGGTGTGTACTTCTCCGTTTCACATGCACATCGTACCCTCCCCATTCCCCAACTGTTCCAATCATTGCTCCGCTTCGCAAAATTCTCCGCCGTGGACGACAATCGCTTGCAGGCTAGCGTGCGGATCGAATATCATATCGAGCTCCGGCTCTTATCGGAGTACGTGCCCCACACAGCTCCTCCACTTCGACACAAGCGATGGACGATAGGATGCATTGCCTCGACGCTCGTCGTTCAAGACGTCGACAGCTTCATTGTATCAAGCCAGGCACACCATATAGTGCGCAGTCGAACGACGTTGCTTCTCATGCATGCGCATTGCTGTGCTAGATGCAACGTTCCCGGTATTTTACCCTATCTGGACAATCCTCGCAGCATCGAAGCATCGACGCACTCGTTCCTTTCGAAACGAGCAGATGGCATGTGTTTTTCACTGGTATCAACCCTCTGTCTTCCACCTCAGACGTTCGTTTGCGGGCTGCCGTATGACAATAGCGACCGCCTTTCGTCTTGTCGACCCCAATTCAGTCGTGACTCACATATCGCATTATCGCGCGTTAGTCGTACCTGAGTTGTCCTTCATACTCGTGAAGATGGCCTCGAGGTTTTCAATGGCTCAGGCTATGAATGGCACAAAACAGACACCTTGTGTCTCTCGCAGTCTTCAGGAATACATCGTGTCGCACGGCATCGTCTGCCGATCCACTACACATGGTGAAGGCCTGAGAATGCCGACGTGTACTTACGGCGTGTGGTACGATACAGATGGAAACGGGGCTTCCGTAAGCTGTTGTGCCTCTGCCAACGCTCTGAGGCCTAGGACGGAGGTGAAGAAAGCTCAGCTGTATGTCAGAATCACAACTTGAAGCTGATGCACATACTACAGAGAAAGTCCTCAGAACGCCGCCCTTCCCTGGGGCACAAGAGGACAATCCGCACTGCTTTCAATTGGAGCGGAGTCAAGGGCGACCAACACATGGACCGGAGTTCCGACCCGCGACGAGAAGAGGATTCTCCAGAGCTCCGAGTCGGTGGAACGTCAAGTCGTCCAGACATCTGCGCCCATTGCCCGATGCAGCGTCTTCTGTGCTTCGTGAACCTTGTACAGCGGTGGATACGGTGGACATGAAGCCCGTGGGTGGTTCCAAGTCACAGCCTGAGTGCATGTGTTTGCGTATCGTAAGTGGGAGCTCCGTGGCGGATGTCCTATGACTTACCGCAGCTCAGAAAGAAGACTGGCCTATTCATTCCTCGTCGTACCCTTGTATGTAGCACGGCCACCCTTCAAGTCGGTACCCGTGTGGAAAGTTCAATAACCCCGCAAGGACAATATCGCGACTGAGTACGTGTCGTTCTGCTGTTACGAGCAACAGACGAACTTAATCGCTCCCCCCACTCCAGCTTCGTAGAGCGGTTCGCCACGCGCAGGAAATACACTGGCTCAGACCAGGTACATCACACCATACCATTGGCACACGACACAAATACTGCGCACCACAAACGACACGTACGCGGACACAGCACACTTCCCGTCAATCAGATCTACCCGCCCTTCCACTCATTCAACGGAAGACTAGTATCATACGCGACGAGACCCCGCAACTCCTCCGGGTACCGTGGCCACCTGCCCTTCACATCAGCCGCCGACACCGCCGCGCGCAGCTCCCGCACGTCCTTCGATTCGAGCGTAATCCCGAGGGCGCGCGACGGTGCGCACGCTGGGGATCGGAACGAAGTCGGGGTGCTCCGAGGATCCACGCGAGAGTGATCTGCCCGGGGGTGGCCCCGTACTTTTCCGCGACGGAGTGAAATTTGTCGACGAGCGCGAGATTCTTGGGGGAGTTCTCGTGTGCCCAGCGAGGCAGCTTGTAGCGGATGTCTGCCGCGGAGAGGTCGTTGCGCGACTTGTGTCAGCGGAGTGTAGGTTGTCAGTCGGATGTTATAACGCAGCGATGATGGCTGCGCAATGGAATGACTCACTTTCCCGGGATCACACCCCGAATTGAGTCACAGCCTGTTTAGCGACATGATCTACGCTGGCGACGTCGGATGTGCTCATCCTGTGCAAGTGGGGAGTAGGCGACGATACAATCCGAACTTTTGCGCCGTCGCAAGGAGGCCATTGGTTTCGATCCGACTCCAGCAGAATCGGGTAATAATAGTCCATCTGACAAGCGATGACCTTCTCGCGGATGCCAGGGACACTCCTCGCGCGCCGGAGATGGTCTGCGCTGCATTCGCTCAGACCGAGGTTTTCAGTTTTCCTATTCTCGACGTAGGGTCGAATTTGTTACGGTGAGTGCATGCTCCCCCGCAATATATGTGCTGACAACCAGACATTCGATCGGCGCATCCTGAGGATCGACGCAGCACGTCGCAATGGAAAGGCCACACAGTGAACGACGACGAAGCGTCGTTCGCAAGGAGCCCTCACGGTACATCATCAGTGGAGAAGCTCCCTGCGACGAAACGCGCCACAAGGGGTCGCAAACCTGCCAGCCTAGTGTGTAAGCATCAAACGTTGGTGACTCTGAACCGGTCAAGCTTACCTAGCGGCTGACGCGCCATTCGCCCATGAACAACTCTCAACTACCAAGAGAATCTGTGAAGACGGGATATAGGACCGCAAGCTCAAAGAGTAATTCTTGCTATTGCTGAGCCGTCCGTTGCTAGTAGACGCGGCTTCGGAAATTACGCAGAGGCTCCGTTGGCACCATATATCAGCGAGTCATGTAGTAGCAGCGCATGCCAGGTGGCTTGTCGAGGACGGCGGTGAGAGCGAGAAAAGTACAGGGGTCGAGTTAGAAGAAAGACCGGTGATTAGAAATCGGAAGCTATGCCGTTTTATATGTGAAGTCGACCTGAGTCAACCGTCGCGCTACTGTATATAACGGCGCTCAAGTCATGGGTAGGCGAATTCGAGGTACGCAGGCGTCCGAGCGATGTTTCGAGTACGTAAGAGGCTCAGGCTCAGGCTTGCCTAGTGCATAAATGCAGCTTGAAAGCCGTCGCTCACATTCGATGCATCACGGCGACCGAACCGATTCAACACTAATCATGCAACGCGCCATATAATCTGCTTGCCGAGAGCTGCGCACCGGTGACCGTTATGAGCCAGCTTGTGAGGAAGAAAGACCCGTCCATATTTTATGCTTATTCACGTTGGGCTCGAGAAGTCATTTTCGATATACGCCGTGTCCTCGTCCGGGCGCAATTGACAGTCGTCGATGAATGGCTGAAAAACAGAAGCAAGTTTATGGTCTTCGAAATACTGTCCAGGTATGTAAGAGTACCATTACACGCTGCATGGTCATTCTTGTTGGTCATGGCCCAGATGTACAGGCAATGCAAACGACTCGGATAGGCACAAGACACCATGATACTATTGGTACATCATTCGAAAAGGACACCGCGGACTATGAGGACACTGCCTAGACTCGGCGGCCTTTGACCGGATCTACTCGCCCTTCCACTCGGTCAAGGGGATACTGTCAAATGACAGCGTCTTCAGGTGGTCCTCCGGGTACCGCGATCCCACTACATCAGCCGCGAGGACAGCAGCTCGCAGCTCCTTCACGTCTTCCGCAGCAAGCGTGATCTCGACTGACTTAGCATTCTCCTCGAGCCGTCCGATGTTGCGCGATCCCGGGATCGGGAAGATGTCAGGATGCTCTGCAAGGATCCAAGCAAGAGCAGTCTGTCCGGTCGTGACGCCGTACTTGGCCGCGACGGCGCGGAACTTGTCAAGCAGCGCCAAGTTCTTGGGGAAGTTCTCGTCTGACCAACGGGGGAGCCACTGGAAGCGAATGTCGTCCTTGGGAAAGTCGTTCCGCGACTTGTACCTATATAATGATCGCAACATCAGTACTTTTGCGAGCACGATCGAGGATAGCAGCAATCCAGGCTGATCCGAAGGCTGGAGCGACAGCTTACCTGCCGGTAATCATCCCTTGAGGGACGACGAGTCAGCTGCGACAGTCAACGGCAAAGGACGCGAGTCACTTACCGCGCCCCAGAGGTGAGTAGGCGACGATCCCCACTCCCAGCTCTCGTGCCGTGTCGAGCACTCCGCTTGTTTCGATCTCCAATTCGAAGGGACTGTACTCCATTTGACAAGCGATGACCTTCTCTCCAATCCCCGGGACGGCCCTCGCGCGTCGTAGATGGTCCGCGCTGCATTCACTCAACCCAAGGTACTTGACCTTTCCGCTCTCAACATACGGACGGAGCGTCTCGAGCACCACTGAATGAAATCGACATTAATCAGGGCTCAAGGAAGAAGTATATGTTCCCTGACCTTCGATCGGGAGTGCACCATCAACGCGATGCTGATAGAGAAGATCGATGTAGTCCGTCTTGAGTTCGCGCAGCGACTTCTCCACCTGGTCCCGAATGTAGCCGGAGGTACCAGCAGGTATATCAGGGTCTCTACGACTGAACTTCGTCGCGAGGAATATTTCGGAGCGCCTGCCTGTCTGAGTGAACCAGTCGCCAATCACTTTCTCACCTGCATCGGCGCGTCAGCCGCCAATGTGCAGGATGGATCAGACGTATACGTACTCGCTCCGTAGATGTTCGCCGTGTCCCATAATGTCACCCCACGGTCCGCGGCATACTGGAGCAATGGGAGGGCTTGTTCGTCAGGAATACCGGATCCGTAGAAAGCACCAAGACCTGTTCTCTATAGATCAGTTCGTGAATATCTAAGCAGAGCAATCGAGGCAATCACCCATTGCCCCAAAGCCTATCGTACTGACAAAAGGGCCGTTGCGTCCGAGGCGACGAGTAGGGTAGTTAGTCTGAGACATGTTGTGAGTGGAGGGGTGCAATCGATCCTGTCAAGGTTCCTCGTCGCTGCTTGGCAGCTTATATACGACAGCGATGCCCCACTTTCAGCATTTGATGAGTCCCACTCTGCGCTCCGTCGCATTGAATTCGGGCCCAGTGGATTGTCATACTCCTAGGATGCCGATCCCTACGACAGGACACGGCCGCGGGCGCTATGTCGCGGTCGGTCAAGATCAAGCACCGACTCGGACCTGCGATGGCGTTAGCCACGACCTACGAAAACGGTCGGTAGGTGTGATAATCCGAGAACCGGGCTGCTTACATGGAGACGCAGCGCACTGGTAGCTGCTAACACAACTGTTTCAATCAACCTGCAAACGTTGACTGATCAACCTCCGTGATACATTCGTGACTACCCGCATGCCGTGTGCTTTTGAAACGACGTAAACAATTAGGGCGTCACAGCGTACTTCTTCGCGACTTCCCGGGAATTATCGAGGAGCCCAAAGTTCTCTTAGGAAGTTCTCGTGCGAGACACGAGGCAGCCAGGCGTAGATTCATAACGGGACTTGAAGCTTGAAGCTTCGCGAGGTTAGTAAGAGAGCCTTCACATGTACATGGAAGGGGTAGGATGACTCACCACACAGTCATCATACCTCGACCAAGAGGGGAGTAAGCAACGATACCGACTCCAAGCTCGAAAGAACTGTACTCCATCTAGCCAGCCACAACCTTCTCGTCGACGCCCGGAACGGCTCTGGCACGCTTGAGGTGGTCGATGCTGTTCTGCCTCAAGCGAATGTACCTGAATAAGCCAACGGACGGACGGAGGATTTCCATCACCATTGGAAAATGCAATCTGAATAAGTAAGCCTAGGCAAGTGTGAGGGCCAAAATCGTCGCCTACAATGGGAACCTCAGGATCGACACGATGCTGATAGTGCTGATCGGTCCATTCCGGTTGAATTTTCACCGAGTTATCAACTTGACGGCGCATGTAAGACTGCTTGCTGTTCGATTTGATGCTGTATGTGATCCCAGGAGAAAGGTCCCTCGCGTGCAGAGGAAATCTCGGAACGCCGCCCAGTCTCGAGATGGGCTCTTGACCTGCAAACGTCACTCAGTAATCAAACTAGTCGATGTCGAATAGGAGACTCACTGGTCCCATATACGTCGGCTATATCCCAGATAGCGACGCCACGGTCTGCTCGTCAGCCGGTCCGTATGCTATGGCGCCGATACCTGATAATGGAATGAGCTACGCATATCGATCACGGAGTCCGAGTAAGACTCACCCATGGAACCGAAGCCGATGACGCCGACGAAGGGATTGTTGCGGAACAGAGGTCGAGTCGGGTGTTTAAACATGAGGACTGAGAGGCAGTAGATCCTGAACGATGGGATGTACATAGCAATCCTCGCCGCGTCATCGTTTCTATGATCCCTCAACTGGAACTGTGATGCCCAATGCCTACTTGTTTACTCGCAATGTACATACACTACGTACCAACAAGTGACAGCGAGGGAGGGTTTCTGGCCAATGGGGCTCTTGCCGCACGCCTTGCTTTCGATTACGGACGCGCCGAACGTCCAAGCAATCCCGCAGCGGCGCCTGTGTGGACAATGAGCACTGAATGGCTGAGGACGCCATTGCTGCAATTTGGCAAAATCCTAGTAAGTGATCATTCGAGCGGAAGGTCCATACTATTCGTGCATACCTCGAAATTCACCTGTGGTGTGTGCTTCGATCGCGAGAGGCTCCCAACCGTATTGGCGCCCGTGACACGACATGCACGGGCAGTTGCATAAACCTTGACAGGCTTACATTTCGTAACTTCAGACAGTATAGCAATAGAACACTTTAAGAATACCCTTCAACACGCACTCAGACCGGCTTCAGTCACACTCAGCGGGAGAAGCGACTAGGCACGGTCATTGACATCGGTGAATGTCAACACACTGCACAGGACCACGATGATACCGTCCCAAGGGATCTATGCAACCCTCCGAAGCTTATTTCGGTGCTTCTTGTGGGTCTTCAATGCGATGTGAGCGACACGTACTAAGATAGAAACTGGTACTCTACTCACACCTGGCCCGCCGTCCTGATCAGCGCTTACTCTCCTTTCCACTCGCTCAGTGGTATACTGTCAAGACCTAGCATCTTGAGATAGAAGTCGGGATAACGTGAACCATGCATAGGAGTGGCGTCGACGGCAGTGCGGAGCTCTTTGACGTCTTCTGGCGACAAGACCACTTCTGCCGCCTTGGCGTTTTCTTCGAGATGCTCGACGCTCTTGGTGGAGATGACAGGGATGAAGTCGGGATGTTCGGCCAGGATCCATGCCAGCGCCGCTTGTCCAGGGGTCGCCCCGTACTTCTTTGCCACCTGTCGGAACTTCTCCACGAGCGGCAGGTTTTTGGATAGGTTCTCCGCAGACAGCCATGGCAAGAAAAATCCGCGAATGTCGCCCTCTCCGAAGTCTCTGTGGGATGTGTAGCTGCGAAAGTGTCAATGCGACTTGTTCATCAGCGATTCAACATCTACTTGCCGACCAGTGATCAGTCCTACGCGGGTGTTAGCGATTTGCAGCAGAGGACTCGTCTTCCGTGACTTACCTCTGCCAAGCGCGGAGTAGGCCGTTATGCCCACACTAGCATCGCGGGCAGCTGCTACGAAGCCAGACGTCTCAATCCCGCGTTCGAAAGGGCTAAACTCCATCTGGCAGGCTATGACCTTTTCGCCAATGCCGGGGAACGCTTTCGCTCGTCGGAGGTGATCAATACTACATTCGCTGAACCCGATGTATCTGATCCTGCCACTCTCCACAAAGGGCCTGAGTGTTTCTAGGACAACTGGAGCAAGAAGTTGCGTGAGCGCTGCGTCCGGACTAGGATCATGACTCTACCTTCGATAGGGACCTTAGGATCAACCCGATGTTGGTATATCAGGTCGATGTAATCTGTTCGGAGTTCTTTCAACGAGTTCTCAAGCTGCTGTCTGATGTAAGACGGTGTGCTTGTAGGGCCTCTCTTGTCCAGGTCTGCGGGCATCACGGCACCGAACTTCGTTGACAAAAATATCTCGGATCTTCTTCCGGTTTGGGTAAACCAAGAACCAATGGTGCGCTCAGCTATCGAGAGCCTTAGGTGTGAGCAACGATTAGAGGTACAATCACAATCACGTACTTGTCCCATATATGTCGGCAGTGTCCCAGAACGTGATGCCGCGGTCGGCTGCAGCGGTCAGCACGTCCATGACCTTGTCTTCGTTGCTCTTTCCGTAGAACCCGGCCAGCGCTGCAGACCTACGTTCAGGACGTTCGCAAATTGTAGCAAGAAAAGTGGAACATACATAGGACTCCCAGAGCGATTGTACTGACATGAGGGCCGCCTACGCCGAGCTGACGAGTCGGATATTTAGACAACGCCATTCCCAATCTCCGTCGTTGGTGGTGTCGTCCTCGTCCTAAGTAGGCAGCTATATATTGCTACGTTAGATACCTAACGGATGCACCAAAAGTGCGATCCCACTTGCTCTTCCGGTAAGCGACTCGCAATCAATGGCTTATACATGCGAGCGAGAGACTCCAGTTTCAGATGTCCGCTCAGAAGCAAGCAAGATTGCATGACGAGCTCTGTATGCAGGCTTCGAAAGGACGGTAGTCTTGGCGCATAGGTAACGACTCGCCGCGCGGCCCGTGCTTCGCGATACCATCTGAGCCGGCAAGTGAGGTAGTTTAGGTGTCCGCTACGCGGGCGAGAGCCCCGCAGTGTGTGCGGGTGGCATCTATCAAGGATATATGCCAATGAGAGGATATAGCCCCATGGATTGGTACAAAGGAAGCATGACAGCGTATTGCCTGAGGACCACTGTTTCTTCAGCAATAGTCATAAGAGAAGGCGATAGACTACTTACCGAGCCCTACTCAGTAGATCTACAAAGAGTCGAGATTGACAAGTCCCACGCAGTTATGTCTCCGATGCATAATCCCCGCACGCACCGTCTGCTGGGGCTGAGAGTCAAAGTCAGGACGGACAGCTTGTAGCGACCAGAGGGAGGTAGACCAGTCGAGGCACAGAGAGATTAAACATTCTGAGTCAGCGTCCGGGTCCGGACGAGCCCAGCCTCATCCTGCGACGCGCAGCTGGGAGTTTGAGTGCCGTTGCACGGGTCAAACATAGAGCCTATGCTGGGTCTCCGAGGCCGACAGTCACAGCGAGCAGAGAACGGGGAAGTGCGCACAGACCAGGAATTTGGTTGCATAGAGCCCTGGGAACGCGCAGGAGGTTGTACGCAGCAAGACGCCGTCTTCCGCCGCCCCGTTGGGACATCGCAGACGCGCAATGGCCGAGAGAAGATAGGCCTGGAAGCGTGTCTATCAGTCACTCGGTTTTGGGGTAGCTCTCTCGTGCGTGTGATGTTCACCATAGCGGCGTGCCATAGGGTGATCTCCAACTGTATTCAACGTCAATTTCAAAGAACGCATGGAGATGCAGGGCGAGGTAGTTGCACGCAACTCTAATTGATGGCAGCCTATGGACATCAGCTCAACTGACGGACGAGTCTACACTTGGCTCATACACTTACCTGGTAGACAGGCGGCCTTCGACATAATATGGCAACCCATAGAAGTCGACCATGCGGCGCTGTCGCTGCCTATCAGCTTTTATCCCGCGGACAAACTTCTTTTGGAGGGTCGACTGGGCTCTCGAGTTCAATACTTCGCGGAATCCTCCGCATGAGAAGCGTCAGTCTGGAGGATCGCCGTACAGGTCGATTCGGCCTCAGCTCTGGCATACGGTTGTACTTGCGGGCCTACGGTGGCATTTGTTCCGTTCATGGTACATTCGAGTGAACTGACCAAAAGGAGTGTCAGAGGAAGTATGCCTTCTAGGAAGTCAGAAGCTAATGTAGTCACTTACGACTCGACATGGTTCCCCATCTAGGCAGGAACGCGAGCTACACATTGGCTTGCTATGATACCCTCGAAAAGTCGAGGCAAGTCCTAGATATCTCAGCAAGAGGCAAGTAGCATGCGTTCATCGCCCGTTTCCGTGAAGGCGGTCAAAAATACATATTGGTGTGACGGTGAAGACCTGAAGTTCAGTGAACCACAATTGTCATTGACAAGTTAACGAACGTCCCGGACACTCGCGGATGAACGCACCATCGTAACTTCCGTGTTCGAAGGGAGGCAACTTGAACGTGCGCCGCTATCGCCAGCGTCGCAGTCGATGCCAACGCTGGCGGCGAAAACGATCTGGGACCGCCATCACGTGACCTGACGCGTCGCGACGCGTCTCTTTCGCTGGCGCCCCTATTATAATTCAGTGTTCCCAAATGTTCATGAGGCTTGGCTCGCGGTACCGCATCTTACATAAGAACTTACGATGGGATATATTTTTATCTCCAGATTCTCCACGTTCTTTAATCATTTCTGCTCCTCCTGTATCGCTCTTCCATCAACTTGAAGCTGTCCCGTGTCAATCTCCTGTTGCATACATGGTTAGCTCAAAGGTTATAGTGCGTTCGAAATCTATGGAACGTTCGGAAAAGCGGATACGGATACGCTATGCATAGGGGACCCAGGAACGGTGTCCCGCCTGTCATCAATCCTGCTACCTATCGGCCTCCGAGGTATTCGGAGTAGCCATGACATCAGCCATAGCAGAGAAGTGGCACAGACTTCAAGCGAACCATATAGAATTGCCCCACAGAGTTGTCCACCAATCCTCATCGTCATGCATATCAGAGGGCGGTTTAGCTCTGATCCTGTACGCCTTCTCTCCCGCTCTCATGGCTTGCATCATTCCGCAAACGAGAGGGGCACGCATCGCACACAGGGAGGCTCGGGACGGCTCAGTCAGGAGGCATGTCCCATTCCGGAAGAGGTTCGGCGCCGCGCGGGAGGGCAGGGCCCCGAACTTAGGATTTTGACTAGCGCAGTGCGCCCGCCACGCCCCCTGAACGGAGCCGATCGCAATGTAAGATCGCTATCTCACTTATGACGGATCGGGACGCGCTGACGCATTCCCGTTCCGATCTGGGCGGATTCGGGGTCCAAGCTCAAGGGTCGCGTATGCCAGATGGTCACGTATGATGGGCAGACGTGATATGTCGAGACTTGATGACTTGTGCCTACGTATGGCGTGGGTTCCGCGTCTGTTCGGTCTCCGCTCATTGTGGTAGACTCACATTGCACAAAGAATAACAGCATGCGATTGTCCTCATTAGGCAGTATGGTAATGATGCGTGAGCACCACACTGTCTTCCATCTCCTCAATTATGCGAAGACGACGCAGATGATCCGCCTCCGCGCCGGGACTGTACACGTACGAATGACTGCGAATTATTAACCAGCTGACGAAGACTGCACAGACATTATCAGTACATACAATCACTGCAACCCACCACCACGTTCCCTCAGTACCAATCCCATCCACCTCGCGCACCAGGCCCAGCGACACGCCTAGATCGACTCAGGTCCAGACTCTGCCCTCCTGACGCATCTCGATAGGGCGGTATACGCACCGCCAACGCGATTCCGGGGTGCTTGGACAACCGGGTCTTGACCGGGTCTGTCCGTAGCTGTATTCCTAAGGCACTGAATGGGGGTGGATCCGTTAACTCGGAAGAGGGGTTGTTGATGATGGTACCGTCGTGGTGGTTGCTGCGAGACGGGGAAGGGTTCTACAGAACAACGATACGAAGTGGGGCCCAGAGCACAGAGCAGGGCGTAAGAAGGACAAGATGACAATTGGGAATGCACGCGCAAGTCATATATCAGTTGACAAAGCCGAGCGATGTATGTAGCAACCCACACACCGTCGCACGACGACAATCAACACCTCTAGCAGTGAGACCCCCGTAGGCAGATCTGGCCAGCCCAGGAATGAAAAACATTACGTGACGCCAGGGCCAAGCGAGCACGATCGAAATGTGGGGAACCCTCGCTCGGATGCAGAAGGAGCGACCAGGAGGTCCCTCTGAAGGGGCAACGATCTGATCAGAACAAGGAGATGCGTCAGTCTTTCGAGACGTCGTGGTGGCACACCCTCGAGATCGGAGGTGGCTGAACTGAGCAGCCTCGCGGGTTGTACCTACACGTATGGTCCACCGTCTTCCCGAATGACAAGAGAGACGTAGACGACAACGGGGGACAAGGACGGCTGCGTCTACACTGGTCCAAGGTACCCCCGGCATCCTGATTCCTGACAGCCTCGATCGGACCAGACACTCTCAGCGCACCTCTGGGCCATGACCACCGGTTCGTGCGCTACGGCATTCGTGTTGAAGCACATACCCGGAGGGACACGGATTTGGATGTTGGATCCGTGCGAGGTAGCACCGGCATTGACAGCGCAGCCGTGGTCCGAGAGCGCACGCCCATTTCGGAGACAGTGCGCGCGGTGAGGATGGGGATGAGGTGGAAGGTGCACGTGGAGGATGGCCGGCGACTGGGCGGGTACTGTACCAGGTGCAAGGTGTGCATGTTTTGGCGCTCCGTGGGGATGATGATGCTGTGGGTGAACGTTTAAACGATCATACAGCTGAGGATGCAAAAGCAACGGATATGTAGACTGAGATATCGATAGGCTCAGCAGTGTACAGCTTTGCGTCGGTGTGTACCGTACCAAGTATATCCAGGCTTCTACCTCAAGAGTATGTCTCCTGAGTACAAGGAAGCGTATGGTATCCACCATTGCGAAGGAACACAGTCAAGCAGTCTTTCATAAGTTACCCAGGTCCCACCAAGTGGAAGTCGAACGCGCAGTGGGATAGCCAAACGCAGATGATCGTCACTCCATACAGCACTAGCAGTAGCGTCGGCGATAAGAACACGAGAAACGCCGAGTCGAACCGTTCTGGAGAACATCATCTCCACAACCAGGACCGACGTGAACACGAGACCCATCAACGAGCGTGCATGTCGAGACGTCATGGCGAAACATCATTGATGCAACGCCAGGGAAGGACATATGTTGGTGCAACATACGCACGATGTAACGTTGGAACGAGCCTATATGTATTTGCACAAAGTCAGGCGCGAAGACCCGACGTCGTCCAAGCCTGATCCAAAAATACACAGTCGCTCGCATTGCGTCGTGTGCTGCGCCGATGCTCAACGTCAACCCTTCCGTGTGCCGCCGGCAGCTTCGCGACTATCTCGAGCGGACCACGAGAACCTTCTCATACCGCAGACGGCGAAGAGCGTGAAGAGTCCATGGCGTCGACGGGATGAGTATGGGATTAGCTAGCCCTCGTGCCCGAGGCAGACGCTTCATTGCTTGTATCCTTCGCGAACCTTCGCTGGCTTGGGAATGCAGCCCAGGAATGGCCTGCGTGGGATGACGGACGCAATACATCAGCGAGCATCATCATCTGCTACCGCATACAATACCGTCATGGTAAGGGACGGTGTTTGGGAGGCGGGAAGCCCAGAACGCGCGAAGAACAGCCATGAGAATGCGCGAAGCCTGGGGTTCGGAGAAGCGGAACACGAAGAAGCGTTCCGGATTGCACAAGTGGGCCGTTGAATGCGCGCGAGCCTGAGATCCGCCACGTCGCGGACGGTCACGCGCACACCCGTAGCACGTAGCGCGTAGAGCGCAGATGGCCAGTCAACCGACCAGTGGAAGCGGGAGACGCAGCGCGTACTGTATACACCCAGCACGAGAGCATCGTGACCCCAGAGCGATGCTGTCGAAGAATCCAGCAGAGGCTTAGCGTCGATGTCGGTGGTGCCGTAACGCCGCAGCCGCGCGCTGAGTACTGAGTTCCGATTTCTAATTCTGTATGTATCGCATCTGCCGTCGACCTGCGTTGGACAAAGAGCTTGACAGAAGAACGCCGAGCAGCCCAGCGCAGATTCCCGGGAGGTCTGAGGACGTTGCGCAATCTCCCCACGCACCCTGCAGGGACTCCCGAGGAAGGCCCTTATGAACCAGCGAGTCCGCGCGCCTCGGCGTCGTATGCCACCGCCAGTGCGCCTGGGGACGCGCCTAACCTTGTGGCCGCATCCTGATGGGCCGTATTGCGCGCGATTGGTAGCATGCCTGCGTGATGAGCGGCGCCGTTGACGCTGCGAGGTGCCGTAGGGATGCCAGCATAGAACAGAACTGCGTAGTGGTTCCTAGCACGCCATGGCCGTCAGCGACAGGAAAACGCGCCACAGGTGGTGGTACCGGCGCAGCGAGGGACCGACCCCATATTGAATGTTGCCAAATTGGTGAGTAGCGTGGGGGGACCAATCCGCGCAGAGGCTTGGAGCCCGGGACGGTGGCGATTGACTTCAGTCTGCAGCATGGGCCTGACCAGGTTCGCGGACGCGAAGGAAGCTAGCAGTAGGTCACAGCCAATACAGCTAGCATACTGCAGCCCCCGTATCCCGCGACATGGACGTCTGTTGACTTTACTTGAATGGCCGTATCCGCCCGCCGCAGTGGGCGTGAACGACCCGGCGACGCTCGCTAGCTGTATACGTAGCTCGATCGAATCCTGCTGGAAGGTCCAGCTGTATCGCATCGTCGACGTCGACAGAGTCAGCAGGTGCGTAACGTCTCCTGGGCTGCTGGTACGCTGGATGGGGCAGAGTGTGCGCTACCATCGAGATCGCGACGCCCCGTGGTCGGTCAGCCGCCTCGGCGGTTGGAGCGCCTCACATTCGCGGCCAGGCTGACGGTAAAACGAATGGTTGGATAGCTAGGATGCCAGTTGCCCGGGGGCTGAGACCTCTTCCTCAGTGCACTGGCGTGCCGAAATGCAGACTGTCGGCGGCGCATGAACTTGCAGAGTGAAGGGACACCCCACCGGATCCTGATAGTCGCACGAGTGAAGAGGAGACCTGCGGTACTTGTGAGGAGCATCGAAGAATGCGGAACGATATAACTATAGAGCAAGGGACGCACCGCGCATGGGCATCGTCGCGACGTGGACGCGTTGACGACGTGCAGCGCGGGTCGACGCGACAGCCTGCTTACCTTCGCGGCGTGGACACGTTGGCTTCCCAAATACGGGCGAATGAGATGCGATTGCGCGGAAGGCTATCTGGGAGAAGGATTCGGAGAAGGCGCGGGGGTGGCGCAGGACGATCATGGGCGGGAAGCTTGTCAGCATGGCGGCGCGGAGCGTGCACCGAACGAGAAGCCAGGGCGCGGGATAGCGCCATGCTCGCCGGGGCCGGCTCGGGGCGGTGGACCCTGTCGGCGACGACTCGGCGTGCTAGTCTGCTGCGATGGCGTGGAGAGTGGTGGATCCGCTGACTTCTCGTCCTGATGTCGTGGCGTCGTTGCTAGGGGTTGACGCTGATGCGTTCGGACGCGTCACTGCCCTGATGGGCGCGCGGTACCGAGAGAGGAGGGCGCGATACGCAGCGGGCGAGCGCGCAAGGGGCGGGTGACTGGGCTGGGGGCGGCTGGGCGGGCGAGGGAGAGCCTCGTGCAACGGTGAGGATGACGGTTTGATGGGGATCCGAGGCGGACGATAAACGGAGGCTGACGGGCGAGGCCAGGAATGGAGTGCGGGGCCCGAACGGGGGGATTGCAAATTAGCACAGCGGACGATCGGCAAACCGCGATTGGCTGGTGATGGGGCTGGCGGGCCAGGGGGGCGGAGGCGCGGGGGCTGGTGGCTGGGATGGAGGTCATGCGCGCGCGGGTGGGAGCGAAGAAGGGCGCGGCGTGCCGTACACAGGGCAACGAGGCTCACAGAAGCTCGCGCTGGAGGCTGCTGGAGGCTGTCCCACCGGCCAGCCACCCGCCAGGATGCGAAGGCGCGCACCGGCAGCCTGGATCCTGCGCGCGCTGGAGGCGGACGGTCACGTGGAGATAAGCACATCTCAGATCCCTCTTGAATGCGGTTATGGGCGCCTAGGCGGGTCGGGGCTCGCCATATTCAACACAGGCCACAAAGGCCGCTGCGTCCTCATCACTCCCCTACCCTGCCCGACCTCCTCCATGTCCTCCGCCGCCGCCCCTCCGCCCGCCCCCGCCGTCCCCAACCTCGACGACCCCGCCCACGTCCACGGCCTCGCCTACGCCCCCGACTTCCTCGACGCCCTCCCCGTCCTCCACCCCCGCCCCCCGCCACACCAGCCCGTCCGCGCACTCGGCGCCGCCCAGTTCTCGCGCGTGCATCTCGACTACGTCACGACCCACGCGCCAGACGGTGTTCTCTTTCCCTTCCTCCACGGCCTCGAGGGCGACAACCAGCAGCAGAATGGCTTCTTCGCAGCTTCTCCGCAGGCGCACACCGTGCCGCGCTTCCGCGGCCTCGTTTGGGTCGCCTGTGATGACGACGTGAACATGCTTCCCAGCCCGACCTCGAGCCCTGATCCGGACACGGACGACGACATTGACGACGATTCCTCGAGTACGTCTTCGCTCGACAGCCTCGGGACCATGTCCATGGACATCGACGTCGACGTCTCTCCGAGCACGCCCATGGAGCTCGACTCGACGTTCACAGACTCGATCTCCGACAACTCTGCCAGCCCCAGCGCGAAACTGGAAGAGAAGCCACTCCCGTCCGCCCTCGACTCGCCACCTCACCTAGCAGCACCCTCGCTCTCTGGTCGTGCGCGGTACCCGCCATATACAGCCCCCGCCGTGCTCACCTCAAGCTTTCGCCCGCGCGAGCTCTTGCACCTCCGGACAAACGAAGACGGCACCCTCTCGTGCGCGTTCGTCGAACCGCGCGTGCCGGACGGGATCAGCCTGCGCAACTTTGGTATCCAGGTGGTGAGTAGCTTCCTTTGGCCCCATATGACCACGTCTTCCGTGTCTTGTTACATTGCTCCGGCTTGTCAAGTTCGTTGCCAGCTTCGCGCTTCCTTTGTCCCCGGCCATTGTCCGCCTCCCGCGGCATAGGCGCCTGTGGGATGCGTCTGCGCGACAGCTTCCGCGGCGCGTGAGGCAAGGCGTGATCTGCGCTCGCCCAATCCGTTCGCATCCGTCGCCGGGCCACTGGCGTCCTTATCTTGCTGCCACCATCTGGAGTACGCCCAGTGCCACTTTGTGATAGACATTCGCGCCCCACTTCGCTGGGCTCTCTTCACCGCTACGGGCGTGGTGGCGCCGACGGGGATGGTCTAGCGGTGGTCTCGCTGTGCAGCACGCTGCAGACGCAGTGGCGACTCTGCACTAGTGCGAGGGGACGAGATATGGGGTCGTGCGCGGGATGCAGAGGCCCGGCTGATGTCATCCTTCTCCCATGATGTGCGTGCAGAAGTGGTGTTGCGTGATGCGAGCTGTAGCTGAGTGCTGCGAGGAAGTCGACGACGTCTGCGTGTACATTGACCGGTCGCAGGAAGCGCGCCTGGCTGGCTCGCACACCCATTCAGTCGTGCTGCGTACGTTGGGAGAACCGCTGATCTTGCTGGTCGGTGTGGGTGTGAGAGTCAGTTAGCCTAACTTCTGCGTTCGGTGCCGGTCAGGTGGCCGGTGGGCGTGGGCGGGGCGTGGCGAAGTCGAATGGCCGAAGTCCCGTCTGCACCTTCTTGCAGGCTCCGTGCGTTCGGTTGACGAGAGCACACGAGGCGGATTTGGCTTCCTCGATGCTGACATCCGGTGGCGCGCTGTGGATAGCCTCCCAGTGCGCGCTCGGACGTATTGTGCCGTGCCATGAATACAACTGTTATCGAATGGATGCTGATGATGGTTCCTTCCGCAGCCAATCTATGCCACCCTCTCTGATGTCGTCGTCTACTCGCCGAAGGGTGACACCCGTGCCGCCCTTGCGCTTGCGGAGAAGTTCAAGGAAGCAATTGAGGCCAAGCGGGCGGAACGCAGCGTGCGGTATGGATGCTCGATGGATGCACTCGTCGCGTACAATGTCTTCGTGCTCGACGCGAGCCCAGCCGAGATGGCGAAGGCCCTGCCGCATCTGCTAGTCCGTATCGCGGACGTGCCACTTGCGCACACGGACGGGACGGACGCGCACACCGAAGGCGAGCCAAGAGACGCACAGTCGGAGGTCGAGTACCGAAACCGCTTGTTCAGTGTCAACACGGTCGACTTTGCGAGGCGAGAGAAGGAGGAGATGCGCGACCTCACGCAAGCGTCGGAGATTATCACGATCGCCGACCCAGAGATGTATGCGGAGTCAAAGGCGGAAATGGACGCGCTTTCTGGCTCGACGCCCGCTACCCGATGGAACCCAGCTGTCGGCCAGATCTTCCTGGGTAACGTGAACGATGTGCCGATCCCGCCTGATCGTCGACTCCGCGCGCGTCGCGCGAGATCGGTGGCATCGCCCTACGGAGACGAAGAAGAGGACGATGGCGACGAAGTGTTCGACTGGAGGACGAACGACCCTGCGCATGGGCTTGGCTACGATATCTGCATCGATTGCCAGGACTTCGCGTCTTTCCCGACCGCCGCGCATGTCAAAGCGGCCGAGGAGCATATTGAGGCGCTAGAGAGACGATGGGTCGAGCGATGTGTCGTCGAGCTCGGGCATGTCTCCCAGAAGGACGCAGAGCAGATGTGCATCCCGCTGCGCCCGCCACCGAGCGCGAACGCGATCATCCACCTCCCGTTCCCAAGCTCGCCCACGAACACGCCTGGCTCGATGAACGCGTTGGTGCCGTTCATGCAGTTCCTCGAGTCCCTGCTCCAGCCTCCGCCCTCGATGACCCTTGCGCAGGCGAGGGCGCTTGTGAACCCACCGCCGATCGAGACGTTCCCGTCGAGCTTGGCTGGGCACCGGCGCGCGTCGACGTCGGGTTTCCACCCTAGTTCGCTCCCGCCTCCGAGCTCGTTCCCTGCGTCGTTCTTCCCCACGTCGCCTGTCCCGTCCGCATACACGCGGGCTCGCTCGACCTCTGCCACATTCCTGCCTCCATCGCCGCCATCGTCCAGCGCGTCGACCTCCTCGTCTGCTATCTCGTCGCCTGCCCCATCCCTCTCGTCGTCTGTTGCCACCTCTGCGACATCTGTGTCGACGGAGACCACCCCGCTGCCTGCGTCGTTCCACACGCGCCCGATCAAGATCCTCATCTTCTCCGCAGACGGGTACACGGAGTCGAGTGTGCTCGCGCTCACGCTGCTGATGGCGTGGCGCAAGCTCTCGCTGCCCGAGGCGTACCTCTGTCTGCAGAACGAGAAGCGGAGGTCGTTCTTCGTGTACACCGCGGACGTCCCCATGCTAAAGCGGATCGAGACGAGGATCGAGAGGGAGCGCGAGAGGGGGTGGGAGAGCATGGGGCCCGGGATCTTCCTTGGGTTCGAGAAGAAGCAGGAGGAGAGCGTCGAGGAGGTTCAGAGTCCGCTGGATCCCGAGAACTTCGGCGAGATTGCGCACAACGAGTTTGCTCCCCTCAGGCCGATGGCGGCGAAGTCGGTCTCGTTCGCGATCCCGCCGGCTCCGCAGCCGGCGATGACCGCTGTGACTGTGCGACCTCTGAGGACGCAGTCCGTGTCGGATACGGGACCGCTGCAGGGCGAGAAGGACGCGAGTGGGAGGCCGAGAGCGAGCACGATGCCTGCGCCGCGTTCGCCACTGCCGTCAGGACGCGACCACCACGTATGGTTTAACGACCCGAGGTTCGACGGGAGCTTCCCGAGTCGAGTGCTGCCGTTCTTGTACTTGGGCAACCTGTGCGTGCTTCCATTCCGTTCATTCTCAGTGTGCATTGTTGACGTTGGAATGATCATTCAACAGGAATCATGCTACGAACGCGTACATGCTTCATGCGCTTGGGATCACGCACGTCGTGTCCGTTGGCGAGTGCGCGTTGGTCCCTCCGCCGAATCTGGAAGCCTCTGCTTCCGCGCCGTCGTGTTCGTATACGGGCCCGTCGTCACATGCGCAGTTCATCCCTGGGAATGGTCCGCGTGGCCAAGGCTCGCTGTGGATCGAGGAGCGCGAGGGTCGCATCAAGGTGCTCGACATCAAGGGCGTATGCGACGACGGCATCGACACCCTCGAGCCCCAGCTCGGGCCTATCTGTGAGTGGATCGACCGGGCGAGGGAAGAGGGCGGCAAGGTGCTCGTACACTGCCGTGTGGGCGTATCGCGTAGCGCGACTGTCACGGTGAGTCGTGGCGTTGAATGTTCGTATGCGTCGATCAGTCAACTGACGCATTTTCTAGATCGCATACGTGATGAAGCACTTGTCCCTGCCACTCGTCGATGCGTACCTCATTGTGCGCTCGCGCCGTCTATCGGTCCTCATCCAGCCGAATATGAGGTTGCTGTATAACCTCCTCGGTTGGGAAGTCAAGCTCGCTCGCAAACGTGCGGGCGACGACGTTGACAAGCTTCGCGTTGAGCTCGCTCGCTGTCTGAACTGGCCATACCTCGCCAAGGAAGTGCACCTGCTCAACCAGAAGTACCTTCAATAAGGCTTTCTGCTATTACTCGTCCCTTTCGCCGCGGAAGGTCTTTCGGACGTGTTTGTCCTGTTGTACCATGGACTCGACTTTCATTATGTAGATACCCTCTTCCGGCTGGCAAAACCGACCCATCATCGCTCGCCCGGCACGCTTGTCCATCAGCAGCACCCCACGCAAACTGTATCATATTGTAGCAAGTCCCGGTCCCGAGTATCATACCACGCTCCAGTCTTCTGTGCATTCACCTCCACTCCTTCTGTACCACCCATCGGCTGCGTTCTGGATCCACTGGCATCACCACCCCCATCTCCGTTTCATGTTCGCGTCTCGTCGTCGTCGCCGGTCTGCCTGGGTCGAACTGCGTTTGTGTGTACTTGTACTGTATCGAACTAGATGCGTATACGCTCGCTTTTTAGTCTGCGGTTCGGATGTACTTATGTACTTGCATCGTATCGTACGGTATAGCCTCACGTAAATTCAAGTGTATGTGTGCATACTCCTATTTCAATTTGGCCGGGTGTAGATTGGCTTTGGCGCTTACGTGGTGGCAAACGTTTCAACGACCGCTCGTCATGCACATGCTGCCGCGGCTCTCTTGTGTTCGAAATGTCACCAGCTACTCTCCCAGTCAAGCTAGTCAAGCTTCAAGCTTCAGCTTCGGGTCTCACACCATCCTAGGCATTCGTGCGACGTCGACCGGATAGCGTATACCAATGACGGGCTGTGTTTCTGATGACTGACCGAACAATCGTCCTCACAGGCTGTCACAGCAGTCTCCCGCATCGGGACGCGTGCAATGGACTCGACGCTAGCAGAGGCAAGGGCAGCTTGCATACATGAACATCTGACGCACGTCGTTCAAACGACGTTCAAATACACAGCATTGCGCGATTGTTGTCGATGTCATTAGTAACACCGCGGGCAAACCAGGTTTTTCGGGCTCCGAAGATGCCAATAACATCGGTCCTCCATGGGAACCTTTTCGGAGAGCTTGACTGACTCCGAAAATGCTCCTACATTTCTCATGTTCGTAGCATGTTCGCCGAAAACACGCATGTTCGGCCTCCGAACATGCTGAAATCGGCTGAAACGCATCATGTTCGCAGCATGTTCTGACAATATTCGGAGTCCGTAAAGGTTCCCAGGCGGGACCGATGTTCGTAGGGGTTTTCGGAGTTCGAACAACCTGGTTTGCCCGCGGTGTAAGAGGTTTCCATCGTGCATGCTACGCTAGTAGTAGTACTGATCTCCACCGTCACTTAGCTACTCAACACAACTCTACATCTGTACGCGACGCCGAGGGATGCACCGAGGTTTGTCAGCTAGAACTCTGCGCCTGCGTTTGTAAGCAAGGCGTTGTCCCCTGAGCTAAGGTTCGCTGTATGTAGATACGTGATTGTCACGTACTGGGCACCACTTACATGCTCATAGCCCAGACCTGTGGACGCCTAGATGATGTCCATACATTGTGCTGATTCATCCTGGTACTGCGTATTGGGCGAATCGCCCAGGAGAGGACGGAGGATAAATAGGCAGTGAGTTCTGATATGTACTACGTATCCATAGCAGCTCCCTCACCGCTCCAGCTGCAGATTGAACGAAACAAGATGTCTGTAATTCCGACGATACAGAAAGCACTCGTCCTCCCCGCGAAGTACGCGGAATACGCTGTCCGCACTGTCCCCGTGCCGAGGCCCGGTCCAGGACGGCTACTCATCAAGGTCCGCGCCGTCGCGCTCAACCCCGTCGACTGGAAGATCCAGAAGAACGGAATCCTCTACCATGAGTTTCCCGCTATTGCGGGCTCGGACATTGCAGGAACGGTGGAAGAGGTCGGCGAGGGCGTGCAGGGTTTTGCTCTCGGGGACAGAGTGTAGGTTGCTTCTGGGCTCGTAAGGAATCATGTATGTTGATAGGCTCGCCCTTAGCATCGAACAAGGTGCCTTTACAATCCCTACTTCAGGATTTCAGCAATATGCCGTCGCGAACCCAGCTGTGACAGCGAAGGTGCAGTCGTCTGCTTGTCCACTCAATGACTTGGCCGCTCACGGATCTCTTAGATACCTGACGGCCTCTCCTTTGAGCAAGGGGCGACTATCCCCGTGGGTCTGATCACCGCGGCTCTCGGTCTTTATACACGCGGTCTCCCTCCGGGTAAGGAACTCGACCATGGTAGTGCAGGTCTGCAGGCACCTTGGGAAGAAGGCGGGCGAGGAAAGTACACGGGAAAGCCGTTCTTTGTCTTCGGTGCTGCGAGTTCAGTAGGACAATTTGGTACGTGAAATGTGTACCGTCTTTCAGTTGACCCACGCTGAGCGAGCAACACCACGCATCGTATAGTCGTTCAGCTAGCTCGGCTCTCGGGCTTCTCGCCCATCATCGCGACCGCCTCTCCGCACAACGCAGACTTCCTCCGCTCCCTGGGCGTGACTCACGTCTTGGACCGCAAGCTCTCACTCGAGCAGCTCCGGGCTGAGATCGCCAAGATCACGAAGGAGCCGCTGGATGTCATTTACGACGCCGTCTCCCTTCCTGAGACACAGCTGGCCGCATACGAGCTGCTGGAGCCTGGAGGGACCCTAGTGCTGGTCCTTTACTCCGCTATCCCAGCGGAGAAGCTTGCGTCCGAGCCCAAGAAGCGCGTGGTGAAGGCGTATGGCCAGGCGAACTTCCCGCAGGAGAACCTTGCCGTTGCTGCAGTACTGTACAAGCATCTGACGGCTTGGTTGGAAGAAGGGGCGATCAAGGTGAGGCACGACTGCGCTTGTTGAGTCGACGGGGAGCTGATTGTTGCTCGTGTTACGTCACTGAAGCCCAACCGCGTCGAGGTACTTCCGGGTGGCTTGGAGGGTATCCCCGAGGGGCTGGAGAGGCTGAGGACGGATCGTGTGAGCGGCGTGAAATTGGTTGCGCGTCCTCAGGAGACAGCTTGACCTCACTAGCCAAGCATGTCGAGTTCACCAACCATTTTGTGTATGAACTGCCATGCGCTTTTGGGCGCATGCGATCGCGTTGAATACGAAGGCCTATATGTTGTCTGTCGGTATTGAGCACGGAAGCCTGAGCGCTCAGACGCCGCGCTCTAGCGGCGAAAGCAGTATACGTAGCTGTCGGATTCGGCAGCGCACATTGTCAAGCGAGTACATATTGGAATCTACGCAATCAAGCGAGCCTTTGGGTTGCGCAACACGTTGATAGTCATTAACGCGGAGTTGTTTTGTATCCTGAATCCCGCCTGCCTATATCGACTCGGATATCCCAGCCTATTAATCGTAGTTCAGCCTTCATGTTTCCCTTGTGGACACCAAGGGCCACGTCGCGTCGTTACCAATTTGCTGCATACTCCGAACGATGAACGGTGAACGAGCATGGGCGTAGAGCTCTGAAGAGGCTTCCTGTCAAATGTGCGCTAAGTGACAGGCAGTCACGTCTCAGTAGAGCGTGACATGCGAGCGTACAGCAGTGGCTGCCAGTGTCGCGGCTGATTCGAACTCGGGCTATCTTAAGCTGTGCTGCTGTTCATCTACCGAATACTTCAGAGTAATCTTGCGCCGTGGTTCCCCAGTCGCAGGGTCAGACTACCGGAGACGATGGAGACTGAAATTGACACGTAAGTCACTTCGGACTGATCGTTGGACGTCTCGTAGTTTCTCAGTTTGCCACAGCTTCCGCCACTTGAACACCGATGTTCTTCTGCAGGTGTTCGAGCACCTACGGCCTGACCGCGACTTGCGCTCATTGTCCATGTCGTGCCGATGGATCCGACAAGAAAGTATGGATGTACTCTTCCGAAGCTGTTTAGTCATCGTGAAGGAGCCGCTTTGCGCTGAGCGATTCCTTCCGCAATCTCTGTGGCCCTACGTTTGGTGCGTGGTCTGGACAGATCGACGTATACATTCATTCAACTGACAAACATATGTGCTTCAGTCATTTATCTCTGAGAGACGATTGCCCTGACAAATGCGCCATGAGCCCTCTGCGACATCGTAGACATGAGCTCCGGTTCACCGAGGACCCTTTGCTTTGTGGCACTATGGATCCCAGGTTCCTCAAGACCACGCTGCAGGCCATGCCTCGCATACGTTCGCTCTACCTGGCCTTCTGGTACCGGGAGATACACGGGATCGGGTGGGATAACTTGGAAGCTATCCTTTCGACGCCGCTGCTCCGCAGTGTCACGGTGGAGCAGTTTCTTTTCAGTCCGCGACAGGCACCAATGATAGAGAGTATCGAGCGTATTGCCCCGCTCACGACGTTCCGATTCAAACATCGCGTCATCCGCGGGGAACTTCGTGATTACCCGATCCAGGAAGCCACACTTGGGCTGGTCATCGGGAAGCTGCGGCATACTCTGGAGTCCCTTCTACTTCCGAGCGAAGTAACGCCCTTCAGAGCCCTAGCGAGTAATCAGTGGCCTCGCCTCAGGGAACTCCACCTCATGGGTGAGATCCATTCGGGTCCAGACATTCCTATCCCATTCGTGACCCTGTTTTCCGGAATGCCCAAGCTGCGCACCCTGAAACTGCAGCTTGCTCTTCCTTGGGGCATCGATCGTCAGATTCTACAGCTATGGCCGAAGGACTACGAGGCACAATTCCCGTGGCAAGAACTCGATGATCTCACTATGTCATTCCCATGCTCCGAGGATCAGATCTACTCCCGCCTTCCCCGGACCATGCAACGCCTCTCGTTACGCTGCACCCCGTATTATCACTTCAGTTCATGGCGACGGCATCCCCTCTTGGTCGCTTCAGCAATGCTGGAGATTCTCTCGAAGGTTGACACGCCGTCCCTGAAACATCTTGAACTCGAGTATCGCGCAGACGCTGCGGAAAATGACCTCTTGCTCTGCTTAACCCAAAAGTTTCCTCGGCTGACATCTTTGGAGATACATCGCTTCCTGCCATTCGGCGGCGGCGGCCTGACCTTTGTGAGTTGGCGCCTGATCATCACGCTTGTGGGTAGACTTTGAGCACTTCCGAACAGAGTGACATTGCGCTGCGGGTAGCAAAGCTCAAAAGCCTGCTCACGCTGCGAGCTTACTTGGACCCTGGCGAGCCTACTGAGTTTACAATGCTAGAGCAGACTGCGGCGACTCTAGCCTCCAAACTCGCGCGCCCAGACTTCAAATTGTGGCTATTGCGCATGAACGGCAGTAGTGGCCGTTGGTACCCCTTTTGCCTAGCAGCTGAACAAAACACTGATCAGGAAGCACGAGCGGAGATTGACCTGTCGAACAATAAAGTAAATACGTTGGTCAGGTGTTTATCCTCGCTTTCGCTGACCTTTTTGTCAAGGGCAAGGGAATCGCAGCTAGCCTTTTTGAAGAATGATTATGAGCTTCTTGGTCAGGCTGTCGATCAATCTTGCCTTACTTTCCACGAGACTTTGTCTTCAGGTACTACCCGGCTTCGCGAAACAGACGAAGAGCTCGGCGTAGCCTGAGGGTGCACGCAGTAATGTATATTACCTTCTATGTTATCGAGTGCAATCGGTACTACGAAAGGCACTTGCCGATGGCAGAAGAGAAATTGTGTGCGTTTTGGTAAGACTCATGTTCCGATTGCAGTGATTTCATCAACTGACTGATGCTTCTAGGATCTCTGAATTCTTGTTAGCTTCTCAGCGTCCTGAGGGTGCACGCAGTAATGTGTATACCTTCTATGTTATCATGTGCAATCGGTACTACAAATTGCACTGTTGTTCTGTTGTCGAAGGAGAATTGTGTGTGTTTTGGTAAGACTCATGTTCCGATTGCAGTGATTTCATCAACCGATTGATGCTTCTAGGATATCTGGTTTCTTGTTAGCGTCTCAGGGACGTTGTGTCACCGGTGGAGGAGTGCGACACCTTGCGACTGGACGGCGTGGCTGGCATGCGTGGCATCTGGACGCGTGAGTTACTTGAACCGCTAGCCGGCAACAGAAATTTTCTCATCTTGAGCAAACCTTCTAGAACTCATGTGTAGGTCGTTGTATTCATACCATGATCATGGTAACGTATTGCTACAGTTCACCTGACATCCGAGAGGTCCCGGCTTGTGAGTGCCAGGTGGACACCGTGGTGCAGAGATAAGAGCCAAGGCGACAATCCGGGACTGTCGCGGTATTGTCGCTCATAGATGTGATATACGAGGATTAGATGGCTGACTACCTACTGTGTCAGGAAACTCGGCGCTGGCAGTCAAGTTCTCATAAAAGGGCGGACGAAGAGGCCATTGAGCGTCAGCCCTTGACTCCATCGACAGCAATGGATGCTAGCGCTACCTATTCTCATGGCTGTCATGACAATGCAAACGTTGACGAAGTCTCAGTCATTGTAATGGCGCTACAGCCTCCTCCACCGGCATCTGCCTATCAGCGCGTGAGTGGCACCACCGTATGTCTCTGTGAGCTATCCACCCTGACATCCCGAACTCTGTTCACTTTCTCCAGGCAACATGGAGGATGCAACCTGCTGCCGCATCAAATGCCTCTAATTTTCCGTCCCGAGGGCTAACTGTAGCAACAAGCCTTGGGCACAATGCAGCAACTGATATTGACCGCGGGGAAGAGCATGGCGATACATTGTCTCCGAGTTTGTCTAGTCCAGATACTTCCACACAAGGTCTGCGCACGCCAACAGTGAGTCTTCCCACCGTCATTCAGTTCTCCAGTAGAGTACTCACGAGATTCCACGTTAGGATTCACCTGACATCTCTCACTTGTCATTGGAGGAGAAGGAAGAAATCAAGGATCAAACTTATTTCGGTAGAGAGCGGGCAACTCGCCCCAATATGCGTACTATGCACGTTGAGTCGTCGCGCAGACGTGCAGACGTAGCAATGGAGGCTCGATTGAGATCCATTGATCAGAAAATGCCCGTAATATGTACGCCGTCACTGGACATTCACGGGCTAAATCACATGGGCTAATTGTGGACCACAGCGCAAGGCTACGGAGTATTAGTCGTATGTCTCTCTCGGGTCAAGTGTCTTCTACTATCTAAATGTAGCAACTCCACCGTTGCAGGATATACTTCGAGATGAAAGGGACAAGAGTTCCGGTCAGACTTTCCTACTCCTTATTGATCTCGGTGCGCATTATCACTTCGATTGCGCGAGTGGAGCCACTCACCAACGTGACTTTATCTCAGGATGTGACGATACGTGAGTGCAATATGAACCATTTTCCCCATTATTGGACGTGACTTGATGATGGTACAACAGCTTTGTTATGGGAGAGGGCTTCCTGCAAATTCAGCAGGGTGGCAATAACAGAATGGACCCCCGAGTCGACTGGGATAACGAACAAATCGTCGAAGGTTCCGCCCATACATTGATGCCACACAACTTTGATCCTAGGCTCAGTGATTCCGAGCTTGAGAACAGGGGAAGAATTGGGCAGATTGCATTTACAGATAATTGTGTTGCTCGTAGGTTGTCTCTCCCAACTCGGAAGAACTGGTTGACCTGTTGCTGTATTCTATCTGCAGAGTTGGGACTACTGGAAGCCAAGACATGCATGTTCCATTGCTACGACTGGACCCGTGCAGAGACAACTTCAGTGCACCTTAAGTGGGACTTTGGCGTAGCTTTTGCTGTCAATGAAGGGCTGCTCAATGATCCAGCCGAAGGAATCCTTGGCGTAGGCCTAAACCAGTAAGGTTACTCCACGTCTTTCCTGTTCAAACCGGCTTACGTGGGGGTTCATTTTAGTTCCCAAACTGCCTACTATAGCACTCGGCGACGGAATGATCCCAATCCTCCTGTGAGCACACTGATACGCCAACTCTTCTCACGCACGTGGATCCAACATAATATAGAGTTTTCTGGAGGTGATACCCAACAAATTGAACCGAGTCTCACCTTCTGTGAGTTCGATGCTTGCATTCTCCGAGTCTGACAGCTGCTCAAACTTAGTAACAGCAACGCAAGGAAAATGTATCCATATACTTTGCCATTCGCTTGGCTCCCAGGGCTTACTATCGTGAGCCTGGTATCGTCCGAGGCAGTAACCTGATGTACGTGGTATGTCCGCTACATGTGCTTTATACTCACGATAGCGCACAGACAGTCATGGATTTCCTTCAATGGTTGGCCCTGCAAACGGGAGCCCCGATGGAATGAGCGTAAGATCGTCGTTTGTGGCGTGGATCCGGAACCCAGGGATTGGTCGGTCTATCTCAGGTCTATGAGGTTCATGCCCATGGTGGATCTGGAGTCCCCACGTCCCCGCTTGACAACAGCGCCCGAATATTTGCAAGCAAAGCTGGATTTTGTGGATACACGTAGACCTCGAGGCCTGTGCGTGATACTCGATACCGGTGCGGAACTCCTCTTGATAGACGGTAATCTTCACTTAACTGAGCATATACATGCTGTTCTAGGCGCTAGTGTCACCCGTCTTCCGCCACCGTTCTTTCAGAAACTATATCATGGACTATTCAGATTCAAACAGAATGACCCCGTTGGACCCAACGATGCGGAGCCCGAAGCATGGGTTTTGCCTGCCTGGGTCAAAGACAAAAGGATCCAGATCGTGTACGAGTTCGAAGGCGAGGGCGGCCAGCCTGTCACCATTTATGGGCCTTTCGAGAGATTCTTTTACCAGCATAACGTCATGGCGTCGGGCAACCCCATGGAGGCTTTGATTTATCAACAAGATCCATCTTGCGACTACGGAGTGTTTGGATTGGTAAGTACGCGATGGAATCATTTGATACTGTCATTGACTGCTGTTCATAGAACTTCTTCCAGAGCATGTACGTCTCTGTACATAAAGCGCTGAACGGTTGCCACTTCGTCCAAATGGCTCCACAATGGCCCGAGAACATTGAGTCCGACCTGCGTGACTACGGAGTCCCGGGCATGTAGGCCACTTTACAGCCGCCCTTGTATTTGTATCGCACCGCACGTCAATGAATTGGATGTAGTCGTTCGTCTGATGATACACTGACTTCAGACTGTTTGTGGGCTGCACGTCGATTCCACAGCGGTACTGAGTTTGATTGCCTTCACGAGGTCAATACAACTTACTCGAATGGCGCGGGCGAGTGCGTCGGCTGTCGACCTTGTGATAGCTCACGACTGGCGAGAGACTGTGCGATGTCAATAATCATTGACATCGCATACGACTTCAGTCATATTATGGCGAGAGGTTGATATCTTCAGTTTTAGGAGAGGACGAACAGATCAACAAGGCGGAAATCCGCACGCCAAAACACCGACCCTGCAGAAACTTTGCTACCGCAAGGCCTGTAATAGTCCTCTTCTCGTGACAGAAGGTACGCCGTTTTCCGCCCTCTGACTCACGAGTGACAACGCCGACTCGGGTCAGTCAGACTAGCATACTACGCGGATTGGTCGCGTTTAATTCAAGTTTGCGCTTTTGCATAAGTATGGACACCACGGCGCGCTAGTAGGCTATGTGGATAGCAAGAACGTCTCAGAACATACGTTATTCAGACTCGGTGATGAGTGCGAGAACTACAGCACGTAGTCAAAGGGTCTCGAGACATACCCGGCGATGGAAGGATTGCTGGTAAGTCAGCGAGATGCGAACCCTGTGGTGCAAATGTACGTTTATCTGGCATCGACAGTCTTTGTCATTCACACCTTGAGATGCGTACTATGTAGCTGTATTACTCATCTTCATCAACACCACGGCATATATATCCTTGGACTGTGAGTTGACGTTGACTTCACGCAACGGCCATCAACCGATCCTTCAGGCATGTTCAGACATAGTCGAATGGAGGTAATCGAGGCAAGCACGTAGGTATCATGCACTGTCGAGCTGAATCATCTTGGACGTGCGTCCCTTTGGCGACAGCCAGCGTGAAGGAGGACGACTAGGAGTGATATATAGCCGGCAGTCCTTATTGGACGTTACATAGCCCTGTGGAATACTCCTCGCCGCCTTCAATGACCACGCTTCCAGATACACAGAAGGCAACTCGTCCGACCGGCGAAGCAAGCAGACTTTGTCTTTCGCGCCGTCCCCGTAACGAGACCGGGGTCAGGTCAACTGCTCAACAGGGTCCACGCCGTCAAGCTGAACCCCATCGACTGGAAGATCCATTAATACGGGTGGGTCGTGCCCGAGTACCCTGCCATCATAGGATCGGACGTCGCTGGGACGGTAGAAGAGCTTGGTGAAGGCGTTGTGGGCTTCCAGCTCGGCGAGCGAGTGTAGGTACTTTATTCTTCGGGCAAACGACAACGACGATTGAATGACTCCCGAGCTAGATTTCGACAGGGACACTTCACAGTCCGCCACGCAGGCTTTCAGCATTATGTAGTAGCAAACGCTGATATCACTGCAAAGGTTTTAGCTGTCTACCGTGTTTGTCATACAAGTTACCCGCTTACCGTAACACCCTGCGACCCAGATACCTGACAACGGCACCTTCAAAGAAGCGTCGACCGTGCCCGTGGGGCTGAGCACCGCAGCTCTGGGTCTGTACCTGGGACATCCCCCTCCGAACCCGGGTATCAGCAGCGCGGCGGGCGCGGAAAGTACGTGGCAGACAAGTCATTCGCAGTGTTCGGCGGCGCCACTTCGGTGGGACAGTTCGGACAGTCTTGCACCTGTGAAGTCGACTCTGGATTAGCACTCACTCCGTTTGGGCACACGTACAGTGATCCAGCTCGCGAGCCTCTCAGGCTTCTCGCCGATCATTGCAACCGCGTCGCTGCACAACACCGAGTTCCTCCTCGCACGTCCTGGACCGCAAGCTTTCGTCCGAGCAGCTCAAGAAGGAGGTGGACAAGATCACGGAGGGCTCGCTGGACGTCATATACGATGTCGTCAGTCTGCCAGATACACAGTTGGCTGCGTATGAGGTCCTAACGCCGGGTGGGACTCTGGTACTGGCGTCGTACGATGTCATCCCGGAGGAGCGGAAGGATACTAGGAAGCGCATTGTGAGGGCGTGGGGCCAGCCGAACTATCCGTCGGAGAATCGCGTCGTCACTGCGAAGTTGTATGGCGAACAACTTACCGGCTGGGGTTAGTCGTGTGCTTTGATTTGAAAGATGGGTTGACTGACATTTGGTGATTCGTTGCAGCCCAACCGCGTCGTGGTGCTTCCGAATGGGTTGGAGGGTATCCTCGAGGGGTTGGAGAGGCTGAGGGATGACCGTGTCAGCGGCGTGAAGCTAGTCGCACAGGAGCCGGCCTGAACGTGACATCCTTGTCGTACTGTCGCGCTGCGCGACGCAGACTGTATCCGTGTATGTACCCGGGGCTAGCGGCGAGGAGGGCGGCGGTAAACGGTATACTCCGTCTGAAACGCGTTGTTTGTTCACTAACTCAGCCTGACTCTTCTGTCGTGTTATAGCCTGTGTTGCGATGGATTCGGCGCGAGGAAGAGGTGCCCTGGGTTGTTTACTCACCCACCGGCAACGTTACTCTTCTGTCATGTTGCGGGCGCAGATATACCGCTGTTATCAAAGGCAGCGGTGATGCTTGTACTAAGTTTGCTCCTCCGCTACTATACGGATTGATTTGGTGCGAGGAAGGCAGCCGTCTGCGACGGCACAGTGAGGCGGTGTGTTCTGTGTGTCGGAGTGAAGTGCATGGCTTACTACTATTATACTTGAGGCCTTCTCTTTCCTGCGTAGCTCCGAGCACAATTGGTTGGTAGTGCCGATTCGTTGGTGGGCCCGGGCACGCGGTGGATCGACGGCAGAGGAGGAGGAGACGGGAGGTGGAGCGTAGTGTGGCGTGAAAATCGGTTGACATAATCATTATTACCATATCTGGCTGCGTGTCTAACGCCAGCCCGCGCGCCTGCGAGTTGGTGGCCGCCAAAATGGTTGTGACCCGCACACACCTCTCTGACCGACGTCCTCGGCGACCTACACTGACAGACAGCCTCTGTCCAAGCGTCCGTGCATCTCGTCGTGACGCGTCATAACAGCGCCGCCATGGTCGTAGCGTTGACGCTTTTGTTCCTCGCCGTGAACAAGAAGCTCGGCGAACCGACGAAAGGCCAACTGGTCGAGATGGCGATGGAGAACAAACAGCGCGTCGGTATGTCCCTACCTCACTCACAATTCCAATCTTTTGAACCCGGTGGTTGCAGGAGTGGACAGTGGCGACATGCCTCTGCGGCGACTGTATCGACCGAGACCACCCCGCTTCCTGCGTCGTTCCACACGAGCCCGATCAAGATCCTCGCCTTCTCCGCAGATGGCTACACGGAGTCGAGTGTGCTCGCGCTCACGCTGCTGATGGCGTGGCGTAAGCTCTCGCTACCCGAGGCATATGCCTGCAGAACAAGAAGCGGAGATCGTCCTTCGTGTACACCGCGGACGTCCTGGTGCTGAAGCGGATCGAGAAGGAGCGCGAGAGGGGGTGGGAGAGCATGGGGCCGGGGATCTTCCTTGGCTCGAGAGGAAGGAGGAGGAGAGTCCCGAGGAGGTTCAGAGTCCGCTGGATCTCGAGAGCTTCAGCGAGATTGCGCATAACGAAAATTGCTCCCCTCAGACCGATGGCGGCGAAGTCGGTATCCTTCGCGATCCCGCCGGCTGCGCAGCCGGCGATGGCCGCTGTGACTGTGCGACCGCTGAGGACGTAGTCCGAGTCAAATACGGGACCACTGCTTGGCGAGAAGGATGCAAGTGGTAGGCCGAGAGCGAGCACGATGCCGGCGCTGCGTTCGCCACTGCCGTCAGGACGCGACCACCACGTATGGTTCAACGACCCGAGGTTCGACGGGAGCTTCCCGAGTCAAATGCTGCCGTTCTTGTACTTGGGCAACCTGTGCGTGTTTCCATTCCGTTCACTCCTAGTGTGCATGGTTGACGTTGGAATGATCATTCAACAGGAATCATGCTACGAACGCATACATGATTTATACGCTCAGGATCACGCACGTCGTGTCCGAGTCCGTTGGCGAGTGCACGTTGGCCGCCGAAACTGGAAGCCTCTGCCTCCGCGCCGTCGTGTCCGTATACGGATCCGTCGTCACATGCGCAGTTCATCCCTGAGAATGGAATGGTCCGCATGGCCAAGGCTCGCTGTGGATCGAAGAGCGCGAGGGGCGCATCAAGGTGCGCGACTCAAGGGCGTATGCGACGACGGCATCGACACCCTCGAGGCCCAGCTCGGACCTATCTGCGTGTCTGTCGGCATTGAGCACGGGTGCGCGCAGACGTGCTCTAGCCAAGGCAGTATACGTAGCTGTCGAATTCGGCAGCGCACATTGTCAAGCGAGTACGTATTGGAATCTGCGAAATCAGGAGAGCCTTCTGGTTGCGCAACACATTGATCGTCATTATCGCGGGGTTGGTTTGCATCCTGATTGTCACAATCAAACATGCCTTCCGCCTGCCTATTTCGAGTCGGACATTCCAGCCTTCATCATAATTCAGCCTTCATATTTCCCTTGTTGACGCGCAGGAGCCTCGCCGCGTCGTATCTACATACTCAGAATGATGAACACAATCTTTCGGCACTGTTCCGGCGAATTTATCGGTCAACGAGCATGGGCGTAGAGCTCCGAAGAGGCTTCCTAAAAGTACGCGCTGCTGTGTATGCCACAAATGACTAGTGACGACTGGTGACCAGGCTGTCACGTCTTAGTAGAGCGTGACATCCGAGTCTTCCGTACTGATACTACCATTACTTACTAATAGCAGTGGCCCGGGCTCCATGCTGCCAGTGTCGCGGCTGATTCAGACTCGGACCATCTAAAGCAGCAGCTAACTTACGCTGCTGTCCATCTACTCAATACTCCAGAGTAATCTTGCGCCGTGGTTCCCCAGTCGCAGGGTCAGACTACCGGAGACGATGGAGACTGAGATTGACACGTAAGTTACTTCGGACTGATCGTTGGACGTCTCGTAGTTTCTCATTTTGCCACAGCTTCCGCCACTTGAACACCGATGTTCTTCTGCAGTTGTTCGAGCACCTACGACCTGACCGCGGCTTGCGCTCATTGTCCATGTCGTGCCGATGGATTCGACAAGAAACCGCGCCTGTGCTTTTCCGAAGTTGTTTGGTTATCGCAAAACGGCCCATCTGCGCGGAACGGTTTCTGCCACCATCCTTATGGCCTTATGTATCGTCAGTACGATCTCACGTAGTAGCTATGATCATATCAGTGACAACCCCTCGTGCTTCAGTCATCTGTCTTTAAGGGACGACTGTCCGGACATGCTCGCGATGAAAGTACGAAAACGTAGGCTCCGGTTCACCGACGACCCGTTGCTTTGCGGCACAATGGATCCCGTGTTCCTCAATGCTACACTCCGAGCGATGCCTCGCTTATGCTCTGTCAATCTGGCTTTTCACAGTCGAGAGATACACGGGATGGGATGGGAGACTCTCTCGGCCATCCTCTCAATTCCGTGTCTCCGTAGTCTCACGGTCGCGCAGTTCCTTTTCAGTCCACGCCAGTCGCCACCCGATGCGAGCCTCGGTTCTCTGGCACCACTCACTACATTCCGATTTGAGCATCGCGCCATTCGTAGAGAGCTTCGTCAATATCCGCTCCAGGAGGACACGCTAGGCTTGGTCATTGGACGATTGCAACATACTCTCGAAACCCTTCTACTCCCTAATGAGGTTACACCCTTCAAATCCCTAGCTGGTAACCGGTGGCCTCAAATGAAGGAACTTCATCTGATAGGGGAGTTCCATCCGGACCCAGACTTTCCTGTCCCATTCGTCGCTCTCTTTGCGGGAATGCCCAAGCTACGCATCCTGAGACTCAAGCTTTCTCTTCCCATAGGTATCGACAAACAAGTCTTGCAGCTATGGCCAAAGGCTTATCACGCACAATTCCCATGGCCAGACCTCGACAATCTCACTATGTCGTTCCCGTGCTTTGACGATCGGATCTACTCCCACCTTCCACAGACGATGCGACACCTCTCATTACGATGCACGCCACATCATTGCTTCATTCCATGGGCACAATACTACGTCCATTCTCCCCTCCCAGACGCATCGGAAATGTTGGAGATCCTCTCGAAGGTTGACACGCCCCACCTTGAGCGTCTCGAAGTCGAGTACCGTGCAGACTTTGCAGAAGATGATCTTTTGCTCTGCATAACTAAAAGGTTCCCTCAACTGACGCTCCTCGAGATACATCGCTTCCGATCACAAGGTAGCAGTGATCTTGCTATCGTGAGTCGCCGTTCACTCGTTAAGCCCACTGGCTGAGCTTTATGGCTCCCATGCAGACTGACATTGCGCTACGGCTAGCAAGACTCCAAAATCTGCGCACGCTCAGAGCTTACCTGGACACTCCCGAAGATGACACCGGCGCAACGCTGCCGCAGACTGCGACCAATATCTTGGCATGCAAGCTTGCCCGCCCAGATCTCCGACTGTGGCTGTTGCACCCGGGCGATGTATTAGAATACTATTACCCCCTTGATGCAAGATGGTACCGTTATTGCCTCGTACCTGAGCAAGACATCAATCGGGAGCCACGAGCAGAAAATGACCCATCGAGTCACAGTGTATGTATGCCGACGGCGTGTTCAATGTCTTGCATATGCTGAACTCCTGTGTCAGCGTGAGGGAGTGCCAACATATCCTTACAATGATTAGGTGCGGGTTCACGAGCTAGAATCCTATATTGTATCTTACTCTTACGTACGGTCTTCTTCAGCATCTACCTAGATGAGACCTTGGATACCCTTCACGCCCGACCAGGCTACCGCGATACTCCCGACGTCGACTCGTTACGGGAAGATTTGACACAGTCCTGGTCGACGAGAGGGAGGGCCGGCATAATGAGTCAATGGTATAATATTATATTGCTCGGTGGACATGTCGAAGAATAGCCAAATTTTAGGCTATCGTGTGGGCCAAGTTCGCGCAATATCCTTGTTATCAAAGAAAGCCCACCAGAACGCATTCCGATATAATCTTGATGCTCCCTCGCATTTCGTCTACCTGGAGTGGTTCAGCCGTTCAGATTTCAAACCTCGTCCTGATTCCAACTACCTGTTCTACCGCATACACTGACAGCGATCAAGTACGCACGACGGGGAACGCCTCGCTGCAATCGCTCTGGAGAGCTTGCATCGCAGCATGCATCTCACACCCAAATTCGGAGCTGTGCAGCCGCCCAAATGGACGAGCGACAACGGCGTTTTGTAGCTCTGCGAGACATGCTACGTTAACTCAATAATGTAGTACTAGTCTAGTTGAACTTGCAGATGTCGAGTTGAGCGCCGAGCGGCAGGTCACCGACCGCGAAGCATACTCGCCTCGGTGTCTCAAATGTTTGTATGCAGCCTGAGCCACACAGTTCTCGATATACATCTTGCACACCTTCAAGTTGACGCAGTGCCCCAGGCTGGTCCATTTGGCCACTCGCCCGAGTTTGAGTTTAATAGTCTTGATGAGCCGCGCTGCAGCTGCGCCACAACGACCACGTCTCTGTCGAACGTGACATGCCGACTCGTACTGGCTCACGCGCCGGTTGATTCTGATTCAGACTACATACCACAACTTGGGCTGCTGTGCAACTTTCCCCTTGATCAACCTTGCGCTGCGTGTCCCGAGCCGGAAGGTCAGACTACCGGAGACGATGGCGAATGAGATCGACGCCGACATCACGTAAGTTGCTGTGGGCGATAGCTGGATGTCTCACAGCTTCTCATTTTGTCGCAGCTTCCGCCGCTTGAACACCGATGTTCTTCTGCAGGTGTTCGAGCACCTACGACCTGACCGCGGCTTGCGCTCATTGTCCATGTCGTGCCGATGGATTCGACAAGAAACCGCGCCTGTGCTTTTCCGAAGTTGTTTGGTTATCGCGGAGCGGCCCATCTGCGCGGAACGGTTTCTGCCACCATCCTTATGGCCCTATGTATCGTCAGTAATACTTCACGTAGTAGCATCATGATCTCATCAGTGACAAACCCTCGTGCTTCAGCCATCTGTCTTTGAGGGACGACTGTCCGGACATGCTCGCGATGAAAGTACGAAAACGTAGGCTCCGGTTCACCGACGACCCGTTGCTTTGCGGCACAATGGATCCCGTGTTCCTCAATGCTACACTCCGAGCGATGCCTCGCTTATGCTCTGTCAATCTGGCTTTTCACAGTCGAGAGATACACGGGATGGGATGGGAGACTCTCTCGGCCATCCTCTCAATTCCGTGTCTCCGTAGTCTCACAGTCGAGCAGTTCCTTTTCAGTCCACGTCGGTCGCCAACAGATGCGAGCCTCGGTTCTCTGGCACCACTCACTACATTTCGATTTGAGCATCGCGCCATTCGTAGAGAACTTCGTCAATATCCGCTCCAACAGGACGCGCTAGGCTTGGTCATTGGACGATTGCAACATACTCTCGAAAACCTTCTACTCCCTAGTGAAGTTACACCCTTCAAATCCCTAGCTGGTACTCGGTGGCCTCAACTGAAGGAACTTCATCTGATAGGGGAGTTCCATCCGGACCCAGACTTTCCTGTCCCATTCGTCACTCTTTTTGCGGGAATGCCCAAGCTGCGCGTCTTGAAACTTGAGCTTTCTCTTCCCATAGGTATCGACAAACAAGTCTTGCAGCTCTGGCCAAAGACCTATCCCGCACAATTCCCATGGCAAGACCTTGACAATCTCACTATGTCATTCCCGTGCTGTGATGATCGGATCTACTCCCACCTTCCACAGACGATGCGGCACCTCTCATTACGATGCACGCCACATCATTGCTTCACTCCATGGCGACGATACTACGTCCATTCTCCCCTCCTCTACGCGTCGGAGATGCTGGAGATCCTCTCGAAGGTCGACACGCCAAATCTTGAACATCTCGAACTCGAATACCGCGCAGACGCTGCAGAAGACGACCTTCTGCTCTATATATCGCGAAAGTTCCTCAAACTGAGATCCCTAGAAATACATCGCTTCCGATCATCCGGTGGTAACGATATCACTATTGTGAGTTACCGTTTCATTCTCATGCTTACAAGCTGAGTTTCGTGATTCTCATACAGACTGACATCGCACTGCGGGTAGCAAGGCTCCAAGACTTGCTTACGCTGCAAGCATACCTGGATACAGATATCACTGAAGGTCACCCCTTCCCGATACTGCGGCAGAATGCTACCATCTTAGCGCTCATTCTTGCACGTCCGGGTCTCAAGTTATGGCTGTTGCAAGTAGGACACCAATATGACGCGAAATGGTACCCTTTTCGTCTCGTAGCTGGGCGCACTATCGACATGGAATCACAGGCCGAAGTCGATTCTTCGGGTAGCAGTGTGAGTATGTCGACCGCCCATTTGTCCTTGCATATACTCATATCTTTTATTAGCCCGAGGGAGTGTCGGCGTATCCTTACGATGATTATTTGTAGATCCACAAGTTTGCATCTATGCCACATCTTTCCGTTCTCATTGAAGGCAGACGGCTAGCTCCACCACGTACCTGGACCTCAAGATAACTCGAATGAGGGGGTCCGAGCGACTCGGACGCGAATCACTGAGCTTCGCACCACAATCTCTTTAGCCTGATATTCCATGATCATCGCAGCCTGAGCATTTAGTGAACAACACAGCTTTTCTGATGTGCCGAAGCCTCCATCTGCATGAACGTCAATCGATGGTGCGTCCTGTGCCTTGTATGACCTGTCACGTTGATAAGCCTCCAGGCAGTAGGTGGCGGCTTGTTCGTCGGTGGCGACTAGCTATAGCTCGAATGTGCAATATACTAGGCAATCGGGATGCCGGCCGCGCAACATAGGCTGGCTAGCGACTGGACTACTGTGAGTGACAGTCATGGATGTCTTTCAAAGGTGGGCCCTGCACGAACGCGCCTCCGTGGAATGGGCGTAAGATCGTCGTTTGCGACACACAAAGCTCCACAATGGCATGCGCAAGTACGAAGTCTCGGGCATATAGGCGACTTAGCAGGAAGTATTTGTATCACATCGCACGTCAAGGCTGCGCAATGGTTGTAATCGTTCGTCTGATGATACTTACGCTGACTTCAATTCACGGGCTCCTCTTCTCATGAAGATACGCCGTTGCCCGCCTTCTGATCCATGAACGGCAACGCCGACTTGGCTCAGTCAGGCTCGGCGATGAGCGCAATAGCTATAACACTCGGCGAGAAGCTAGAAGGTCTCGAGACATAACCTGTACGCGTTGGGAGCATTACTTGTGAGTCAGCAAGTCGGGGCCCTGTGGTGCAAATGTACGTTCGTCTGGCGTCGACAGTCTTTGTCAGCCGCATCTCTAGACGCGTACCATGTAGTATTACTCATCAACGCGCATCCCTGCGCTGTAAGTTCATTTTGACTTCCATCATGCATGCGATCGGCCATCAACCGATCCTTCTGGCGTGCTCAGACGTGGTCGAACGGAGGTGATAGAGGCAAGCACGTAGGCATCACGCACTGTCGAGCTGAATCATCTTCGACGTACGTCCCAAGGCGACAGCCAACTTGGAGGAAAAGCATCATGATGGTGATAAATAGTCGGCAGTCTGATTAAACGTCACATAGCTACTGTCCGCACCTAGGAAAGATTCCTCGCCACTCCCAATGCCCGCGCTTCCAGATACGCAGAAGGCACTCGTCCTGCCGGCGAAGCAAGCGGACTTCGTCGTTCGCGCCGTCCCCGTACCGAGACCAGGGCCGGGTCAACTGCTCCTCAAGGTCCACGCCGTCGCGCTGAACCCCATCGACTGGAAGATCCAGAAATTTGGGTGGGTTGTGACCGAGTACCCTGCCATCGTAGGGTCGGACGTCGCTGGGACGGTAGAAGAGCTTGGTGAAGGCGTTGAAGGCTTCCAGCTCGGCGACCGAGTGTAGGGGCCCCGTTCTTCGGGCGAACGCCAACGGCTGAATGACACTCGAGCCAGATTCCAACAGGGACATTTCACAGTCCGCCACGCAGGCTTTCAGCAATATGCAGTAGCGAACGCTGACACCACTGCAAAGGTTCAGCTGTCTACCGTTTTTGCCAGACGAGTTGCCCGCTTACCGTAACTTCCTGTGACCCAGATACCTGACAACGTTACATTTGAAGAAGCCTCCACCATCCCCGTGGGGCTGAGCACCGCAGCTCTGGGTCTGTACCTGGAACATCCCCCTCCGAACCCGGGTATCGGCAGCGCGGGACTGACGGCGCCCTGGGAGGACGGCGGGCGCGGCAAGTACGCGGGCAGGTCATTCGCGGTGTTCGGCGGCGCCAGCTCGGTGGGACAGGCCGGTCAGTCTTGCACCTGTGAAGTCGACTCTGGATTAGCACTCACTCCGTTTGGGCACACGTACAGTGATCCAGCTCGCGAGCCTCTCAGGCTTCTCGCCGATCGTTGCAACCGCGTCGCTGCACAACGCCGAGTTCCTCCGCACCCTCGGGGCTACGCACGTCCTGGACCGCAAGCTTCCGTCCGAGCAGCTCAAGAAGGAGGTGGAGAAGATCACGAAGGGCTCGCTGGACGTCATATACGATGCCGTCAGTCTGCCGGATACACAGTTGGCTGCGTATGAGGTGTTCTCGCCGGGCGGGATTCTGGTACTGGCGTCGTACGATGTCATCCCGGAGGAGCGGAAGGATTCTGGGAAGCGGGTCGTGAGGGCGTGGGGCCAGCCGAACTATCCATCGGAGAATCGCGTCGTCGCTGCGAAGTTGTATGGCGAGCAGCTTACCAGCTGGCTCAAGGAAGGGGCTATCAAGGTTAGTCGTGTGCTTTCATTTGAAAGATGGGTTGACTGACGTTTGGTGATACGTTGCAGCCCAACCGCGTCGAGGTGCTTCCGAATGGGTTGGAGGGTATCCCCGAGGGGTTGGAGAGGCTGAGGGATGACCGTGTCAGCGGCGTGAAGCTAGTCGCACATCCTCAGGAGACGGCCTGAACGTAATTCCCTTGTCGTAATTATTTCCAAAGTAGAACTATGCACAGTGTTGAATTACATACGATGCTGCCAGAGGACGAGATGTACAGTCCCAGACTCCCACTGCAGAGGTGGCACCAAGATGGCACGGTGGCGGCGTCTCCCGGTCGCTCGATCGAGCGCCAGTGTCTGATCCGTTCCCCGTGTACGCGGTCCGATCAGCCTCGAGCCAGCTTGCACGTTGCCGACTCGTTCGTCTCGACTCTCGACCTCTAACTCCGCGTTTCTGGCCTGCAGATCGTCTTGTTTGCTCTGTCGGATGCCCCGACGAGGCCATAACGTTGGATTTCTCATCGCAGCACATGGATATCGATCAGACGGTCCGGAGCACCGACAGTCGGACTGAGGCCGCTCGAGTCTGTTTATCCGGCCCGGCCTCCTCCTCGTCTCCTCCTCTAGGCCTCTCACCTCCCTCCTCATTACCCCCAGGCTCCGGTCGGCTTTGCTTTCGACTTTCCACCTACCACGAGGATCATACGACAGAATGGCCGCTGAATTACCTATCCCCGTGTACACCTCTCTGACCGACGTCCTCGGCGACCTACAAACAGCCTCTGTCCAAGCGTGCGTGCATTTCGTGCTCTGTTCTCACTACCTGCTGAATACATCGATTCAACAGCTCGCGATGGAACGATGTGGTGGAGGAGTTTGAGAAGCGATTCGGCAAGAAGCCAGCGTACATCGCTCGAGCGCCCGGGAGGGTCAAGTACGTCCCCTCCATTGCCTCATCTACAGTACCTCCTAATTCACGTCGGGCATTGTGTTTAGCTTAATTGGCGATCACATCGACTACGTTCTCTTTGGATGCCTTCCGGCTGCTGTCGAGCAGGATATCCTCTTCGCCTGCGGTCCTTCGTCTCAAGCATCCGCGGGCAGCGTCGCCGCACATAACCTCAATCCCAAATTCGCCCCGCAGAACTTCACCCCCATGTTGAAGAGCGCTCCGATACCGTCTGCGACGGAGCAGAAGGAGGCAGAGAAGGCTGTCAATGCAGAGAGTTGGGACCTCGACATCAACACGAAGGAGCTGCGGTGGGAGAGCTACGTCAAGGCTGGCTACTATGTGAGTATCGCAAGCAAGGTCAATTATTGAATCGGTTCTGACACAAGAGGGCATAACGGCAGGGTGTACTCAACCACTTCTTCCCGCCCTCCTCGAATGAGCGACCGGTACCGATTGACATTCTGGTCACTGGCTCTGTTCCCGCTGGTTCAGGGCTTTCATCGAGGTTCGTATCAAGTCAAATGAGTGGATGTATGCGTGATATACCAACATGACGCGTCATGACAGCGCCGCCATGGTCGTAGCGTCGACACTCTCGTTCCTCGCCGTGAACAACAAGCTCGGCGAACTGACGAAAGGCCAGCTGGTCGAGATGGCGATGGAGAACGAACAGCGCGTCGGTATGTCCCTACCCCACTCACACTTCTAGTCTTCTGAGCCTGGTGGTTGCAGGAGTGAACAGTGGCGGCATGGACCAGGCCGCGTCGGTCATCTCGATGCCATCATCGGCGCTGTACATCACGTTCTTCCCCTTCCTGCACGCGGAACCGATCCTCCTGCCCGTCCTGCGCACCAACCCGCGCGCCGTCTTCGTCTGCGCAAACTCGCTTGTAGTCAGCGACAAGGCCGTCGGTACGTACCCCCTCCGCCCCTCCGTACATCTCCACGCATTCACACTCATGCAACGCCCTAGGCGCGAAGACGCGCTACAACCTGCGCGTCGTCGAGACGCTCGCCGGCGCGCGCATCCTCGCGCGCCACCTCAACGTCCCGCTGCAGCCCACGGAGCGCCCGCCGCTCCGGATCGTGCTCGGGCGGTGGCTCGGGTACACCGAGACGAAGGGCCAGCCGTCCGAGCTCGACACGGACAAGCTCAAGGACGGCCTCAAGAAGGTGCTCGCGGAGGTGGAGAAGCTCCGCCCCGCGGGCAGGGCCGACGGCGAGGAGCTGGGGCTCACGATGGAGGAGATGATCAAGGAGAGCGGGCTCGACAAGAAGACGTTCTATGAGGTGTACTTGAGCTGGGTAGAGGGTGCGTCCGGCTCTGACTCGCGGGTGTGCACGCGGGATGCTGATGGGGTTGGCGGATCTGCACAGTCGAGGCGACGCACTTCCAGATCTACAAGCGCGTCAAGCACGTCTTCGAGGAGTCCCTGCGGGTCATCGAGTTCCGCGCGGCGTGTCTCCGCGCGGCGGACGCGGCGCAGACCCCGGACGGGGCCCTCCCGGAAAGCGTGCTCCGCGAGCTGGGCGACCTCATGGACACGTCGCACGAGAGCTCGAGCAAGACCTTGGAGAACTCGTGCCCGGAGGTCGACGAGCTCGTCCGCATCGCGAAGGAGGCCGGAGCGTACGGCTCGCGGGTCACGGGTGAGTTTTCCGCACGTTCGATGAGTGTCGTGGGCTGATCTGGGTGGGCGGTGTAGGTGCGGGCTGGGGCGGATGCACGGTGTCGCTCGTGGCGGAGGATAAGGTGGACGCGTTTATTGAGCACCTCGTGGCGCATTACCCGGCGTACAAGGGTCTTGAGGGCGAGGCGCTGAAGCAGGTGATCTTTGCGACGAAGCCGAGTAGTGGGGCGTGTGGTAAGTGGGATTTCGATGCCTGCTTGACACATACTGATGTGAGGACAGTGCTCAAGCTCGAGTAAAGGCGAATGGTACGATTTTTAAGGAGGAAGAATGTACTAAGAGTATGTATGTACTTAATAATATCGGTGCTTGTATCCTTTGCCCCCGTATCGTCAGTCATGGTGAAGCAGTGTGTCCACGAGTATCGGGCAAGACTTGATCCGCCGTAGCGATATGGGCGGTACTGCGTGTATGTCTTCGCTCTTGCCTTCTGCAGCGACAGGTAAGTTATGTGGTTCTATATCGTCTGCATGCAGCATCCACTCAATAGTCTGAACAGCTTCTCGACGAGGCAAGGAGGGGATCATCGCCTGGTCCTGAAGCTCGGAAGTAAGTCGATTTTCGTACCGGTGTTTCCATCCTTTACGCCAGGAACGGCTCGGTCGAAGTATGCGTGCGCGCTTGACGTCGAAATCGAATTCATAGCCACCGGGTTTGAGAGCGCTTCGGGATGCGAGTTCGCGGCAGGTATTTCCATTGTACGCACCTCCTTCATGTGCTTCCGGACCACTTATTCTGTCATGCTGGACGTCGAACGCTGGACGTTGAGTCCGAACGATACAGGGCGGTTGTACTCAGCGCCCGTATCCTCGTGGCTGTCAATACGTCCTGTGGTCCTTTGGGAGCTTGCGAACGGAAAGCGTAACATCTTACACTTAGTAGCCATGTCCAGGGCAGCATATTCATTTCCGCCCAGCCACGCATCAGTGAGATCTTTGCTGACCACTGCATCTTCAGTCGTACTTTGTGTTCATGTAGAAGGTACGCGGAATTGTCGATGAACATTTGGTCAACGGTGGGCTGATCCTAGACTCCTGCGTCCCTGTTCACACTCCTTGGGCCATGTACGTGTCCTAATCAAATACCCCTTTAAGCTTGAAGTACCTGAATCCTGCGCGTTGCATGGGCTACGACTGTATGAGTGCCACCAATTGCAACGTCATCACTTTGGCTCCGATTATGTGGGCAATGCTCTAAAATTATCTTCAGGGATTCAGGCGACGGTCACTAGGAGAAGCATACACATGGAGCCGGTCGTCGATTGCAGCTGTCCGTCCATCCGGGAAGTCACAGAATTCGCAGAACGCTGTCCAAGGCGCTGCTGGACCAGGTGCAGTGGTTTTAAATTCCTCAAGTGTGTGCCTTGTTAACAACAGTAGTGGCAGCAGACTTTGCTCCGGAAGTGGCCAGTATGTTCGTTCGGATGAGATGTATGAACATGCTACCACATGGTTCACCACAGCATACACTCGCTACACGCGGCTGGACGTGCGACGCAGCATAGGGGTCGCGTTGAAATGAAGGTATTCAGCCGCTGAAGTCAGCGGTTAGCGACACCATAAAGACCGTCCCCATAGGTGCTCTACTGCCATCCCCGACTCTCAACTCAAATCGTATGTCCTCTATGTCTTCGTCCTCAGCCCAGGATATATCGGACTTGCAAAGCGGGTGAGTGCGATTCCTCGCCACTCCAGTATGCGTGCTGACAGACTCTGCAGTATAGTGATGGGCTATGTCAGCATTGCCTGTGCAGGTTTGTGCACGCACAGAACGCTTATGAAATGCTGATGACAATTCAGTGTTCCCGATCTACGATTATATACTGACAACTGGCACCGAGGTCACTGTTTTCTGGTCGCAACCGCAGAAGACGTTTCGCGGGTCGTCTCTGCTACTGATTCTGATTCGCTTGACAACACTCGGCACGGCGATAACCAATGTGATCAGCATGTTCTTTGGTAGTGCGGTGAGACGCTCTCCGAAAATGCAGCGCTGCCTTTAAATCTGACCTCATGCCTAACAGAACGTGGAGATGTCAGTGTATAGCGGCTAGAGCGATGGGATGCGACTATTGACAAATTATTTTAACAGCTGCCGTGGGCTGTATCTCAGTGCTGCAATTGTTACCGATCTCGGAAATGCATTAGATGCAGGTACGTATGTGTCCATCATCTGAGATAATTATCTCCAACTGAGGCTGTGTACGATACCTCCACCAGTCCTCTCAACCATCCGCGTATTCGCACTCAGTGGCTTAAACGTCTGGTGGGCCTCTGTAGTATTTGTGACCAGTATGTTCATCGTCACTATCAAATTTGTCAGTCGACATCAGCACTCGCAAAGGAAAGCAACTGCTAAGAACCGCCTTTCAGTACCTCAACGCCAAAACTCAATACACAGTTCAGAATATTGATGGAATCGTGATGTGCAACATCTTTACGTACTCCGGGAGTGTGGCCGCAAAGTAAGCGATCATGTCTCATTCACCAACATGACGTTAACTAACGGTGCTTACGAAGCGGTAGGGCCTTGCAGTCATTGGGTCACAGCCTCATGCGCTGACTAGCCACTTCACGTACTTAGTGCAGCTAGCTGCTTTGATTTGCAATATCATTTCACAGGTCATTGTCGCCTGCATCACATGGACGAGGATGATGTTTCTTGTACGGCGAAATGGTGATCGGATTAGGCCTCTTAGACAGAAAACACATATCATTTCCTGGCTGATACTAAGGGATGGTAAGTCGTCTAAATCGCTTCTTGTTGTCGATCATGTCATGACTCGCTCTGTCAGGGACTATCTACTTCATGTACGTCGTATCTAATTTTCGCGCGCGTCGATGGGCTGAGAGCTTATGCACTCATGTGCGATTGCCAACAGTTTGATGTTGCTATTAACCGTCACTGCTTTCTTACTCTCGTATTTCACTGTGCGGAAGTTGGCTTGCGTCAAGGTACATGGTCACTAATATTCAGAAACAGGATGTGCTCTACTTCGACACTTTTTCCCAGTCGTACGTCACAGCAAATGATGCTGGAAACTACGTTGTTCACGCCCGTCGTTAAAAGGTTTCAAATGGTTCTGCTTGCGCGGTTGCTGCTCAACCTCCGGGAAGGTGCTCTCAAACATGTCATCATGGACGAAGAAAATTCCGGCTTCTCCCATTTCCTGGACGACCTCACTCACGTGTCAAGCATCGAGTTCAATCCAGACCCAACGGACAATACACCTCGTCTTGGCCTTCATCAACCGACCACGGAGGATGAAACTGGGGATGAGCCAAGTGATGTGGATGAAGTAGCGGACGGGCACGGTATTGAAGCTCACGAATTGCGGGAAATCAGCGTAGCGCGTGTTTAGACGGAGAACAGCATTGTCATCTACACATATGCATACGTTCGTAGCCAAATCTCCAGCTCGTTACGAAGCCATACAGGTATCAGCTGCGCACCCGCGTAAGTATGGGCACTATCCCCCTCCTGCTGCTGCATAGCGCAGCAACGATGAACAACGGGATCGTATCTTCTGACCCGAATGCTTCAGACTTCAGTCGTACAATGCTTACATACAGCCATTGACATTATGATTGTAGCCTCAAAACATCTGCCGGTAGGATGAACCCAGCGCAGTTGCGGCGCACGAACAGACACAACGCTATCGAGGTTGCGGCAAGGGTCTCTAATTCACAGTGATCAGGCGTAGATACAACTATCTTACAAGCTCCTCAACCACCAGAACTGACTTGATGCTGCCGTCCTTAGTATCGGGTTTGGAGTCGTTGTCAGGCGAGACATGGCCATCCGTGACATCGTCGTCAATCTGCGTTTCGCGTGCTTTCCTCCGCGCATCGCGACGCGACAACGCCAGTACAGTGAGTGCTGTACAAACTGATAGAAGAGTGGTGAGTTGGTGGCCCCTGGGTAGATGGATAAGGCTTACCCATAGCGAAGTTCACACAGGCCGTCGCCACGTTTCCTTTGAAGACGCTATTGACGCATCCATCAGCCACGTCCGTCGGATCACAAATCTAGAACATACCGGGGTTGCTCCACTTGAGGAAAGAGGACTCTGTCCGGAATAAGTGAGCAATCTGCAGAGGAAAGTGAACAAACAATGCATACGTGGGGAACCATGTCTGCACGACGTATGCGAACGTATTGCAGCATGCAACGACAAACGCGCGTTCTGGGTATAACCACTTAGTACACAACTAGTCTTCGTAGTAACGCAGTACGCACTCTCGCTGTCATGCCCAGTGAGCTCATTTGCCCAAGATAGGATCAGTCCGGACAGTCCTCCGCTGACCGACGTCTACTCGTTCCTTCAGATCAAACACCATGTGCAGGCACAGAGGCACATACCATGTAGTAGAATACCCAGCGCCTGTAGTACGAATGAGTGTCAAGTGTATAGGATGCATCATCCTGCTATCTTACCGAGTTATGTGCGTGTACACAGGTGTAGCGGCCAAGACGATGCAGACCGTCATATTCCATAGCTAGAAAAATACGCGTCAAAGCAACACACCCATAGCCTGAATAATGCTTACTCCGGCAACCACCATAGGCGGCCAACGCGCCCGCACAGCGTCAGACCACCATGCCCATGTGAGGGCTGCAAGCGTCATGAATCAGCTGATGAGCGTTGTATTTCTCACCGTACGAAACTCACTTGTGACTATTTGTACGGCATTGATTGGTAGCGGGTATGTGTTGATCTGCGCAACCGTGTACACGGTCTTCTCGGGTGTATTGAAGCTCTTCAGCCTACAATCGTGTGAGACCTTGGTGCCCATATACGCAAACACTCTCGTACCAGAATATCATGGAACCCGCAGGATTACCGCCGTTGTTGAACTAGATGACCAGTTTGAATCACAAGACGGAGAATTCAATGAAGGCTTCGAACGTACCAGGACATACACTGTCGCAGAATCGAATCAGCGACGAACGGCTTGAGCACGGGCGTTGCGACTCACGGAGGACTAAGAAGTACAGGTGCCACGTCGTGAAGAATTTCAAGACCTGATGTCACACAATACCGTCAGGAATCGCACGTAGTCGATAGGTCAGGACGTACCTTCTTCTTCGTAAATTTACCAGGAGGTTTCCGTCCAATCTCTTCCATACGACGATTGGCGATGTCGATATCTTCTTGAGTATAAAGAAAGTTTGGCCTGGTGTTGGAGGGCAGGTCTAAATACAGAATAGCACACGTGAGACGATGCGTCATTCATGGTAACTTCGGCTGACCTGGCATGATGAGGAAACCCAGGAGAGCGATGGGGACCGTGATGATCCCATCGATGATGAAGAGCCCTACGGAGTCCAACATCAAATTACGAACTCGAATTCTGAACATGTAGCTTACATTTCCAGCCTGCGAGGCCGCACGTCCCGTTTAGACCGTCGTACGCCGCCTACCAACTAGTATGATCATGACCGCAGTGCACCATTTCGAAACGACGTACAGCTTGCAGGAAACCACTGATCATGGGGCCGACAGCGCTTGCCGTCTACCGCTGGTGAATCCTCAATCGAACAAGCTTACAAAAGGACGAGGCTTACATGAAAGATGCAAGCTCGCTTTCCGAGTTCTTCAGGCTTGTACCAACTGCCTGTGACGTATTGCATGGCCGGGTAGAACGAGGACTCGGCAAGACCTGAGATACTGGATAGGAGTCCCTGACACTAGCTGGTAGAGACAGGCCAACTTACCGACGAAGAAACGGATGGCAACGAGAGTGCTGAAGTTCTTCGCAGACGCCAGAGTCATGGTCAGAACACTCCAGACTACTTCTGTGAGCGGAATCTATGAGGATCATGTTAGAAATAAATGTGAAGCCACGGAAGTGCTGAGTATACCCATATCGATGGGCGCACTCTAGTAATCAACATACTAAAATATAGAACGTAAGGACTCCGACTGTGTATATGATACGAAGAGGAGTATATACTTAGCGGGAATCTGGCCAATGACATAGCCGCACGTCCAAGCAGTTGTGATGTAGTTCAACTGGTTCCCATGGCTGCAGAAAGATCAGCAAGGAGCATGGAGAAAAAAGACTGCAAATCACAGGCCAAGGCTGTGAGAAGCCGTCAGTTACATGAATGATCGACAGCGATCAGCACTCACTCCTCTTGCATCCCGGACACATATGCATTCTGCCGACCGCCGCATTAGAGAGGAAACACACTCCGAGCCGAGACAGGCTCACCGTAACGTTCTGCTGGTCCAGATACGTAAAGGTCGAAATGTAAGTTTTGATAACTAGACAGCGCGAAATATAAACTCATTTGCTGAAGTAGGACAGCGCCGCGTAAGTCAAAAGGCATGTGTCGAGCTTCGCGAGAAACTTCCTCTCTTGCGGAGGCTTGTTCCAGGTGTCCCTGCGACGGGAATCGGTAACAGGAAGATCAACATACGCCTTTCGACCTACCATACGTAGCTGCTGAACGGACGCGGACCTGTCTTGCTCATGGTAGCGTACGCGTACACGGAAGATAAGCCTGAGCGAGGGCGAGTGCGAACAAGCCCTACATGACTGGCGGCTGCAACATTACTTAAGAAGGCGAAGAACTACTACCTCTGTGAGTTATCTCAGCCCTGCAGACGAAAGCTCATCCATCTCTTGGATGGCATCATTGAGCGTGTACTAGCGCCCGCAGATGAGTGCCTAGTATTTCCTGTGTCGCTCACGGAGCCCAGTGTGTTCCGTCAAGCATGGGCCAGTGTAGATACAGCCAACCGCTCAGCTTCTTTCAGCGCAACGATGACCGCGTTCATGAGCAGGCATGCAAACTTCGCGCGATTCGGAACGAGGGCGATTGCGACAGTAGGTCACGCTCTAACGCCACGTCTCGTAGAAGCACGTATTGCACTATACCATCAAGAATTGCATCAGTATCACTAGTCCGCAAGAAGTACCATTTCAATAACCTACATGCAAGATAACACCCACCCGACATCCATACGAGCCTGGAGCATTGACCGATGACGAGGAGCCCGAGGATGGTCGACCGGTCGACTCTCGAGCGCGCATTGGTTCGATGGACAATGTACAGGCTTATGACGAGTCGAACTGGCGATGAGTGTAGCGTACAACCCTCAGACAAAACACAGCATGGACAAGACCAGTTGATAGCGTGTAGCTAGTAGCACAGTACTGCTCGCTCATGAGTGACAACGCCTGAGTTGGCACGGGAGGGGATCTCACGCCAGATCTCCGATTGGTAGTCGGGATCTGAGATCTGATCCGCAGCTAATTACATGAAGGACACCGCCAACCTGTCCGAGTCTGGCAGCGTCTAACAATTCAAGAGGTCTGTCTATGTATATCATCGCTGGCACGAAATGCTCTTGGCAATCGCAATAGCATTTATCGACTTTGCTTGTGGACAGATTTCACCCCGCGTTCGCTGCGAACTTGTCGGGAAATATGAGTCCCGACCCGTGCTGCAGGCACATCCAAGACGCAATACGGTCTAGCATTCGGACCGCAACGTGCAGCCTGTGCCTTGACATTCCATGCTGACCATGTTCGAACGTCTAGTTGGAGCCACCGGCTTGGTGTTATCTCCATTCCTGCTCCCGCCCCCGAACGTCAACTGTGGATTGCATCATCCGGGAATCGAATGAGGTGACCTATGCATCTGACCAACCGTCCCGACGACTCTGCGGCGAAGTACGCACCATACTTTACCATGCACTCGCTGTTCGTCATGTGGCTGGCGAGGACGATTGAAAAGAGCAGCAGTTGGCCGTTATCTAGCAGAGCGTCCGCTTTGTCTATCGCCCTAAGCTCGCTCAAATTCATACGCGATGCCCGTCCCCGCACCTGAACTCGGCTCCTTCAACTTCGTTCCCGAGACGAAGGTGAGTGCCCTCCCGATTGTAGCTCCCTCACACAAGTTTGAAGTCGTATCTTGTCCTACCGACCTCAGGAAAATCTGGACTGGGCGGACCTCATCACGCTCGACTTCAGCCTCCTCGCTACACCTGAAGGCAAGAAAGAGCTCGCTCAGACCCTTCTGAAGGCCGTGCGAGAGGATGGGTTCTTCTACGTGAAGAACTTCAACATCTCCCAGGAGCGTGTGAACCGCCAGTTCTCACTCGGCAAGCGTTTTTACGAGCTCCCACGTGAGGAGAAGCTCAAATACGTTCCGGAGGGCTTGGGTAAGCACCAACATTTACATATTTTAGTTACTCATTGACGCAATCCATATCAGAACAGGGTCAGTTCAACGGCTACGTGCCTTCTGGACGTCGAGTGTGAGTCATACTAGCTGCACGCTAATCGTCTGCTCTGCTGACCTAGTCCGCAGTCTTGAGCCAGTGTCCGGACTGAGGGACCACACGGAGATCTACAACATCCCCAGTATGTGGTCCTGCGACATATGCGTCGTATCACGCTAAATAAACCCACAATAGAGTTTGATGGTTTCTTCAAGCACGACCACCCCCAGATCATTGAGGACTTCCTCCCTGAGATCGAGGAGTTTGCTAAGGTGTGTTTCTATCCATCGCTCGGGAGCTTCACAACCATGGCTCATTTCACTCTCTATGACAGTCTCTCCACACCGAGGTTCTGGACCACCTCCATGACCTGCTAGCCGTCGCGCTCGAACTCCCCGAGGACTACTTCCTCAACCTTCACAAGTATGAGAAGAAGAGCGAGGTACGCCAGCGTACACTTGGTACTTGCATGGACCTGACTAACCTCGCACCACCCTCAGGATCACCTCCGTTACATGAAGTACACTAAGTACACACCCGAGGAGAACCTTAAGCTCGGCAGGCTCTGGGGCCGTGGACACACTGGTAAGCCCTATTCCATCTTAACCAAAGACACAATTTAGTCAACTGGACTGCCATTCACAGATCTCGGCTCGTGGACGCTGCTCTTCCGTCAGCCCGTCTCTGCGCTTCAAATCAAGAACCACACGACCGGCGAGTGGAAGTGGGTCAAGCCACAGGACGCTACGATCACCGTCAACGCCTGCGATGCACTCTCGTTCTTGACTGGCGGCTACGTCAAGAGCACGATCCACAGGTTCGTGATTCGCCGGTGTACCGTGTTCGTCTCTCAGCACCTACTGAGGCACGTGATCACAGGGTGGCTGCTCCCCCGAAGGATCAAGAGCACGTCGACCGTCTCGGCCTTCTGTACTTCTCGCGGTATGTACACTGTGGACTTTCCATCGATCCTAACGCTTACAGGGGATGGTACCCTCAGCCCGAACAACGACGTCGTCCTCTCGACCGTCAAGGAGTCGCCCGTCCTCCAGCGCGCGGACAGCACGCAGAACGAGTTCGAGAAGAGCGGAAACCACGTCCCGACGATGGAAGAGTGGACGTTTGCGAAGCAGAAGTGGCAGCGCACCTATGGCGCCGTGCGTGGGGACCCGAAGTTCGAGACGGCGCAGATCCTGCCGGGGTGGAATGAGAAGGTGTACGATCGCGTGCCGCCCCCGGTGCGGGCCGCGGCGTGAGGTGAACGTACGTATAGAGCGGTGTTTTATTGCAGTCAGGAAAGGTTGTATCGATACAAGGGAATTGATGTCTGTATGCTGCCGTAAGAATCCTTCCCGTCGTTTCGGTGGGTTTGTTCGGAAAATGATAATGTCTTGTGCGTACTAAGAGCTCTCAACTGTGACGACATAAATAGACGAGCGACCCGCGAGAATCGGCTAGGAGACTACCGTGGTGTCTATTCACGAAGAGATTGGTACGACTTCGACGATACGAACGACCTGTACATAAGTTTTGTAAGTAAGTAATCGCATGTCTGAGTAAAGGGTGCCTGAGACGTCGAAGCGAATAGAAGTAAACGTTGTACCTCTCGTTCAGTCGTAGCACAGCGACGTCCAGTAGGAATAGGCTCGTCGTCCTGGTAACAGCGAAGACTTATTGTCACAGAGGGGGAGAGGGTGCCCGACGACTGCGAGGCAGACAGAAGACGAGAAGCGGAAGCATAATTGCACCCGATGTGCTCTCCAGTCTCCGGTGACAAAAGAGAACTTAACTTGGGTTGGCGGTGGGGTCCTGGGGAATCGTTTGGTGCCTGACAGTGGCAGGGACGCGGACGTATCGGATGACAATGTGATTGACCGAGAAAGTTACTATTAGGCCTCGAGGATGGGCCGTTGGTCAAGTCGAGACCACACACCATTGTACACACATCGGAAGTAACCTAGAGCCCGGAGGCGTCGGACGAATGTGCGTCCGCTCCGGACGTGGTGGAGTGATCACATCAGAGCCACTGCGAAGATTGAGGGGAAGAGGTGCTTCTGGAGTGTCGTGCTAGATCCACATACGATCTTGACAATGTCGAGTCTTTCGCGTGTCATGTCAGCCAGTGGCAAGTAAGCCGCAACGCTGGACCCGGACCTCGGCCGATACATTGTAAGACGGGCACCTTTCGAGATTGATATTCCAATCTGAGTCCACCGGCTGGCAGGTCGACGAGACAGTGGGCCGCATCTATTGAATCCACAAGGACCACAACCCTAAGCCGCGATGTACGTCAAAGGTGCCAGCACCTCGGCACCGGTCCTGTTCGCATTGCTGCATGGGGCAGGCGGGCTCTGCTCGAGCCTCGAGCTCGTGGAAGCGAATCCCGAGGCGATGAAATTGCGATCCACTAACAAAAAGACGGGCGATAGAGGTTTTTTGTGTTGAGAACGAGGAGCGTGGTGGTAGCGATGGATCTTTTTGTTTCGCGGAGGAGCGAGGCGGAGGGGGCTTCGCGAATGCAGGGCGAGACAATAGCGGGCGAATTTGACTCGGCCGCGGAGGGCGCAAGACAAAAAGACAAGGCGCGCATCGGCGATCTCGCTCGCCCGATTAGGCAGGCGGTGGCGTGCACCTGCACCACGTTCACAATTACCGCCAACTTTGCTCGCACCGACTTCACAATTGCACGCTCGCCGTAAGTCGGCCTGGGGGTATAAAATGTTGGCCAGAGTGACTCGGTCAGTATCATCTCCTAGTGATCTCAGGGACACTGCCCACTAACCAACAATGGCCGCAATCTACGCACAGCCCGCCGCTGCGAACTACTTCAACACCCCCTCCCACGCTCCCCAGAAACAGAGGGGCTACCGGCTATGCGATCAGTGTGGTGCGGTCGAGCAGCCGTCTGGCACTCGCTTCCGTCTCTGTGGTGGATGTGTGAGTCACTTCCGCACATCCTCCTTGCGATCGACTTGACTGACCTTCTTCCCGATTTAGATGACCACCCAGTACTGCGTGAGTATACGCTTCGAGCGAGGTCATCGAGATGAATCTGACTGGGGATTTAGTCGCAAGAGTGCCAGAAGATGCACTGGTCTTCCCACAAACAGATCTGCCAACACACAGCCGGCCAGATCGCTACCGCGAAACAGCCAGGGGCGCCTGACGAGACCCTCGTCAAGAACCTGCGCAAATTCGTTTCGTCGCATTCATCACTTCTCGGCTGGGCAGGATTCCAGGCGCTCCAACTCAAGCGCATTCCCTCCAATGTCCGCCAGAACGCTCTCCTCATCGAACTGAGGTATAACCCATCGGCATCCGACGCACTCCGTCGGTGAGTGACCTTTGATCACGATTTCCTACGTAGTATGATGTTCATGATCGGAAACGCAGATTCACAATCAAGGGGACACACATAGTTCCTCGTACATACGTTACCGACAACGACCCGCTCGTAGGCGCCGACATCCAGCGACGCGAAGACCGGTGTCGTCGCTCAGGCGGCATTGGCACCGCCGTCATCCTCATCCAATGCGGCGACATCAGCCAGGTCATGCCCGTAGAAATTGACGCGCCCGGCAAAATCTCCTGGGACTCGCGCGACGACTGGTCCGATGTGCTCCGGCACTTCGTGGACTCCGGCCGGATAGACTTCAAGCCCATCTCGACGACGCCGAGGGGGTGCGTGTTCTGTCTGCCGCCCTTCTCCTGCATCAAAGCTAACTGCGTGCGCAGGATCGTCTACGGATGAGCATCTCCGTTATCCCTCTGACTCGTTCGTCTGGCGACGTCGATCGTCTTCGCCGCATCTCACCACGAGCGCTGGACTTGCTCGTGCCTCTTCGCCGGATCTTTGATGACCGCGCGTTCGTTCTTGTGTATCGCTGGATCCCTCTAGTCGCCCGTCGCACACCCCGGACCGGACCCTTCGTACTGCTGTGTATCGTTATACCCGCCACGTCGCTTTCGTTCTTGTTCTTTACACGCTAAGTTATACACAGCATCTTCGCACTGTATACTACCACAGTAATCCATAACTTGCACAATGTACAACCGAAGTCTGTTCTGCGAATGCCTCGTTGCTGGTTCGACGGCAAGTAGAGATGCTTGCCCGCCACCTTAGTATGAGTTTCGAAGACAGCAATCAGTACGCACTACGTCTTGGACTTCACGGAGGTTTCCCGGATCTGACCAGAGCTATGGATTGATGCATTGAGTTCTTCAGAAAGCCGGCGCGCCATCGTAGCAGAGTCCTCCAACATGAAACACGTCAACTGCTCCGTGTGGAGAATGGCATGCGGGTGTCTTGCCAGAGCTTCTTGGCGAGCCTGGTGTCAAGATTTTCGTCGAATACTTACTCTGCCGACTCGGAGCACCTGGAGCAGCGTCTCATCGCCGACATGAGAGACCGCAGTCTATTATTTTCACTGAGTTCGAGCACTGCAGCCCATGGTATGCATACAGAACGGCCGATCGCTCCGATCTGACACGGGGAAAACCTATGTACTAGCTCGGACTGTTGCACGCCACTATAGGCCACTATGCGCTAGTAGTACACCCATACCCGAGCGCTCGGTAATCCCTTCACGGCGTGCTCGTCACTGTTCTACTACATTACACCGTCGTCATAGGACTGTTGAAGTCCTCCATTCGCCGCTCGATCATGGCTATACCGATGATTGCTGTGTTCGAAGAGTACGAGGATGTAAGGAAGTCCGCCGTGTGAAGTGATCCGCAACGAAGTGTCAAGCGTCGACAGCCTCGGTCCTGGAGCCAGGGGCTTGAGCGGCATCCGCATCCGAGTCAGTGTTGCCATGACCAGCGCCAACTTGCTCGCTTTCTGGAGAATGTTCAGCGTACTCTTATCCGAGATTCAGATCAACAATACGAAACGAACCCGTTGTTTCCTCTTCATTGAGGGTGTCCGTACGTTCAAATGCTAGAGGCGATGAGCCGATGCTAGCTGCTATGTTACCAGTCCACCCGAAGGACGTCTTGTAGATATCGTCTTCTTGCGCCTCTCGCAGATTGATCAACAACCGAGATATCAGAACTAGCTTGAGTCTGCGAAACCCATGCAGGTTCATGTGAGCACTTGTGTAACGTCGCGCGTTGATACTCACGGTACATTCAGGTCGATGATGTAGTCGACGCTCTGGAAGAACACGCAATGAGACGTCAATTTCAAGTGATGAGGAATAGTAGACCTCGACGTACGCTAGACCAAAAGCTGATGCAAATGCCAATGTTCAAAAGCAAGACTATACTGGCAACGAGGAATCAATATCGATGGGTGTGTCGTGATACATTGCACATGGACACACAGGAAGTAGATGGTCCCTAATTGGCACCGACTGTTGTTAGATATCACGTATGTAGATTGACACTGCTTGGCAGGTACCCACCGTCCCTAAACAACAACCAAGTTATAGATGGAGCCCACATTCGATTCTTCCACTGAAGTCGGACGTATGGGAAGGCTCGTATCCATGTTGCTACGACGACGGTCATGTCAGACAGCGTGGCACAGACAACCATTGCCCAAGCCGCTGCACAAAGGGAAACAGTAAGACATCAGTCCATCGCAATTCTTGGCACACAGTGAGTCACCTCTGCGAGATGAGCAAGTTCTCGGTCAGTGATATTTTGCATGATGCTAGGATGCACCTACGCTGTGCCTTGAACTGAAGACAGGTTTTCCGACTGCCAGCATGTCCATAATGATTGAAATTCCATGGTCTGGTAAGAAACAATCAGGTTTACGCTCTTGGTTACCCAGTGTGTCCGATGTCAGCTACATACTCAACGACAAGACGGTTGTCAAAACGTACAGAGATCATGACAAGGTAAGCCACCTCCAATACTGCCGTGAGAATTGTCCAGGTCCACCGGAAACCGGAAACCGCGTACACGCGGAGGCAGGTTACGACTGTTGAGTGAGAATTTAATTGTAGGTCAGCACATAACGAATCGGTCTTATGTGAGGCAGATATATGGAACCCATACCTGCTATGATCAAATCTGCCATGAGCATGAATGTCATGTATGCATCGTTTTGCGCAGCACAACTACACGTCAAAAATTAGCTGGGATACAAGACCTGCGCAAAGACATCGCTCACTCCTTAATCTTTACTCGTCGTGGAAATTATGAGCGCTGCCAGTCAGGCGATAATATGATACTCACAGTCGGCTTGTACCGTGTTTCCTGGGTAGCAAGGACGGTTGTTATCGCAACTCCAAGGGTGACAACCCGCAAAGAGAGGAACAGAACTTTGCAGACAGGATGACCTCCTCGGCGCCAAAACAGGTCTATCTCATCACCGACGGTGAGAAAATAGTCATAGACAAGAACAGCTGAAATCCTAGGTTACGGTCATCCGAGACATATACAATCACAATAGCACTCACTGGCGACGACCACATCCGCGCAGCTCTGATCAAACCTGCGGAGAGCGATGAATGGATGTTATGATGAGCGTATGACACTACTCCACTCACCAGTCACCCGCGTATAGTATAGCTTCTGCGGCTGGAACGCTCGACATTGTATACGGGTAGGGGATGCAAGGCGGCGCATAACAGCTCCTGAACCACGGACCTCTTATCCTCTCCAGCAAGATGATGATCCACATAGTTTATCGGCAACTCCAACGAATCACACGCGAAGCTTCTAAGTGGATGAGCGTTCCGCTGTAACCACCTACGCACCATGCATATGAGTCAGACGCCACTTCGTGTGGTGGTTCGTCCTACTGATTTGGAGTCGAACAGCGGATACGGAGTAGGCAACCGCTGATGTTCAGGAGCAAGGGTCTCGCGCACCGATGCCCGTTTATAGTTCTGAAGCCGTTTCAGACTGTCAGCATAACGAGCTCCTCGATTAAATTGTTGCTGATGCTTACCGATAGCTCCCCTACGGCTACACTAACCGCGGTGTCGTTCATGCGGTTCAGAACTTGATCCACGGCGAGTGCAGCATTCGCAATGCTACGGGCCGACTCGTGAGGAGCCTGTGCAGGGACCACCCACAAGTAAGTAGAACGAGTGGTAACTGTACTGCCTGACTGGACGAGCACAAACCCCGCGGAATACTTATCAGCATTATGATACGGTGGTGGTAAGTCTCATAGCAAATTCCTAGCAGTGTTGGTTGGGGTGGGCGGGTGCGGCTCGGCGTCGACGTAGTCGCCGAAAGATCACTACGCATAAAGCGTTATCGCTCCGGCCACCTGCATTGATCGGAAGGAAGACAACAAGGTTTTGACTGGTTGGTCCGCAGAGCCGCACGCATCAACGAACGCGTCTGTCCCAGCCACCACGATATTTGTCCTATCAACGTCAATACTTCGAGAGCGATGAGCAAAGAGTTGGAAAGCATCGCCGTGACTGACCGAGTGGCCGAGATCGAGTAGATATCACCCTTCTCGTGTATCACGGTGGACACTGCTATCGTGCGTTGTGTAGTATTGTATCGGAAAAATTATTTCAGACAGCGTGACAGTAGTTGGCGGGCGGGATTGCAGGGAAATCGAAGACAGCGCACGATGCATAGCAGACCGAACGAAGCGCTTACCTATTGTGACACATGAGCTAGCGGCTGTGAGGTGGGCCTCAAAGTACGAATAGGCCTTCCGTGGTGGACACTCACCGGCTTCGATGAAACACTGAGGAGCATCATATGCAACGCCGCGGTCAACGGGTAACCGCAGAAGGTGTCCGGCCGAAAGAACGGCTTGTCGAGCCAACGTGCTGATACCTATGCGAGGCAAATTCTGAGGACGTCTCAGTCAGTGGAGCCTGCGTCCCTCTCGTATATCGACGTACGGACAAGGGGTCTGCTGCGTTTTGGACTCACAGAATGCTCGTCTGGCACTAGAATCAGTACCGGCACTGCCCGGAGCACCTTCGCACGTTGACATATTCGGCGAGGCTATTAGGTAGCTGTTGTTGTTCTCTGCGTTGCGCTGAAGACTGGACGACAGACCTCCGCGCAATGCGACACATATTCCGACTGCGGTGGCCGAGACGTGTCAGCCTACTCCATGATCGAAGCCTGGCAGCACGAGATGCACCAGTCGCTGGTCGGTCGGACCAACTGATCACAGTCTATCCAAAGCTTCTGTGGATGGAACGCCCACTTATCGTGGCGCTGCAGAAAGGGTTTGATGGGAAGGGGCGGTGGATTGTCTATCGGTAGGAAAAAGATACATGGAAGTCGACGCATGGTCAGCGCCGATGGTCATTGTGCTTAGTTGTCCGGTGACCTGCCCGAAGTAACTGTGGTCAACATCCAGTCCACGATGATGGTACTGTAATGATTCATCCGGTGTCAGGCAGCGCGACCTCCCAATGCATTATACTTTCCTAAGTTCCCAGGTGAGCTGTCCGCCGCTTTGTCGTCTAGAGTGGATGAACGACTTACATGTTACATGCTGGAACGTGCACTATCACCACAAAGCTGAGAGGCAGGAATCTGTGTTCTCTGGTAAGAGCTTACAGGCACTGAATCATTCTCGCGTTGGCGATCTTCCCGTGTCTGAGACAACGTCAGGTACTGTGGCCACATTAATGACTTCTAACATGAGGACACCGATGACGGTATGTGTTCACAGATCGTGAGCTGTTGAGCGTAGAAAGATATGTCAGCCTATACACGACGACGGTTTGCTCACCGACTCGCGCACGCTTTCGTCGAAATCAGCCACCGGTGACGTAGTGCATGCTGCTTCCGAAGCTTAATGAGTGGTCAATTCAGAACGAATGAATGTCTGTGAGATCTCACGCTCATATGCGGGCCCATTGCTCGAATCTTGGATACCATCAGGCTTGTGCTGGTCCCTCCACCTTGCTGACTACCCACGTCCTCCGCAACCGGGTATATGCTCAGAATGCTGCTACATCCAACCTATCTTGATTCTGTCAGCAATACGCTAGGATCCGTTTGTCAAATGACCGAGTCTGGTCCCATATAGAGGCAAAAGCTGACGTCCACCGCGGCAACATCACAACGTGCTGCTCCAAGAGCCCCGTGTCGATGTTTTGAATGTTGGCCGGTGCTGAGGTCTATACCCCGGTATCATAGGACTCACGGCTACTCAGGCTCAAGGTGAGAGCGAAGTCAGAGCACTACAAATAGTGATGAACACGTGAAGACACTTACTGAGACCCTGCAGCACGCAAGCATGACTGATGAGCGGTAGTCTCCCACTCCCTGGCGTTCAAGAGCCTTTCGCTATGTCGCCGGTCGCGCAAGCATGTGGGTTTGGGTCACGCCAGTCCGTTCTAAAATGGTGGCTCGTCCGGTATCCGATCCGACAATGCATGACATATCTTGCCCGTAAGCACCCGTGCATCATTGTCCCATGAAAGAAAATGTCGAGTCCGTGGTAGATGGCAGAATGGTCGACCTCGTCGTGGTGGGCGGCGACGTGCGCACGGAGTGGTGGCTGAAGGCAGGGGCGGCGGTGTGCCTGAAAAGGGAGTGGCGGGATTGCGGCATGTCGGCTCTGGCGATCAAAATGGTCTAGCGAGATTTGACAGTGACTCAGCGCTTCCACGCTCAGCCACTGCCCAGTCGGCCAGACGATGGCGACGATGCTCCGGCCAGACTCCAATTCTCCAGGCCCTCCCCTCCTCCTCAAAAGCCTTCGTCTCCGCAAGGCACGCCCCTCCCCACCAGGCTGATCCCCACCAGCGACCATGGACCACATACATCCCGACAATATTCCCCTCAACCATTTCCTTGCCCTCCCGCGTCCAGACCATGGCTTGGCTGCGGCCGGCACACCTGACACTTCGACCCTCGCCGCGCACGACTTCGATGTCGACACGCGTACTGGCTTCATGCCCCCGCGTCCTTTGTCTCGACTGCCCCAAGAGTGGGCGTCATGGGAGACTGCATTAGACGAAGCACGCTCGAGCAGGCTTCAACTCGCTGACAAACCAGACCTCTCACCGGAGGACGCGGAACGATCTGAACGTTGGCGGGACCGCGTCAGACAAGTGAGTTGCCATTCTCATCGTCCACTCGCAGCTGCCGATCGTTTTGACAGCTCCCGATCCTCTCTACTGACCACCTGAAGCGCTCCGAAGTACTCCTTCGCCGGGCGCACCATGTCCTTTCATGGATTATGCACTTTTATGTACATTCGCTGCCCATATCCGTCAGCGAAATCTGCATCCCCCCTCCCGTCACTGTCCCCCTCCTCCAGGTATCTGCACAGCTCCAGCTGCCGCCCGTCCTCACTTACTCAGACGATGTCATCAACAACTGGGAGTACATCACGCCTCCCACCTCCGAGTTCCCCCCGCGTCCGCCCGCGCTCGATAACCTCCGCTGCCAGACGCTCTTCACGGAGACGCGCGACGAAGAGGAGTTCTACCTCGCGTCCGCCCGGATTGAGCTCCGGGGCGTCGAGGCGCTCACCCTCATGCGGGCCATGATGGACGAGGCCTTCCTCGGTGACGCGACCGCCCTCCGGCGCATCACCACCTACCTACACACACTCGCAGGCGTCATCCGCGAGCTCACGAGCATCCTCGCGGACGTGCGCAAGGGCTGCGACCCCGACGTGTTCTACAACGAGATCCGGCCCTGGTTCCGCGGCGCGGACTCGTCCGACGGCAAGCGGAAGTGGGTCTTCCAGGGCATCGAGCTCGACCCGACCCTCCGCGAGCCCACGGAGCTCTCGGGCCCGAGCGCCGGCCAGAGCTCGCTCATCCACGCACTCGACGTATTCCTCGGCGTCGACCAGTACTCGCACTCCAACTTCATGTCGAACAAGCCCGTGCCGATGGCGCGCGCGCAGACGGCCCCGGCGGTCCTGCCCGCGCCAGGGACGAGCGGTCCGGCGACGGCGACGTTCAGCTCCGCACCCGGCTCGTCGTCAGTGCCCTTCCTGACCCGCATGCAGTCGTACATGCCCCGGCACCACCGGGCGTTCCTCCGACACCTCTCCTCGAACCCACGCCCGATCCGGACGCTCGTGGAGACGTCGGGCGAGAAGAATCTGCTCGAGGCGTACAACGTCGCTGTCTCCGCGCTCAAGGTCTTCCGCGACGAGCACGTGAAGATCGTCGCGTTGTACATACTCGTTCCGAGCAAGAAGGCGCGTGAGGCCGCGGGGAAGTCTAAGGAAGACAGTGCTGCGAAGGGCACGGGCGGCACAGACGCGTTCCAGTTTGTGAAGGGCGTGCGGGACCAGACTGCAGGGGCTCTGCTCAAGTCTGGAGAGTAGTTTGCAGAGCATTTGGTATGGTACCTACTACCGATGCTTTAATCTGCGATTATCTTGTTGTATCATCATCCTGATAATATTCGGGCTGTACGGAGGGAATAAGTTCGATTTACGTCGAACTTACTCGATCGAACCGGTCGAACTGCAAGTGTGCTTCTCAATGTCGGTGCCTGTGCAATGAGTATAGGCTTCCGACCTTCGAACCGGCATGAACTCCTCGGCCATCCGACAGCAAGCCCCTTGCTCACCAACCTCCGAGGCCAGTACCATCCGAATCGGCGAGTTCAGCCAGAGGAGGAGCTGCAGACACCAGCAGGGCGCGCCAGGGGCGCGTGCGTTCATTGCGACGCTGACATAAGCAACAGATCCACGCCGTTCGTGTGGCGCTGGGCTCCTCAAAACTCTCTCACATCCTGTGTTCTTCTCTCCGTCCTCCCCTCCGGACATAGCGTATACACATCCTCCTCAGCATCTGCTACCTGCATTACAGAGCTAGTGACGACACGAATACTGCCGCTACTTGTAGTCCGAACTCGCACAGCGATCCACCAAACCAAAGTTTACCCCCAACTCTCCGCCTCGCCACCGCCGCACGTTCTTCCTGAAGTTCGAGCAATGGCGTACGTAGCCACGCGCGCAGGCCCCTCGGCCTCGGCGCCGTCCGACGGATCGCGGACGATCACGCAGCGCGACAGCCAGCCCGGCGAGGAAGGCGCGCACCCCGACGGCCGCGAGGAAGTAGGCCGCCTCCGCCTCCGCGCCGCCCCGCGCAGCCGGCCGAGGGTCGTCTGGCGGGAGGACGTCGTCGACAACGAAGGCCTGGGGAAGAAATCGTCAAAGAGTACGTCATCCGTTCGTTCGTCCGTCGGGGCCACCCCGCACGGTCGGTCCAAATTTGAAGCTGAACTGCGTCCGACTGTGCAGTCTGTTGTATCTACCACAAGCCGAAGCGCTTCGACGAGTCGTCCTCTGAGGAGTCGTCTGACGAGGACTCGGGCTCGGGCGACGACGGGCGTGCCCGCCCTGCGAACCGCCGCCGGCACCACCATCACCATCATGGAGATGGGAGCCCTGACGGGCAGGCGGTGCGCGATGGCGATGGCGGAGGCGTTGTGCACGAGCTGGAGAGCGACTCCGACGACGTCAATGTGTACGAGCGTCAGCCCAAAAACCCGAAGAAGGGCAAGGCACCTCAGAGAACCTGAAGTGCGGAGACGTCATGCGCGTAGACGAAAGCAGTGAAAGATTCCCGAATACTGGTTTAATTGTACAATGCTCAAGGGTCTGTACATTGTATACCCTATTGCCGATGTAATATCACCCTTCTGCGTCGTTGAGGACCAGCAATGCAGCATTTGACAACAGCCGTGGTTCACGTATAATGCAGTCAACACTTGTGAGGAGATAAAAGAACCGTTGAACATGAACTAAGTAATGCGATTGGCTGATATGCTATAATACTGCGTGTGTAGATAGACGGTATGCGTGCAATGGAAGCATGATTGGAATATACATATGGATACAATACCAAGACCAAGAGTCCGCACAGGGTGCCCACCAACTCACGAAACCTCTTCCATATCATCTTCATCATCATCATCGTCGTCGTCGAAGTCGTCGAAATCTTCGTCTTTGACCCCATTGCCTGCTTGTCCGGCCTCCGTGCCCAGCCCGCCACTGGGTCCGGGGACCTGCTCGGCCTTGACCTAGAACAAACGATCCCGTCAGCGCACGTCCGACAAACACCGCATCGCGGTGGAGATAGAACACTGACCCCTTCGCCTCTGAAGGTCTGCTTGAGCTCCCAGGTGCCGTTGAACTCTCCGCTGCGGTTGAGGTCGGCGATCTCGCTGAGGACCTCTTTGAGGTACGCCTCGGGCTGCTGCGTGCGGTCGCGGAGGACCTTGATGGACCACCGCTCGCGCTCCTGGAAATGCCGGAAGAGCTCGTCGAGCAGCTGGTTGCGCGGCATACGCGCCATGCGCTCGAACTGGCCCTTTGCGGGCTTGGGTTTCCTTTGCTGTAGAAGGTCCAGTGGGTAAGTGGCTTGCATGAGCACGGAAACGGGCAGACGTACGCCAAAGCTGAGCGGCGTCGTGTTTGCCACACCGCTCGTGAGCATGTTGATGTTCCCCCGTCCACCCACGCCCGCATCCTCGATCCGCATAATCTGCTTGCGCGGTGTGTTCGCCGCAAGTGCCCGCATCTTGAGCCGCTGCCTGTAGCGGTCGCTGAACATCGGCCGCAAATTACACTCGTGCTTCACGCGGCCCGTGAGGACCGTCGTCCGCGCGCGGGTGCCCGGGACGGGCGGCGGCTCCTTCTCGCGTTCGGCCACGACGACTTGGTTCTCGACCGATTCCTGCACCATGTCCATCTCGTACACGTCCCCTTCAAACTCGTTTTGCCCCGGATGGTCCGGGTCGGGGGGAAGCGCGAGGAGTATTCGCGGCGACTTGCCTAATGCGGACTTTGTTTGGTGGTAGACACGGATGGTTGCAAGGTGCACGTTGTCCTCTCTTATTGAGAGCCAGCGCTCCATGAGGAATTTTGGGACCTGGCAGAGAGGTCAGCTCATGGCGGAGGGCATAAGGCCAAAACACGTACCTTCACTAGCCACACTCTCCCATTGCCGCTGTCCATAATCAACGACTCGTCTGGGTCAGGCTCTGCCTCCGCATCTTGCGAAGCATGAATGGAGTCGAACTGCTTCTTGTCCTCCTCCTCGACGGTGGGTTCGTCCATGATGCTCAAGCAATCTAACTGTTACGTCTGGCGAAGGTTCGCGAGGCGTTTAGAGGTCGCAAACGGGAAAATAAACACGGGTATCTGTATCAGTGACTCAGATCACTATGAGATTGAGTTGGGAGGGCAAGTGTACGTTCAAGCGCTGCAGATGGGCGACACCCCGGTGGTGGCTGAGAACAAGGCGGATGAGGATTGGCCCGAATTGGCAGCCCATTGTTTGACTTCGAGGCCTTTGGACAACAAGTACAAACATAGCCACAAAACGGAACCGTCCGACGGCGCGTCGTGACGTCAGAGCAGACGCGACCAACGAACTGTGTCGAAGCATTTCTTCTCCTCAGCAGTACTTATTGCGACACTATAGCGCAGCAGATCAAACTGTTGTATAGTTTTTATCTCAGAAGCCGAAAGTCCGGACGACGTGTCGAAGGCATTGCAGCCAGTGCGATGCGTTGTTGGCTGATGATCACACACACGGCTCACACAGCACACAGAACATGTACAGAGAGTAAGAGCGGGGTTACGCAAACAACTCAATAGTGGTCGTCTACATGCAATAAGACCAATGGATCCAGTATAATATGTGAGGTCCATGATACGAAACCAACAAGGGCCCAACTATGCAGTCTAAGTAATCAAGCAGTTAGTATCGAACTCTGCGAGACAGGCATCAACAGAACTGACCGACTCCTTGAGGTAAGTGATGAGGTCGTTCCGGTCCTTCTCCTTCTTGAGACCAGCGAACGCCATCTTCGTACCGGGGATGTACTGTGCGACACCGAGTAACAACCATCAGCACCGTCGCCAGAGCCTGTGACGTAGCAAGCAAGCGCACCTTTTTGGGGTTCTCGAGGTACTCGAAGAGAGTCTGCTCCTCCCAGACAACACCCTTGTTCACGTTCGCGGCCGTGTACGAGAAACCCTCTACCTGGCCAGATTTGCGGCCGAAAAGGCTGGAGGACGTGTCAGCCGCCCCATTCCGCACACTGTCTACGAGCTGCTCACCCGTGAAGGTTGGGGCCGACCTTGTTAGGCTCGCCCGCGCCGACAGTGTGGCATTGTGCGCACCGCGTCTTGAAAAGACCAGCACCCTTGCCAGCGTCACCTATACGGGTTCAAGCTACGTTAGCATCACCGCGACTCGCTCACCAGTCACACTAAGACGTACCCTGTTGGAAAGGCATGTCTAGTGTCTAGAGGTCGTAAATAGGGTAGAGGTATAAGGATATTACACGGGGGCACGCGACGACCAAGTAACGGAGGAGAGTAAAGGTGCGATGACGGACCGCTGCGTCCAAAATTTGGATTATAAGGCGGGTGGAACCGGTTCCTCCCGCAGCCAATCACAGTCGGCCGATTTTGTCCGGCCCCGCGTGGGCCTCGGTCCCCCGCAGAAGGGGAAGGAACGCCCCGGAAGCGCTCAATTTTGGCCGGTTCGGCCGGCGCGGACGGCGGGGGGCGGGATGTGTGTGCCTGCTTCGTGCCCGGGCCACGGCTCTGGTTCAAGTTGACTTCATCTCGACTTCCATGGCCCCATTGAGGCTTCTATCATATCCTTAGAGGACCCACTTGTTCCACAACGGCCGCCTCGAGCTTACAGGATGGAGCACCGCTTCGTAACGCTACGGATAATACTTGGCGGCAATCCAGTGTAGTACTCCAGCGCGCATGTGCAGAAGACTCTGGTTCGCGTCTTGGTCACTGGTCAACGTCCAGAACGCGGACAGATTGACACCGTACGGAGCTAGCTCATCCGAAACACGCTGGTGCTGAGCGTCTTGTATCGGAGTAAGTACTCGCCATACGTTTGACCAGGCTCCGAGTAAGCATCGGATGGTCGCATGTACACGAGTCAGAGCCCACTAGCAAGGGGACGATCCCGTTTCGTGTCGTTGCTGACTTCGGACTCACTGCAACACGAATATCAGTCGGTGAGCAGCCTTATGTTCCTGACTCCGATGCTACTGCAGTCACGACTTGCCGCGCCCTCGCGGTGTCAGGTAATGTCGGTGAGCATATGCATGGTCATTATGCCCATGCGCCACCGATATGATATCATTCTTTGTGAGTACACTCCAAACCGCAGGCAAGTGTTCACCGTGGAATACAGGCTTTTTCGCCCTATTGGCCATGGTATGCACCGGAGTCGAATACATGCCTAGGCATAGGTAAGCTCATCCAGAACCAGAACTAATACAGATTATTGCTGCCTTTGATCACGACGACAAAATGATAGTGCGGTAATCATCGTTCAACGCTCTTTATACAGAACTCAGTTGTTGTGGGTGCGCACTCGACGCGACCTCGTTGACAATTACTGCTGGGTTCATATCCTCATCGCTTGACGTTTCTTCGAGACAAATGCATAACACGGCACTGTGTGTATATCAGAAATTTCTTGTTTCATGTGGGATAAACACCTGACAGCGAACAGAAAATAGAAGAGGCTGAAGAGTGCATGCCTTACTGAAATTTGAGTACCGACTTCGGGCGATGAGTAGGCTGGCTGCCTCTGGCTGCACATTCGCACTATTAGTAGTGCTGAGCGCTTAAGTGGCGCTGGCGCTTGCACGCGTGTCACGTGATGTTGCAAACGCGTTGACCGCGATGCGTGGGAGAGCGGTTCGGGCTCCGCCGACTCTGTTTGTCTTGCGCCTCCATCATCGCGCGCGTCGGCGAACGCGTCCTCCGTCGACCTCGGTCCGAAGACCCTTGGGAACGACTCACCCCGCCCTCAACACGCTCACTGTGGACACATATGCATGTCTCGGGCCGTCGTGGAAGTGCAGATGATACCCAGCCATTCGCAGCCACCAACATCAAAACGCAAAGTGACCGATGACATGAATCCGTTAGGGAACGCGTCCAAGAAGCAGAAGAAGGAGGTGTGTGCCAGTGCCGGTGCTGTATGCGACGCGTTATTAACATGGTTGCTACGCGTAGAAATCCTCCAATAAGCGGAAACGTGAGTGCTTTGTCTCTTTGTTCAGCGTTCCGTGGGAGCACTCTTTCATCCCGTGCCGAATTTCGATCGCGTACGCTTGGACAGACTGTCAGCACGACATCGCAATGCAAAGATCGCACATGCGAGAGTGATAGGAACGCACAACATACGGGACACTGACGCGTTTACTGCTTCGCGTGACTAACATCTTCTCGTGCAGTTAATGGCGAAGAACAGCCAGGCGGCCTGGTTATTGTGCGCGCCCCCTCCGTCCCCAGTGAAACATTGCAACGACCTCCCTCACGTCAACCATCGTCTCAACCCCTCCCTGGCGAACCCTCCAAACCACCAGCCAAGAAGTTCCGCGCAGATGGCACCACCACCACCGCACGCCAGCTCGCGAAGAACAAGGACAGGCAGATCCAGTCCAGCTCGCGCGCGGACCCCGAAGTCGACGAGGACGTGCGGCAGATGCAGTCAGAGGCAGACACGCTGCGGCGCAAGTCGCATGCCGCGGAACAGTCTATGGGCACCCTCAGCATACCGAAGACACCCAATCGACAGCAAGCACCGTATTCGGAGCGGAGGATGCGCGACGAGCATCAACCCATCCCGGAGCAGGAGACACCGCAGATCGAGCGGAATAGGTTCATGCGGGAGGGAGGGTCGAACCACAGGCGGAAGAGCTCACTCACGCGCGGGAAGCGGATAAGTTCGAGCTACGAGGCGACGGGTGTCATATGTGAGTGACCATTGTGCTTTGCGACCGGTGTCGCTGACGGTCTGGCTTAGCTCAACCCCATACATCAGTCTCAGACTCGAGCTTCTACAAACACATCGACGGCGACCTACCGGAGCCTGCACGCGCGCGGCAACTACTCATCTGGTGTTCGCACCGAGTCATGAACCAGTTAGAACAACCTGAGGCGTCGTCCTCGAAGCGCCGAGAACCGAAGGACTCTGGGAAGGACCCACCGCCACTGAGCGTGGAGGGCGCACAGCTGCTCAAGCGTGTGCAGGAGAGTGTGATCAAGATGCTGGCGGAGAAACTGGTCGACACGAACGTGTACGGTGCGACGGATGCAGCCGACAGTAGGCCGAAGAAGGAGAACGAGCAGAACGTGAAGAATCGGGCGCGAGAGATCCGGTTCAATGCTCACAACCAGCGGTGCGCCCCGTATTTACATACGTCTCTGGAGATTGGTTGCTGATGTACACTGGCGGCTAGCATGAAGGCGGAGGAGGATGCGTGGATAGAGGTCACCAACCACCATCATGCGTTTCGTATGGAGATCGCTGCGGAACTGGACAAGGCTGCATCTACCAAAGCCAAGGGCAAGCAAAGAGCCGTACCGGAGGATGATTGGGATATCGATTCGAGGGACCTCCCGGAACACTTCAGAGGCAAAGCGGGTGTCGAGCTCGCTCGAAGACTTGTCAACGGTGAAGCGGCGCAGCAGGATCCATTGAGCAGTCGACTGGACAGTATGGAATACACGGTACGTATCAAGGACACAAGCGATATCACATCGAGCTCACATTTTCGATAGATGGACCACGCGCATGTTATGACGAACTCCGCATTGGAGACGACTCGTATAGCGGAAACGGATTTAGATCGCCGTTTCGCCATGCTCAACATATCACTAGCCTCTCGCTCGCAACCTGCACCCACGTCATTACCATCCACATCCGGAGCCCTGTCGTCCTACCTCCCTCCCAGCCTTTCCCGACCACCACCCACGACCGACCCACAAGACCTTCTCCGTGCGTTGTCCCGTATCGACGCCGAGCGCCCGCAGAACCAAGTGGGCGACGCAGCACGGCGAGCTGTGAGGGAAGTGCAGCGCGCCACTGATGCACCCGGTGGAATGACAGAGCGACGACTTACCGCAGGTGTGGCCCCTCCTACACCACGCAAGCCACCTGGTACACCTCGTCGAGCAACCACACCTGGCAAGGGTCGCTGAGCGCAGCCTTCCCCCTCCAACTATTCAACCTCTCCATGGTCGGACTGCGTCGGTTACATTTCGCCTTCACTTCGAGTCTCGTTTTGTCCTTAGTTCGTTGTTGTCCGCTGTGCTCCATCTGTTGGCCGATTTCGTCATTGTTGCTATCTGTACACCCTAAAGTCTGAAGCTCAAGCCTTATACGCCCGCCCCGCAGCGTGTGCGCCTCGGCTCGCTAGGAAACGAGGAGAGGCGGTTATGTATTCATACTATATTGGATATTGTTCTCCTCTATAACCTGGACCATCCGTGCCCTGCTGGGCACAAAGCCACCCTACATACCTCGTATTTCTTGGACGTGTAATAAGCCTCGTAATGTGTAGTCTTCGACTCGGAATGCCTCGCGAGAAGCAGATGGCTGCATGATCGACGCGCCTCTATCGGGTCGGAGCGCCTTTCGCTGTGACCTCACGCGTAGCAGCGCCTTCCACCTACACCTGGTCTCCTCGATGCATTAGTTGCTGCTCTCCTCTGTCTCATTCTCAACGCAAGACTTCCCACTCCTAACTCAAGCCGTCTGGATGGTCTGCGCACAACAAGTCTTTCGCTGCTTCCGCGCCGTCGAGCGTGTCGGGGACAAGATCACAGGCGCAGCAGGTCCCTTATTCGTCACTCTCGGGGTCGTCTTACTCTCAGTCGGCGCCGGATGCTTCTGTGAGTTCTGAGCGGAAGTGCGAAGAGGATTGACGTTCTGATTCATCGTGTGTAGTCGAGGTTGTCCGTCCGACTCTGCCTCTTCCATGGCTTACGACGCCTATATGCATACTCATCGCCTTCAATCTGTTCATGCACTATTTCTGGGTATGCCTCGTTCCGCCTGGGTATGTGAGTCTATTGGATTCTCCGCGAGGACGTGGCTCGGGGTGGTTATGGGCGAAGCCGAAGACGAGAGGGGTGCCATTGAGCGCAGAAGGCATGCGGTGGAGCGAGGAAGTGATCATCACGAAGGCGAACGTAACGAGGTGTAAGAAGTGCAAGATTTTGAGACCAGAAGTGAGTATATGCTCGCAGTTCATGGTGCGGTCATACTGAAGGGAGGAGAGAGCGCATCACTGTCGAATATGCAACAAGTGCATCCTGAAGTATGATCACCATTGCCCAGTACGTCCGTGTCGTCCTTTGTCGTACCTCGTATACTGAAGGCTCGTAGTGTATGCGCTTGGCAGGATACTCGTGTTATCTCCATTCCTGAGTTGCCATGATCTTGCAGGGGTAAACCAATGCGTCGGACTTCACAACGAGCGGCACTTCGTGCTCTTCCTGTTCGTCCCTGTCCAGTCTCTTCCTGCCTTCAGTCTGTTAATGTTCCTCGACAGAGTGTACATGTCTGTCGCCACGTTCTGCTACGCCATCTCCGGCTGGCGGTGCATCCTCGCCGCCCTCGGGCTAACCAGCGACGACGCCTGGCCATACTACTCTCCGCCCGTGTTCTTCATCGCGACCTACGTTCTCTCCGTCGTGCTCTGCCTCGCAGTCACCATCATGACCTCGTGGCACATATGGGGCATTGCGTGCGGGGAGACGAGTGTGGAGAGCGCGGACCACGTGCAGTACCGCCGGACGGCGACGGAGCGCGGGGAGACGTTCGTGAATTCGTATGACCTTGGGTGAGCGCGCCCGCATCCTGTCTGGCATTCGTGCTTAATCAGCGACATAGGAAACGGAATAACCTAATGCTGTTCTTCAACGTCGGCCCGGATGGATAGTGAGTACGCATTCCTCCTTGCCCGTATACAGCCTGACAGGTAATGAATGCCCTTAGTCCGCTATACACCTTGCTGTTTCCCTTCCGAATAGAGCCGTATACGGATGGCTGGTCGTGGGCGCGGAGACCTGGACATGAACGCCATTCGGGCGTGCGAGAAGGCGAAGAACTGACAGACCCTGAAGACGAGGCGTAATGTCAAAATGATGTCTACTCTAATTGCGTGAAAACTTTGATTATCGAAGTGCTCGCTATGAGCTCTATGATGGTCTTCACTCTTAACAGCATGGCGTTGCGCACGGACAGACCGGTATGCACTAAGTCATGGTAGTCTGCTGCACTGAATACCTCTCCACCTTGGGATATCGCGCTTCCTACAGCAGAGATACATCAGACCTATACTTGATAGGCCTCACAAAGTTCTCGCCCAGCACATCAAACTCACTGTATCTGTCAGAACTATGGAGGAGGAGGAGGCGCGACAGCGTGTGCGACACTGCGATCGTGACGGAGCGCCCGTGCGGCTCTCTCGCAGAACGCTGATTGTGGCGCAGCCGTGTAATACTTACTGGCAGCTGCTTGCGCAGTGGTCCACACTTCCTGTCCAAGAGTTTATCTTCTCATGAATGCACAGTTCTCAAGATGCAACTCTGTGCCATGGTGCTGAACACCGCGTCCACAGGAAGCAGCAGCTCTGCCTATCTGGAAGCCTCGCCGGACGGTCCACATCGACGGATGGACGGTGTTCGCAGAAGAATCCGTGCATCTGTTATCAGTGCGTATTGCCAATTAGTATTGATGTCCCCGTAATGAGACAAGGTTGATGTACAGCGGCACCTGGACGAAGGGGCTGAATTACTAGAAAGACGTCAATGACTCAGACTGACACCGACGGCGTTGATGATTCTGAAGGAACATGGTGCGCCATATAAAGCATGCTTGTTGGCTGCATCTCTCACTTCGCGCGTTCACTGTCCTCACTCCAGTACGATGTCTAATATTCCCGCCGCAGAAATACCATCTGTGGAAGAGACCATGTAAGTGTAGCGGGCCTCCCGCATGATAGTTCTAACTCCTTTCAGCTTCCTGCAGGGCTGGCTCTCCACCGCGACCACTGGTAGGTACTCGTGCAAGATCCCGTTAGCCACATCATGACTCAGAACACCACCCGTGCATCCACTGGCAGCCCTCCTTCTCTATGACTACATCCTCACTTTCGACTCCGAGATCAACCTCTTGTGGCGCGGAAGCGGAGTGATCGTCTTTCGCGTTGCATTTTTCATTCTTCGTGCATCCATTCTCGGCAACGCGGTCGCTGGCGTGATAGACAGTTCCCCCCCGGACTCTGATGCAACCGTGAGTAAAAGAGCATTCCCAAGGTTGTGTCCATACACTGAAACGTCTGTCGTGAAAGATAAAAGGGTGAGAAGTGCAGATGGTCGCCGTCAGACCTGGCTCATGCCAAGGTTATAGGTGCACTTCATTCAATAATGCATATCTGGCCTTTTTTCTCGCTGGAACTTTCATAGTAGCAGGTGTGTCGTCATGTCAACTTCCTGAAGCATAGAACAGCGTCGCTCATCGACTCTTGAATTGCTCCACACAAGCCGTCACCGCCGTGCGTACATATGCGGTATCTGGTGGTCGGTGGAGCTGGACAATCACCGCGTCAGCGCTGGCTCTTGCAAACTTCAGTCTGACTGTCGTACGTTTCCGACCTAAGCATGTCTCATACGGTGCCGCTGATTCCGGTCTTGTTCGCCTTCAGCTCGTTTCGGTAAAACCTCTGTACTCCCTGATCGAGCTTCAATCGTCGTGGATCTGCGAGATCTCGGGCAACCTGTCTGTAAAGCAAGATTTAATGTACGTATGGTGCAGGTATTGAAGGGACAATCCCGTTGACCACAAAATTCAATCGACAGATGTGATTGGTCTTCTAATCGGCGTACCCTTCTTCACACTCTGAATGCCTGATTCGCGCAGTGACGTTGGTCTTACTGATATGCAATGTCCTGGCCGACGTCGTCGTCATAGTCGCCACTTGGGTGCGCACGTTCCGGATTGTCAGACTCCAGGCAAGGAGGCAAACGTGGAAACAATCGATAGCCTGGATTCTGATGAGAGATGGTGAGTACTTCCAATATTGCGGTATTAGACAGTTTGAACATGCTGAACGCGTCGTTCCATAACCAGGTACCATATATTTCGTGTACGTCTTCACCTCATAGTATCGTATGTTCGTGAACTCGCCCTCAGTGCAGTGTTTGTGGTGAACCTTCTGCTCGGCATAATAGGCGTGCGGTTCGATGTACGTGGTGTTTCTGTGATGTACGCTGCTTCCCGACTCACTGATGATTACATCAGACTATTAGCTGGCTCGCAGGCTTAATGCTACCGTAACTCTATTTTAACTCCCACCTATTCCCCACTGCAAACGCTGATGCCATCGCCGTAGACTACAACTCGTCCTGTTGAACCGACTGCTGATCAACTTGCGTGAGGCATCCCAACTCGATATCTACATAGGCTCTCAAGATCCATCTATCGACGACGGGCATTTTGATGATACCACCAGAACATCTACCGTGATATTCAATCGAGCAGACGACCCCGACGATGAGGAATCGCTGGGTACGTTCGCTTCCTCTCCAATCTCCAGGTTCTAGGACTCATGCGCGCGCCCGAACCCAATTGAAGAGCAACCCGTAGCAGATGCGAACGACTGCTTGGAAAATTGCCATGACACTCCGATTAATACCCATGAACAGCCTTACGATGGCCTTGGGCAGCGAACTGCGGGCCCTAGCCACACTTCGATCCCTCCGACGTAGTCATTGATGATGCGCATGGGGCACACCAGGAGCGATGTATTGGAAATGGCAGTGTATCGATACTACGGACTATTGCTCTGCAACAGCGACACTATATATAGCCTAGGAAGATCAACGTCGAGGCTGGAAGGAGGAACCATCGCTCCTTCTAATTCTCAGTCGTGTGACAGATATGTTGTATCATGAGATCTTGGACAGGAAGCGCACTCATGGCTGCTGCTCTCACTTGCCATCTTACCAACCATGAACGAGGCCAGTGTCTCGGCCTCTTCTGAGTTCCTGTTGTCTTCTGAGGTCACTGATAGCAAATGCGGCGTACCCCGAAGTCCATAGGCAAGTGTCATGCCCGGTCTTCAATATTTCAATGCCGCGCCGCCGGCGCCTTGCGCAGAATTTTGACCAGCAAATGCAAGCGGCAGAGGCATCCATCCCTGCGGAGGTAATCGTCAGCGCTACTGGCTTTAACGCGGACAGGACGGCAGCTTAGAGGTTCAGAAACAGCTTCGTGTAGAAAAACACGCGCGGAAAGCCGGACATAGATCACGCCGCTTCCCGAGGGCCTGCCCGCCCATGGACATGAACAGACTGGCCCTCCGAAGGGTCATATGGCCCCGGCAAGCTCTCATCCAAAGATGAACAAAGAGGTGAACGCGGCTCACCTCGAACTCAATCATAAGTGATGTAGAGCGCTGAACACGTTGGCTGTGTAGACAGCTGTATAAGGTTCGTTGGTGAAGGCAGACAGACAAAGGATCTTGCAGGCGATTAGACAGATGATCAACGAGACCGCAGAGCCCACGTCGATATCATGCAATGCAGTACGACGGTTGGCGGATGGAAGTACGCTATGAAGGAAGGCTATGACACATCGTGAGCGCTGACAGATATCTCTCGTCCATTTGGCCGCACAGAGCGCCGCATTGGATCCCGAGATAGCGGTTTCCGCATATCTGTCGAGGCGAGTGAGAAACCTTCGCACACAAGCAGAAAAACACTCACCGAACGCGTCCTCTTCATCCTTCGCGTTCCGTCCCAGCCCTAAGCTGCCGTAGTACTCCCGTACCCTCCTATATACACTGTACCCCAGCCCCTCGTACATGCCTATAGCAACGGTATTCGTACACCGGACGTAGAGGTCGACGAAGAAGCCGTGGTAGTTGTTGTCCGAGACGCGCTCGAGATAGTCGATCATTTTGCGGGCGAGCGAGAGTCGGCGGTACTCGGGCGCGACGGTGAGGGCGGTGATGTGCCCGTGCCATTCTGTGCCCTGCCCCTCAGCCTTGCCGAGAACTATGTTATGTCAGTTCATGTATCAAGGTGAATGCGGCGTGTGGACATACTATAGCCCATCATACGTCCATTCGGGGACTCCTCTACAGAACACAAGTCCGGCCAACGCGACAAATATCCAAGATAAAAGTTGATGCCATACTATGAGAGGCGAGTGTCAATTTGAATTAGTAGGAAACAAGAGTCCAGCTCACAGTCTCTGTCCACAAGTCCAAGTTACTGAGGACGGTCAATCTTCGACCTGCATCATGCACGAACGTCCCTATGGACTCACATATGGTTGAACCTGAACATGTCCGTTGCTTTGAAGGGCCTCGTTACGCTCATATTGATGAAAGAGGAGGGGATTGAAACGAGGAAGACTGACAACGGAGACCAGTGACAACGGAGACCGAGCACTGGCAGTGAGACTCTGTGAGAGCTTGGCTGCCATTCGGGATAATCCGGGCCTTGCAATCCCGCTCCTCGTGGGTGAGATCTGTCCCCGATCAGAGACCTCCTCCCTACCGAGCTGACTCTGGTCTTCAAGACTGCTAGCCCCAAGCTAGCCCGCATTGGCATTTGCTTCGTCGACGTCTAGTCGGACCCTATCGCGTTCTCTACATTGAAGACAACATAAAAGAACCGGAAGCAAGCCACTACTGCCGCGCCTTCGTGTGTCCAACAGTGGAGTGTAAGTTTGAAATGGCGACCACCGTCGCAGTGGCCCGGGCATGGGTATGGGACACTCTGTGGACGGAATAGAATATGTCGAGTGGCCGGTATGAGCTTCCTAAGTATCGTATCTGGACCTATGATGACTTTGAATTCCCACCGTTCTCATATATAATGTCCGCGCTCGGGATAAGTACGCATTCGCACTCCAGTACCAAAGGCTGACGGCGCGACAGTATGTCTAACATCCCCGCTACAGAAGTTCCACCGCTCTTGAGTGGTTTGTGAGTGCTCAATTCTCGTGATGATCATCTACTCACCCAGCCATCTCCACAGTTTCACGCAGAACTGTCTCACGGCGTCCATCGTAGGTTAGTATTCACGCGATGTGTTCATTAAAACGTGCTGACTCACCAGAGTGTCTAGCCTTTCTCATATACGACTATGTCCTTACGCTTGGCCTGGAACTGGAGCTCTTTTGGTGCCGAAGGGGAGCTATACTCTCCAGACTTTTATTCTTCGTTCTTCGTCTATCCATCATTGCAACTGCAATCATGAACGTGCTCAGCACCTTCGTTACGGAACTCGAAATCAACGTGTGTACTCGTGAATCGCCGATACGCGATACACTTACTGACATCGCTTGCAAGGAAAGATTGACCTGTGAGTGCACTTGGTGGCTCATGGATTATTCTTACAGCGAGTGTATATGGCCAGTTGTGTCATCGTTTATTACGCGTGGGCGGCATCTCAGCTCATTGCAACTCTGGCTACGGCAGGGAAGTTTTGAATTAGTTGTGCTTGAAATTTTCAATCTTGATTCTTGACACAGGTGTTACAGCTGTACGTGCATATGCTGTTACTGGTGGCCAATGCATCTGGACCACTGCTACGTCGATGCTAGCTTTTGCCTCTTTTGGTTGCCTCGCGGTATGTTCTACTAGTCGATGCTGAATACTATCTCAATCACTTCCACAGCGCTTGTATCTCGGGTTCTCGTACCAGTTGATCAACGTCAACTCATCTGCGACCTGCATGTTTTCACCAACCCTGTCTCCGGATCATATCACAATGTCAGTACTCTCACAAAGAGGTGTGGAAGTTGCTGACGACAACTCTCCGCCTTCAGTTGTGAATAGCCTATCAGCCGGTGTATCGTTGTCTGACTTCTGACGATTTCTTCTGATCAGTGATACTAGCGACGCTGATATGTGGTACCCTTGCCGACGCTACTCTCATCGCTGCGACATGTGTGCGCACCGTTTATATTGTCAAGATTCAAGCATGCGAGCGGTGGCGGCGACATTCTATTACCTGGCTTCTATTCAGAGACGGTACGTCCTTAACTGGCAAGCGGGTCAAGAGCGCATGGGTGGCTGAGGATGTCCCTCATTGATCTCCCAAGGAACTGCATATTTTCTGTAGGTCATCGGTCAACAATCTAGTAAGGCGACCTCCTACTCATTGCTTCTAACACAGCGCGGTTTTCAGCGTGAATCTTGTCATTTGCATTGTAGGTGTGCGGTTTGGCGTAGGTCATCACGTTACACGCTACCGAGCAGGCGACACTGATACAAGGCATGTGTCAGGCCATCGATTGGCTTGCCAATCTAGCATTTCCGCGAGTACCCAATGGGTCCAATCGTTACTACACAAAGTCAATACTAAAACTTTTCATAGACTACAATTGGTCTTGTTGTCTCGGCTCTTGATCAATCTGCGCGAAGCATCCGACCGTGATGTTTACATGAGCTCTGAAAATACACCCAATGACAACGACGAGTATCCGGATACTGGTATCAAGCAATCGACCATCAGGTTCAATCATACTAATACCCACAGCGGCGCCGAGGAAGCATTCGGTACGTTGGTTGATAGGCCCTTGTGTCTCGATCTCACGTGCGGACCTAAGCACCAGTTGACGAACAGCCCAGTACCATTGAGGAAGATGATGATGCAGATGTTCATGAAGAACTTCAAGATGACCTCGAATGGCGCGCCGTTGATTCCGTGCGGGCTCACGCAACTCCTGCCGCCGATGGTGGTCCGTCGCCCATCTGCGCCTAGACTGTGTTGTATTCCATCAGTGATTGTGTATATGGTGAGTGTCTATGCCAGTCACGAAACCGGTGGATGTCTTTCTTACAGAGTTGGAGTAGCAGAACGCACTTCTGAGGTTACCGTGTACAACGCATCGTATAGAGGATTTCAGTTGTTATTATTTTGACGCGGCAGTGCACAGACGGCACTATCTCACTCGCAGCTTCTGCTACAACACACCGATCGCGAACATGAACATGTCATTCGTCACGCCACCGACCACCTATGTACAAATACTAATACCGTCCGTCCCTCTCGACCTCGTATTTCTCAGCTGCAGCGGCGTGTAACGCTGCGATCGAGCGTCGGAGGCTAGACATACGGTCAATACCTTTGTAACGCGGATGCGAGAGTGTACGCACCTCATCTGCTCGTCGTAATATTCCCTGATCTCGCGATAGCGCTTCAGACGCAAGCGTTTGTGCAGCAGAACAAGAACAACGATGGTGGCGGTCATAGCTGCCGTGAACGAACGTCAGTCACTTCGTCAGCCAGAGTGGTGTCCCACGCCGAACGCACCCGAAAGCACGCTGAGAGTCACGACGCCGTATTGCCAGGTAGCGACGTGCACCGGCATCTCTGGAGGGTGTATGCAGGTTCCGGAGGCGCCGCAATTGTGCTATATGCTGCTGTCAGCAACGGTCCAAGATGCTGGAGAACGATATGAACGTACACTTTGGCACTCGCGGTCCGCGTCGCACGCTGAACCCAGGGTTTTAGTTGGGACACACTGTGTGCTGTTCCGATCGCAGTACAGCCTTGATGACCGGCAGTTGTCTCTTGTGATCGTATTGCTATACTGCTGTCCATCGGGGCCCTCGACGATGTAGGTCACGTCGTCCAGCACACACGTATGCCCCAACGACACATTCGCATACCTACCCACCCATTAGCCATCCCTCTCCGCACCTGAACCAGAAATCGAAACTCACATGCAAGTCGACTTCATACAGACCGACCCGTTGGAGTTCCAGTTACTCGCGAGGTTCTGCCAGTTCGAAGGGGGCGCGCATTGGTCGTCGCGGTTCATCTCGCAGGTCTGGCCGGGCCCGACTAAGAACTGGCACCCGCTGCCCGCGTCGGGACAGAAGCTCCCTCCGGAGCACAGAGGTGGGAGTGGCTCGTCGTCGCCGTATCCGAAGGGAAACTCGTCTCGGCGGCAGCGCCGGGGCTGGCAGGTACCATTCGCGGACGCAGCTGGCGAGGAGGTCGAGTTGTTCGCGGTGGACGAGGAGTTCGATGAGGAACAGAAGGTCGTGTCGGAGCAGTCGCTGAGGAAGGTGTGTGATGAGGGGTCTAGCCGGTCATTGGAGGGAGAACATGCGCCGCCTTCTGGGACCTCTCCGGCGAGTGAGAGCAGAGGAAGGCTCAAAGCCAAGATATAGAGACTGCCACGCACGAGCATTGGTCCTTCAATCCGGATCCGATGAGCGTTGGCCGGGACAGCGATACTTCGTCGTCTCGACCTGTACCCGCCTCGTCATGAATCAGACTACCGTAGGCGCACCTAGTTTCATTTCCAACCAGTAAGGCACCATTGGCCATCGTGGCCAAAGGTTTCACATACCCTATCGCAGACAAGTCACAACGGCATTGCGGGCACCCACTTCTTCACCGCAGACAAGGAAGGTTCATAGTCATAGCATATAAGTCGGAACACACGGGCATAGCACGTTACAGAAACATAGGGAGAGCACAGCTCTCAGAAGCATATGCCCGACGCGGGACAGTCAGGGTGAGGTTGCCGCTCACATCCAGCACAACGTGCGCCGCTCTCAGATTCACGTCCTCGGGCGTGAAGGCGATCTCCCACTTGTAATGAGCTGGAACTGTATCAGTGCCTGACGTGAAGACATGCGATCGGAGGCGCACCGTCGTGTTCGAGGTGCCATGCGTCTGCCACGACGGCCAACCTGCAGCCGCGCTTGACGTAGACGGTGACCATCTCAGCGCAGAGACCCTTGGGCACCCGCGCACAGAAGGTATACTGGTCGCTGGACCGCTGCAGAAGCATCGACGCGCGCCGCGCACATCGTCTTGCGTGTGCGATAGGCGATTCCGGTATCGATACCGGTAGTGCCGCCTCTGGCTCGTCTTGCGGGACCAGAGACGAAGAGAGTTTGGACTTTGTCGGAGCTCGTTCGGTCTCAGAGGGAGGTTCCAGCTGTGGGGACGAAGCCGACAACAAAGAAGCGAGAGAATGCAAGGACGACGCCGAGGAGAGAGTTGGGCCCAGGGAGATCCCGCCTCCGATGCTCGTCTCCGTGGCCGAGATCTTCATTGCTGCAACAGAGGAAGATAGCGCATCCACACCGGGTTCACCCCTGGAGACTCCTTTGCTCTTCGTCCACGGCAGCGGAGGAGCCCGTTCTTCCACTGGCGAGAGCGCCGACAGACTGAAAGAAGCTGCCCGAGAAGTCGACCTGGGAGCCCCGCTAATCGAACGCGTGTTGTCGTTTCCCGAAGAGCATACGAGAGGAGAGACTACGGGGTGATCAAAGGCGATGAAAGTGTGTTCTCGACGAAACGATACTCACAAGGATTGGACGACCTGCGCCGCGAACTCGACCTTCCATAACCTAGTGACGCCAGCTGCCCTTTCTTCTCCGAAAGCTCATGGCTTGCATTGTTCGGAGTGGAATCGCCACGAGGTATGTCACCAAGTGAAGAGCTTGTTGCGAACCCAGCGAGCGTGCCTGCGCCGCGACCTAGGACATTAGTAGATGCTCCGAGCGAAGGTAGCCGGATGCGAGTCTTGTTCAAGATAGACATGACGCAGAAGACAGAAGATACCGTCTGGAAGAGGTGTCGGTGGCTATTCATACGTCCAGTACGCATGGCGAACCAGACCGTAGGGAGGTTTGATCCTTGGCCGCCATTGCTTCGCGACTGCTAGTCGGACCCACACAGGTTGCGCGCTAGCAAAGCAACTAGCGTGATGATGGGAGCATAGAGAATGAGAGATGAACAGAGCGAGCGATGCACCGTCAAGGCGCAAGAAAGACGTCTGGACGCTCGAATGGTCAAAGCGAAAGGACTCACGGTCACGGGATCGTGACGCAGCACTCGAGTCCGACTCGGTAAGCTTCCACTTTTGTTCAAATTTGTTGGTCGGATGGTCCTCATCTGCAACGCAGAAATGTTCTTGAGAATTTCTCGCACCTCTGGAAGCTAGCTGAGAATACATTGGCTGTGTGTGAATATCCCGGCAATGATCCATATCAGCCAATGTGTCAGATACGTCCACCCGCCGTCTACCGTCTCTCAGGCTGGCGACGCAGCACTCGGCCTTCAAACTTCAAAGTAAAACTCCAGCTCTTCCAACATTGCTTGTAGAGCTGTCCTTGGACAGGCGGAACTGCACCGGAAGCCGGGGAGGTGGATGACGTCCAAGCTCTACTCTGCGCCATGAGAATTGCAGACGAGAGCGTGTAGTGTTCTGTGGCTGTGGACTATGTCGTTGGCGTCGTTGTCTTCATACGTATGTGCATTCTCCATGTCGATAGGATACCTGGGACTGACTGTGCTCCTAACAGCGAGAGCTACTACTGATGTACTGTCACCACGGGCTGCGCCCCGAACTCGTGTAGGTGGACGACCGTGCGCGTGAACCATTCAGTACCCTCTGTGCCTCGTACAACCGTGGTGATGCCGAGTCGCAATGCTGCCGTCAAATCCAGTATCCGCGGTCCTATCACTCATTGACGAATGTTCGCGGTGCACTCTAGCACTGAGCGATGAGCTGTAGACTCGGTGTGTAGACATCCTACGTCATGCTACTCGTTTGGCTTCTACGGTACAACAAGATGGACGCATCTCGTGCATCTTCCACGCTGCCGCGCCCAGGGCTACTCTTATGTGAGAGGTGTGTAGCTGATATCACATGGTCAGGCGTACTTACACTCTTCAAATCATCTTAGGTTTGAATATCGACACGTTCCAAGCCTCAACTCTCCTCGCAAAGCTGCGAAATGAGGCGCCCGCGACTAAGCCCGCCTGCTTCAGCTTCCAGGCGCAGTCAATTTCACCTTGTACGTACTCAACGCGTAGATGCTGGTGGATTCCTGTGCATCGTGGCCCCCGTGCAGTCGCAATGATCTGTGTGGTCCATCTCTGATTTTGGCTGGATCTCAGCTCGAAACAAAGATACATGGCAGAGCAAGAGTGCGTTCGATTCCAATCCATCCAGAAGAGTAAGCTTCTCACTCATCTCTCGATAGTCTTGCGGACAGTGATTAAGTTCGATGCACTGCCAGGTTTACATAAAGCCCTGACGTTGCCCTGCCACCATCTGCTACTGCGGCCCAAGATTTCGCGATGTGACTGTTCATCTGCATTAGAGGCACAAGTCGACCTGGGCCCGCGCCCTTCGAGACTGGTTTCGGGGTCCGCATATATGCTGTGCGTCACTGCGAACGGCTCAGCGGTGTCGCGTAAGCGCCACACTGTACTTACATGGTGCGTCTTCCGCGGCGGGGTCAAGTTCAGTTGTTGACATCTGCCCCCGCGCACAGCTGGGCCGCAGAAGCACCGATGTCTCCCTGTCTCAAGACCATCTTCAGCCACTGGAACACTCTTGTTCGGATTATGCAACTAGCGCACGGGCGTCAGACCGTCCATACGCGGAGAAGCCAGACTTAGAACCCTGCTTGACACTGTTGACGATCGCCAGCGTTAACTAAGACACCGATGTGGTCGTCGGAGAGGACCTGCTCAAATGAATAGACGCCGCTCGCTGTCGTGCTAGTTCGCGCTCACCACAGCCACGCGTTTCAGCGCACTACAGTCGACATCGCCTCAACATTTATATGTATGTGCATAGGGACCCGCAGACATTCTTCATCTCCACCCACACCTCCATATCACCAGACCATGTCGGTAAGCATTTCCTCGCGAGACGGCTTCTCTCTGTGCTGATTGCCACGGTAGTCATCAGACCCCGCAGCGTACACTGTACGTCAACCTCCTCCTGTCCCTTCAAGCAATTCGTTGCTTACAGACGTTGTCACTCTCACAGCAGGAGCACTTCAAGCAGACCCTACAGGCTCTAGTTGACGAAGATGAACGGTTGAAGCCCTTCTTCACTCTGCTGCAGGCAGTCGAGGAGCCGAACGTCGATCACCAACAAGGCGTTCTGCAGGCCTTCGCTGACCTTCAAACCTCAAACGAGGCCGCAGGGCACGGCCCGAGCAAGACGGCTGACGCCAAGACCGGGCTTCACCTCTTCCAGCTACATCCGTTCCACGAGATGATACAGCTCGGGCGCCAGGTCGAAGGCGACGTCTTGCACGTTGTGCACTCCTTGGAGCCCCGCAACAAGCAGCCTACGTTCAGCAATTGGGGAAAGACCGTTTCGTACGATCCCGGGTATACCCTGGTCATCCGTACTATTTACGGTGTATGTGAAGTGGTGAAATGGGCGGCTCAGAAGGGAAAGAAGGTCCGTGTTGCGGGTTTCCGTCACACGTGGGGGTACGTCCTTTCAATTTTTCGCTTCTAGCCCTTCATCGTCTGAAGTACATGGATGCAGTGAGCTGTACGGTGCCGAAGGCGACGTCATGATCATGTTCCTACCTATCGAGAGCCTGACGAAGCTCCCGTACAAGCAGCCTCCATCCGACTGGAAGACGGAACTCTCGGGCATCGAAGTCGTCCCGTCCGTCGCCGGCCGTGTCCCTCCGCCAGGCCACGCCTTCTGCAAGATCATGGCGGGCACGACGAACGATCAGCTGCGCCAGTGGAGTCTCAACAACAAGACGTGGTGTATCCCGTTCAACGTCATCATGGTCGAGATCACATTTGGCGGGAGCAACGCGCCGATCTGCCACGGCTCCGGTTTCTCGAGCACAACACTCTCCGACATTGTTGTGGAGGTCACGTACGTCGATGCGCACGGAGAGCTCCAGGTCGTGAACGACCCTGCCGAGCTCCGTGCTGCAAGCGGATGCTTCGGCTTGCTTGGTGTCGTCGTTTCAATCACTCTTCAGCTCGACGCGATGGGGGTGGCGGAACTTGTCCCCGTGCACACGCCGTTGCCTCTCGCTATACCTCCGCCGAAGGGCTACCCCGTCCCGAAGCAGGTACAGAGTATGATTGAGAAGGCGAAGATCACGGAAGCACAGCTTGAGGAAGCAAGGGCGGACTTCATTCGGAGATGCGAGGAGGACTACTATCTAGAGTGGTTCTGGTTCCCGTACCAGGAACACGTCTGGATCAACACTTGGAACAGTAAGTGCTATGTTCATGCGGCTTCAGCGCAGCGGGCTGACCGGGAGGCAGAGTATCCAATGACTCCTCGGGACGGAGATCTCAAGCCCTACCCGGGCGACGGTTGGCTCGATGGCGTCAAGTCGCAAGAGGTGCGTGTTCGGTCTCGTCACTGACGAAGCTTTTTTCAACGTGTGTACAGCTCCAAGAAACCGCCGCGCAAGTTGTCACGAGCTTCTTCCTGTGGAAGGACCTTCCAGGTTACATGCAGGCGTGGCTGTTCGGAGTAGCGTCCATGGCCGCCATGCCAAACATTACCGATCCGAAGAAGGCCATCAAGACCTACGTTAGCGAAGCTTTGCATTTCAGGAGAGGGATCCGTGAGTGCATTAGTATTGCTAATCATCGTGGCTGTTCTGACGATGCATGACTTACGCTCAGAGAACTTCCGCTGCTGGGATACGGAATGGGAGGTCCCTATTCCATCGACGACGGAGGGGAAGAGAGACTACACCCTGATCCAACGCGCATGGTGAGTGACGTTAATCATCTTCCGGTCATACGAGTTCATCAAGGCGTAGGTGGGACGGTATCTCCGCGATGTACGCTGAAGCACACGATGCGCCTGCCCGTATTGCACTGGAAATGCGGCTAACAGGTGACTCCAACGTCATCCTCGCGCCTCAACGAGGAAACACATTCGGCACAGCGTCCATCGAGGTGTTGACGACTCTCGCAACTCCTGAGCCCATGTGGGCAGACTTCATGCAGCTCGTCGCTGACAAGTGGACAAGTTATGACTCAAAGGGAGCGGATGGCAGACCGCTGCTCCCTCGGCCACATTGGGCGAAGCAATGGAATGGGCTGCAGGTCCACGGGAAGTCTGTCAAACAATACATGAAGGAAGACGCTTTCAAGGAGGCGTTTGCGGAATTTAGAGACACCTTCGGTCAGATAGTCACTAGTCGAGGGTGCTCGGTGGAGGAGACTCGATCTCGATTCGGGAATGCGTTGATGGACGACTTGGCCTTCTGATATGTGTAGAAACAGTGTTGTGTATGTCATAATCATAGGTGGCTTCCTCCGTCGTGTCTACGTCCTCACTTTTGCGTGCAGTGTCGCGAGCACGAGGTGGGCTCATCAAGTCCTCTGACATGGGTTAGGAAGCCCGCCATATGATAAGAGTAGTATGCGTTTCGCTACCTAGGCTTTGGCGCGTCGAGAATGGCTTGGCTGTTCCTCCGGAGCGAGCGAGATATGAAGTTGGGTATGTACATGATCATACAGTCGACGCGCCGGCAATGGGGAGACCGACTCGAGTATGTAAGCCATGAGGTGAACGTAGCAAATACAGTCCTGACGGAACGATATCTAGCTCTAAGTGGACATCACTCAGATGGAATGCCTTCGAAGGTCCGGTAATAGAGACCGCGTACGACGATGAAATCCCGAGATTCTTGTCCGTCAGCTACCTCCGCGCCGGTGACAGTTTAACGTCTCTTGTCCTTGGGTATTCAGGAGCCAGCGGTACGCATGCGTACGACTGCTCTGAACCGGTAAGATGTCAGTAGCCGAAGCAACGCCTTGTTATTTGAGCACGTTAGCCTCCAGCCGCTGAACGGTGACAGGATTGTCATCCCCATCGACGATTGCGACGTCCGCTATCTCGAGTTCCTCGTCGTCTTCGAAGGTCTCCAACGTTGGCGAATTATCCGTCTCCGTGTCGAGCATGGGCATTGTGGGCGGGACGAACAGGACATCTGACATTTGAGTCGGTAGGTCGGACCCGGAGCTGCGAGTAGGGCTACTGATTGACCCGATGGCCACGTCGGTGTATGCCGCTTGGCGAAGGTTCATGAGCAGCCGCGATAGCAGAATGAGGGATAGTCTAGCGAGTGATTGGTTTGCGAGCGGTGCGAGGTTGTAGATACTACGCACGGGAAGATCAAGGTTGTAAAGAATTGGATGCGCTGATTGGTATGTACTGGATCAATCATTGAATTGATAGAGCTGGCGAGATGACGTACGTCAAACCACCAGAGCAGGATATCAATGAGGTTGAGTACCAAGATTACACTGTTGAGTGGTCAGCGTTCCGCCGCAACCTCAGACATGTAACCGTAACGCACGAGAAATACAGTGTGCCTGAACAACATCATCATGAGAATGTGGCCGGCAGGTAGCATTGGCAACTACTCACCATCTCGCAGTAGGTACCATGAGAGGGACCCAGTCAAGATCCCTTTCTTGGCGCTGAGTTTAGCGGATTGAAACAGATGGAGCCACGTAGCAGCAACAACGGATACGTCAGAAAGAATGACACAAAGACGGCTGGCCAGAGCAACTGTAAACCAGGAACTGGCGTGTGAGCGCAAGACAACACTCGTTCAGGCAAGTGCAATACCTCTGTGTGAGTCGTCAGCAGATGGAGATGTAGCGCACTGTGATGCACAACACTTACTGGTTCGCCGAGTTCATAGAAAGCGTAGATAGTACGGCGCAAATTGTCGTGGTGGGTACTGGCTCGACTAGGTAGTAAGCCGTTGTTAATAGGTACTAAGTGCACACGGAACCGTAGTGAGCTTTCGCGTATGAACCTGATGTAGAGGACACTGACAATATTGATAACGACTGGTGCCAGGCCCAACGCTAGTGTCACTAATGACAGGGGCCAGTTGCGACTGGTCACGGCAAAGACGCGAATCGCAGAGATCACTAGAGAGAAACATGAGTTCCATTGCAATCTCCGTATTGCCTAAACTTACCTGCAATCATGCCGTACCCGAGCATAGTCAGTGTTGCGTCCCAGATGTTATACGATTTGCAACTGTATAGGACCGGATCAATTAAACGCATGCGTAGTCGGGTGTTTCCCTCACCCTGTCAACTACGAGATGAACATCAGAGAGAGCCCAATCACGAGTGTTGCAAACTCACGGTCGCTACCGCATCCGGTACATAGTTGCCCGCAATATTTGTGGCTGCGATGGCTAGTAGAATGACGCGCACAGAAAAGAAAAGAAGGGCAGAGGCAGAGGCAGAGGAGGCCTTAGCAGTCCAGAAAAGAGCGACTTCGTTTGAAAGAGTGAGGATATATTCGTAAAGCGCGAGGGCTTCAGACGATCCCAATGAGTGTTTGTATATTGGATGGAAGAATGTTAAACTTACCTAGTGCTGCTGCCGCGAGGCATTTAGCAACAAACCTGGACAAGATAGAGGAGTATTTAGATAGCGTGATGACGGTACCTCTGGAGTGTAGCTTGACTTACTCAGTATGCAGCTCAGCGGCAAGGATCGCTAGCTGTGCTTCGGGCGACATAGGCACGGTTGCGTTCATCCTGGCCTGGCTCGAGGATGGAGGAGACTAGGCACGCTCAACGCTCGAGACCTGAGCAACATCGTCGCCGTCGCTATCTTATACTCCAGCTTGACCAGCGATAGCTCACGGCGAGCAGTCATCAGGGCCATCAAGTATATATGTCATGTACGGCATTTTCCCTGATGGGCAAATGCCACTGTGAATGTTCGCTCATTGTGGAGGCTGCGCAACTGCCGCATGCGAGCAACCTTCGAGAAATGAACACGGTGATTCATGACGAATAAGACTCGACCTTTGAGGGGATCTACACGGATACATACGGAGCCCCAGGTAGAAGAGCGAGGAGGAGGCATTTGATGGCGCGACCGGATCGCGTGAGACAAGGAGATTATGACTCTGAGGCCGATCAAACCCAAGCCATATGATATAACACCGTAAGCCGTAGGACGACTGAACTCAGACAAAGGCGCATACGTACTGTACATATGTCAGGACGGCCAACATAACGCGCCGCCCACTCGTCTTCACACTCCTCAGCTTGTTTGAGAGCGACTTCGGCTAGGACGTCGTGCCGTTAGTCTAGGGTTCAAACTTCAGTCTGGGCGTGAGCCTAGGGTCCAATGGAGTAAGCATCATCGACGGTGGCTGACCCGCGCAGATGGATGACATCGTGTAGACTGATTTGAATAACTTATGTACCAACACATCTCTATCCCCTGTCGTCGATCCTGTAGGAGGTAGCATCTCATCGTCTCCGCCGTCTACTGAGTCGACCAGAACGCATCAGCACGGACATCTATGAGGTACCCATGGTCAACCCACCTCAAAGATCGCTGAAGAAGGCGTGGTACCGTTGCGAGCTCGAGTGCGGTTGCGTATAAAGCGCTTCGGTACCTCCCGTTGTTAGGGTACGTCCAGTAGTGAACGTGCTTCCACATTGCTAATCGAGTAAGTCATAGGCATCCTGTGAATAGCGTCATCGCGGTGTGACAAAAGAGAGGGAGAGAGGGACTCTCGTCCAAGTTCTGCTGCTGGCGCGAGCCGTGTGGCTCGACGCTTCCAGAAGCGGCCCGGCACGGGCCGAATTGCCATCGTCAAACCGGCCGGTAAGTAGTAAAGTGACTACCGGTACCAGCAGCCCTCCTATAACTAAGTTACTTGCCTTATGAACGGTCGGTCGAAAGTCATTGAGCATCTTCACGTTGGGCGATTATTGACTCGTATTGGCTACAGACACCGATTGATTTCGCCGACAATAGCGGTCATGGCTCGGAAGGATCGTGGACCACTACCTCATGCTATGAAGACCGGGTGCTGGAGAATAGAGCAAGCTCGAAGAAAGGTCTTGTAAAGGCTCTCGATCGCGGATTTGACAACGTTGGGCGCACTTCAAAGGGAGAAACCGCGAATCGCTCGCCAACCCTGCGCCAACCCGGCGATAGGTTTCAAGTCCCTATGTCACTTGCGTGCACAGCACCGGGCTCGATTATCCGCCGGCGGACTCTACATATCAGAACCATTCCTGTCACAGCTGGTTCCATACCGATAGGTCCCTCTTCGATGAACATACACTGACAGTGACATAGGCAGAGGACGTCGGATCTTGACTCCCAGTGATCCACAGCCTCTGCCGTTCGACCTCCGAAGTCAGTCGCTGGGTCTGGCCGATACTGGCTTGGCCCCATCGCTGCCTTTCGTGGTGCGGCCTTGATAGAAACATCAACTCCGCCTCTGCGCGGTTCCAGACGCAGGTACAGTACCCATCGTTGTGGAGGAGGAGGAGGAGGAGGAGGAGGAATTTCTATTTAGCCGTAGTGCATGACGCACGCGTGATCAGAATTATTGGCAGTGTCTTGACTCTTGACAGTGCTAGTGACCAATCAGCTGCCTCCTCATGATCTTCTGTCGATCTTTGCGGGGCCGCACCGGTCATTTTAAACCGGCCACTGATCGCCACTGTCACAAAGGCCTCAGTTTGCCTCAGCGGGGCGCCGCTTTACCTGGTCATATCAACACATCAGAGTCAATATGCCGGACGCGCAGCGACGGTCTCACCTATAGGTTTTGCGGTGCAGACATGGTGATTACTAGTAGGTGCGAAGCTTTATTTAAGCCGACGCAGTTTGCTTTCAACTCGCATGTCAGAAGGCTAGCGCGAAGTTTGACTAGGCCATGTCAGATGCAGAGATGGAAGAGGCCATTGCACAAGAATTGTGAGCCTTTTTTTGGGATGATGCGATGTTCTGCTGAGATTGGCATCGCATAGATTTACGACGTACTGTGTCGGCATCGCGTCCAACGGTACGTGCAGTAGCTCAAGAGATGGTGACTTGGAGGGACTCATGACTGCGGACTGTGGCTCAATCGTCACAGCGTTGCTCCTGTATGAATATATCATCACATCGCGCAGCGAGGTATCTCTATTCTGGAGTAGAAAGCTGTCTGCGTCGATCCCCTTCCTCGTCGTGCGCTTCCTAGTATTGGCGACCGCAGTCTTTGGCATAGCCACCCACTCGACGCCGTCCATTTGCACGAATGTAAGTCTCGCTTGGCCGGGAACTTGAGGCAGACGAGCGATGGCTGATATGCACTCGTAGTTGAGCGGGTCAGTGTCCGTTCTCCTGATGATACCCGAGACGTATTACGACCTTGATCCTGTCCCGTCACCCAGATGTATGGCATCCATCATCTTCTCTATGTTCGTCGAATTCTCTAGCTTAGCGATGCTCGCAGGTGAGTATGACAGTGTGCCATAACTGTGGACACCTGATACACCTTCGTTCATAGTCATTTCAGCCATGCGGGTTTACGCTGTCAGTGGCCGTCAATGGCTTATCACAGCAGTCGCCCTTCTTGTCGGTGTATTACCCGTCGGAGTGAATGTGGTATGTAGCTCGAACCGAATGGAGCATGAGACATTCTTTGCTGACCGCAGTGTCAGTATGCCGCAAGCCACGCTACGATTTACTTCGAAGGCGGGGTCTGCTCATACGACACCAACCTAACCGGTAGAGAAAATTTCATGTATGTCTTCATTCCTGTGGCAAAGTCGAGTTCTTCTGTTCACGAAGCCTCGCACACAGATGTGCGCACATCGCCTCGGATAGCTCCCATGCGTAGGCTCATACATCTCTGCTTCAGTCGCTCTGTTATCGCGTTTGGCCACCATTGTGTGCGACGTTATCGTCGTCGCTACTATCTGGGTCAAGACATATAGCTTGGCGAAGTATCACGCACAGACTCGGTCGTTCAATCAATCATTGCTATGGTATCTCCTTAGGGATGGTGAGAAGCTCGCTTCGCGTATGGTTAATGTCTGACATGCCCGTTACGCAGGAACCGTATACTTCATGTAAGTCAAGGCTCAGCACGGAGATCTGAGGTAACACTAGTCATTGCGTGTAGCGTTCTTCTAATCCTTAACGTCGTCGACATATTCCTCTTTTACTTCAAGGTTTGTCGTTAATCCGATACCTTTATCCTGCACATTGACAGATAGCTGACAACAGAGCGAAGTCAACTTCCTCGCCAGCATCATACTGCCGTAAGCTATATGTTCATTCATGTTTGCTGAGAGCGATTCAAAGAGCGCTCCGCAGGTTATCATTGATCCTTATATCCCGACTCCTCATCAACCTCCGCGAGGTTGCATCCTCTAGGGGACTCGACGAGACGTCTACGACAACGCACACTTCCTCCTTCGAGGTTCAGACGCCATTCGAGATGTCCACCATCGTCTTCGGACAGGGGATAGAAGACGGAGCGCCGAAGCGTACCGGGTTCGGAGGTGATGCAGGCTGCTACGGCGGACACGAGATGTTAGACTCTGTGCCGGAGGAGTGTGCTTATCAGGAAAACGCGGACGAGATTGAGATGATACACTTGGAAGCATGATCATGTAGGAGACATGGCGCTCGGGAAAAGGACACTGTATACGTAGCTTACTGTATTTCTTGTGCATTCCCTCTGATGCGGAACGATCGTGGAAGGCGTGTCTACATACTGCGAAATATTCTAGTTGTACATAAAGCATGGACTACCTGTACTGCGCGCTTCGCATATGGTGGCTGACCCTGGATGTTCATTCACTGATGTGGTGACAACCCAGGAGACTCATTGATACATGAAGGTGGCTGACATGGTGGTCAGATAGGATGTGGGGCGCAGTACACCATACCACCTTTCGTTCAGCCGTCACGAGTAGCGTCGTTACTGGGTTCACACTGTCACAGCAACGCACAGAATGAGTAGTGAGTGATTATATTCGGTATACGCCTATTGCAGAACACTCAGTGCGTCCACTGCATAATCAGGCCTTCATCCGCCATCTGCCACCGAGAGTAATCGGCCAGGAACCACAGACACCGTAGAAACACAGCAGGACTCAGAGGCTCGCCACAAACACAAACGGCTCCACCGCGTCCTCACCCGCTTGGACGGCGACGACCTGAGCAGCGCGGAGAGGGTATCTGCCATCGTCGGGCTCTGGCTCTTCATGTCGGTCCCCGGAGTGGGCATATACGCTCTTAACGGCTTCCTCGGGCTCGTTCTCGGGCAGGCGGTCCTGCGCGCGATCCATCCAGGCGACCCGGGCTACGCGACCAGCGTTCGATCCACGATGCAGATCGGCGCGGTGGGCAGCGGCGTACTCGGCGTGGCGATCTGGGCCGTCGTCCTGATGCTCCTATGCCTTGCGGCCGTTAGCAGGAATGTCAAAGGCTTTGCGAGGACGATGAACATGTCGACAAGCATACGAAAAGACCTGGGCTCCCTCGCCTTCTACACCGCGGTCGGAGCCGCCAGCGGACCTCTGGGAGTTGCCATCTTGAAGCACCACAGAAGCGCGAGTCAGAGAGCGGATATGCTGAATGTGAGCGACGCGGCGAGGGTGGGCGCGCTCGGGTGGTTCCTTCTCGCAGTGTCGTGGTTGTTGAACCACCAGTCGAACACCTTGAAGAGCAGGGACCAGGCAGACCAACGGCCGATCTGATGGCTTTCTATGTATGATATCGCCGTGATGTATCGCGTCCCGGGCAAGTCCAATAAGAGTGGATTCCAGTCAGACGAGCCGCAGTGGAGGAGAGCGGAGGTTGTTCAGCAGATCGGCGGTAGCGCTCGCGGAGAGGACTTGGCCGGCCTTTGCCGAACTCCCACTAGGGACTTCCTTTGTTCTCTTTAGCGAGGCATTTCATCCTTTGAGCATCTGCGCAGAAATCCACTGATACATTGGACGTTATCGTGGATGCATCTAAGACAAGGTCCGTTATCGCTCGGTTAGACGGCCCCAATTGGGCATAAGATCAACACCCTTGTATTTCTCTCCCATATTCGTCGAAACATCGCCTGCAACCTCCGGAAGCCACACGGCGGTCCAGCCCGGCGGAGCCCGTAGACAGAGACTACCCCTTTTATGGACCGTGGGTTCTATGGCCTGCCATTGTTCTCGAAAGGTACAAAGCGCGCGCGCCACCCGTTCAACTTCTGTCTCTCTTACCACCACCACCCCTCGTGTGCCCTTTGCTCCTCCATCCCCTGCGACCTACCCGGTCTCCACCCCCTACAGAGTCGAGCCTCAGCACACCTCACATCACCCACTTACTACAATGAGTACCACCTTGTTGAACGAGAAGGACGTCCGCGCGCTCAAGCGCGCCGACATTCAAAAGTTGGCAAAGGTACGCGTCTTGTCTCGCGTCTCGACGCGTCTTCGTCCCCATACTGACTCCCGTGGCGTTCAGCGCGAAGGTATTCGCGCGAATGGAAAGACCGACGCCATGGTTGTGGCGTTGTTCGCCATGTACCCCGGCGGCATCCTTCCGTGAGTTGCCCCTCTCTTTGACCAGCCCTGTCACCGACGCAGTTGTAGGCTGGAGAAGGAGAAGGTCCCCGTCCGTCGGTCGAGGCGTCGCGGCACGCCGGAGCCGAAGGTCGAGGAGGTTGAGGAGGAGCTCGGAGGCGAGCCTCCGGTATATGGGGAGAGTATCTCCCAATGTAAGTCGTCGTCGCCCTCGTCTCAACATGACACTCACCTGCTTGTAGACGTCCCTCCGAGACGCAGGGAAGCAGTAAGGCCCGCCGTCGTCGCCGCCGACGAGCAAGAGGCCCAGCAGCAGCAGCGTGCACCGTCGCCACTGCCGACGCCACCGCCACCGCCGTCGCCGCCACAGCACGAGGAGGAGGACCTCCCCCCTACCCTCCCGAACACGCCGGTCCCGTCCCCGGTGACGGCTACTTCGAGAGGTATGTTCACTCACCTATGTCCATGGTATGTCACTCACCATGGACGCCACAGGCGCGCGCGTCCAGCGCAGCCCTCCGGTAGCCCTCCCCCTTCCAGCGCCTGTGTTCGTCCAAGGGTCCTCCAGACCCGTGAATAGCCAGGCGCACGCACTGCAGCGCGAGCAGGAGCGCCTGACGACAGGTGCTCCCATTAGCGCGGCCGCACGTGCACCAGAATATACAAGAGGTACAGAGGGCGCCTCGTTGTCGACCCAGGAGTTCCTGGAGTTCCTCGACGAGGGCCACATCCGGCTCTCGCCACAGAGGCCAGCGGCACCAGCACCGGGCGCCGGTGCTGTTCCCCTCGTCGCGCCCCGTCCCCGCCGCTCCGCCGTCCCCTCCTTCCTCCCCGGGTCCGTATTCCACCTGCAGCCCGCCCCCGCCGAGCCGCCAGCCCGGACTGTCGACCCGCGCCGGCGCCCGCCCCGAGCCTTCGCTCACCTCCCCGCCCCCGCCGAGCCACAGGCCCGGACCGTCGACCCGCGCCCGCGCCCTCCTCGCGCCTCAGCGTACCCTCCCCGCGCGCCCGTCTTCTCCATGCCGTCTCCCCAACCCGCACAACCAGAGGCAGGGCCTTCGAGGCTGCGCGCGCAAGCCGGCCCCTCGCGGCAGTGGTCGCCTGCGCAGCCCGAGGCGGGGCCCTCGAGCGTCGTCTTCCCCCGCCCGTCGCCACCGCGTAGGCCCAGCGCGCCGGTTGCCCCTGTGGAAGAGTCGATGTCCGTGCTCCTGGGCTTCCACCCAACGTTCGGGCAGCCGATGGAGGAGCGGCCCGCTACTCCCTTCGCCGCCTCCCTGCCCGAGCCCCAGCCCCAGCCCGAGGCCGGTCCTTCGAGGGTTCGTGCCGACTCGACCGACCCCCGCTTCAGGATGCCGGCGACGCCGCAGAGGGTGCGCGAGGCCCGTCGTGAGGGTGAGTACATCGCCGCCGCATACAACAGTAGCATGCTAACCTGCGTTTTATGTAGCGTTCACGCCGATCACCCAGGAGCAGGCAGCGGTGCGCCAGCCCCCCGCGTCCAGGGCCAAGACCAGCCGGGCCGCTCTTCCCGCGGCCGAGCCATTGGATAGCAACGCCAATGAAGTCCCCTCCAACCCTGCGAACGGCGGCTCTTCTGACGATGAGGACCAGGAGAACCAAGAGCCCGAGCAGGAGCAGAATATCCACGACGAGTTCCGCGACGAGGACGAGAAGGAGATCGTCTACGACATGCATGCGGTCTTCGACTACATCCTGCGCGTGACCGGCGTGTTCGGAGAGGCTGCGGACAAGGAGCTTGCTCTCCGCGGGCTGTTCGCGGACATGACGGACCTCGATGCCCCCGACGTCGAGACGGAGGAGGAAGTTGACGAGGAGGATGCCGAGATGGCGCGGCTGGAAGCGGCATCCAAGGCACGGTGGACAAACCTTCCCGAAGGCCAAGCTCCGCCCCCCAAGCGCACCAACGGCTGCACGAAGAAGGAGGGCGCCGAGATCATCCAGGAGACTCTCCACCTCGCTGAGCAATTCAATGGGGAGAAGGCGAAGAGGAAGGACATGGCGCGCCACGTCGAACTCCAAGAGAAGATGTTGGCCACGGTCGAGGAGTGGAGTCGCGAGCTCGAGGCGAAGCGGCTTGTGTATGAGCAGTGCGTCATGATGCTGCTCAAGGAGGCGGATGGGAGCCCCTACGATTCTTTCCTGAACCCGCAAGCTGTTCAGCGGATCGTGGACTTTGCATACCGGTTGAAGGCTCAAAACGAGGGCGAGCGCGACGGACAACTTGAAGAGGGCAAGGAGCAAGTCGACGAGGCCGCCGAAAACGACGAGGCAGAAAACGAGGCAGAAAACGACGAGCCTGAGGCACCCGCAGAGCAGAAGCCGACCAGCAGCGACATCTTTGGGAGCTCTCCGAGCGGTGGGCGGCCGTTCAAGCTGCTCCCCGCGTTCGTATATCGGCCGCCGAACCCGAACGCCCGTCGTCGCCTCAGTTCATCGCCGCTTCCTCCGTCGTCGCCGCCGCTCTCCTACGTCGGCGCACGGACCCCTCCGCCAGCCCCGGTGACGCCGCCCAGGCGGGCTCGGAATGCTACGCCTGTTGCGCGGCAGCCCGAGGCAGACGACGGCTTCAACGAGCCGTCACCAGTGTTGTCCGGCGCAAGGCCTCTCAAGGCGTTCCACCCATCGAGCGCCCTTGATCAAGACGAGCAGTATGCCGCACAGGTCCAGGCAGAGCTGTACGCAGAAGCACGGAAGGCCGAGGAGAACGCAGAAGCAGGGCCGTCCCGCCGAGCTGCCAGCGACCAACCCGGACAGGCCAGAGTATACCCGCCGCTGTATCCCATGAACAGCTGGCCCTCCCAGGTGGCTCCCCCAATGGCCGACGTTGGCAGGTCGATCTCCGAAGTGATGTTCAAGAAGCGACGGCGCGACGAGGTGGAGGAGGATGATGAAGACGCTGACAACGTCGAGGAATCCGACTATGACAGCGATGCGAGGAGGTGAGTACTGACCACGCTTACTGTTCGAAATAGTTCGCTCACCCTTGCTTCGTAGCAGCGCGTCGCAGCCGACCGCCGGTCCTAGTCGGGCGCCAGGGTACGTTCCCAAGTACGTCCCGGGCTACAACCGCCGCGACCCCAGTCCCGAGCCGGAATACGAATGGGCGGGACCCTATACCCAGCCGCACGACTGGCACTCCGTTCGCGGAGACAATCTCCGGGAACGGCTGCCCTCGCCAAAGCGCCCTCGCCATCGTTGATTGTAATACTCTCTTGCTTTGTCTATTGCTGTAGCTGCTTTCTGTACCGCGTATTATACCCATCGCGTATCGCGTATTATACCCATCGCGTAGTGTTTTCTTCTCCTTGCGTCCTGTTGTGCTGGGATTTGTATCAGCACCGGTTTCTCTCGAGTCAAAATGATCAGAGCTTACCTCGCACTAATGTGCAGAGGAACAGAGAGAACCCGTTTGTTCGTGTGATCGCGACATAAGTGTGACGACTGCGACTTGTATGTGGCACATAAGAGTTTATACTCTGCGGTTATCATTCATAGCGGTAGACAGCGAGCGCATGCCACACGACGCATATGTAGCGCGCGCTGTCATGGGCCACGCCTTGGATCGTTACACCGATGCTCGAGATAAGGACAAAGGGACGAGTCGTACACCGCCTAGTGTCTGTGTGCGAGAATACGTACCCTCGGACGAGTCCGTCGCGAGCGCACTGTGATGATTAACCCTGAGAATGCGCTGAGCGCGAGGTCAGACGTCGCAGATGGGCGCTTGAATGACGATTAGACTCACCATGTTGCTGAGATAGTACACCGTGTGTGCCAACGGCACAACCCCGTAGTCTCTGGAATGTGTCGGTACGAGGGCTAGTGACGAGCGCGAACATGAACGGCGTGCCACTGTCAATGAGGTCAACGAATGGATGGATGAAAGGGGCGAAGATACTCACGATGGATGAAAGGGGCGAAGATACTCACAGGAATATAAAGCACACTTCAGACCATTGCTATACGCGTGTGTAGTCGAGCAACGACGTACAGTCGTCGCAAGAGAGCCACTCGGAACCAGTGACGGCGGCTGGGAGGATGGAGAGACAGCGAGCGAGAGAGCCCTCCCAGCTTATATATATCCTACCGGATCCACTCCCTCGTGGCAAGCATCCGCGTTCCCGGGTTCCCCTGTGGGGTTAACAATGACCAAAAACACGAGGGGACAATCCAAGGGAGTGTCAAGCAAGCGCTTAGGTGATAGGTACCACCACGACGTCGGAAAAAGATCTCCTGTGCCTATCCGAAGAGGTTTCAGGATACTTACGGCAGTGAATTGATCAAAAACATACCTATGTGAACGGGATCCGTGAGATCTCGGGACCTAAAACTGAGTAAAAATTCAACCAACGTCGAAGAAACGGTGGTGCACGTACTGTGGGAGGTGCTCAGGCCGCTATAGGAACGTAGTGAAAACCAGCTCTGACGAGCCCCACCGCCGAGACGAAGTGGAACCTGCGCCAGATGATTATCGATCCATGCATGCCGGAAGTCTACAGAGTTCTACTTACTGTGAGTAGAGAACGGTGCATAGGACCGATATTCTTCATCCTTGAATGCTGCTAGGCTGAGGTTGAGGTGGCATAGGTAACACTTGACGCACAAGCGTGATTGGGTCTGAGTGGTACTGATCGTGACCACCGACACGCTGTCACAGCAAATAAGTTTTCACCAAAGTCACGCATGGCAGTGGCAGTGGCATCGTTCGGCCGTTTACTTTAGGCTTGACTGAGCCACGGCAACTCGAACTGACCCTTTCTAGTCGTACTTACACGGCATTGAACATATTCGCAGCCCGTGTGTTGTCCGTGTGGGTGGCGTTTCCTACGTTCCTCTTACCGTGACTGCACATATGGTAATTTCGACACAACATCCCTGTTCGCATTTCTCCACGTGGAGCGAGACTGCATTCTTCCAAAGCGAGGAAACGCGTTCGTCCTCTGACGTTCACCCTCGTATCGTGCCATCTGGATCTGCCATCAAGCGTAGGCATCGTACGCGGATCTATGTTCAGTATCTCATCGTTCGATCTTACTGCCCAGGCAACCCGCCGGACCGAACGCTCGCCACGCTGCCTGCCATTTGGGCGCATGACCCCATGGAACTTCCACTTGTCATGCTTCCACTCGTGCAGGCCGAACATGTTGCGAGGTACGAACCATATACGCTGCGCGTTGGACGTTGAACGATCGCGAGGCTGCAACGGCGCAGCCTCGATGCTCACCGGCTCGACCTTGTGCGCGTTCTCGAAGTAGCAGTGGCACCGTGCGTGACGAGGTGAACGGAAGCACATCCTTCCCATCGACACGGTCGAGGCTTTTGAGGCTGCCGCAGTCCATGCATATCTGCTTGACCGCCGCGGACAGGCGCATCCCGAGCACAATTGAAATGTTCACGCGTCAAGAATTGTATTCGCGGGCGAGGCAGGGTGCGGGACTGCGAACTTGAACATCTGCGATCATAAATATACGACAGGCTCCGACTGCCGCACCCTGGGGTAGCGATCTCTTCTTGAAGCACGGAGATGTGCTCCCCGAGCTGCTGGCGTGTGAATCTGTCGGACTGGAACGCAACCTCATGGCTACCAGTGTTAGCGACCTGGTGGACATCGACGAGAAACGAGGAATGAAAAGGTCTCGGTCAACAGGAGATCGGGTTGGGACCAGGTGGAGAACGAGCTGGCTTGGACTCGGCCATCGTTGCCGAGCCGTCTAGCGGGGTATCATCTGTGGCGCAACGGGGTGCGCAATGCGAGACGAGTGCAAGTACATAGCGCGCGGTGACATTCGCGGGTACGAGTAAGGGACCGCGAGTGGTGGGAGTGCTCTGTGCGCACATCCACTGCATGACCCCTGCCAGATTGGTGGGCATGTACTTGGCAGCAAGAATGCGCGGGGTCACTCCGCGGCCTCTGAGAATGGTCTGAGTCTACCAAAGATGCGGAAACCCAATTTCTCGTACCTAGTTGATGACAAGCGGCGAAAGAGGTCGCAAGGCTTGAAGCTTGAAATTTGCGGCCACTGTCGGGAAATCAATGTCGGAGGCGAGTGCTAGTGGCGGTCAAGTGGCTGTTGAGAAGCGACCCAGGAGACTTAGTGGTGGATGAAGGTGGCCGACAGTGACATGGTGGTCAGGTAGGATGTGGGGCGCAATACACCGTACCACCTTTCGTTCAGCCGTCACGAGTAGCGTCGTTGCTGGGAGTCATTCCTTCAGTTCAAACTGTCACAGCAGCGCACAGAATGAGTAGTGAGTGATCGTATTCGGTATACGCATATTGCATAACACACAGCGCGTCCACTGGAAATGCAGGCCTCCATCCGCCATCTGCCGCCGAGAGTCATCGGCCAGGAACCACAGACACCGTAGAAACACAGCAGGACCCAGAGGCTCACCCCAAAAATAAACGGCTCCACCGCGTCCTCACCCGCTTGGACGGCGACGACCTGAGCAGCGCGGAGAAGGTATCTACCATCGTCGGGTTCTGGCTCCTCATGTCGATCCCCGGAGTGGGCATATACACTCTCAACGGCTTCCTCGGGCTCGTTCTTGGGCAGGCGGTCCTGCGCGCGATCCATCCAGGCGACCCGGGCTACGCGACCAGCGTTCGATCCACGATGCAGATCGGCGCGGTGGGCAGCGGCGTACTCGGGGTTGCTATCTGGGCCGTCGTCCTGATGCTCCTATGCCTTGCGACCATTATTAGGAATGTCAAAGGCTTCGCGAGGACGATGGACATGGCATGTCGACAAGCATACGAAAAGACCTGGGCTCCCTCGCCTTCTATACCGCGGTTGGAGCCGCCAGCGGACCTCTGGGAATCGCCATCCTGAAGCACCACAGGAACGCGAGTCAGAGAGCGGATATGCTGAATGTGAGCGACGCGGCCAGGGTGGGCGCACTCGGGTGGTTCCTTCTCGCAGTGTCGTGGTTGTTGAACCACCAGTCGAACACCTTGAAGAGCAGGGACCAGGCAGACCAACGGCCGATCTGATGGCTTTCTATGTATGATATCGCCGTGATCTATCGCGTCCCGGGCAAGTCCAATGAGAGTGGATTTAGACGAGCCGCAGTGGTGGGTGTTCAGAAGATCGTAGCGCGTAGGTGCGAGCGGTCGCGGAGAGGAGGAGGCCGGCCTTTGCCGAAGGCTTCACTGGCAGATCTCGCCTGTGCGTCCTACCGCAAGTCACCACTGCTCTTGCAGTATCTCACCAGCTTCGCGTGTACCCTGGCAAATATCCTACAGAATGCGTAATGTGGCGCGGAGGCGGTCTCTGCGATGTATAGTGGTCTATCCGAGTCGTATGGCGGCAGTAAGTACTACCATCCTCAGCTGCCGGGTTTGATCTCACTGACGAGAGGGACGCGAGTCAAACAAATGCACATGCGCACTGAAGAGATTGTCATGACATTGATTGTGTTTGAACTCATGTATGTACTGTTTTTGTTCCTTTGACTTTTTTGTTCTACTCTACGTGTCCATGGCACATTGCCCGGTACTGACTGTCTATCCTGCAGTGTACTCGAAGTGTCCGATGGCACAGCGTCCATAAGTGTCCAAGGCATGTGTCCGTAATGTCCATTGGCACTACTCAGCGCTCTCCTCTCTCTCGTTCGTCGACCTGTGATTGTCTCCCGTAGGCAGACCCTAAAGAAGACCTCTTTGAGTGAGGGAGAGGTCGGTCTTCTAAGGGTCTGCTTCAAAACGCGCCCCCAATACCGGGACAGCCCCTTTGCTACCCATTCTGTGATGGCCGAGCAATGCCGGCGGTTGCGGCAGCTCGGCCGGTGGCTGCACTCAGATCTATCTATACTACAAGAGGCCAGGAAAGTTCTCACGGCAGACAAAGAAGACATCGGATTGGCCAGTTGAGGGAGACAAACGCACTCACCGAGCCTTGCCCGAGCCCCGAGCGCTTTCGAGGTCATCGTGTCTCTTACTTTCTCATATGTACCTCCTCCCGCAATCATTTGCCAACTGGCTACTCATTTGGTCGACGGGTCTACAGCTCATTATATACCTTCAAGTGTTCTGCACAGATGACCTGACCACGCCGAGCATACCGTTCTGCTTTCAAAGACGGGCATGAAGTCTACCAGAAACAGAGGTAATCGATGTCTGCACGGACGACTCAGACGTTAACGAGAAAGATCCAGACAAGCAGAATAGTGTTCTGCTTGCAGATGTGGCCAATGAACGTACTATGGGCACGTCAGCGAAGGACGGGCGAGCGAAGGAAGGTGAGTGCAGACACGTGCAAGTCAGCGAGCTAAATGTGGGCAAGAGGACGCGGCGACGTGCAGCACAACACACGCACCGACCGTGAGCGCGCAGGACTAATGCCCCGCTTGCAAACACAGCCGACAGGTGATCCGTGGCCATGGACATGAGGGCGGGAAAGCAGGTACCATCGGAAAGATGGGCAGGTGGACGGACTGGATTGAGTAGCTGGGTGGACAGACAGAGACTCTGAGAGCGGGCAAATAGGTAGGCGAGTCGGACAGCGCCAGTGCCGACCGCGAGCGCGAATGCACAGAACGCACACGCGGGCGACGACTCATGCATGGCGACCACGAGCCCGGTCCGTGGCAGCATGCAAACACGACCGACGAATCGACCGCGCGCGAATGAGGAAAGAATGCGCGAGCGCGAGCGGAGGACGGGCGAGCACGAGTGGAGGACGATGCGCGAAGACGAGTCGGCGGCAATGGGCGCGGCAATGCAACACACACGGCGACGGCGCACGAATGCCCTCTCGATTGGCGGCGCGCTGCGGGAAAGTCGGAGAGGTACCTCATCGTCTCTCTCTTTCTCTTCAGTTCATCAACTCACAATCATTTGACGACTGGCTACTAACTGGGCTGGCTTCAATATTCGACGACCTGACCACACCAGAATGTGCTGTATGTATATTATGCTTTGATGACTAATCCAGAATGACATTTGGACGAGCGAGAAAAAGGAACACAGGAAGTTTGCCCAAACCAGATGTTTGCACGGGTGACCCAGACACAAACCAGACATACCCGGACAAGCAGAACAGTGTTCTGCATGCAGATGGGGCCAACGAATGGACTGCGGGCGTGTCAGCAAAGTAGGGATGAGCGAAGGAAGGTGAGTGCAGATGTGTGCGAGCAAACGAGCTGAATGTGAGCACAGGACGCGGCGACGTGCAGCACATTGAACACACGCGTCAACCGCGAGCACGCAGGACTAATGCCCCGCGTGCAAACACGGCCGACGGGGGATTCATGGCCACGGACGCGAGGGCGGGCGAGCAGGCAACAGAGTGGGACGGTAGTAGGCCAGGACAAGCAGGCGACAACTCACGCATGGCGACCGCGAGCGCACAGGGCGGATGCCCAGGACGCAAATACGACCGATGAGTCGGGCCGCGCGCGCGTGAGGAAAGAACGGGCCAGCCTGAGCGAGGGACGGGTGAGGACGAGTGGAGGACGGTGCGCGAAGACGAGTCGGCGGCAATCCGGGGCGCGGCAATGCAACACACACGGTGACGGCGAGCACGCAGGGCGAATGCCCTGTGTGCAAACGCAGCCAGCGAGCGGATCACAGCCAAGTGTGCAGGTGAGGGCATGGACATGGGCACGGGCAAGAGCATTGAAGGGCGAGTAGATGGTGGAAACGGGCGGGCTTGAGGGCAAGTGAGTGAGGGCCAGAGGGTGGTAGGGGATGGGCGAGTCGAGTGATTGCGCGAACGGGCGAGCGCGAGGGCAGGCAAATCGCCGAAACGAGCAAGTGCGATAGCAAGCAAGCGGGATGCAGGTGCATGCATGCCGTGACAGGAAGGTAGGTAGTATGAACGTGCAGTCACTCAGAGTATTTGTTGTCAGTTGTGGATAGCCGGTGTTCATCGCAATATCATCACGAGAACGTTAACTATGAGAATCTTATGGTGGAGGAAGGAATCCCGGGCAGAACAGCTGGAGGCACGGGGCCATGAGGCCGACTCCCGAAGGGAGGAGGCCGAATGGCCCAAGTTCGAGTTATACATAACTGCTACTGACTCAGAGGGTTCTGTCCGCGGCGAGGACAACGATCGGAATATAAAGAAGGCCTGCAAACCCCTTCACGGCTGATCAACAGGGCCATGAAGCTGACTCCCGGTGAGGTGGCTGAATGGCCTCCAATTCTGCACTACTTACTGACTGTAAGTACATGGTACAGCGATAATATCCAGTCCGTAGCGGAGCACGGGTATCCGCTAGTGCACGATATAATTGATCATAGCACCTCAATGATACCTCGAGTTGAGCCTGACACAGTCCATCCTGACCTATATACCATATCGCCATGTACGAGACATGCAGATAGACTATCCGCCATACTCTTCTAGCAATCCAAATTACCCACCGACCACGACCTACTACCGCTCGAACACCATGAGCCCCCTGCACCTCGTTATCCAACAACAGTGTCGTCACTGTACTATGCACTTATCAGGGTCGTAGACTTCCACTGCTCAGAAGAATACCTCACTGCAGTACCTCCCACAGACGGAGGCATCAACGTACCGTCCAAGCAGCGAAGCGATTGCCCGCGGGTAGCCTAGATCTACGTCCAGTGTCCACGCGTTGCGGTTCAAGCATGCACGAGCGACGGTAAATACAAGCTTTGAGAGCTACAATAATAGTCCAGGACAAAGTCAGATGAGACAACATCATCAGTTGCGGATGCATCGATGCCGAAGGGATCGCCGTATTCGTGCCAATGGTGACCTGCGCCCGAGTGTCCGAGTTGTCACGAAAAAGCTCGAGCGTCCTGCCGACGTATGACTCGCTGGATATCGAGGTGAGGACTCGGACACTGTCCTTGTAGCTAGGTAGATGTTTGGACTTGCGCCGTAGATCTGTTGATATGCGGCGAGCAAACACTATGGTCTCGCAGAGGATGATGACGCGCCGGTCGCCCTCGAGCACCCAGTCGAATGCAGGAAACTCTCGCGACATGGGTCCAGCTCCCATCGTCCGGAAGATCCAGCAAATGTCGTACCGCGCGTTCGAACGGCGGACGACGTAGCACTACCGCATGCTAAGAAACTCCATGACGGGTTTCGTCTGCGAACCCGGGCAGATTGTAGCGGTCAACGCGATGAGAATGGGGTTACCTGGCAGCCGAGTGCAAACGTTTCCGATCTCCCGAAAGAGCGGTCGGAATTGGGCTTCCCAGCTGTCCAGAAGGTGACATTGAGTGCCATGATGCGCGCTGCAAAGGACGGTCGTTGATGAGTGAGAAGAGTCCAGGAGTGGCAAGCTGTTCTGGCGACAACAGAATCACCGCATTCTTGGAACGAGCAACCTTCCAGAGGTTGCCATCACGCCGCGCTGCGACTGCCGCCTTCGTGGTGTTCGCATTGCTCACTAGGGTACTGAGGCCCGAACTTCGGTTCCTAGAGTAACAGAGTGAGACACAGACTAAATAGAAATATAGAAGACTCACCATATCATGCCCCAGTGCTTTCGTAGGGCAAACAACAAGCAGACCTGGGTCCAGTTTGAAGCGCATCCATAAGGCTCCCGGGCACAGCGCCGGGTCATTTGCGATCGCCTGAGCCACGATGATGTAGACAAACAGAAAGCCCGTCTTACCAGATCCCGTAGGCGTAATCACAAAGACGTCTGTGCCGTCGAAGGCTTTACAAGCCCCTTCGAGTTGATAGTCGTGCGGGTCCCACGGCAAGTTCTTCGACGCAATGTTGCGGCAGAACGCGATGTCGTCAGGGGAGCTAAACAATGTAAAAGAGGGTGATGACGGCCCATGTGTATCAGGGCCTTGCATTATTTGAGAGCAAGGGTACCGTACATAGGATCTGGGGGGAAGTAAGGGTAGGGCGACCACAGGCGACGCGACGCGTCGAGCGCGTCGAGATTTGCACACGCGTTTCGGAGATCAAGTCGCTTATGTAACTCCGCTAACAGGCTGTCCCGGTGTAGGGCAGTCATTTTGAAGCAGACTAGACCTGTGATGGTCCATCTGGCGATAGGCGGCGGGAATGTCGCGCCCAACTTTTCGTCCTCGCATGACTAGGTGGACACTGGAGCTACAAGCATCTCCAGGCCGTCAAGGAAGCTGAGCGCGAATTCATCGTCAGAGGCCGTTCGTGTCAGTGCTGGCAGCAGCGCTCGAACGTACCCTTTGGGAACGACGACGCGGGGACCAAACGCGGTCTCGTTGCCGGGGATCTCGACAACGGCGACGCTGTCCTCAGGCGTGGGGGTGGAGTCGAATGGCTCGTCCCACTCAGAGTCCTCCTCGAACTCGGCGAAGAACGTGTCGAGGCGGAGGACGTCTTTGCGAATCTGCGCAAGGCTGGGGCGCACAACGGGGTGCAGCCTGAAGACCCGCTTCAGCAGGTCGGCGGCTCCCCTCGAGATCCCGAACTCTCTCTGGAGGTACCACTGATCCTCGAAGACGAACTGCCTGAAGTCGGGATCGTCGATCGAGGCCTTCGACCAGGGGTAGCGACAGCCCGTGACGAGGTCGACGAGAATTCTCCCCAATGCCCAGATGTCCGCATGCTCGGTGGAGTATGGTTCAGTAGTGGAATTGACGAATTCTGCCGCTCAAGGTCAGCGTTACCCGTGTGGATAATTGTGGACCAAGGGCTTACCAGGACTCAAATAGGAGCGCCTGCCGTAGCGCCTGCTGTAGCCGCGGGAGTGGCTTTGCGCCTGAGGCGTCGCCATCCCAAAGTCGGCTAGAACGACCTCGTTCCCGTCGGCCGTGCAGAGGATGTTTTCCGGCGTAAGGGCACAGTGGTACATCCCTTTCTGATGACACCCTTGTACCGCATCCAGAATCTGCACGAACACCGACCGGATCCGCTCGTCTTTGCGCTCGAAAGAGACGCCCTCGAGAATGAGGTCCAACAGATCGCAGTCGCGATAGTCTGTCACGAGGTAGAAGTACGCGTCGTCTTCGATGGCATCGAGCAACTCGAGGACGCCGGGCACGTCCGAGACGAGTCGTTGGTTTGCGATCTCCTGTCGCTGGCGCTGCGTGTCGCGCTTCGAAAGACCAGCTTTCGGCACGATCTTGACCGCACGCCGGACGGGGACCGAGGAGGAGGCCGAGGCTTCATGATCAATAGCGAGGTAGACCTCAGCGCAGGCGCCAGCGCCCACGTATTGGAGTAGCTCTAGACGACCAGCGTCGATCATCGTGCCAGTGAAGTCGGGAAGTGCAATAGGCATCGTGAAGAATATGCAACTCTGGAGTTGAGTGTGCGGATGCTGATGCGAAGACGAAAAGAATGGTGAACACTGGCGGAAACCCGAGCCTTATATGCATTTTCGATGCGTCGTTCTCGGCCTGTAGCAGCGGATGGATGTGTGCAGACCTCCTATCACGATCTGACATACCCGCGGCCTAGACCTGTGGCAAGGTGGATGCGTCGGTCAAGATTGTGATGGTCATTTGCTTCCGGAGGTCGACTACGGAGGGATTATATGTATCGAGTGGTCTGGAACCGAATGGCAACACCGACTGAACAGAGGTGCAGCGATGACTAGTACATGTTGGGCTGGATTTGCTGATGATTTTAACAGTACACTGCATTCATGGGCCTCGAGGAATGCGTCGGAAGCGTCGGGTCGGACTACGGGATAGCGGAAGCCATGAAGGGCGCTGTCGCTTACCTGCAGTTCAATTCAAAACTCCCGTGCAAATTCCGCTAACCTTCCGACTCTGAGAGGGCGATCCACTCCGTCGCGTAAAGGATGAACGCAGTCAGCGGGAGGAACACGGCTTCCGCTTTCGATATCGTATCTTACGCCTGACCCGGGCATATGCACAATCCAATGCTTCAACTAGGCTTTTCCGTGTTTCCGTGGCATGATGTTGCCGTGACGGTCAACTGGTGGCAATTCTGTGTGGCGACGGTGAGATAATGACCGTTTGCATATCGGTGAGATACAGTAAAACTGACAGCTGTGAAAGGTATGCGCAGGATCCTGGATCATAATCGAACCAGAAGACTTGCCGTATATGGCTGATCCTCGACGGAGCGGCTGAAAATACACGTGGATGATGCACAAACCTATAGTAGGTGACACCTCGCTTGAGTCCATTAGCACTTTCTGCCAGTGACGACCAGTGATGTACTGCATAAAATTTGGTATGCCCTCTCATCGTCATCGAAAGACCAGTGCTAACGACCTGTTGATCACCTCATCTCGTAGCTCGATGGTGGTATGGCCACGGTAGTACCCTCGAAGTCCTCGAGCCCGGTATGGCCGGCGAGGTCTAACCAGTGATTGAGCACAATGAACCGATTTGCTAGCGGCTGCTGTCCCTGGCCCGGTGCAATACAAATATACGAGCTTAGTACACAAGATACTGCGACTAGGTCCTCGACTGAGAGTGCGCGATGAGGTCGCCCGAAGGCATCTGCAACACCATGTATTGAACAACTAGGGGTTCTTGACTTCGAAGAGTGTGAGTCAGTAGTAAGCATTTCACATGAACAGCTCAATTTAGATACTACGAACACTGTCGGACGATACATGGTGCCATTGAACAACGAAAGACATGCTGTTGACGTTCAAGAGGACAACATTCCCCACTTGTACGCAATCCGAAAACTCCTGTCGGATCGGTCAAGCATGCATCGAGTTCAAAGTAGGTGCATGGCCCTGATTCAGCTTCTAACTCGATGCCGGCAAGGTATGTCCTTATGCCTTCCATTTTTGTTGGCGATACTGCCCAGTGTCACGGGCTCGGACAGATGCCCGAGCTTCCCGGGCATGGAACACACAACGGTCAGCAAACGCAAGACCATCCATGGCTCGCTGACACGCTCCAAGCCTTCGAGACCGTCTGCAAGAAAGACTGCAGTATCAACGCAGTACTCACAGGTGAGCTGCGGTAGCAGAGAAGCTATAGCCAGCCGAGCTCAGGCGGACACACCCGCTACATATCTTGACTTGTACATATCCCGGCTGCAGAGCACGCTCTGGGTGACTGTACGCTGCACTCCTTTCGTAACCTCCAAGCCCAATCTGCCCGACCTTACCGGCGCCATCGCTCTATGCTTCGTCATCCCCGGCTGGCCCGGTGAGTGCTGTGCCGACCCAGTATATCTCGAAGAACCCCCAATGGTGTGTAGGCCTTCAGGAAGATATAAAATGGCGCGATGACTACCGACCTCTACAACGACCTTCGTCTCGTCCGACGGTGCGCTATGACTGCAGACTTGAGCAAGAAACTCATCCTCGTCATTGGCGGCACCGGCGCGCAAGGTCTCCCCGTCATCGAGAAGCTGCTCGCCCTCGCTGAAGATGGCTCGCCGTCCCCCTACGCTGTACGCGTGCTCACTCGTGATCCCACCAGTCATCGCGCACTGGAGCTCGCCTCCAAGGGCGTCGAGCTAGTCAAAGGTCAGTGTCAGTTCCGCATATATGATGGAGTGCCTACTCAAGGTCCGAAATAGGTTCCTTCGATGACTTCGATTCCGTAGCCGCGGCGCTGAAGGGCTGTTATGGCGCCTTCGTGAACACCGACGGGTTCACAGTTGGACAGGCGAAGGAGGTGTGGTGCGGCATCCACATATACGAGCTGGCGAGGTACGCGAAGGTCAAGCACTACGTCTGGAGCAACTTGGAGTACTTCTCGAGGGTATGGGTATACTCATGCTTGACGTCATCTTGCTTTGAGCTTATCTGGGATGCGGCAGATCACGAACTTCGACCCGAAGTATAGGTGCGAGCACTCGGACGGCAAGGGCATCGTCGGCGACTTCATGCAGACGCAGCCGTCGGTCGTGAGCGACACGGACATGTCCTGGACGCTCATCACGTCCGGCCCGTACATGGAGATGCTCCACAACGTCCGTCTCCCTCTACTGCATCCCTCAAGATCATCCGAGCTGATGGCTGTGTGCAGGCGATGTTCGGCCCGGCCAAGCAGCGCGCGGACGGGACGGTCGTGTTCGTCACGCCCGTCGCGCAGGGCCACGTCAACATGATCGCGCTCGACGACTTCGGCTTCTTCGCGCGCTACGTGTTCGACCACCGCGCGGAGACGTCCGGGGAGGACCTCCAGATCGCGAGCGACCGGGTCGACTGGGAATACCTCCGGACGACGTTCGAGAAGGTGACGGGCCTGCGCGCAGAGGTGCTCTACCACTCGTACGACGACTGGACCAAGCGGTACGACCCTGCTACCATCGATGTGCCTCTCGCGAACGAGCGCGGGAAGACGAAGGACGGCTCGATTACGTGGAAGGAGAACTTCCGCGCATGGTGGTCAAATTGGCGGGACGATACGATCAGTAGGGATTATGAGTGGCTGCGAAAGATCAACCCGAATGGACTCACGCTCGAAAGTTGGATGCGGAAGGAAGAGTATGGGAAGGATCTCGGGGCCAAGGCGTACAAGCTGCTGAAGAATTCCGAGGATGGGAAGTCGCCCGCGTTGAACATGGAATATATTGCGACACTGTGACGTGGTCGTCGACCACTTTCTCGATCTATCGCCACCCTATGTAGACGTGAATGTGCATTTCTGACTCGATGTATCAGTACTATACAACTTTTGTTGAACTTCTTGTGACATCTCGCCACATCCGACTCAGAGAGCAACCGGGAAGTCGGTGGTTTCGATCTTCTCCGGGAACCTGAGACCGCCCTGCTTCCTGACTTCATCCATGACCTCCATGATGAGCACGCTCTCCTCCCAGGTCAACAGCGGGCTCTCCTTCCGACCCTCGACCAACGCATACGCCGCCTCATCCGCCTCCCAGAACATCCCCTGGCCCTCACCCTCGGGCTGTATGCCGTCGCCAAACCCGTTGAACCAACCCGAGCCCTTCCCGGGGCCGGGCTGCGGCCACTCCCTGTCCTCAATGGGGCCATCGCGGAGGATGAGGCGCGTCTTCGTCGGGCGGTAGAGCGGCGGGAAGATCTGGATCTCGCCCTTGTCGCCGTGGACGCGACACGCAGGGCCCGCGGAGAGGTCGCCAAGCGGGTCGGATCCGTAGCGAATGCTCGTCGTCGCGACCGCGTGCACGTCCTTGTTCTCCGCGCGCGGGAAGACGAGCAGCATGGTCGCGAGCTCGTCCGCCTGCCCCGTGGGCTTGTAGATCTTGAGCGCGGAGCTGACGGACGGCGCCTTGCGCTGCGCGGGCGGGAGCGTGGTGTAGAGCGTCTGGAAGACCCAGGTGAGCGCGTAGATCCCCGAGTCGAGCAGCGCGCCGCCCGCGAGGTCCGGGTTGACCATGCGGTGCTTGCCGTCGGCCATCGTCTCCTCGGGGTCGAGGCAGAGTCCGTTGTCGGCGGTGACTAACTGGACGTTGCCCAGCTTGCCGGACGTGATGACGTCGCGCACGTAGTGGGAGAGTGGGAAGTAACGCGTCCATACAGCCTCCATGAGGAATAGGTTCTGTGCGATAGCGTGAGGTTGGTGCTTTGCAACTGCGGAGACTTTACGGGACGGACCTTCTCCTTAGCCTTCTCTGTCAGCTTCTTCGCCTGGGCTGCGTTCACGGTGAACGCCTTCTCGACAAGCGCGTTTTTGCCTGCTTCCAGACACAGCATGGTGTTCTGATAATGGTGCGAATGAGGTGTAGAGACATAGACAATGTCAACGTTTGGGTCCTTCACGAACTCCTCGTAGGAGCCATACGCCTTGGCCGTCGAGGCTGCACCGACATCCTTTAGAAACTGGGTCGCGCGCGCCTGGCCGGAGGAACTCGCAGCTGCGACGATGATGTGCTTGATGGAGGTTACGCCGCGCGTCTTGGGGTCGAGGAGAAGGTCCCTCGAGAACGTTTGTGCGATGCCTCCTGTGGCGAGGATACCCCAGCGAATGACCTTTGGTGCGGACATGTTAGCCAGATGCTCGAGCAAGCGACGTTGTTGACGAAGCTGGAGGGGCGTACCAGTAGCAGTATAAATACCCCGCGTGTGCTCCGTCAGCTTGCATAATGGATCGATGACGCAGCAAGTGGCAGGACGGCGAGCCGTCGGAGCGATACATACCGTATATGCGTATAGCAAGTTGTCAAAATTCCATTGCTCGTCAACTGTTCTCGCCGTGCTTGTCGTGACAGACTGAGGTACGCCTAGCCAGATACTGTCCTCGATGGTGATACCAACGAGCCGCGAATGGAGTCAGGATCATGGTCGTTAAGCAAGAGACGGTAACTTCATGTAAGTACAGGGTAAGTAGACCATATAGTGAGAATAGACGCTCAGCCTCCGGACCGTCGAGGCTAAGGCCTCCTCCTCCTTGCGCACTCTCCCAAGCTTCATGTACTGAGGCTCGAGTCGGAAGCCTCGCCTCCTCCAACTATTTGGTCCTTGGGCTTAAACTAAGGGTAAGACTCGTTCTTCTCAGCATTGTTTCTGTACTTAGCCAGACACTTCTACTTAAACGCGTGTCATCATTTCGCTGCTTGTTGCGCACGTACTATAGTAAGTTATAACGGTATCTATGTCTGAGGTCGAAGACGGATAACTCAGGAACTGTCATTTGAAGTGGATTGCCTCCCGTACTTGCGAGGTAAAACGGGAGATTCCGCTCTCCATCGGCCGTGATTTTGGGGGAGGACGTGAGTCCGGGCCCGTCCTGTGCGAGGTCCGCCACGCGAAGTCGCTCGCAGGTCGTTCCAAGTACTGTCTTCGAGTTTTGTATACTCACACATCGCAAAGAATGCATAAGCGGTCGTCTGAAACGTTACAATCAATTCTATTTGTGTGCTCTTGATCCTGCAGACGTGGCCCTACACCAAGGCCTATCGTAGTATTCTGACAAACAATCTCGGACGGTACGCTTCACGGCGGTAATTCTACAGATCGAGAGTGCCGGTACGCTTCATTGACGCTCTTTTTGTTCGACTCCACGTATTGACTTTTGTTCTCCTTACTGCAGGACAAAAATCGCTAGGGACGTTGTGATTCTCGTCTCGAGCTTGGGTGGCGCCTCTCAGGCTTAACCAAGTGGCCAACAGCTACGGGATGTGTGACTCGCGGAATCGGTGGTTTCAGGAAATACTAGTACTGTCCCTGGGCTTAAGATGCTCATTCCGTCCGATGCTTATTATATCCATCGTCGTCCCTGTGTTCCACGAACCCTCTTCGGTCAACGAATGGGCGAGTATTGTCAAGTACATCAGGTGTGTTTGTGGACAGACTGCTCTGACGTTTGCTTGAAACCCGCTTCTTGCAGCGCGCCAGATGCCTACAGATCTGATTCCACAGTGCCCCAATTGTAGACCAGAGTCTGATTCCCTGATCGACAACAGCCACTCTTGCTCTCATGCTGCTGTGACAACAAGACACCGAGCATAATGCAGGTCTGCAGTCCTAAGGTTCAGCGTACGGTGGATCATCATAGATCGGACAATTACAATCCGAGACGTCAGCAGCCGATGTCCCATAATTCCTCGTTACTTCACAGCGATGGTAATCATTGGCAAAGTGCGGTGCAAGATCATTTACGGTGCGTAATCGTTCACATGCCGTACACTGCAATCATCTTCGTTCATTCAGATTATTTCGCAGATTTCAAAGCGATTTGCAGACAATCTACGCCGCACCTCTGATTGTGAGAGCCTTGTGACAGGTCAACAGAGGTGTTGTCGAGCGTAGATCATGATTTGAGGCCAGCATCCAGCGCGTGTTTCAGGTACTGGGCGTATCGTGTATATGTGTACCGCATCACTGACGACGCCACAGGTTTCCGGAATTTCCGACCGCTGAGGGCAACGCGTATGTCATCATTTAGCAACCTCCGTGTTGTTATGTATCACAAGGTCTCCATGCAAGAACAAGGGTTGTCAGTCTGTACGTTCATATGCAAGAATGTCTTAGTGACTATGTGTGCTGAAGAGATTCATTCAGTTTGCGGTCTATGCTATCAAATACGGACCCCGAATGTACGGAGACTGTGAATATCGTCTTTTATACTGGACCGCAGCCGAGTATGAGATATCTACAGGCTCGTCAACATCTACAGGCTCGTCAACGCACACTCCAATCGAAGGTGTTTTGAGTGCAAGATACTTGCGATTTGGCAACTTGAAGCCGTGGATTTCAATCGCGTGAGTTCGGTTTGATGCTGTATCTCACGATTGGTATCTGAGTGCCCTTATTATTACCCTCAAACTCAGGTGGGCCTCGCCGTCGCACGGCTACGTTGTGGCGACTCGGTGTAAAATGCTAAAACCCCGGCACATCGAAACATAATTGTGCCGGTGGACTAGTATGTGATGCCATTTGAAAATGTTGTATGCTAATGACAGGAGAACAAGGCTAGAGACTTGTCTCGAAGACCTGATACAATACGTGTGGCACCGGATCATAGTGGTATTAGCACACAGCATCCGAGTTGCTATTGTGTGAGACTGTCATCCACCGAGTGTTTCAACCAATCCTTCATCAGGAAACGCCTGAGGCTCCAAACGCGTCCATGTGGAGAGACGATATCAGCCGGACCGGGCCCGGCCTTACTGAGTACGCGGTTCCTTGGAGAGCGTTGTGGAGACTTGAGGACGAGTCCTACATGGCGGCGGCCAATTTATGAGCATTGAGCACTGAGGGCCGCTTGTGAGTGGGGGGAAGGCTGCTCTCATTATCTCCGAATCGATGTAGCAGTCAAACATGTATATTATCCCATTCTGTACATGTGTAGCAATAGCAGCACGCGGGAAGATAGAAGAAACATTGGAATACGATCGAGTAGGAACTCCGTGTCGCTCCATGCACGTCAAGCTCTTGTCAGAGTGCTCGGGCAAGCCCAGTGAGTCTGAGGGGATTATTCTAGCCCACGCTGCGGAAACCTCTCGGCGCCGTTCGCGTATTTGTGCCACGAAGAGGCTCCCCATGCTTCGGTACCATATTGCCCTGAGACCTTACTTGGGGTCCGAGGGTCAGGTACTTCGGCGGGCGGCGGTGTTACGTCGCGAGCAAGGATGTTTGCATTAGCGACGCGGACTGCGCGGGGAGTGTGCTGTTGGGATGAACGTTGTAAGGAAAATGAGAAAGCACAGAAGTGTGTACACGCACCCAAGGAGCCGGTAGATCATTGTCAATGAGATCCCGCACAGCTGGCGCAGGCGACGGCGGCCAGTCCTCCTGACGCCTCATTGGCACCACTGCGTCAACCACTATTCCCGGCCCTCCCAGACCTTCCTGCACCTCGCCGTTTGTCCCCTCAGCAATGCTAGCATCGTGCTTGAGGTGGTTACACCAACGTCGGTCAGCGATGATGTTACCAACCAGGAGCACACCGGGAGCTTGACTGTCCGTCTCAGTAGCGGAGTCGTCGATAGTATCCACTTGAATGGCTGCAGTGTCGGGTGCATTGTTGCCTGCGTCTGGAGTGTCTGACGTTGGCGGCCATGGGAGACTGGCCATCGCGTACATCGCTTGCGTCGTAGGCAAACCCTGCGAGTCAACGGGCCAGCCCCCAGGTGGAACCTCACCGCTCGCGGCTCCAATCCCGTCATCTTGCGACCCTTGTTGCAGCGTATTGAATTGTGCAAGTGGGGTTGTAGCCTCGCGGCCAGGTCTATCGTGGTTGCAAAGCTTGAGAGTCTGACATAGAGGTGAAGTTGACGCGATGCGGTCCCAGACAGATCGTCTGAAATACACACCAGATTGATTGGTCCTGGACCTCTAGCCATGATGAGGAGCTTCACGGTGTGAACGTCATCGGAAGTGAGCTGGCGAACATCGATCTGAGGCTGAAGCTCATCGTCAGACATGGTGGCAAGGAGAGAGAGAGGTTGCTTGCTCGATCGGGTTGACCCGGACACGTCATACACATGATTTATCAATCTATGAGTACACTCGACATCTCGCCGGAGGGTCACTGACATGGTTCAAGGAATAGGGCGGATATAATGGTATTTATTGGACAAAGGCGTACATGTGGTGATCACAAAACTCGTTGAGAAAAAAGTCCTCACATAGCTCTAATACCGTATCCGAAGTCCAATCCCTCTCTATCACCTCCGCCTTGGGATCCGGTAGCAGATGGCAGCTCCGAAAGATTTGCTGCAGTGGGAGCACAGTTGCAAGACGGCGTCCACGAAGGACTGACCGTGAGACCTGATAAAGCTTGCTCCATCGTTCTGGCTCGTCGAGGAATGGAGTGAAAAGCTCGACATATGCGAGGTGGGTATCAGCACGGGTTGCATTAAGCCGCATCCGCTGAAGATGAGGTGGCAGAGCGAAGATCGCTCGAACCTGGCCAATACGGTAGCCTGAGAATGTAGAGTCTCAGGAGGGTACAACTGTATAGAGCTCATCGACGTACCTTTCACGCCGATGTTTGCTGCTATGTCTGCATCCTCGAGGTACAATACGGTGTCATACCGTGCAGGAAGCTGCGCTGTCCGCGGAATTGCCCGAACACGGTCGCGGAAATCATCGTTCTTGATTTCACGGAGAGAAGGGAGGGTGCGAGTAAACTCCTTGTACAGCGGGTAGTGATAGTCGAGTAGATGCAGCGGCGTGGTTGGAGAATAGAGGGGTTGTCTGCGTAGGAAGGCCAATAATGCGTCCTCGAATGACTCAGCGCCTAGTGCGCGTACAATGTCACGCCCCGAGAAGACGCCTACACCTGGGAGCCTGCTGATTCTATATGCCCCGAACGGCGTGTTCTGCCATATCCATTGTCAGCACTGCGATTTATCTATGGCTGTACTCGTGCTCCTACCTCTTCATTGACTTCCTGTTCATCAATGCCCTGTGTGTCCTGCTCAGGGACTTCCGCAAATGACTGCCAGCTCTCAGCCTGCACGTCCTCGACCCCAACACGCCGGCGAACAACCAAGGTATCCTCGACAAGATCCATCGCTTCTTCCGTCTCGCCTGCCTCGTCATCCGAGCCCGCTGTCCCATCCGACTCAGATGAGTCAACATCTGCGTCTGAGTCGTCTGGATTGGCGGCATCATGATCGCCCTCTGCAGCCTGAATCATCTCTGCCACGATTTGCTCCTCGGTCTTGCGCTCGACCCACCGCATGTACGACTGGAGCCGTCGCATTTTTTCGCGTCTGGTAAGCCAAACAATCATCTGTTTGACGTACTGTTTGCGGCTGCTTGCACGATAACCGAGCTTTGCAAACTCGATGTGCAGACGTTCAGAAATGTCGGTGCTGAATCCGGCACATGAACCGACGCGGATGATGCTCACGACATAGTGTTCGAGCCAGTGGACCTTAGGTATGTTGAAATCCATTCGTAATCCAAGCTCCACAAAGACTTGCTTGTGTCGATGCAGGTCTTCAAGTGCGCGGCGCATGTTCCCGAGCGAAGAAGTCGAATGGATGGGATAGTGGGCGAGGTATATGAAGTCCATGAGGGATCGGATGGCAGCAACGACACGGCGTGGGACTTGGGGACATCCAGCAAGGATTCCAACGAACGTCTTCTCCATTTGACGGTACTCGTTCCCTGTCCATTGCGAAATGGCCGAGAGCTCTTTGATGAATACACGCAGATTGTTGTACGGCGGATAGCGCATGAAACGAGCATCGATCTCCGACTCGACACCTGTCGTCGACCATTTGAAGAAGTGGTCCTTGAACACACCCTTATGCAACTGATGGAGCATGTCCGGCGTGATACAACCGAAGATATTCGCATGAGGGAGCTTCGCCCAGAAGGGTTCTGGGACGTTGCGAAGCCCCTGCTGCATGTAAGGGGAATCCCGGTCATTTGAAGGGTTTTGAAGGGCCGCGAGTGTTGACACTGGATCGCGATAGCACGTAGTGACCAGCTCGCCCCGGTCGTTCGGCATGACGAGACAGGTAGGGCATCGATTCTCCTTACAGCACGCTACAAGGCATTGTTCAGGGTAGTCGGCCATGTACCCTGCGAGAATGGGGTAGATCTCGCGGACCCAGCCATCCGAGCAAGGCATCTTCTCGCCGCGGGTCCCGGCCACGATCAGCGGGTCGAGCATCAAGCTCATTGCGTAGTGGAAGAGGCGATAACCCTCCAGGGAACGCTGTGCCTTCGGGAAGCACTGTAGCTTGGTTGCCGGCAGGTAGCCGAGCAGTACCATTGCCCGCTTCGAAGGTGATTGACGAACCGACTGGTCGATATTGCCGATGGTGAGGTAGACTGGCCACGCTTGTTTATCCCCGCTGAAGGGTGTTAGCTGCGTCTTGTCGGACGCCAAAATGACAGGGGCGACAGTAGCCTTCTCTGGGAGGTGTTGCTGTCGCTCCAATCATAAGTTTTAAAGTCACTTTGCTATACATGGTGAGTGTACCACGCACCTGGATCTCCCACCACCATTCCGCTGACGGCATGTCTTCGAAGAAGCGTTCTCCGGTCTCGACTCCTTGCTCATCAACCTCGACCTCCTGATACGGCGCCCAAGAACAGTAGCTGCTGAACTCGGAGTTCGCAACAAGCTCTCTGATCACCTCCACAACGTCCCGCATCCACACATCAACGATCTCCGTAAGCGGCTTCCCCCTGCGATCCTTGAGTGTCCCGGTGACGGTGATCTCCGCAAGATTCCATGAAGTTGCTGGACCAGGCAGCGTGTCGACAACCTTGAGGAAGGTGCGGTTGTTGTGGAATGTATTGAAATAGTCCGGTGCTGAATGGCGACAATGCTGGTACTGATCATTTTGTCAGCGACAAGCGACTCGAACCGCAGAACACCTATCCACACCATCTGACTGCGAAGAAGTTTGTTTGTTGCCTTCTGTGACAGCCCGGTGTCAAGAATCCAATTCGCAATCTCGAGTTCAGCCAGACTAGCAAACGGATGGTAAGCCGCCTTCTTTTCCGCGCTGAGTGCCTGCGATGCAAAATCAACTTCGAAGGGCGTAGGATGCTGACTAAACTTCCAGCCAGCCTTTGGATACTCGCGACGAAGCACACGGGAAATCATGACAAGCAAGAGTTGCGGCGACCGAGGATGGATAGTATGCCAGGAGCTGGAAACTGCGAAGGTGGGTTTGTGGTTTGACAGCGAAGTCACAGTGATAACGCATGCCGCCGATTCAGGCATATCACCTGTCGTCTCGCGTCGTCTCGCGCCACGTCCAAGTTAGCTCAATACCACTACCGTCTCCACCCTTTGGCATTCATTCGTTTACTGGCTATACTACCTACCTCTCATGGACGGGCCACGCGGCCGTGGCCGTGGCCGTGGCCGTGGTCGCGGTGGTCGCACAGCACCAGCAGGACGTCCCAATGTGTCGCAGTCCACAAGCACTGAGCCAGTGATAGCAACAGAGGACAACTCACAACCGCGGAGATCAAGGCGTCGCATTCACGCTACAGCCAATGCAGACCCTGGTTCGTCTGTATGACTTTTTACTGGGTTCATTCTGACACTGTGTGGTATTGTAGAGCTGCTCGAGAACATGCGACCCGGTCTCATCCAACAATCAGCCCAGCCCAATGAAAATGCTGCATACACAGAAGAGATGTATGACCATGTCGGCAATGGTGCATTTCCCGCGCCCCAGGGTCTCTCTCGTGCAGAACAAGCACAGGAACAGGGTGACGACTCGGACGACCCTGACTTCACCGAAGAGAACATACGCGCTGGCCGACGACCCACACAGCCCCGGGCCCAGGTGCAGGCCTCCGAAGTGAATCAAGCAGGGAGTAGCACAGGATTCACCACGAACACGGTACGTTGCATGGTTTATAAGGGCTTCGGAGAGACTCAAACCGGACTCGGAAAGCAGTTCTCAGCCCGTCTTCAGCCCGTCCACCCTGTCGGCCCTTCATCCAGCCGCCTGCAAACTCTCATGGGTCCGCATCGGCATTCCATTCCACCTCTGACAGCTTCTACCATGGACGTATTTTCGTCTCCATCTGCTGTATCTCCACCTGCATCTCAGACAGGTTCGCTCGACCCAACCCTCTTACATCTCATCCAGAATGTAAATTCGTTGAATCCAAGTCATATCCTACGCTCTCAGCCTCCCCTTCTCTCGAATAGACCCTCTGTGTCGCCCGCACCGGGAGCAATCAGGCCTCAAAGCTCCTTATCGCCGTCTAGCTCATTTGCTGCCCAACATAGCGCTCCAAAGCGAACGTCTTCAGAGCGGGACGATGATGACCAAGCCGAGGACGTGGATATAGCCGCAGAACGCCGCCATAAGCGGAAGCAACAACACAACGCAAACAGGCCACGCTATCGGGATTCCCGTGGAGACGATGAGTTGAGCACCCTCCTTGACGTTGTGAAGAACGACCTGCAGGTACATTTCGTCACCGTCACTCCCTTCCCAAGCAAGAGCGAGCGTGACACGATCATTCAAGCGAAGTACAAGGAGGGATTGATCACTTGCAGCGTCGATGAGGCAAAGCACCCACTCGTCAAGGATAGGCTCCGTTTGGTACGTCTTTGTGCATTTGGTTACATCGTGCGGTGCATCTGACAGATGTCGCGCACAGCTTCGCCAAGAGGAGTCGAACATGCGCAGCCGTCTCAAGCGCATCGTCATGTCGAAGTTGCACAACAAGTACAACCTCCACGTGGAACCTCGTTCAGCGGGTGAGGTCGAACACAATTGCGCGCGGGTTGCCTTTCTGCTCGGACCAGAGCCGTTAAGTACAGCCGAACCTGAAGACAGTATTGCGCTGACTCAGCGGAGTGTATTCCATTGCAAGGTAAGTGTCCATCATCGGAGACTAGCAGTAGTAGTAACTGACATGTCTATCGCGGCTTGGATAGGAGCCCGAGAAGCGCGTTGGGCATTTTCAGAACTCGATCATCGAGGAGGTGATATTCGAGCTGGCATTCAGTCACGTCAACGCGCTCGGTTGTCTAAATCAAGAGCGTTTCAAGCCCATCTCTCATCCGTTGATTGCTAGCATCCTTACAGTTGTACGTTTGCGCTGTTGGCTGTCGGCACGATGTCATGACTCACCAACTTTAATCCCACTGATATGTAGACCTACCACGGCCTGAGCATGTACCGGACCGGCCGCTATGTGGGCGCGCAGTTCACTAAGCGGTACTACAAGATCTACGACAACTTCCTTGCCGTCCTCAATCAGTTCGCAGACGAGCCGGCCTGGATGCGCTATCGCAAAGCGTTGTTCAAGCTTGGGCTGTGAGTGTCCAATCTTTCCATTGATTTACAGCTTCGTTTACCGTGCTCAAACAGCCGACATGCGGGCGCGGTCGCCGAAGAAGTTCAGGCCCCTGTTGTTGCGACTATGTCGTCGGCAACAATCCGGCAAGAAATGGAGCTCCTTGAGAGTCTCCTTCAAGACATGCCCCCGGATAGTTCAGATCCTCCCTTCGACCCCGACACCGAGTATGAGCGCGCCGCCGACGCCGAGCATGAGCACGCCGCCGACGCCGAGCATGAGCACGCCGCTGACGACTTGGAGAACGAGTCGGCTCAGGCTGATTCAAGTGCCGCAGATACATGATCCGGCAGTGGTCCCTTCTATATTTTAGACATTGTAGTAGGCTACTTAGATCCTACTTTAGTTCGTATTGGTGCACATTATTGCTTCTTTAAACTTCAGCTTCATGGACCCCGTCATCCCTACTACATTCGTTTCCTGCACCGGCTTATGTTATCAGCGACATTAAATGTCAGTTCTGTCATGTTCCTCGGATGAACGCGTGCTCGAGCTGCTCAGTAAAATCGCTCCATTGGTAGTACCAATACTATGGCGTAGTGAAAGTGATGCAAAGCGAGACCATACATCTAGTAGGAGAACTGTGCGATGTATAGGTATGGACGGAGAACGCCGTCTCCGGAAGGAGGTTTGAGATCCGTACAATGACCAGAGGGATCACGCCATCTCCAGATGGTCGCTCGATCTCCGTAGCCTCCGTCCGTCCATACACGTCGTTATGGACCGATCGGAGAAAAACGTGATCCCTGATGTTGCGCCACGAGGGTTGTAGCCGTCCTATATAAGTGGGTGATTGCGTCGGTGTTTCTGCACTCTCTTACAAGTGATGGATACGCCTACGCCTACCACTCGGAAGCGTCAAGCCTCGGAATCTCTGCATGCTCCTCGCATTCTGCTATTCAAGAAAAACGCCTACCCGCGATTGCTACCTGATGACATAGAGAAGATCAACACGCACATACGGAAGGACCAGAAATTGTATATTCTAACTGCCCAGTCAAGCCCCTCGGATGCGGCTGACCCAGTCGTACTCACTCATGTTCTACGAAGTGCTGCTGCTGCGCTTACGCGGTATGGTGAAGTCGGGAGTGCGGGTACTATCCAAGCTATATGGCGCCAGAACATGATATCCCAAGAATTCAAAGAAGAAGAAGAATTTATGAAGAAGGATCGTGACGCCTATCCGGAGTTTCTGAAACTGTGTGACAGATGTGTTAGCAGTTTGAATTGGGAGGAAATGCTATATGATGGTACGTGGTTACGATCTTAGGCTGTCCCAGCAATCTTGACAATGCACGCTTCAACACAATGTAGATATGCTGCGGTGTGCTCCAGGTACGACTCGCCGAGTCTGAAAGACAGATTATCATTGCTTTCAAGTTGACCCATCACTGATGACTCGTACATTAGAGACACTCAACGATACAATCCCTGAGCCTGACGGTCTTGCGACAATGCATGCATTCAAACTGCCTTACCTCGGAGAGGCAGACAAAGCACTCTGGAAGCATATGCATACACACTGCAAACCATATTCTGGATCGTACGAGCGCTATGCTCATCATCTGGTGGTAGTGCAATCAAGTGGAATGGGAAAATCCAGGATGGTTGACGAACTGTCTAAGAGCCACTTTGTGATCCCGATTGTTACTAGGAGCACCGAGAGTGGAGAACATAGGCAAAATGGTACGCACTCTCGAACATTCCTTATTCTGTGAGTCCTTGTACTATTTGTTGCAGAATTGACATACCATGTACAGGTGTTCCATACCCTCCGTCGGACGTTACAGTTCTCCCATGGTTGACTGCCGAGTCCAACTCTAGGGAGAGCACACGTCAAAGATGTCATGCTTTCATAGAAGCATTGTTCGAGCAGACACTCGAATCCATTGACAGTGACGAGTACCTCGCTTCACATAGCTCTCTCTCAAGCCTCATCAGGAAAACCCCATATGAAAATCACAAGAAATTATCGAAATTCCCAGATAAAAATTGAGAATCACAGCCACTACCACATTATCTCAATTACCTCAGATGAGCTTACCTCGAGATGTCGTCTGAGAAATAACAACAATTATAGACAATGAACGCTCAATACAAGCACCTTTCACGTATTCACACCTCATTAGTAGCTGATCTCATAGTGTTTATCACATATTATCAGGTCTATCTCGTCTTTCCATCATTCTGCGGGATTCAGGAACTTTGGATGGATTGAATATAACAGTACAACAATGTTCTTGTAGACTACAACAACTACTAGCGAGCATGTATAGAATAGGAATCCGTCTGCCTCGTACTACTGACAGCGGCGTGTTACGACTCCTCGCGTTGTGGTACCGCAGATACACTTACCTGCCTACATCCCTTCCCGCTGGGCGTTGTTCGTCGCGCAGCACCTGCACTCGCTTGTCCGTGTCCGTGCCCGCTCCGCTCATCTGCCCCTCCGCGCCCGCACTCGCTCCTACTCATCCGTGCCTGCTCCCACTCGTCCACGCTTGCCTTCATTCGTTCACGCGGCGATCCATCAGTCTGCGTCCGTTCCCATACTCGTCCCCGGCCGCTCTCGCTCCCGTTTGCCCATGTTTGTCCGCACTCGGTGCACTCGTCGGCCGTGTTCACCTGTCGGGCTGTTGCATGTCGTGCTCGTGATCACCGTGCCCACTCATCCACACATCAATTCGTGCCCTCACTCGTCCGCGCCTTCACCCATGCCCGCACCCTCACAAACCTGTGCAAGGCGTGGGTCAGAAAGCTTGATAACGTGCTCATCTGCGAGCAGGTGTATCAGAGATGCCAGATATTGAAGCAACATGCATACCATTAACGAGGTGCCACGCAACGATCGACCAGCTATTTGTCATGGTCTGTAAGTGAACGGAGGGATGACAGGCAGATGTGGGACTCACAAGAAGATGACAAGCAAGACCCTGCCGACGTCCACGAGGGCGGACACGACTGGCGCAGAGAACTGGGACAGGTTGTTGGACACGGTGGCTGCGATGGAGGGAGTATCCGAAGCGAAGGCCACACTGATAATGTTGGTGAGCATGAGAGGGCGAGGATGCCCAGCAGGGAGACGGAGACTCAGCCAGAGACTGAGGTGAAGTCAACACCGGTAGTAGGGGATAGAAAGGTAATATGCTTGAACACTCGGAGGAGCGCGTGCGACGACGTGCGTAGACAACGGCTGCAGATGTCATGATGTCGTCAAGCGTGTCCGGCGTACTGGTGTTGGAGCGGTCAAGGTGCTGAGCCGGTCGTGAACAACGAAGAGAACGGGGAGATGAGGAGATGTGTGTCGCCAGCTGCGAGGTGCCGCGGACGGAGGTGGGCACGAGTCGCACGACGGAGAGTTGGGTAGCAAGTTGTTTAGATTCAAGACGTGACGTGGCGCTGAGTTCGGGCTCGGCCGAGCAGTCATGTGACATGCGTACCGCCGCAATGACTGCAAGTCCGAGTCTCCTCGTTATGTGTGCACCCTTCCTGTACCCGCGCCCACCGCCGCCGCCATCGAACACGACAAGGCGGACGTGCGGTGACTCCGCCCGCCTGTCCTACGTACAACCCGCGCCGCCGCACCCTCGCGCGCTGCGCGACCGCCTGTCACGACCTGCGACTCGCGCTGTCGTGTCCCCGACGTGCTTCGTCACGGCGATGTACCGCCTGCCACCGCCCTCTCGTGAGTCGTCCCCGTCCCCTTGTCCCTCTGGGCGTCGTGCCCGCACCGCTCCTGTCCCGTCCGCGCGCCCCCTCCACCCTCTACGTGCCGTGACGTGGCCTTGCCCTGCGCCCGCACCTCTCTCCTCAACCTCCCATCACCTTCTCTGCATCGCTCTCGCCGTCCACTGCCGTCTCCGCACCTCTCTCGTCCTCCCATGCACCAACGCCATCATCGCGGCCCCCGACCTCTCCACGGCTACCCTCGCCTCTCGCACGCCCTCGCTGCCTGCATCCTTACCTGCACTGCCGCCCTCGTTCGACTCGCGCCCACAACCGCTTCCGGCCTTGCGCGGGTTGGCATCTGCAGAGGGTTCCACTCATGGTAGTGAGAACGAGTTCCACGATGAGGTGAGTGTCGAGACTGCACTGAGACACTGACCGTTTTTTCAGTGTGCCGGTACATCAAACATTCACTGGCAGCTTGCACGCGCACCGAACGTCCAGCCCGCCCATGCCTCACGCATCCAGCTCACCCGCTCCTCATGACTCCAGCCCGTCCGCGCATTGCGTGGTGCATGTGCGGACCACTCGCACACGTCGTACAGCTCGAATGGGCCTTCGTCTCTCTCGTATGCCCCGAGTATGCCTCCGCAGATGCAGCTCAATCTCAGCATGCTCGATAAGTTCACCGACGCTGCTCGTCCCGCCCACACACATCGGCTGTTGGCTCGCGCGATTCTGCTCCATCATCCTCATGGAGCCCTTTGTCTATCACTGGGTCGCTGCTCCTGACGGCGTGCAATCCAGACTGATTGTTTACTTACGCTGTGATGGACCACGGCGAACGTGCCCTCTGCCTGCACGCTTGCTGAATGCGGGACTGGTTGTTGTACAGTACTATAGCTAATTGTTGCAATCAAATTCTGTTGGCTCTCGTTCACATGGTTAGTATGCCCGAGTACTGGATGAACAATCCCGTTGTCTCCCTCAACATTTTCGGCGAAGTACTGCTTTCCAGCAGCTTGGACTGAGATCTGGCCCTGTTCTGGCCTGATTACTGACTCGTTCTTGAATGCACCGAGATTTCTCACTAATGTTCTCGAGTTTGAAGGCGATTTTCAACACTATGTATAACGATGTTCGAATTAGCACGAATTGCGCGTGCTTTCCACATTATTGGAATTTCTGGTGAAATTTGGTCAAATGCTCAAAGGGAGTTTTCCTGATGCTTGCTGCCGCATTTCGTTACAAAATGCAACACGACACAGACTTCAGTCGCCATGGAGCATTTCATCTGGACTTTTTTGGGCGTGTTATCTCGCGTGCTTCGAGTCACATCAAGGTGTGCCTTAAAGCCTAGCTACAGAGGAGTTTTACTGACATCTTGAACAGACGAGGAACTACAGCTACACAAGCCCTAACAAGGCCTTGAAGAATGAGGCAGCCAACCTCAGGCTCAATCAGCGACATTCTACTGATGCTGAGAAACCCTCGGAATCACAATCATGGCTCTTTACACCAGCGGGCGCATGTCATGCGCTAATGGAACGACTGCGAGAAATTGAAAAGCGCAACAACACTCAGGCTCCTGAGCGAACTTCAACTGATGGTACCCTCAGGGCCATACCAGTCCCAATCGAGACGCACTTCCCCCTGGTGACCTTGGCTTTTGATGAGGCGCACACTCTTACAGAACCCAGCGAAATCGATTCTATTGGGAGATGGACCGTATTCAGTGAACTACGTGCCACATTACGAGGTCTCATGAACCAACCAATCTTCGCTGTGTTCATGGTGACAACCGGGGATGTGTCAAAACTAGCAATCTCCCGAATGCTAGACCCGTCAAAGCGTATATTTGAAGGGACTCTCTCTCAAATTCCTCCATTCAGCGACCTTGGGTTTGACCAACTTGCATGTACCATCTCCTTGGAGGCCGGATTCCAACTTTCCAATGTCATCAAGGACAAATTTATGTCTCATTACGGACGTCCGCTGTGAGTATTGTTGAACTAGGAAGGCGCCTACCGGGCTGCCGGGTTCAATCACAGGCCGGACCGGTTCTATGGGAAGCTCCGGGTCCGTGATGTCATCTATGATGTCATCTGTGTGTTATCACATGGCTACGCCACTTACCTTGTATGTCGTGGGAACGTACTATACAGTAGCTTAGATAAGCGGTCTCCTCATGTATATAAGGACCCCAGTAGCGTAGCTCAATCCCCAGTACCTTCAGTCGAAGTACTTGCGTGTGCATCAAGCATCAGCAACCTTGCAGGTAAGTTGTGAGGGCGCACCACTGCGTGGAGCTGCCTGCTCAACAGGTTATGAGCCCTGGTCACTGCCTGAGTACTGCGCCTCACTGGCTGCGTCTCAGTGTGCGCACCAGCTTACCTGTGGCTTCGCCTTAGTGGCTTGAAGCCAGGGGGGGACTATGCGCGTACATCGCTGCAGGTCTTAGCGCAACTCTGTTGCTGCTACCCCCAGCACATGCACCATAGCGGTGGTTGCGCCTCTAAGGCTGCATTTGTCATTGAGTAGAGGGCTGACGACATTGTTGTCAGTATTCCCCATTTACCGAGTTTATCACTTCAAACCCTCTACCAATGGCCTCCAACACCCTCTTCACCGCTGTCCCCATCCTCGATGGCTCCAACTACCGCGCCTGGGCTGAATCCATGTCAGCCTTCCTCATGGCGCAGGAGGTCTGGATAATTGTCAATTCGACCTGGCCCCAGCCTACTCTGGACACAGAGAATCCCTCAGTCTACTACGAGTGGCTGCAGCGCGATCAGAAGGCACAGGGGTCGATCCGTCTTCGCCTGACGTCGTCCGTCAAGGCGGCTGTCAAGAACAAGACGACCAGCAAGGCCCTCTGGGACGAGCTGAAGGCGCTCTATGACAAGCAGACCCCCGCCGGTGTTTACAAGGAGTTTAGGACAGCGATCAATGCTCGGATCCCTCCGAACGAGCACCCAAACCCTACCTTCGCTAACATCGCAGCTGCGTTTGACAAGCTTGCGGGTGAAGGGATCGACATCCCCGCTTCACTGCGGGCGATGATAGCGCTCAATGCGCTGCCCTCTCGGTACGACACTGTCGTCACAACGATCCTCCAAGCCAAAGAGCTTACGGAGATGAAGATCGACTACGTCCGGGAGTCTGTCGTCATTGCCTACGAGCAAGGTGGCAAGCAGGCGTCATCTTTGCAGAGCGCGAAGAAGATCTCCGCCGTTAAGCGTAAGCACGGCGAACCAAACTTCAACCAGCAGCAGCAGCGCCAGGATGGCAGCAGCAGCAGCGGTGTCAGGTCAGAAATGGTTTCTGCTGCGGTTCACCGGGTATGGCAGTAATACCGGGCTATCACAGTTGTTCGTTGTGGAGGGGAAACACACAAGAGATACTATAGTGTTCTGCAAAGATAGATCAGTAGGCACAGTTAGTACTTACTACAAGCAGGTTGACTGCTCAAATGATCTTGGGACAATAGGCGAGCGTGGCGAGTATTCTTGACGTGAGGCTGATCTTGGACTTGAGAGACGAGCGTGGCTAGACGAGAATGAAGTTGCTGGTTATGGATCACAGCTTACCCAAACAAGAGCACTAGTGTAGCACTTAGCAGAAGCTTACAGTCACACGTTGACTTTGGGCTACCGATACTAAATTGCTTGGCTAGGGAGCAGCTTGCGAACTACTCAGTGAGGTGGGCAATAAGGGGGCACGAGTTGCCGGGGGGATTGCTCTCCTACGTACTTGCTTGCCTGCTCCCTGTGCCGTGAGTCCTTATATACATGGGGAACAGGCTGATCTAATACTAATTACATGAGCTGACAAACCCTTAGTCATCCAATACACAGCCTGAGTCATCCAAGGATACATAGCCTGAGTCATCCATCTGCACAGCTTGAGTCATCCATTTCACAGCATGAGTCATCTGTTTCACAGCATGAGTCAGCCATAACACAGTGTGAGTCAGCCATTTGTTCAGCATGAGTCAGTCGTTGCACCGTGTGAGTCAGCCATTTGTACAGCATGAGTCAGTCGTTGCACCGTGTGAGTCAGCCATTTGTACAGCATGAGTCAGTTCTTGAGTTTGGGGTGCGAACCTAAAGTGCTTGGTAATCGGGGTCCATGTGGCCGCGTCTCCTAGAAACTGGGGCTCTCGCTGATCCAGGAACCTTGGGGCTTGAGTCTAGGCTATTCTCTGTGCATGTTCCTTGAGCCAAACACTTTTGGCTCAGGACATCTGGTCGGCACAAGAAAATGCAACTGTCCCCAGTTGCACCCTCCTACTCCTGGGACATCTGGATGACTGTTTCCGCTATAGGTCTTCCTCCTGATCTTCATCATCTGTAGAGCTGCTGCTGGAAATCTCTTCCTCATTCCAATCAACATCCTCTAGATCTTCTTCATCCTCATCATCCTCATCTTCATCCATCCAGTTAAGCTCCTCAACTTGTTCTCTTGATATGAATGGCAACAGCCTGAATGCTGCCACTCCTTGTCGCCATATTGCTCCATCTAGTTCAGAAACAACATAGGATCCTCCTTTGGTTTGTCGAACAACCTGAAAAGGACCTAAGTAGCGCGGATGATGCTTGCGGTCAGCACTCTGTTCAACTGCCTTGTTGCGCACAAGCACTAGATCTCCCGGCTTGTACACTTCTCGGCGCAATCTCCGTTCATAGCGTCGCTCGAAGATTTCCTTGGATTGGAAGCGTGTCTTCTTCAAGAGGCTTGCAGCTTGAGCTATGTCGTCCGGTTTCTTCATGAGTTGGCGAATGCGTAGTGCGAGCAAGTCTGAGGTAGACATTCCTGAGTGAAAGCCATCTACCAGCAAAGTCATTTCTGCTAGGTCAAATGGTAGTACTGGTTCTACACCATACAGAAGATAGTACGGTGAGAAGCCAGTAGACTGACTAATTGTGACACGATCAGTGAAGAACGCATGCTGAACATAGTCAGGCCACTTGTCCACGTTGCCTTCGCATGACTTGAGGATTGATTCCCGAATGATGAAATGACCTCGTTCCACTACTCCATTGGCCTTCGAGTTGTAAGCTGAAATCTTGATCTGTGGCAACTTGTATCGGTTCATCAGAAGCTGGAATGCTTCCTTGAATTCAGGGCCATTGTCAGTCACGACTTCTCCAACTGCTCCGTATCGGCATAGGATCTGCTCAAAGAAGAAGATCGACACTGATTTTGCCTTCTTGTTCCTCAGTGACCTTCCTTCTCCAGCTCTTGACAGATCATCTCGGGCAGCAATGACGTATTTGAAGCTATTGGCTTTTGGCATCTCCATGATATCAAGGTAGACCTTCGTGAAGATAGTTGCTGGGGTTGAGACCATGAGGGGTACTTCTACCTTGCGCACACTGCGGATCTGACACTGCTTGCAAGATCGTACATGGTGTCGTATGTCATTCCACATGCTAGGCCAATAGAATCGCTCTTTGACGGTATGCATCACGGCTTGTTCTCCTCGGTGGCCTAATCCTTCATGTGACTGAGTAAGGATCTCCAGGCGCTTCTCAGCCTTGAGAATCACTAAACGTGGGGGTTGTGATCCATTGCGTTGATATAGCTTCCCATTCCTAACAAAGTACCGGCTTGCTCCTTGAATGAACCTTCGCTTTGCTTGTTGAGTAGGGAACTCAGGGATTGCTGCTGTTGTCAGGAACTTCTGGTATTGATGAAGCACCTTGTCTGCCTTGGTATTAGCTGAGATGAACACATCAGCATGACTTGCGCTGAGCAGGGCTTCATATGGCTGGTCTTGAGGCTTGCTCCATTTGTTCTGACGGTCGCGGATCTCTGCATACAAGGCTATGTCGTCCAGCCAAGAGTCATCATCTTCTTCAACCTCCTCTCCTTCTCCTAAGGGGCGTCGAGACAGAGCATCGGGTCCTCGATGTCGTTCCGCGGGCACATGAATGAGTTTGAATGTGAACAAGAGAACACCTTGTATCCATCGGTTGATTGTGGCATTAGGTTGTAGGTCTGGTTCATTCAGCATTCCTTTGATGTACTTGGCATCCACTTCAACCTCCAAGTTCTTGACTCCAGTGAGATATAGTCGGTATGCTCTGAGTGCGCGGTACAGGCCATATAGTTCCAACTTTGGCTGCGAATAGCGTGATTCTCGTTCCGACATGGGTATGGATCCATACCGGGCAGGTCGCTTGCGTCCAGCTTCATCATATTGTGACAAGATGAATCCGACTGCATACTTGCTGGAATCCACCGAGAGTACTACTGGATTGTCGGTGCTGTAGTCGACTGGGCGAAGTGCAGGTGCTGAGATGACAGCCGTCTTGAGGGCATCGAAGGCTTCTTGGCAGAGCGGAGTCCATTCAAACTCAGCATCTTTGTGCAAGAGCTGAGTCAATGGACGAGCAACTTTGGAGTAGTTGTGGATCCATATGCGAACAGTGCCACATAGGCCCATGAAAGCGCGGATGTCGTGAACATTCTTGAGTACTGGCCAGTTGAGGATCTTGTCAACCTTGTTGGGTTCAGGGAGCCTTCCTTCGGGGGTACATTTTTGTCCTACGATGACCACTTCAGGGCAACAGATCTGAGCCTTACTAGGTGCAAATGTTGCTCCTGCATGTCCCACTCGGTGCATAATGCGATGAACATCATTGGCATGTTCCCAGACAAACCGTCGGATTCCTGGGTTCTCACGGAGTACTTCTGGGTCTCCATTCTCATCTGGATAGTCCGTTGCAGGTCCTCGTACTGGCAGATCATCGATGAAAATGTTGGCTGTGGAAGGGATTTCATCCTGAAGAATGAAGGCCATACATGTCTGGAATTCTGCAGGAGAGTTGGTGAACCCCATAGGCAGCGATGTGATACGCAGCAGTCCTAGCGGAGTCTGAAACGATGTCATGTCTCTGCTCATGGGGTGTACCTTTCGAGCATCAAAGCCCCAGAACAAGTCAAAGACCGTATAGCACTTTCGTCCTGCAAAGTCCTCCACAAACTCATCTACCTTTGGAGGTAGACCAGCATCGCGGATGGTTACTTTGTTGAGTGGCTGCAGATCGTGGACAATGCGCAACTTTCCGTTCTTCTTGACGACACAGAACCATCGGGACCGGTATGATGACTGGCTAGGCTCATATACACCAGCCGAGATCTTCTCCTTGAGTAGTGCAATGACCTTTTCCTTGATGCCAGGCGGAATGGGAATGTTTGCATATTCCCATGGCTCGTGCGGGACGACCGGAATGATGTACGGTGTGAAATAATCCTCTCTGAATGTTCCACGTTGTGATTCCTCAAAGGCAAGTGCGTTCTCATTGAGGCGGAGGATATGTTCAAATAGCTTCTCTTCTTCTGGCCAGAGAAATCCCTGCGAGTTGATGTTAATTTCATCAAGACGTTCCCGAGTTAGGCGTTTCCCGGGTTTGAAATCAGGCGGATGCATCGTTAATGGCGCCAATGATGCGAGTGGGTCTTCAGGGAAGCGTCGTTCAACGCGTGCATCTTCAGGGAATACACCGGGGACGGGTTTGACTCGTCGGTCGACACGTTTGTAAGCTGCAAGTACGTCGTTACCATAGAAGGCAAGTAGCTCCTCATCGGCGTCTAACTCCAGCGCACGTGCTAGTGCGTCTCGGTCTTCGGCCAACACGACCTCGCTCTCGCTGTCGCGCTCGTCCTCCTCCTCGTCAAGGGTGATCAGACCCACGAACATCCCGGGCCCTCTCTCTTCCTTGCGCGTGTCTTGCTGGATCTCTTCTGGCTTGTACTCGCTGTCTTCCGTCAACTCGCTCAAGGGTGCGCGCTGGCCGTTCAAGTCGCACGCAAACGTGTTGGTTCTTTCGGGTTGAAGTCCCTGCCGTTGAACAGTTTGCATGGGTATGTTTTCTTGCATCTTTGTACCTGTAGATCGTGCTTGTATAATCGTCACAGCGGTGCAGGCGCGCACGCTATTGAAAACACGTAGATGGGTTGGATGGCTGAGGGTAGTGTTTCGTAGTAGGTGTGGTGTTTGCATGATTGACTGGTGAGTGTGAGTACGTCGCGTGTTTGTCATTTCGGGTGGAGGTACTGATTCCAGATGCAGGTGAGTCTCTTTGTCTTCTGTCCGTAAAAAGCTTGCTGAGGCCAAGTGTTCGTCGCTTCCGAGGCAGTACCGAATATATGGAGTATATTCGGGGCTTTTCGGAGAGTTTTCTACAAGGTAACGTACACCGCACAAGATACAAGGCCGACAATACAGTAACAAACACGGGAACAGGCGGAAATCTATCGTAACGAAGCCGGGAAGAGAACGTAACCATGAAACAAGGAGAGAAGCATAGGGGGCTGTGATGTACATATAAGAGAACCGTATCAGTTGTAGCTCGACGTCGCTGTGCGTTGGGACATGTTCTAACACGTGTCGCTGTGCACCAAGTTTTTGTATCAATACAGTAGACTGAATAGGACATGGAACCTGAGTAACCGTAAGGGAGACCGTTGCCGAAACACATGGATACAGTAAGTCAATCAGAGAATACAGAAGAGAACGAACCCAGAGCACATCTAGTGGGGGTGACTGGCAGAGAGCCAGCCTCGTTTTTGGTTGTATGTCATGAATATACCGAGGGTGAGCTAGTAGTCGGCTAGCTCGCTGTGTCGCTAGGTCAATAGGCAGCTGGCACACATGTCTTGTTGCGACGTACAGGAGAGCCAGCGCGGCTTCGAGCTTGCTGACACTAGTGCCCCGGGTACTCGCCTGGGCCGCCGAAGTCGCCGCGCATGCACAGTGAGCGCAGGACGAGCGCATATTCGTGAGTCGGGTCAAAGGCGAGTGCGGCGTCGATGAGCGCGAGGACAGTGTCGGTGTCGTCGAGTTGGCGCTGAGGGTCAGTGGTGCGTCGGCCCGAGAAGAAGGCTCGGAGCTCACCGAGGCCCTCGCGTTCCTTCTCGTGCAGGAGGTGGTTGGTCCGAAAGGACTCCTCGGTCGGTTTGCGAGCGTAGTGGCCGCGCTTCTTGGCCGCTTTCTTGCCCGTCCGTTTCGCTGTCTGCTGCTGTCGGAAATCAGCGAGACCCTCACGCCGAGCGCGCGCACGTACCGCGCGGTAAGCCTTGACGAGCGCGATTCGAATTACGTCGATAGTGTATCGGTCCATTGGGTGCGTGGCGGATGCAATAGCCTCCGTCAGCTTCTGGAGAAGTATCCCCATATTGGGGAAGCAGCGTACCTTTGAGGCAGTTGCCTCGTCCGTTTCGTAAGACGAATCTGCCTCATTATGGTCCTCGTACTCCTCGGATACCTTGGCTAGGAGCTCGCGGAAGGTCTGGGCCGGCTTCTTGTCGGTTGGCGATGGCGAGGGCACCAACTCACTCTTCCGAAGCGTCGCGTTCGGGAGGTCCTCGGCGTCGATGACGATCGTATCCGAGTCGAGTTCATCAGCGCGTGCCCAGCGTGCACGTTCTTCAGGGGTCGGCGAGTGCTCGCCTTCCTCCCTCGCAAGCTCCTTCACCTTAGCTTTCGTCTCAGCCGGGTCCAGGAATTCGAAACCGTCTTCGTCCATTGTAGCGTCTTTAATCGCCTTGCTGGGCAGCAGCGCCGAGGGTAGAGTCAGCGGTGATACTGACTGTAGCGATGGGGGCGAGGTTGCGGGCGTGGACGGGCTGGCTGCGCGGCTCGGCGGGTACTGTAGACGAGGCGATGTTGGACGTACAGGGGCGGAGGGCGCCGGCGATGGTGCCGGTACGGTCGGAGCTGGGCCCGGTGACGCATGCGATGGTGCCGACGAAGAGGCGATGGCCGCAACACTGCCCGCAGTGTGGCCAGCAGCGGCAGCACGGAATACGGCAGCATCGTCGTGATAGGGGTACATACGCGTCAGGGAGGGGAGTGGAGGCACGTACGAAGACCACGGCGGTTGAGGCCGGGTGGTCAGTTGTTCTTGGCGTGCACGGCGCTCGGCGAGAGCGATACGCGGGTCGGTTGTTCGTTCCGGGATGGCGGAGCTGTAGGGCGTTGGAAATGTCGACGGCTGGTATGCATACCGGTCGAAGGCATTGGCGTGGTACGGGGGTGCTCCGACGCCGATCGCGTGCGGAGCATGCATGGTAGTCGTGGTGCGTGGCGCAACCATCGACTGCGCCGCGCGACGCGCATGGTTCCGTCGTCCGTGGTTGCGCGGCGTGACTGGCATAGGCGGGAGGTTTGGCTGGGAATACGGAGTCGGCCGAGGTGGGCGAGGCTCCAGGTGGTCGGTGTAGCCAGCCCCTCGCAGAGATCGCGGGGAGGCATCGCGGGAGTAGACCGTCGAGGTGAGGAAGCGTTCGGAAGGGAGCCGGTCGCCCTGCCTAAAGTACATGACCGCGTCGCCTTGGGCTATGCCCGTGCCGAGCTCGTCCGGGTTCTGGAGGGCGAGTGAGCTGTCGCGGCACGTGAAGATCGTGCAGCGTCCGTTTTCGTCCTCGAAACTGCCCCGCTGGACGCAGTGCAGGCTACCGAGGACGCACGATGCACGACGGTAGACGCGATCGGTGCTCACCTCGTCTTCGCGCATTAGGTGAGCGAGCACAGAGGGGTGGACATACCCGCGGGGAAGCGTTGGGTCTGGTCGGACGACCTCTTCGTAAGGCGAGACGTCGGTGAAGACGGTGCCTACCGTGTGACGGGGGATGTTGATGGGTGCAGACATGAGGGGTGAGTCGTTCCCGAGCGGGGTAGACGTGGTGAAGATGGAGGAATCGACGCAAGAGGTACAACTTATATACGTAGCAGGGGACTCACCTATGGCCCATCCTGCCGTGCTGAGTCCTCTCATCCTTGGTAATCCTCTTGCTGACTCTCTCCTGGCGGCCGCGTTCGTAATTCCGAGGGTCCGGACTTCATAGTGAGGTAGGGAGGTCGAGGCTGCATGACGAAGAACGAGGGTGGCGGGAGGGAGGTCGGTTGACGTGGCACGCGCCCAAGGTTCAAGCGCTACCGCCCCGGGCGCTCGATCGTGATCGAAGCTGTACAGGCCCGGGCGCGTCTGCGCCGTTAAGTCCGTGCCCCGTTGGGTGGTTACCGCTGCGTCGGTAACTTCAACCTTCGGAGGCAACCTCTTGCGCACGCGCATCCTTCTCCTTGCGCGTGTCTGTGCTCGACGCGTGTTTGTGTGGTGGCCGTCGCGCTGTCTCTTCTTGTGCTCTCTCGGTCGGCTGGTAGGGCTTATCTCGGTGAGCACGTCATTGGTACTAAGTGCCCATTCAATCCTAACTCTCTTCCGGTCTTGTTCGAGTTCTCCTGTCTCTAGCTGACCTATCCCTTCTTTAGATAAATACCTCATTTTGTCGCGGCTTCGCTTTCTGGACCGGGCCAGGCTTGTCTGAAAAGGGAGGCAGTGCGAGGAGGCTAGGTCGAGATGAGTAGGTGTCATGGGTTGAGAATTTGAGGGTGAGTCTTCGTTTGCGCTGAGTCGATCTCTGACGTGCTTGTCTCGGTCATACAGCGCGTCTGTGTTGCGTTTGCACGAAGTCAGTTCGTGTTGCCGATGTGAACACGAACACATCCGCTCGCCTCGCCGGTCTCGTTCGAATGGTTCGGACGCGTGCTGCTCAACGCGTCGTGACGCGTTACTCGCAGATTGCAAGGATAAGGTGCAAGATTCGTTGGTAAGGGAAGACAGAGCGATGTCGGCAGGTGACTCCGGTAAGTCTGCTCCCCTGTTTTCGCTATCTTCTCCTAATTGTCCTCCAGCCTCTCCTTCGGCTTGAATCTGGGGGTTTAAGCTTTCCATTACGCGGTTGTGGCATCGATAGCCAGGCACGTCCGTATCCTGGTTCTCGAAGAGCGTGATGCTCTCTATGCTCAGGTGAGCCGTGTCTGTCGGGGCCGTGCCTAGTGTGGCGGTGTGTGTCGTGCTCGCAAGAGTCAGCGGTGCGAATGTCATCCCTAAATTCCCGTGTTCTGGACTCACTTCTTCGTTCCTCCAGACCGCCGTGCTTGCAAATTGCGCCGATAGCGCCAGCCCGTACAGCGGCCGTGTCAGCAAACTGACGAACTCGTCGCTCGTTCCGGTGCCGTCAGTCGGCTGGCTAGCATTCCTTCGCACTTCAGTTGAGTCCATCTGCTTATCTTCTCCTGACTCTTCCTCCGTCCTTTGCGGGTCCGCAGTGGCTGTGTGATCGGCGTTGTTCGAGGGTGCGTCCGTTGCGCTCGGAGGGTCCCCGCTGTTGGCGTACCAAACCGCCGGCTCGTATGACCAAGCCGGGTCATATCCATCGGGCATGACCAAGATCTCGTGCTGAACCTCGAGGTCTTGGTTCTTGAACATAAGGTAAGTGCCGTCCACTCGTTCATCGATGCTCACATAGTTTCCTCGCTGCCAAGGTCGTCCTAGCAGCAAGTCGAACGGAACGCGTTCGCCGATGTAGAGGTTAGCGAAGGTGCGAACGTTCCCGCAAGTTAGGGGAACGTTCTCGACTAGTCCACGCAGCGCTCCGGCTCCCCCGTTTGCGTCGTTCATCTGACACGAGCGGGCGATGTCCATTGGTCGATTTAGGTGAGTTTTCCATAGCTTCCGGCTTGCAATGTTGAGCTGAGATCCTGTGTCAATGATCGCGGTAACGGGGCGTTCATCTACCTCCATTCGTAGATAGATTAAAGCTCCTTTCGAGCGAGGACCAAACGCGGCGGCGACGATGTTCTTTGGAGGAGCTTTCGGCTTAAGCACCTCTTGTAAGTGGCTGGACATCTCCTTTGAGATACCAAAGATCTCCCCGACTGGTAGTGTTACTGGAGTATTGAGAACTTTCCCCAGAACATGCCAAGTATCAACCTGAGCTTGTACTTGACTCTGGCGTGGAGTGCGCTTTGGTGTCTCTGCCTTCGCAGGCTCTGAACGTTTCGTTGTATCATCTGTAGTGCGTGATTGGGTGGACGATTGCTTCGGCGGCGAGACATCTTCCATGATCTCGTCATCGTTATCTGCATCAAACTGACGGCTAGTGACATCAATAGGTTGCTTGGGTGTGGTGGGCATCTCTCTACGGTTGTGTTCGGTCGGCACTGTTGGCTGTGTCGCACGATCACCAGGATGTTGCAGGATAGGTGGTCCTTTGTCTCCTCGCAGGCGTGCAGAGCTGCGTGTCGCGTCGGGAGACTGCTGGGGTGGTGAAACCAGGTGTGGTGGTTTGTCACGTTTTGGCTCCTGCGTGGCTCGTGGCTTGTTGATCTTCTCTTGAACTGATACCGGTGGTATGAGTGGACCCTTCGTGGCCCGTTCACGAGCATTCCGAGTTGAGGTAGTGCCACGTTCAGCTCCAGCAAAGCTGAATGTGTTCTCTGAGTCTTCTTCGTCTGCTACATGGACATTCCCTTGTTCCTCTTCTGACTCATACTCTTCAATGGTTGCCTGAGCATAGTAGGATACCTTTGGCTCTGTGGTAATGTAGTGTGCTGTGGGTGCAGTCTGCCGTTGAATGGCCGAAACAAAAGTCTCGTCCATGTTACGGAAGATGCGTGAACCATCCTTCATGACCAGTCGTCCAGATGCATCACGTGCAATCACTCCCTTAGCCATAAGGGTGTTGATTTCAGCACATGTTCCAATGCCATGACCAGTTCCTCCACAGCCGTAACACTTCATGGGAGGTCGGATAGCACTTGGTTGCGTAGGAGATGGAGCTGCTGACGGGTTTGATTGCGGGCTTGTGAATGCATTGGATGTTGGACTTCTCTGAGTAGATGAGCCTAAGACCGGAGGCCGGATTGCTGAGGCAGCTAAGGGACTCATGGTGCATGCACGGAAATACAGAACACCATACTCAGGGTCACTTAGGGACATCTTGTTCATCTGTCGGATGAGTTCCTCCACTTCATTGGCTTTCTTCTTCTCATCCTGAGCTGCTCGGCGACGTGCAGCTTGTGCTTTCTTAAGATCAGCCGTATCTTCATCCTCATCCGTGTCATTCTTCTTGCTCGAGTGCTTCTTCTTCGTAAGCTTGCGCTTCTTGTTCTTGAGTGAACTCTTCTTTGACTTGATGTCCTCTTCTGATTCACTGCTTGAATCATCAGATGAATCCGAGCTACTATCATCTGAGTCTGACTCTTCGTCTGAGTCATCCTCATCATCGGATGGCAGTCGGTCGGCGTCAAATCGGTTGCGTTGGAGCAAAGCCTCAGCCTTCTGATTTACCTCAGTCATACTAAATGGCTTTGATAGATCATAGGTGGGCTTAGATGCTAAGAGTCGAGGTTCCAGAGTCTGGCGGAATTTACGCGGGATTCCTTTCCAGAAGTAGAGAGCTTCTTCATCTACGGAGATTCGACCATTCTTCTTCAGCCATCCGGAGATAGTCAGGAACTTCCTTGTATATTCCCTCCATGCTCCTAGGGTCTTGATGGTTGACTTCTTGCGGGCTTCCAGGACGTAGGATTCCAGGTGTCGGACCTTGTACTTCTTGTCATCCCGATCAGCATCGAAGTACGTGAGAACATCTTTCTTGAGAGTTTCCCAGTTTGGATCCTTGGCCTCAAATGAGGGTAGGCTCTCGATGAACTGACGGACTTGGCGGCTGCAGTACTGAGTGACGTTGTCGATAAGGTCCTTGGCGTTGATGATTCCGAGTTTGGTACAGATACGTTCGTAGTGTTGAAGGAAGGACTTGACTTCAGAGTACCTTCCTTTAAACTTCCTGGGAGCACATTTGCTACCAGGCATAGGCAAGCCAGCTACACCAGTTGTAGTAGCCATGATTGCTGAGACTTGATCCTTAGAGATATCGAGTGGGCAAGTACGTGACGTAGAGGCGTGGACGTGCGTTGGATTGGATGTGATCCCAAGGGGCGAACTGACTGAGCTAGCCAGACTGTAGTGATGTACTGTTGCCAGTAAACCCTTACAGTTATAGTATGGTTCAAGTGTTAATGGTCCCCCTCGCGGTGGGCTCCACTGATGTCAGGTCAGAAATGGTTTCTGCTGCGGTTCACCGGGTATGGCAGTAATACCGGGCTATCACAGTTGTTCGTTGTGGAGGGGAAACACACAAGAGATACTATAGTGTTCTGCAAAGATAGATCAGTAGGCACAGTTAGTACTTACTACAAGCAGGTTGACTGCTCAAATGATCTTGGGACAATAGGCGAGCGTGGCGAGTATTCTTGACGTGAGGCTGATCTTGGACTTGAGAGACGAGCGTGGCTAGACGAGAATGAAGTTGCTGGTTATGGATCACAGCTTACCCAAACAAGAGCACTAGTGTAGCACTTAGCAGAAGCTTACAGTCACACGTTGACTTTGGGCTACCGATACTAAATTGCTTGGCTAGGGAGCAGCTTGCGAACTACTCAGTGAGGTGGGCAATAAGGGGGCACGAGTTGCCGGGGGGATTGCTCTCCTACGTACTTGCTTGCCTGCTCCCTGTGCCGTGAGTCCTTATATACATGGGGAACAGGCTGATCTAATACTAATTACATGAGCTGACAAACCCTTAGTCATCCAATACACAGCCTGAGTCATCCAAGGATACATAGCCTGAGTCATCCATCTGCACAGCTTGAGTCATCCATTTCACAGCATGAGTCATCTGTTTCACAGCATGAGTCAGCCATAACACAGTGTGAGTCAGCCATTTGTTCAGCATGAGTCAGTCGTTGCACCGTGTGAGTCAGCCATTTGTACAGCATGAGTCAGTCGTTGCACCGTGTGAGTCAGCCATTTGTACAGCATGAGTCAGTTCTTGAGTTTGGGGTGCGAACCTAAAGTGCTTGGTAATCGGGGTCCATGTGGCCGCGTCTCCTAGAAACTGGGGCTCTCGCTGATCCAGGAACCTTGGGGCTTGAGTCTAGGCTATTCTCTGTGCATGTTCCTTGAGCCAAACACTTTTGGCTCAGGACAGCGGTGCGAAGGAAGGTCAAGGCAAGGGCAAAGGCAAGCAGCGCGGTAAACGCAGCGGCAAGCAAGTTAAGTCCCGCGCCAACCAAGGAGATCATACGGACCATGCGCATCTCGCCTCGCAGGCGTCGATAGCGGGTCCCACCACCTCCAAAGTCGTCGAGATAGCGCCTTCGGGCAGCAAGTCTCACACCATCACCACCCGTCCCGCCAAAACCGGCCACAGCAAGAATGCTCACCGGTGGCTCAAGAGTGCCCTCGAGCTCGCCAAAGACATCGACGTCTCTGGCACCTCACAGCGTCTCACGACGTTGTCTGAGGTCGTTGACAATTCCGCTCGGATTGAGGAGTACCTCTCCGACTCGGAGTCAGAGTCTCGGGCGTCCAAACGCTCTCGTCATGGTTCTGAAGTAGGCCATGCGATCGACGTGATCATGGACAGGACGTACAACTCGTACGACGAGGACGAAGGTCCTACGACTCAGGATCCACTTGATTGGGGATCAGACGGTCAGTATGACATCGACGACGAGCTGGCTAACGCCGCCGGCTTAGGAGAGGACTTTGATGCTGGGTCAGTCCTTTCAGCTTCTATTCCCAAGCGACCTACTAACCCTGCACTTCATACAGCCGCATGTAGTAGTAGACGCACTAGGTCTACTTTAAAGAGATGTAGTATTCGCAGTCGTAGTCGCAGTGTAACGAATGAATGTATCAGTAGTTCGTTGCACAAATCAGTTGGTTGTCGGCATTCGCGCGATTTCGCTGCGTGCACCAAATGTAAGGGAAAAGCTAAGGCTTGGCATGAACCAGAGCCGGTTGAGTCGTCAGACTCCTGGATGTTGGACTCTGGAGCATCATTACATTTTTCCAACAATTTAGATGATTTTGCTGAGATTGAGGACCTCAGTGAGCCAATCGTCTTGTCGACCGCAAACGGCTCTGCCGTATGCACAAAGCGTGGGACAGTCTTCTTGAACTTCGAGAATGACGATGGCAGTCATACGACGACCAGATTATTCCCCGTTTATTACTTCCAAGGTCTTCATCAACGTCTCCTATCCATGGGAACGTTCCTCCGTGAAGGAATGACAGTGCGCGGTGGTGCGCAGCACGTCGACCTCTATGAACAAGGAGCGCGTGAACCACTATATGTGTTCAAGCCGCGGCACCCTAGTTCAACGATATTCGAAATACAGTCCTTGCCTTCACAGGACGCAATGAGTATCCATCAGACGGTTTATTCCGTCGATTACCACACTATGCATCGCCGCCTAGGACATCCTTCTAAGGACGTACTACGGCAAGCACAGAAACACACCGAGGGTTTCCCACCTTCAATAGAGTTCCCTAGGGAGGATCCTATATGCCCAGGATGCGCAGAAGGGAAAATGCATAACAAAGCATTCCCGCCATCTACGTTGAGAGCGACAGAGCCCTTTGAGCTCATTCACTCTGATGTGAAGTCGTTTCCCATCGACTCCTACCATAAGTATAGGTATTACATCCTGTACTATGACGACTACACTTCCAATGCGTGGACAGTGAATCTGCGCAACAAGAGTGCTGCGATCACCGCTACGCGCCAATTCTTAGCCATGGCCAAAAACCAGTACGGCAAGAAGGTTAAGAAGTGGATGTCAGATGCTGGGGGAGAATACAAGTCCGAAGTGTTCGACAAAATGCTGAAAGATGAGGGTATCCAGATCCTGCAAAGTTCGCCGCACACTCCTCAGGAGAATGGCAGAGCGGAGCGACTCAACAGGACGATAATGGACAAAGCTGAGGCCATGCGCCATGAAGCGTGTCTACCTGAATCCTGGTGAGAATTTGCGGTTGAGCACGCTGTTCATCTCTACAACAGGACACCTGTCCGACGTCTCAAATGGCGTACCCCCTATGAGATGTTAAATGGCGAGGCTCCCAGCATCAAGCACCTAAGAATATTTGGGTGTGGCGCATATGTATTCATACCGAAAGACGTGCGCCAGAATACACTATCTCGGAAATCTGAGTTAATGGTGTACCTCGGAGTTGCCCCTGGTGGGCATGGGGCACGATTTATGCACAGCCCTAATAATGTGCTTTACACTTCATCGAACGCTCTGTTTGATGAACTCATGTTCCCAAAATGCCCGGACATGAAACGGCGAGGCAACACTAGGTTGCAATCTGCACCTAGACCTGACCAAGCGGGTCGCCAACCCACTTCTCAGGAGAATTATGATGACGATGACAACGATCATCCCTCTCATCACCTTCCAAAGGGAGCGGACAATGAGCGTGACGATGCTCAGGAGCAGCCTAGGGCGCCCAGTCCAGTTCCGCCGCCTCAACCTCCGGAAGAGCCAGCACGCGATGATGCGCCGCGGCGCTCAGGGAGAGAGCGGAAGCCAGTAACCCGCCCAGGGAATGTCTATGGGGAGAAACGGACCCCCGTAGAAATATACAAAGAGATCAAAAAGAAGGGGCAATGGAGAAAGATTGTCGGAGAAGAGCCGGGTAGCTCCCGCTCTCAACCACAGTCAAGGCAGCAACCGGTTCCCGGGCCTAGTTCTGCGCCTGATCCACAGCCAGACCAACCTTCTGGATCCTCCTCGGGCTCTGACGACGACGAAGTCGAAGAGTTACTCATGGCACAACTATGCCGGGAAGGGGGAGTAGGATTGGTTAACATGCTGCTTGCAAAAGCGCTACCACTAGTTGACCAAGATTCTCCAAAGTCCAGCGTACGCAAATGGACATTCCGTGATATCTCGAAGCTACCTAAAGAGGAGCAAGAGAAGTGGAAAGCTGCGTGTCGTGAAGAGTTAGAGGCTCTGCGCAAGCGTGGTGTTTACGAGTTGGTTGACCGTCCTAAGGGACGTAGGGTTACCAAAAACCGCTGGGTCTTCGACGTCAAAACTGACGGTCGAAAGAAGGCTAGACTAGTCGCAAAAGGCTACTCCCAGATTGAAGGCCTCGATTACGATCAGGTTTTCTCTCCAGTCGTTCGCTTTGAGACCGTGCGCCTTATACTCGCGCTAGCAGCGCTCGAGGGCATGCACATCTCCGGACTCGATGTCCGTAATGCGTACCTCTATGGTAAACTCGACGAGGAGATTTACATGGAGCAGCCTGAAGGCTTTAAAGTCAAAGGCCAAGAGCACAGAGTCCTCCGGCTATTGCGTGCTCTCTATGGACTCAAACAGGCAGGGTTAGCGTGGTGGCGCACCCTGAATGAGTCTCTCAAGGAACTCGGCTTTACACGCCTTGTATCCGACGCCGGAATTTTCATCTATAAGACGAAAGACGGACGTTTCGTCCTAGTCATAGTCTATGTGGATGATGCCCTCTTTTGTGGCAAAGACAAGGCCCTTGTAGCCAAACTCAAGAACCGCTTCATGAAGAAGTGGGAGTGTCGCGACCTAGGCGACGTCAAGGAGTTCTTGCGTATGCGCATTACTCGGAAAGGCGACGAGATTCATCTCGACCAAACTGCCTACCTTGAGACTGTGCTGCAGCGCTGTGGCATGCAGAATGCAAAGTCTGCGCCTACTCCACTCCCTGCGGGTTACAAACCTGAGCCGCACACTGGCCCGGTTGATCCTGCGCTTCGAAGCCGGTATCAGACCGTCATCGGCTCCTTGCTATATATCATGCTTGGAACTCGACCTGACATCTGCTTTGCCGTGACTAAACTCGCGCAACAAGCTGCGAATCCGTCACAGGACCACTTGGACAAAGCGCTATATATCTGCCGCTACCTCGTGGGTACCAAGTCCTATGCGCTTGTATACAGCGGCAAATCTGGACAAGGTGTCTCGGCATGCACAGACTCTGACTGGGCCAATGACCCAGAGATAAGACGGTCTCAGAGTGGCTACTTTATGAAGTTGGCGAACGGAGTGTTCAGTTGGCTGTCTCGACGGCAAAAGACGGTTGCACTGTCTTCAACTGAGGCTGAATACATGTCGCTCAGCGACTGTAGCCGCCAAGTCGTCTGGGTTAAGATGCTCCTCAAGGAGATCGGTTACCTACTTGGCGCACTCCCTATCTGCTCGGATAACCAAGGAGCGATATTCATCGGCTCCAACCCTGTAACTGAGAGGCGGTCGAAGCACATCGACATACGCTACCATTACATCAGGGAACTGATTGAGGAGAAGCAAGTCGAGCTCTTCTACATCAGTACGGATGAAAATCCAGCAGACCTGTTCACCAAGAACTTAGGCCGTGTCAAATTCCTTAAATTTAGAGGAATGCTCGGACTTAGATTCTATGAATCGTCCTAGAGCACCATTGGCAGTGTTATGCGCCTAGTACGCTTATGTGAGTCTACGACGCACTAAGCGAGGGGGAGTGTTGAACTAGGAAGGCGCCTACCGGGCTGCCGGGTTCAATCACAGGCCGGACCGGTTCTATGGGAAGCTCCGGGTCCGTGATGTCATCTATGATGTCATCTGTGTGTTATCACATGGCTACGCCACTTACCTTGTATGTCGTGGGAACGTACTATACAGTAGCTTAGATAAGCGGTCTCCTCATGTATATAAGGACCCCAGTAGCGTAGCTCAATCCCCAGTACCTTCAGTCGAAGTACTTGCGTGTGCATCAAGCATCAGCAACCTTGCAGGTAAGTTGTGAGGGCGCACCACTGCGTGGAGCTGCCTGCTCAACAAGTATCTAGTATCCCAGTTACATCATTGTTATGGACAACTTGCTGAATCAGTTTCACCATGTTTCACCAGCTTTGGCAGCATGTGGAAGACAGGAGATCCTGGAATCCAAGCAGGGATTGTGGACTTTGCAATGACAAAGCTCATGCGCTTTCGTCCCAAGGACTCAGAGGATGGAAAGATGGTCCAGTACTTGGCACCAAGTCAGCTGTTTGCCTGTCTCTCCCAGCGACTGGCTTTGGAGTTTCAGTGCACTACATATGCTGCGCAGCAATATGAGCGTGAACAGGTCCAGGGACACATGAGGATCTGCATACGAATGGATGACTCATTCGAATCAATGACGTCAATCTCTGGGTCCGAGCCTATCCTCGCTGAAGCAGCATACAGTGTCATGGCCACTCCGTCCTTCAATTCTCCAGAAGCATTGAAGCTCATACTCGATGGATTCTCGGTTCACAAAGGTGATCGAGGGGAACTATTGGTATTGCTTCTCTTGACCCTCGCAAGGGATGCAACTGTTGGTAAACCTAGCAGTGATGCGCACCCTGATTCCGGGGTTCAATCTCGGATACTCAAGATCACAGAATTTTTCGGAAACCTATTGAAAGACTTCCGGCACCGTGACAATGATACCACTGGCAGCAGTCACACTGGCTCCGAGTCGACACTACCCTCCACCGATATGCAAGAGTTCAGGCGGGATTTCGATGGATGTTTTATGCATTTCAACCACTTTGTCAAGGTACATCAGCAGTCCCTCTTGCACCAGAAGTATCTGTTGGGCTATCTAGGACGTGGGGCAGCCGTGCTGTGTGCAAACAGCCAGCCAGGAGTGGATGCTGTCCTGACGGGCATCCGCAGCTTGACCGCACATACATCAAATCTCATCCCTATCCTAGTGCAATCGAAGAACGACATGCATTACACTGCACGCCCGGACGAAAGACTTTTCGAAGCCATGAATCCCTACGACCTAGGAATATGGGGTCCCAACGACGCCAACACAAATAAGCGAGTTATACGAGTCGTCTTTGCACTCGCTGTGCAACGGGAAAATGCCCAGGTGACGATGAAGAGGAGGGAGATAACAAAAGTCGGCGAGACATTTGTGTCCTATGACATCTGGATTGCAGGTCTCGCATCGCGAACCATTACTCCTATCTCACTACAGGAGGAGGATCTATGGGACGCATTACTTCAGGCATCAAGGCCCAGGGACTATTTATACAAGGGTCTCGACAACAACTCAAAGGCCCTGAGACGATCAATGGTGTTGAGGAGGGATCGGGACGTGCACGCTAATGTTGACACGGACACGTGACTCGGACACGGACTCATACGGACGCGTTTCGGATAGGGCTGCCTCAGTCGAGTACCACAAGGACGCGACTGAGGTAAGCCAGGTGTATCCTTATTTCTCAAGTCTCGGACGCTCATTCTGTACATCACAGACATTGTAACCTTAACAGGTAGTGTATCAATAGCAGTCGAGTACCACAAGGACGCGACTGAGACATTGTAACCTTAACAGGTTATGAGCCCTGTCTCGTTCGCTTAACCGAATCCATTGTACCATTCGACGACGCAACTCGGGCAAAACCACCCATCTGACGACTAGACCGACGCACTTGCACGTTCCCGCACGCATATATCCTTCGAAAACGCGCATATACCCACCATGGCCGACGACAAAGAGAAAGTACTCATCTTACCCGAGAACTTTCACCTCACGCGATCCAACTGGATCCAGTGGAAGAGCAAGATCCTCACTATCGCCGAATTAAAGGGGGTTCTCGAGCACCTCGACGGCACCACGTCCGCCCCGATACCAGTCGCCGATACTCCAACGCCGACTGAAGCGAAGGCGATCGCAAAATGGCGAAAGGATGACCTATTGGCAAAGGCGACCTGTACCCTTAACATGGACATCGAGAGTTGTGGGATCGAACCTCATGGGAAGACCGCGCACGAGTTTTGGAGCGCGCTTTTGGCTGTGAAGGAGAGGAGGAGCGAGTTGGCGATACAGAACGCGGACGAATACCTCAGAGCTTGCAAGTACGTCCCTGGAGACGACATTCATGCTCACATCGAGGAACTGCGTCGCCGCCGCAAAGCGTGTCGTGAGATCGGTTCCCCGCTCACTAACGCGCGTTTCGCCATCGTCATCTGTCAGTCGATGGGCAACACGTACGAGCACATCACGGCACCACTCCTTACCCGAACCGACCCCGAGGAAGTCATACTCACAATCCTCGCGGTCCACGACAACGCGATGTTACAATCCGGTCGACCTCAGAACCCACTCGGCGATACGCTAACGACCACGATAGCTGGGCAGAAAACGTCCGCCTTCATGACCGCAGCGAAGGCAGCCATGATATGCGATTGGTGCATGTGGAAAGGACATACCAAGGAGCGATGCTACTGCGAGGGTGGGGGTATGGCGGGACAACAGCCCGCACACTGGAAGTCGCAACCGCGGCCGAAGAAGGGATCGCCTGCCGACTTGGCGCATCCTGGAGGAAATACCACCCCTGCCGCGAACACGGCTGCGTCTGCCGCATCACCTCCCCAAGTTTCACTCCCATCTGCTGCCGCAGCCTCCGCAGGCTCCTCGACGTACAACTACGACGTCTTCCATAACGTCCTACTAGCGAGCGCTGCTCCCGCCGACCAGGCTACGCCCAATGGGACAATCCGGGCTTATCTGGATTCGGGTGCGAGTCATCACTACTTCACCGACCGGGCTTACTTCTCCGAATACCTCCCACTCAAACCCCACACCGGAAGCAGCGCGAAGCGGGGAGCGGATTTCACGATCATCGGTGTCGGGTGCGTCCACGCAGAGATGCTGATCGAGGGTCGTCGCTCGATTGTGACGTTCCGAAACGCCCTCCATGTCCCCGACCTCGCAGCCAACCTCATCTCCCTATCTCGGATTGACGGCAATGGAGGCGAGATTCAGATCAGGAGCGGAGAGATGAGGATCGTTGGAAGCGGGGGAGGGGAGCCAATGCTAGTCGGAAAGCTGACTGCCAACAACCTGTATGAGGTTGTGCTGACGCGGCTCGAGCGTGACGCTGTGCCAGCAGGCAGTATTACCTCTGGCGGAGCGAGCGCATTCGCGTCCCTCACCAATGCGAAGGCAACCGACGTTCACACTTGGCACCGACGCTTCGGGCACGCGAGCGAGCGCACCGTGATCGAGATGGCCAAGTCCGGCGTGGTCACTGGCATGCAGCTAGTCGGAGGCATGCCGCGAGGAAAGTGCGAGGATTGCATCAAAGGCAAGCACCCTCGAGCACCGTTCACCTCCTCAAACGTCGAGGAGGAAGTCCTAGAACGAGTATACATCGACCTGACGGGACGAGCGCGTGAGCCATCAATGGGTGGGGCTTACCACGGCATGACCATACACGACGGCGCGTCTTCATACGAAGAATGCGAACTCCTTCGGACCAAGGAAGCTTCAGAGACTCTCGAGGCATTCAAGGCTTACCACGCCAGAGCCGAACTGCAAACAGGGAAGAAGTTACGTCGCATACGCACCGACAATGGACCGGAGTTCGAGAACGCGCTTTGGGAGTCGTACACTCGCGAACACGGCATCGTCCACGAGCTAACAACGCCTTACACGCCGCAGCAGGACGGAGTGGCCGAACGAGGACACCGGACTCTGGGCGATCACGCGCGAGCCATGCTCTTCGACGCTGGACTACCCGTCGGTCTATGGGGAGAAGCGTACAGGACAGCGACGTATGTAAAGAACCTCACTGCGTCAGCACGCCAGAAGGGACACACCCCGTACGAGCGGTGGCACGGACGCATACCGAATGTCGCTCACCTGCGCGCGTTCGGTTCGGTGGCTTGGGCGAAGGTTCCTGACGAGACGCGGACGAAGCTCGACCCGAAGTCGACTCGGTGTATCCTAGTCGGATACACTGAGAACGCCAACTATCGCCTGTGGGACCCCGCAGCCGGGCGGGTTATTCGCAGCCGCAACGTCATATTCGAGGAAGGCCCAGGTCACCGAACCTTGACTCAGGACGCCCCCATCGAGGTGGACACGGACGACGGGGTTGTGAAGCAGGGCGGTGCCGAGCTGGTTGATGACGCAGCTCAGGAAGGCGACTGGCAGGAAGTAGACGCACAGGGCGTGGGGGAGATAGGGCAAGCGGAGCCAGCAGCAGCACCACAGGCGTTACCGATACCAGAGGTCGAGGCGCCACGACGGTCAGCGCGGGTTGCGACCCCCAGTCAGAAGCTACTCGAGTCGCGCGAATCGAACGAACGAGAGGAAGCCGCACGAATCCGAGGGGACTCCTGGGCGAGCGAGAGGGTGGAGTTCGGACGTGACCGTAGCCCGGAAGGCGCGTACCTGGCGATGTTCACGGCGGCAACATCTGCTGGACAAGATGGTGGAACCCGATGGTACCGTGGTGGCAAGACGCCGGAGTCGTATAAGGAGGCTCAGCGTGAGCCGGCAATCTGGAACCCCTCCATGAACGGCGAGATCGACGGACTGGCGAGGATCGACGCCTGGGAACTGGTGCCGCGGACTCCGAGCATGAACGTGATCGGCAACAAATGGGTCTATGCACGCAAGTTCGCAGGTGATGGTGAAGCCGACGGCAAGTGGAAGCCGAAGGCTCGTCTTGTCGCCAAGGGCTTCCAGCAGATCCCCGGTATCGACTATTTCGAAACCCACGCCTCGGTCGTCCGCTTCGAATCCCTGAGGCTGGTATGCGCTACAGCAGTCGTGCGGGACATGGAGATGGGCCAGGACGACGTTGAGAAAGCCTACCTGAATGCGTCTCCAGAGGAGACCATCTATATGGAACAGCCGGCCGGGTATGCGTCCAAGGAATTCCCCACTCACGTCTGCAAGATGAACCGGGGCTTGTACGGACTGATGCAGGCCGGGAACGACTGGTGGAAAGACTTGGACGGCACCTACCAGGACCTTGGATTCTCGCGGTCGCGGTCCGACGAGTGTGTGCGCGCGAGGTTCGACGACGAGGGACTGGCCATCACAGCCACCTACACTGATGACATTAGCGAGGCGGCTGACTCGAAGACGGGATTGGCGAACGTGCGATCGGAACTCGCTGTGCGGTACCGGCTCAGCGGGGGAGGAGAGTTTAAGTATATGCTCGGAGTCCTGATCGAGCGGGACCGCGAGCAGAAGACGATGTGCCTATCCCAGCGCGCGTACGCCGAACGCGTGCTCGATCGCTTCGGTATGAAGGACGCGAACCCCGTGGGCACGCCGCTCGAGCCGGGTTGCAAGCTGTCGAAAGAGGCTGAGCCGGTGACCGCAGAACAGCGAGCCGAAATGGAGAAGATCCCGTACCGCGAAGCGTTGGGCGCCGTCATGTATCTGGCAGTGGCAACGCGACCGGACCTTTCCTACCCAGTCCAACTGCTTAGTCGCTTCATGGCGAACCCAGGCTACAGTCACTGGCGCGCGCTCAAACGCGTCCTCCGTTACCTCAAAGGATCTCTCGACTACGGCATCACGTTCGATGGGAATCACCCTGCAGGGCTCCAGCCGGTAATCTACTCGGATGCATCGCAAGGCGACTGCCCGGACACCGGTCGATCGACCCATGGACATGTAGTCATGATGGCAGGTGGGCCAGTCTCATGGAGTTCGCGCCGACAGGCAGTCGTCACCTTGTCGACAACCGAGGCCGAGTACATCGCTGCCGTGCACGCCGGGCAAACCGGAGTCTGGATCGCGAACTTCATGGACGAAATATACGTGCCCGTGGAACGCCCTGTGGTCATCCGAATGGATAGCGCTGGGGGAGAAAGCCTCGCGACTCGCTCGGCGAACTTCTCGCGAGTGCGTCACTTGCACATCAGTACTTCGGGAATTTCCTGATGTGCTGACACTCGCTGACGACATTCCGTCCACATACCTCAGTAGACATCAGCGTGTTCAGCGCCGTCAGCGAGTCTCGGGGGCTCTCAGCACATCAGTGTACATGGCACACGCGAGCAGAATCACATTGTTCGATAATATTGATTGTACCGTACAGGTCACAAGTAAGTAAACGAGTCTGCATGCAAATCACTCGTACCAGCGAGCGGATGCGGCCCTGCGTGGGCCGGCAAACAAACCGGTACTAGACAAGCGACAAGTTCTTTAAATGGGCAGATACTAAGTGGCTAGGGAGTATGTACGAAAGCGGCGTGGCGGGCGCACGGACAATCAATGATTTGACGCGGGCAAGCGACGGGCGGATGCGCATGACATGTTCACAGATGGCCGGGGGATGTTGTGCGCGTGTGCGGGCAAGTAGGTCGATGGTGAGGGTACAGAGGCGTGTGACGCAGGTGTGTAGAACACCGCTGCAACGCGTAACAGAGGTGAGAGGGGTGCCCGCCACCAAAGGGTGTGGATGTGTCGAGGGTGAGACAGTGTGCTGAAGGTGGAGAGGCGCGGCCGCGTTCAGGAAGAGCGGGCACGCCGAGTAATGTCAAACGCGCAGAGAGGGTAAAGGAGGGGGGCTGAGGGCGGATAGGCATGGCAGCTTACAGTTCTTGTCCTGTCTAACTCCCCCCTTAGCCTCCTTTGGCATCTTCCCTGCGCAATTTGCACGGCCTGCCTCGCGCTCGTGGCGCGAACGTGGCCGGGCTTGGCCATATTCGCGGGATGTGACGACACAAGTGGGCTGGCCGTAGTGCGCTGCGCGGGCGGGGATCCTTTACTCGCGGGTCGCATCGCTGGTAGCCCATCTGGATTCTGGATGAGTCTTCACGTTGGGCGCGCCGGCGATCTTCAATGTTTGACGCGTCAGCAGGGGCCGGGGAGCTGTGAGATGCACGGGAACAGGGTTGGAACAGGGCGATATCTTGCGGTCAACTCGAAGGCTGCAAGGCCGCGCGGCTTGGCGCGTGTCTGGCAGTGGCCATCCGGGCGCGGAGAATGTCGAGATCAACGCGAGAATCGAGCGCGCTCGACATGCTCGGAGCCTCGGGCACGGGCTTCCGGGCGGCCTCGACTGGGGCGGACTGGGGCGCACACGCGACATAAGGTGATACGGAAGAGGAGGCCCAGGGCGAGTGGTGCCGGTGGATGCGCGACGGCAGGCAAGAGACGATGTGCAATGGGCAGGGGACAGTGGAATGCCAGTCGCTGAGCAGAGTCCGAGGGAAACCTGCCCTAAACGGTAACCGCCCGCTGCCACGTCAACGTTGCCGTCTGTTTGTTTCTTACTCGTCTACTGTCTTTCAACGTCCGAACGCTCACCTCACGACTCAACTTGTCTCCTACGCTAGCTCATCCATTGCCGTGCCATGTACTCTCCACAGAACCTGTGCGTAGAAGAGCACTCGAACTGACGTCTCGTACGCGCAGGCACGACGGCACAGCACACCTGGCAAAAGTCCGCGCAATACCACTTTTGTCACCGCCGCAGTGGGACATGTCTGCGCGTAAGTCTCTCCCTCCACACATATACACATGGCGGATGCTGACGCGGCACGCCCAGGACGGTCGTCCAGCTGGCGAAGGCAGCTGACCTCAAAGTGATTACGAGCGCGGGCTCTTGAAACGAGAAGTTCGTGTCCGTCAAATCGCGAGTCGGTGCGCACAACGAGTGTGCTTGTGGCGAGAATACCTGCGAGGTGAGGTAGACCTGTCGTCGGGAAGGAAATGATCTGACGACAAAGTAGATGAATGCACTTCCGTTCACCTTCGGTACACATTTTGCCACAGTCCACGGCCCCTGCCTGACACAGCCATAATGCTAGTGCAATGTGACGACACAGCATACTTGTGCCGGCGTGCCTCCTCTGTGCGGACATGCGCAGGGTCTGGCTCGTGCGTGACGAAGCGGCATGGGGTGACATCCAGCAGGCCCCTTGACGGGTATGCATGTCCGGGCTGATGTGTGGTATGTTTTCAGCTTGCTTCTGACTGTTCTTCATGCTTAGACTACGTTGACCATCATGAATCTGTGTAACAAATAATCACCTCGACTCGTTGACGTGCAGTAGGTTCATAAATGTGTATGTTGTAGTAGAAAGTGCAGTGTTTGATGCTCGAATATATCTTCTTTAAATCAACCAATTTGCTACCGTGTCTCGTTCAATGTGTCTAGCATGCCTTAGATGCCCCCTTTCCTGACGCTGGATGATCTCTGCTGACGGCCGCTGACGGTTCCTGATACCCGCTGACGCTTTAGGCTTTGCATCTACTGACGGAAATAAGTTGAAATTTTGAACAACATATTCGTCCCTGCTGAACACCGCTGAGCTGCACTGACGTTGCTGAAATCCGCTGATATAGCTACTTCAGTGACGTCAGTGGCCGTCAGCGGTTTCCCCAAAGTTCTGATGCACATCCGGTACCACTGGCTGCGAGACGCGATAAGGGGTAAGCAACTGAAGATAATTCATATTCCGGGTGCGGAGAACCCAGCGGACATTTTCACGAAGGCTCTGTCTTTACCTACTTTACAAAAGCACCTATTTTACATGCGCGTCGCGATCCCGGGGGAGTGTTGAGGAGGGATCGGGACGTGCGCGCTAATGTTGACACGGACACGTGACTCGGACACGGACTCATACGGACGCGTTTCGGATAGGGCTGCCTCAGTCGAGTACCACAAGGACGCGACTGAGGTAAGCCAGGTGTATCCTTATTTCTCAAGTATCGGACGCTCATTCTGTACATCACAGACATTGTAACCTTAACAGGTAGTGTATCAATAGCAGTCGAGTACCACAAGGACGCGACTGAGACATTGTAACCTTAACAAATGGATGCCGGTGCAGGCATTGATGCTGATCACTGGAAGAGATGGACATCGGGTTATCCCTCAGCAAGTCACGGTCCGAGGCGAGCCGTCACCGAGTCGAAGGTGGATGAAAGCGACGTGTTCGGGAAACAAAAAGCCAATACTGCGTCCTCGTCGAAGGGACCCAGCGCCAGCGGCCAGAGCCACAGGCAGCCTCCCAAGCAGAAGCGGCCAACGAAGGGCACGCATGGGGCCACAGGTGCTGGCAGTGGTGCGTGATAGTAGGATCCGGAGCTTGGGCATGTCTGAATCATACAGTGCCGCGTACTCCGCTCGTAAACCCTGCCATTATTTTCTGTCGCCTACTTGTACTATTACTACTGTTATACACATATCCCGTGAATTTGTTAATGCACGTCGGGCGTCTTCGCCTTTCCATGAATGTATGTTCAACATTTGACTCATCTGGTGACCTTCCGTTTTAAGGTTAAGTTCGTGAACGGTGACGGCCAGCCTCTTGATTTGACCTTGCTAGGAGTCTGAGCCTCTCGGTATAGGTAACTGTTTGTCGACCCTATGCGTGCGCAAACAACAACTACTGCAAACTCCGGCACGGTCTTCTCATACTCGTACAAGCAACCTCTGAGCAAGCTTCAAGGCGGGGCGAAGCGTAGCAATCTCTTGTTTACCGTAAGACAATTCATACATATCAGGACTACTGTGAATGGTACGTCTATCAAATAGGCCGCTCAACACACGTCTGTTGTCCAATTCTTCCAATACGGATACATCGTACCACCACCTACACGCATTGAGAACGACCCCATCTCGACGGGTGCTCGGATGTCGCGATATGGGTCAGGGAACAGACGTGTCCTCTGCGACCTGCACAACAGCAAAATCTGCCTCATTTCCTGCTCCGTGTCTGGGTCCAGGGGACCAACGATATCTGGGGACAGCCCCGCAATGCGGATGTCGTATGAGACATAGGACCTATGTTGATCGTCGATGTTCTCCTTGCGTGCGATGTGAAAGTCGCCAAGGGCCCGGGGAACGTCGAAGGCAAACACAATGCGGACGAGCGGTTTATGTGGGACATAGTCGGGAGCCCAGATGCAGCGGTCGTAAGGATCCATCGCGCTGAACGTATCTTCTGCAGGAAGCCCGTCGCTGGACTCAACTGCCTTGATGAGAATGAGGTTAACCTTGTCCTTCTCCGCCCGCCCGCCGTCAACCATCGTCAAGATGGCATCGACTGGGTGACCAAGTTGGGCGCATCGGGCTGCTGCGCCACGGGCCAACAATGCATGCAGATAGTGCATCTGCAAAACCTGTCGAGGGACAGACACGAAGTGGTTGAAGTACATTTGACAGTCGTTGAACTCTCGCTCGAAGTCTGCGACCAGACGCCGTTGGTCGTCGGATAAGTCAACCTTCGTGGGAAATGCGTCGGCTCGCGCGTGGGGGGCACGCATGAACGGAAAGAGAGTACGAAAGAATCTGATTGCACCCATGATGCGACCACTGCGCCCGCCAGGAACCGGCGCGGGACGGCCGTGAGCGTCAGGTTCACCGACAGTAGCGTCGCGGGCGAGTATCAACAACAGGGAGGCGAGCAGCTGTCCTCCGTTGGCTGCATCAACAGGAACATCCACCAGCATAGTCTTCAGCGCGACTACCAAGTTGGCAGCTGAACGGTGTACAGCGTAGTACGCCGCCTCTGCAAGGAGTGGTTCGGACCCGGATTGGGATATCGCTTGCGTAGCGCCAGTTCTTTCGCAGTCGGTCTGCTGGAAGAAACATAGGCGCATGTGGTCTTGAACCTGGTTCATCGTGGCGAGCTGCTCGGCCTCGACGCGGGCGTCGAGGGTGAGAGCGAGCCGCTGAGAGGCGCATGCAAGTAACTGCGCGGAGGTGAGGTCATTTTGGCCAAGTTCATACGTATGCAAGAGTCGTTGCGCGGCTAGCGGGACCAGGTTTTCTCTCCATTCTTGGATTCCCGCGCCCCGAAGGGTTCCAAAGCTGCGAGATGATTAGTCACACTAGACACGAAACACCAATGGATATGTACCAGATACGACCCATGTGGCCAATGTATTCTTCGGAGGCGACGTCGGTCAACGTAAAGCCATCGTTCACACTGACCCTGGTAGCCTCTAGATCAAACTGCAGCTCCATCCACACGGGCAGAGGGCCATCGCGTACGCGTGTCTTCTTGTCGACATATCTTGGAGACATCGATTGTATTGTCGAGGAAAGTAACGCCGGCGAGTTGGATAAGAAGAGCACGAGCACAGGAAAGCAAGAGGTCAACTGAGTGAAGACCCGCTTCAATTCCACCACGGCGTTACATTGTGGACTCTTCGAGGGCCGAATGCAATTGGCTGCGGTAGAACCGTCGGTTAGGTGTTCCGCATTGTCGAAAGTAACAAGCACCATCGGATGATACTCGCGGAGGACGTCCCTCGGCGGGATGTCGCCGGGACATCCTGAGTACAGCCGCTTATCCTTGGTAACCTGGTACAAGTACTCCATCAGCCGTGCACAAGCAGAGCCCACACTGGACGTGCGGTGCACTTCCTGCCGATCATTCTGCAGATACAGACGCATCAACGTGTCGGCATTGCTGCTAAAGCATAGTGTCCCACTCACCAGAAAGTGATCACGAGCAACGCTAAAGACTTCCCTAAAAAAATCCTTCCGATACTGCCCGTGGTCGCCCCATTTCATCCCCTCTTGCATCCTGCTCCGGAATGCAGAACAGAGCGAGACGAATCCGCAACTTGCTTCCTCAGCAAAGTCACGTTGTAAGGCAACGAGTGTGTGTTCAAACAGCGCTTGAACAAAAGCGCTGCAATGACTCGCAAGAGAACTGGCGCTTTCAAATCCGATAAACCGGTTTATTACACCGAAATCGGGAGGCGGGTATGGAGCTGCGTCGCAGAGTGAGCCTATCTCTTGACTTGACAGAAAGAGGAACGAGCAATACGTGTGCCATAATCTTGAGGACCCATGCCTGAGCCCATACTGATGGGGATGACTAAACGGTCCTTTGCGAGTTCATCTATCATGCGGGACTTTCCGGTTCCGGAAGACTGAACAATCGAGAAATCATGAACCGTTGGGCGATTTGACCACCAACTGTAACTACGCAGGTGGCCTACAAGGGCCATGGGGGCTTGCCCCACGTACGGCTGCACCCATGCCTTTTGGACAGCTGTGGGGTCGTTGATGGTGAGCGTAATATAGACATTTACGTGGAGAAGCTGGACATACCGAGCTTTTCGTACCCAGGTACCACTGTCATGATTGAGCAACGATCGCCTTTAGATTCATTGACACTCCTTGAACATACCTGGGTAACGCCGCATCAATGGTGCTGTGTACATGCAGTGAACGCCGATGTCATTGGTGCGGAGCAAGCAATGTATAGCTTGAAGGGACGTACCTCTATCAATGAATATATCCCATTTGCCACTGCGACAAGCCCCCAACATGAGGTCATACCACTGCTCGAGTTCGCGATTCGAGAATCTTTCAGCAGGGTTCGCAAGGCTATGAAGCCGCGGGTCGCGGTCAATCCACTCCGGCACGACGGTGTCCCTGATAGAAGGCGCATATTTGACCAAATACAGCGTGACCAAGTTAGCACCTTGAAATACTCCCCAAGGGGTGTGGGCAAGATCGGCACGGGTGTATGTGTTGCGAAGTTCAGTGTCATTGACGACTTGGTTGAGCTGCGACTCAAATTCATGATATTCAGGTGGTGTCGGTGCGGGATAGGTCATTGAGACGTATGCCGGAGTGGTCGCCATGGGCTCTGACCGGAACCTACTTGATCGAGGAGGAGGGGAAGGGGAAGGGACGGAGCCGGGGGTTCAAACGTTCAACGTTCAACGTTTCAACGTTTCAACCGTCAACGTTACGTTCAACGCTCAGGTTGCGATTGCGTAATCCGAGGTTCACAGGTGGAGAATAGACGCTCTTGACCCATTTCGGGAAGCCCGAGCTGCCCGACAACCTGCCCGACTCCGAGGTCAGGAAGCAGGGTGGTCTCAGGTTGCCGGAGAAAATCAAGGCTACAACTTCCCGTTTGCTTTCTGAGTCGGGTGTGGCGAGGTATCAGCGTAAGCACAAGACGTTCATCAAAAGCTATACAATACTAATACATCGAGTCGGAAATGCACATCCATGTCTACAAAGGGTGGCGATAGATCGAGAAAGCGAGCGACGACCACGTCACAGCCTCGCAATGTATTCCATGTTCAACGCTGGCGTCTTCCCATCCTCGGTATTCTTCAGCACTTTGTACCTCTTGGCCCCGAGATCCTTCCCATACTCTTCCTTCCGCATCCAACTTTCGAGCGTGAGTCCATTCGGGTTGATCTTTCGCAGCCACTCATAATCCCTACTAATTGTGTCGTCATGCCACATCGACCACCACGCACGGTAGTTCTCTCTCCACGTAATCGAGCCGTCCTTCGTCTTCCCGCGCTCGTTCGCGAGGGGCACGTCGACTGTAGCAGGGTCGAAGCGCTTGATCCAGTCGTCGTACGACTGGTAGATCACCTCTGCGCGCAGGCCCGTTACCTTCTCGAACGTCGTCCGGAGGTATTCCCAGCCGACCCTGTCGCTCGCGATCTGGAGGTCCTGCGCGGACGTCTCCGCGCGGTGGTCGAAAGCGTAGCGCGCGAAGAACCCGAAATCATCGAGCGCGATCATATGGACGTGGCCCTGTCCGATGGGCGTGACGAACACGACCGTCCCATCTGCGCGCTGCTTGTCTGGCCCAAACATCACCTGCGCGCAGCTGTCAGCTCAGGAGATGGTCTGCAGTAGAGGGCGACGGACATTGTGGAGCATCTCCATGTACGGCCCGGACGTAATGAGCGTCCACGACATGTCCGTGTCGCTCACGACCGACGGCTGCGCCTGCATGAAGTCGCCGACGATGCCCTTGGCGTCCGAGTGCGCGCACTTGTACTTGGGGTCGAAGTTCGTGATCTGCCACATCCCACTGGCAGATGAGCTCAAAGCAAGATGACGTCAAGCATGAGTAGACCCATACCTTCGAGAAGTATTCCAAGTTGCTCCAGACGTAGTGCTTCACCTTCGCGCACCTCGCCAGTTCGTATATCTGGATACCGCACCACACTTCCTTCGCCTGCCCGACCGTGAACCCGTCGGTGTTCACGAAGGCGCCATAGCAGCCCTTCAGCGCCGCGGCTACGGAGTCGAAGTTATCAAAGGAACCTATTTCGGGGTCGTTGAGTATTACCCGGCACTCCATCATAAGTGCGGAACTGACGCTGACCTTTGACTAGTTCGACGCCTTTGGAAGCGAGCACTAGTGCGCGATGGCTGGTGGGATCACGAGTGAGCACGCGCACAGCGTAGGGGGATGGCGAGCCATCCTCGGCTGGGGCGAGCAGCTTCTCGATGACGGGGAAGCCTTGCGCACCCGTGCCGCCAATGACGAGGATGACTTTCTTACTCAAGTCTGCAGTCATAGCACCGTCGGACGATATGAGGCTCGTTGTAGAGTTTGGTAGGCATCGCGCCATTTTATATCTCTCTGAAGGCCTGCACCATTGGGGGTCCTTGAGATATTCTGGGTTAGCATAGCACTCACCGAGCCAGCCGGGGATGACGAATCATAGAGCGATGCGCCGGTAGGGTCAGGCGGAATGGGCTACTACCGCAGCCGCTCACCTGTGGAGGAGGAGGAGGAGGAGGAGGAGGAGGAGGAGGAGGGTTCATCTAGCCACCGGCCGTTAGTGCACGCGCGTCTCGACTTCTTGACGGCGACAGCGCTTGGAGTAATAGTGTTCCACTTGCGCTGGTACTAGTGTTTCTGCAAACGTGCTCGGAGGCTTTGAGGGTGTCCGCGTGCAATGGATGGCGTTTGCTAAGCGTTGTTCATTTTGTGCCCGGGACGCCCGGGTGACTGTCCGAGCCCATAACGCTGCAACTGGTTAATATTGCCGACAAGAATGCAGGGTATAAGGACGTTGCAGGCATCGAGTTGCGGATCCATGCACTTGCTTTGAACTCGATGCATGTTTGACTTAGCTAACAAGAGCTATCAGATTGCGTACAAGTGGGGGGTGCCGTCCTCCTGGACGACCAACAACATGTCTTTCGTTGTTCAATGGCGTCGTTGTATCGTCCAACAGTGTTCGTGGTAGCTATATTAAGCTATTCATGTGAAAGTGAGTCGCACTCACCGATTTCAAGAACCGCTGGTGGTTCAATACGTGGTGTCGCAGATGCCTTCGGGTGAACTCATCGCGCACTCCGAGCCAAGGACCTAGTCGGAGTATCTTGTCCACTAAGCCAGTATAGTTGTGTTGCATCGCGCTCGGGACAGCAGCCGCTAGCAAATCGATTCATTTTGCGCTCAATCACTGGCTAGACCTCGCCGGCCGTACCGGGCTCGAGAAGCTTGAGGGGACAACCATAGTCATACCACCATCGAGCTACGATATGACGTGGTCAGCACGCCGTTGACGCTGAACTTCCGACGAAATGGCATACCAAAGTTTGTACAATATGGCCGTCACCGGCAGAAAGTCGCAATTGGAAGGCTCAGGAGTGGTATCAGCTAATATACGTCTGTGCATCATCCATGTGTGTTTTCAGCCACTCCGTCGAGGATTAGCCATATACGGCAAGTCTTCTGGTTCGATCATGATCCAGGATCCTGCGCATACCTTTCACAGCTGTCAGTTTTACTGTATCTCACCGATATGCAAACGGTCATTATCTCACCGTCGCCACACAGAATTACCACCAGTTGACCGTCACGGCAACATCATGCCACGGAAAAGCCTGGTTGAAGCATTGGATTGTGCATATGCCCGGGTCAGGCGTAAGATACGATATCGAAAGCGGAAGCCGTGTGCCTCCCGCTGACTGCGTTCATCATTTACGCGACGGAGTGGATCGCCCTCTCAGAGTCGGAAGGGTAGCGGAATTTGCACGGGAGTTTTGAATTGAACTGCAGGTAAGCGACAGCGCCCTTCATGGCTTCCGCTATCCCGTAGTCCGACCCGACGCTTCCGACGCATTCCTCGAGGCCCATGAGTGCAGTGTACTGTTAAAATCATCAGCAAATCCAGCCCAACATGTACTAGTCATCGCTGCACCTCTGTTCAGTCGGTGTTGCCATTCGGTTCCAGACCACTCGATACATATAATCCCTCCGTAGTCGACCTACGGAAGCAAATGACCATCACAATCTTGACCGACGCATGCACCTTGCCACAGGTCTAGACCGCGGGTATGTCAGATCGTGATAGGAGGTCTGCACACATCCATCCGCTGCTACAGGCCGAGAACGACGCATCGAAAATGCATATAAGGCTCGGGTTTCCGCCAGTGTTCACCATTCTTTTCGTCTTCGCATCAGCATCCGCACACTCAACTCCAGAGTTGCATATTCTTCACGATGCCTATTGCACTTCCCGACTTCACTGGCACGATGATCGACGCTGGTCGTCTAGAGCTACTCCAATACGTGGGCGCTGGCGCCTGCGCTGAGGTCTACCTCGCTATTGATCATGAAGCCTCGGCCTCCTCCTTGGTCCCCGTCCGGCGTGCGGTCAAGATCGTGCCGAAAGCTGGCCTTTCGAAGCGCGACACGCAGCGCCAGCGACAGGAGATCGCGAACCAACGACTCGTCTCGGACGTGCCCGGCGTCCTCGAGTTGCTCGATGCCATCGAAGACGACGCGCACTTCTACCTCGTGACAGACTATCGCGACTGCGATCTGTTAGACCTCATTCTCGAGGGCGTCTCTTTCGAGCGCAAAGACGAGCGGATCCGGTCGGTGTTCGTGCAGATTCTGGGTGCGGTACAAGGGTGTCATCAGAAAGGGATGTACCACTGTGCCCTTACGCCGGAAAACATCCTCTGCACGGCCGACGGGAACGAGGTCGTTCTAGCCGACTTTGGGATGGCGACGCCTCAGGCGCAAAGCCACTCCCGCGGCTACAGCAGGCGCTACGGCAGGCGCTCCTATTTGAGTCCTGGTAAGCCCTCGGTCCACAATCATCCACACGGGTAACGCTGACCTTCAGCGACAGAATTCGTCAATTCCACTACTGAACCATACTCCACCGAGCATGCGGACATCTGGGCATTGGGGAGGATCCTCGTCGACCTCATCACGGGCTGTCGCTACCCCTGGTCGAAGGCCTCGATCGACGATCCCGACTTCAGGCAGTTCGTCTTCGAGGATCAGTGGTACCTCCAGAGAGAGTTCGGGATCTCGAGGGGAGCCGCTGACCTGCTGAAGCGGGTCTTCAGGCTGCACCCCGTTGTGCGCCCCAGCCTTGCGCAGATTCGCAAAGACGTCCTCCGCCTCGACACTTTCTTCGCCGAGTTCGAGGAGGACTCTGAGTGGGACGAGCCATTCGACTCCACCCCCACGTCTGAGGACAGCGTCGCCGTTGTCGAGACCCCCGGCAACGAGACCGCGTTTGCTCCTCGCGTCGTCGTTCCCAAAGGGTACGTTCGACCGCTGCTGCCAGCACTGACAAGAACGGCCTCTGACGATGAATTCGCGCTCAGCTTCCTTGACGGCCTGGAGATGCTTATAGCTCCAGTGTCCACCTAGTCATGCGAGGACGCAAAGTCGGGCGCGACATTTCCGCCGCATATCGCCAGTTGGACCATCACAGGTGAACGAACGAGAGAGAGTGCGCTGAGTAGTGCCAATGGACATTACGGACACATGCCTTGGACACTTATGGACGCTGTGCCATCGGACACTTCGAGTACACTGCAGGATAGACAGTCAGTACCGGACAATGTGCCATGGACACATAGAGTAGAACAAAAAAAGCCAAAGGAACAAAAACAGTACATACATGAGTTCAAACACAATCGTGACAATCTCTTCAGTGCGCATGTGCATTTGTTTGACTCGCGTCCCTCTCGTCAGTGAGATCAAACCCGGCAGCTGAGGATGGTAGTACTTACTGCCGCCATACGACTCGGATAGACCACTATACATCGCAGATACCGCCCCCGCGCCACATTGCCATTCTGTAGGATATTTGCCAGGGTACACGCGAAGCTGGTGAGATACTGCAAGAGCAGTGGTGACTTGCGGTGGTTGCGGTAGGACGCACAGGCGAGATCTGAAGCCTTCGGCAAAGGCCGGCCTCCTCCGCTCCGCGACCGCTCGCACCTACGCGCTAAGTTACGATCTTCTGAACACCCACCACTGCAGCTCGTCTAAATCCACTCTCATTGGACTTGCCCGGGACGCGATAGATCACGGCGATATCATACATAGAAAGCCATCAGATCGGCCGTTGGTCTGCCTGGTCCCTGCTCTTCAAGGTGTTCGACTGGTGGTTCAACAACCACGACACTGCGAGAAGGAACCACCCGAGTGCGCCCACCCGAGTGCGCCCACCCGAGTGCGCCCACCCTCGCCGCGTCGCTCACATTCAGCATATCCGCTCTCTGACTCGCGTTCCTGTGGTGCTTCAGGATGGCGATTCCCAGAGGTCCGCTGGCGGCTCCAACCGCGGTATAGAAGGCGAGGGAGCCCAGGTCTTTTCGTATGCTTGTCGACATGTTCATCGTCCTCGCAAAGCCTTTGACATTCCTGCTAACGGCCGCGAGGCATAGGAGCATCAGGACGACGGCCCAGATAGCCACGCAGAGTACGCCGCTGCCCACCGCGCCGATCTGCATCGTGGATCGAACGCTGGTCGCATAGCCCGGGTCGCCTGGATGGATCGCGCGCAGGACCGCCTGCCCGAGAACGAGCCCGAGGAAGCCGTTGAGAGTGTATATGCCCACTCCTGGGATCGGCATGATGAGCCAGAGCCCGACGATGGCAGATACCCTCTCCGCGCTGCTCAGGTCGTCGCCGTCCAAGCGGGTGAGGACGCGGTGGAGCCGTTTGTGTTTGTGGTGAGCCTCTGAGTCCTGCTGTGTTTCTACGGTGTCTGTGGTTCCTGGCCGATGACTCTCGGCGGCAGATGGCGGATGGAGGCCTGCATTTCCAGTGGACGCGCTGTGTGTTATGCAATATGCGTATACCGAATACGATCACTCACTACTCATTCTGTGCGCTGCTGTGACAGTTTGAACTGAAGGAATGACTCCCAGCAACGACGCTACTCGTGACGGCTGAACGAAAGGTGGTATGGTGTATTGCGCCCACATCCTACCTGACCACCATGTCACTGTGGGCCACCTTCATCCACCACTAAGTCTCCTGGGTCGCTTCTCAACAGCCACTTGACCGCCACTAGCACTCGTCTCCGACATTGATTTGCCGGCAGTGGCCGCAAATTTCAAGCTTCAAGCTTTGCGACCTCTTTCGCCGCTTGTCATCCACTAGGTACGAGCAATCGGGTTTCCGTACATGTTGGTAGACTCAGACCATCCTCAGAGGCAGCGGGGTGACCCCGCGGATTCTTGCTGCCAAGTCCATTCGCACCAATTTGGCGGGCTGGCGTACCAGCTGGTCATGCAGTGGATGTGCGCACATAGCACTCCCACCCAGTCCCACCACTCACGGTCCCTTCCTCGTACCCGCGAATGTCACCGCGCGCTATGTATTGGCACTCGTCTCTCATTGCGTACCCCGTTACGCCATAGATGATACCCCGCTAGACGGCTCGGCAACGATGGCCGAGTCCAAGCCAGCTCGTTCTCCACCTGGTCCCACCGCGATCTCCTGTTGACCGAGACCTTTTCATTCCTCGTTTCTCGTCGATGTCCACCAGGTCGCTAACACTGGTAGCCATGAGGTTGCGTTCCAGTCCGACAGATTCACACGCCAGCAGTTCGGGGAGCACATCTCCGTCCTTCAAGAAGAGATCGCTACCCCTGGGTGCGGCAGTCGGAGCCTGTCGTATATTTATGATCGCAGATGTTCAAGTTCGCAGTCCCGCACCCGGCCTCGCCCGCGAATACAATCCTTGACGCGTGAACATTTCAATCGTGCTCGGGATGCGCCTGTCCACGGCGGTCAAGCAAATATGCATGGACTGCGGCAGCCTCAAAAGCCTCGACGTCGATGGGAAGGATGTGCTTCCGTTCACCTCGTCACGCACGGTGCCACTGCTACTTCGAGAACGCGCACAAGGTCGAGCCGGTGAGCATCGAGGCTGCGCCGTTGCAGCCTCGCGATCGTTCAATGTCCAACGCGCAGCGTATATGGTTCGTACCTCGCAACATGTTCGGCCTGCAGGAGTGGAAGCATGACAAGTGGAAGTTCCACGGGGTCATGCGCCCAAATGGCAGGCAGCGTGGCGAGCGTTCGGTCCGGCGGGTTGCCTGGGCAGTAAGATCGAACGATGAGATACTGAACATAGATCCGCGTACGATGCCTACGCTTGATGGCAGATCTAGATGGCACGATACGAGGGTGAACGTCAGAGGACGAACGCGTTTCCTCGCTTTGGAAGAATGCAGTCTCGCTCCACGTTGCGACCAGGGATGTTGTGTCGAAATTACCATATGTGCAGTCACGGTAAGAGGAACGTAGGAAACGCCACCCACACGGACAACACACGGGCCGCGGATATGTTCAATGCCGTGTAAGTACGACTAGAAAGGGTCAGTTCGAGTTGCCGTGGCTCAGTCAAGCCTAAAGTAAACGGCCGAACGATGCCACTGCCACTGCCATGCGTGACTTTGGTGAAAACTTATTTGCTGTGACAGCGTGTTGGCGGTCACGATCAGTACCACTCAGACCCAATCACGCTTGTGCGTCAAGTGTTACCTATGCCACCTCAACCTCAGCCTAGCAGCATTCAAGGATGAAGAATATTGGTCCTATGCACCGTTCTCTACTCACAGTGAGTAGAACTCTGTAGACTTCCGGCATGCATGGATCGATAATCATCTGGCGCAGGTTCCACTTCGTCTCGGCGGTGGGGCTCGTCAGAGCTGGTTTTCACTACGTTCCTATAGCGGCCTGAGCACCTCCCGCAGTACGTGCACCACCGTTTCTTCGACGTTGGTTGAATTTTTACTCAGTTTTAGGTCCCGAGATCTCACGGATCCCGTTCACATAGGTATGTTTTTGATCAATTCACTGCCGTAAGTATCCTGAAACCTCTTCGGATAGGCACAGGAGATCTTTTTCCGACGTCGTGGTGGTACCTATCACCTAAGCGCTTGCTTGACACTCCCTTGGATTGTCCCCTCGTGTTTTTGGTCATTGTTAACCCCACAGGGGAACCCGGGAACGCGGATGCTTGCCACGAGGGAGTGGATCCGGCAGGATATATATAAGCTGGGAGGGCTCGCTCGCTCGCTGTCTCTGCATCCTCTCAGCCGCCGTCACTGGTTCCGAGTGGCTCTCTTGCGACGACTGTACGCCGTTGCTCGACTACACACGCGTATAGCAATGGTCTGAAGTGTGCTTTATATTCCTGTGAGTATCTTCGCCCCTTTCATCCATCCATTCGTTGACCTCATTGACAGTGGCACGCCGTTCATGTTCGCGCTCGTCACTAGCCCTCGTACCGACACATTCCAGACACTACGGGGTTGTGCCGTTGGCACACACGGTGTACTATCTCAGCAACATGGTGAGTCTAATCATCATTCAAGCGCCCATCTGCGACGTCTGACCTCGCGCCCAGCGCATTCTCAGGGCTAATCATCACAGTGCGCTCGCGATGGACTCGTCCGAGGGTACGCAGTCTCGCACACAGACACTAGGCGGTGTACGACTCGTCCCTTTGTCCTTTATGTCGAGCATCGGTGTCACGATCTAAGGCGTGGCCCATGACGGCGCGCGCTACATATGCGTCGTGTGGCATGCGCTCGCTGTCCACCGCTATGAATGATAACCGCAGAGTATAAACTCTTATGTGCCACATACAAGTCGCAGTCGTCACACTTATGTCGCGATCACACGAACAAACGGGTTCTCTCTGTTCCTCTGCACATTAGTGCGAGGTAAGCTCTGATCATTTTGACTCGAGAGAAACCGGTGCTGATACAAATCCCAGAACAACAGGACGCAAGGAGAAGAAAACACTACGCGATGGGTATAATACGTGGTACACGATGGGTATAATACGCGACACAGAAAGCAGCTACAGCAATAGACGAGACAAGGCAAAAGAGTTTTACAATCAACGATGGCGAGGGCGCTTTGGCGAGGGCAGCCGTTCCCGGAGATTGTCTCCGCGAACGGAGTGCCAGTCGTGCGGCTGGGTATAGGGTCCCGCCCATTCGTATTCTGGCTCGGGACTGGGGTCACGGCGGTTGTAGCCCGGGACGTACTTGGGAACGTACCCTGGCGCCCGACTAGGACCGGCGGTCGGCTGCGACGCGCTGCTACGAAGCAAGGGTGAGCGAACTATCTCGAACAGTAAGCGTGGTCAGTACTCACCTCCTCGCATCGCTGTCATAGTCGGATTCCTCGACGTTGTCAGCGTCTTCATCATCATCTTCCACCTCGTCGCGCCGTCGCTTCTTGAACATCACTTCGGAGATCGACCTGCCAACGTCGGCCATTGGGGGAGCCACCTGGGAGGGCCAGCTGTTCATGGGATACAGCGGCGGGTATACTCTGGCCTGTCCGGGTTGGTCGCTGGCAGCTCGGCGGGACGGCCCTGCTTCTGCGTTCTCCTCGGCCTTCCGTGCTTCTGCGTACAGCTCTGCCTGGACCTGTGCGGCATACTGCTCGTCTTGATCAAGGGCGCTCGATGGGTGGAACGCCTTGAGAGGCCTTGCGCCGGACAACACTGGTGACGGCTCGTTGAAGCCGTCGTCTGCCTCGGGCTGCCGCGCAACAGGCGTAACATTCCGAGCCCGCCTGGGCGGCGTCACCGGGGCTGGCGGAGGGGTCCGTGCGCCGACGTAGGAGAGCGGCGGCGACGACGGAGGAAGCGGCGATGAACTGAGGCGACGACGGGCGTTCGGGTTCGGCGGCCGATATACGAACGCGGGGAGCAGCTTGAACGGCCGCCCACCGCTCGGAGAGCTCCCATAGATGTCGCTGCTGGTCGGCTTCTGCTCTGCGGGTGCCTCAGGCTCGTCGTTTTCTGCCTCGTTGTCCGCATCGTTCTCCGCCTCGTCGTTTTCGGCGGCCTCGTCGACTTGCTCCTCGCCCTCTTCAAGTTGTCCGTCGCGCTCGCCCTCGTTTTGAGCCTTCAACCGGTATGCAAAGTCCACGATTCGCTGAACGGCTTGCGGGTTCAGGAAAGAATCGTAGGGGCTCCCATCCGCCTCCTTGAGCAGCATCATGACGCACTGCTCATACACAAGCCGCTTCGCCTCGAGCTCGCGACTCCACTCCTCGACCGTGGCCAACATCTTCTTTTGGAGTTCGACGTGGCGCGCCATGTCCTTCCTCTTCGCCTTCTCCCCATTGAATTGTTCAACGAGGTGCAGAGTCTCCTGGATGATCTCGGCGCCCTCCTTCTTCGTGCAGCCGTTGGTGCGCTTGGGGGGCGGAGCTTGGCCTTCGGGAAGGTTTGTCCACCGTGCCTTGGATGCCGCTTCCAGCCGCGCCATCTCGGCATCCTCCTCGTCAACTTCCTCCTCCGTCTCAACGTCGGGGGCATCGAGGTCCGTCATGTCCGCGAACAGCCCGCGGAGAGCAAGCTCCTTGTCCGCAGCCTCTCCGAACACGCCGGTCACGCGCAGGATGTAGTCAAAGACTGCATGCATGTCGTAGACGATCTCCTTCTCGTCCTCGTCGCGGAACTCGTCGTGGATGTTCTGCTCCTGCTCGGGCTCTTGGTTCTCCTGGTCCTCATCGTCCTCGGAGCCGCCGTTCGCGGGGTTGGAGGGGATTTCTTCGGCGTCGCTATCCTTCGGCTCGGCCGCGGGAAGAGCGGCCCGGCTGGTCCTGGCCCTGGACGCGGGGGCCTGGCGCGCCGCTGCCTGCTCCGGGGTGATCGGCGTGAAAGCTACATAAAACGCAGGTTAGCATGCTACTGTTGTATGCGGCGGCGATGTACTCACCCTGACGACGGGCCTCGCGCACCCTCTGCGGCGTCGCCGGCATCCTGAAGCGGGGGTCGATCGGGTCGGCACGAACCCTCGAAGGACCGGCCTCGGGCTGGGGCTGGGGCTGGGGCTGGGCGGCGGCGAAGGGAGTAGCGGGCCGCTCCTCCATCGGTTGCCCGAACGTTGGGTGGAAGCCCAAGAGCACGGAAGTCGACTCTTCCACAGGGGCAACCGGCGCGCTGGGCCTCCGCGGTGGCGACGGGCGGGGGAAGACCACGCTCGAGGGCCCTGCCTCGGGCTGCGCAGGCGACCATGGCCGCGAGGGGCCCGCTTGGGCCGGCAGCCTCGAAGGCCCTGCCTCTGGTTGTGCGGGAGGGGGGGACGGCATGGAGAAGACGGGCGCGCGGGGAGGGTACGCTGGGGCGCGAGGAGGGCGCGGGCGCGGGTCGACGGTCCGGGCCTGTGGCTCGGCGGGGGCGGGGAGGTGAGCGAAGGCTCGGGGAGGGCGCCGGCGCGGGTCGACAGTCCGGGCTGGCGGTTCGGCGGGGGCGGGCTGCAGGTGGAATACGGACCCGGGGAGGAAGGAGGGGACGGCGGAGCGGCGGGGACGGGGCGCGATGAGGGGAACAGCACCGGCGCCTGGTGCTGGTGCCGCTGGCCTCTGTGGCGAGAGCCGGATGTGGCCCTCGTCGAGGAACTCCAGGAACTCCTGGGTCGACAACGAGGCGCCCTCTTGTGCCCTTGAATAATTCGTTGCACGTGCAGCCGCGCTAATGGGAGCACCTGTCGTCAGGCGCTCCTGCTCGCGCTGCAGTGCGTGCGGCCGGTTGTTCACGGGTCTGGAGGACCCTTGAACGAACACAGGCGCTGGCAGGGGGAGGGCTGCCGGAGGGCTGCGCTGGACGCGCGCGCCTGTGGCGTTGATAGTGAGTGACATACCATGAACATAGGTGAGTGAACATACCTCTCGAAGTAGCCATCACCGGGGACGGGACCGGCGTGTTGGGGAGGGTAGGAAGGAGTTCCTCCTCCTCGCGCTGTGGTGGCGACGGCGGTGGCGGTGGCGTCGGCAGTGGCGACGGTGCACGCCGCTGCTGCTGGGCCCCTTCCTCGTCAGCGGCGTCGACGGCGGGCGTGACCGCTGCCCTGCGTCTTGGAGGGATATCTACAAGCAGGTGAGTGTCATGTTGAGACAAGGGCAACGACCACTTACACTGGGAGATACTCTCCCCGTATACAGGAGGCTTGCCTTCGACCTCCTCCTCGACCTCCTCGACCTTCGGCTCCGGCGTGCCGCGACGCCTCGACCGACGAACAGGGGCCTTCTCCTTCTCCAGCCTACAACTGCGTCGGTCACAGGGCTGGTCAAAGAGAGAGGCAACTTACGGAACGATGCCGCCGGGGTGCATTGCCAACAGCGCCACGACCATGGCGTCGGTCTTTCCGTTAGCGCGAATGCCTTCGCGCTGAACGCCACGGGAGTCAGTATGGGGACGCAGACGCGTCGAGACACGAGACAAGACGCGTACCTTTGCCAGCTTTTGGATGTCGGCGCGCTTGAGCGCGCGGACGTCTTGCTCGTTCAACAATGTGGTGTTCATTGTGGTAGGTGGGTGATGTTAATTGTGATAGGGCTCGACTCTGTAGGGGGTGGAGACCGGGTAGGTCTCAGGGGATGGAGGAGCAAAGGGCACACGAGGGGTGGTGGTGGTAAGAGAGACAGAAGTTGAACGGGTGGCGCGCGCGCTTTGTACCTTTCGAGAACAATGGCAGGCCGTAGAACCCACGGTCCATAAAAGGGGTAGTCTCTGTCCGCGGGCTCCGCCGGGCTGGACCGCCGTGTGGCTTCCGGAGGTTGCAGGCGATGTTTCGACGAATATGGGAGAGAAATACAAGGGTGTTGATCTTATGCCCAATTGAAGCCGTGTAACCGAGCGATAACGGTCCTTGTCTTAGATGTCTCACGATAACGTCCAATGTATCAGTGGGTTTCTGCGCAGATGCTCACAAGATGCTCAAAGGATGAACTGCCTCGCTAAAGAGAACAAAGGAAGTCCCGAGTCGATGGTACCAGGTGTGGCGTCGAAGGCATCGATGGCACTAAGCCAATCGATTACAGCCTAGCCGATGAGACCTCATGGCAAGATGGCCGAGCGGTCCAAGGCGTGTGACTCAAGCGAAAGCTTGCCTGCTGTAGCGGGTCTTCTCATCTGAGTATTCAGGCACGGGTTCGAATCCCGTTCTTGTCATGAGTTTTGCTGGCGACGAGGAAGAGTAGCGGGGGAGCAGAGGAGCGCAGCACCAGCATACTTTTTGGCGGTGGACTCATTCGTTTTGCCATTGTAGTTCAATCAGCTGTGTGTTTGTGACACTCGTATGGCCGATGTTTGCACTGGCTGCTCGCCAATGGCAGTGGTCGCGCACTGCAGTGCACTGTCTGCAGCGGCGGATGCGGATGCGGGGCGCCGGAGTGCCGGGGATCGATGGATCTGCGCGATCGCCGGAGGGATCTCGGGGATCGACCCCTCGTTAGGCGATAAGGTGGCAGGCGCCCGCCCAGTCACGCCAAGGCTGCAGCCTGAGGCGCGATGCTCCGAGCCCCCGTCCGCCACTTCGTCTCTCTCCTCCACCGTCCGCCTCGTCCTCCCACCCACCGCCAGCCATCCCACCTCTGCCCGACCATGACCACCGCGGCACCCGCAACCCACCCGGGCTTCCAGCCCATGCTCCTCGCCCTCCCGTCGCTCACGCCTTCACTCGCGCTTGAGGTATGCCTTGTGCGTTCGGAACGTTCGGAACATGCATCTCACGGCCTTTGAGGTTCTTCCCTACGGCTTGACCCTGCACAGGCTCTTTGTCCAGGCGGACGGCAAGGTGAGAGCTCTCGATCACTCCCCGCCACCGCGCCAGCCTAATCACGGCCCGCAGACACACGACATCCTCATCGGCCCCGAGACGCCCTCCGACCATCTCGTCCAGAAATATACCAACACCATCATCGGCCGCTACGCCAACCGCGTCCCCGCGGGCACCCACTCCGTCGCGCGCAACGGCCTCTCCAGCACGCTCACCGCCGCCGCCAACGAATCCCCCTCCGTCTCCCTCCATGGCGGGATCACCGGCTGGGACCTCCAGCCGTGGGAGCCGCTCCCCGACCCGTCCGCCGCGCAGCTCTTCACGCCCGCCGAGCTCACGCGCCTGCAAACCGACGCGCCGACGAGCGTGATCTTCAGCCGGGTGAGCGAGGACGGCGAGGAGGGGTACCCCGGCAGGCTGCTCTGCGAGGTGCTCGTGGGCCTGACGCAGCCGAAGGGCAAGCCGAGCGAAGACGGGAAGCTGTGGAAGCTCGGGAGCGTCATCCTGGTGTACCGCGCGAAGCTGCTCGACGAGGGCAAGGTCACGCCGATCAACATCACCCAGGTGCGCTCCCGATGTCTCCCCGAATGACCGTGTCTGTCTCACATGTGGTGTGATCGTAGCACTGGGGCTTCAACCTCGACGCGTCCCTCCAGGACGGCCAGACGATCAAGGACCACAAGCTGACTATCAAGGCGGACAACACCATCGCGCTCGGCGCCGACGCGAACTCGACGGGCACGCTCGCGCCCGTCGGCGGCACGCACCACGCGCACGTCGAGAAGACGACGCGCAAGATCGGGGAGCGCTTCCCGGAGAACGGATACGGTGTGTCCCTCTCCACGCTAGAGCACAGTTCGCCGCGCATCCGAGTCGTGTGTGTGTCCGGATGGTGCTGACGACGCCCGTTTGACACAGACGAGTTCTACCTGTTTGCGCCCCGCAAGATCGTCGCGCCGACGCGCCTCCCGGCTGCCGAGCTTACCCCGAAGACCGACCTCCTCGCGGCCGTCGATGAGGACGCGGACGCGGTCGTTGAGCTCGAGAGCGACAAGAGCGGGCTGAAGCTCGCGTTCCACACGAACCGTGAGTGACTGTATGCGCCTTGCTGAGCGAGGACGAGAGCCTGACTTCATGTTGTGGCGCAGAGTCGGGCGTGCAGTTCTACTCGAACAACTTCTCGAGTCCGGCTGGGACGGCGCGGAAGAAGATCCACGGAGGTAACGGTGCGCAGGGTGACGGATACGAGCCTGGCTGTACGTCACTTCCTTTGCACTCCCAATCTACCTCGCTAATTGAAGTCTCTCCGTCGACGCCGCACCGCACGCTACCACTCCTACCGCCCATCGCTGGCTTATACGCGTGCGACAGCTGCCGCCTTCCTCGAGTTCCACGAACCCCTTGCGGCGTGGCTCCACCCCGGGACGGTCGGCGCCTCGGGGAACGACACCCTGCTCGCCTCCGGGGAGGTCTACAACAATTACGTCCGGATGGACGTGCTCTACCGCAGCTCGGAGCCGCTCTGAGTCTACGGACCGGCCGTCCCTGGCGCGCGGAGCGAAGACGACAGTGGCGAAGAACGACTGGGAGGGTGTATGCTGAGAAGAGAGAGGAATCCGAAGGCAGTGTACTAATCACATCTTTATCCATCTGTACTAACCGCAATCTAAAACCCGCAATGTATCTGTGCTCTCGTCCTTGCCTGGCTTTCTGCCAGCGGTACCGGTGTATCGCCCTGTGCGGTTTGGGCGCTAGTGGGGGTGGTGTTCGTAGGTATTGTGCGTGCCTTGAGGCAGGCTTCTGTGGCTTCGCGATCTTCGAAGATAGCGCTGCGAGGTGGCGTAATTATTGTGAGTCGTTCACTGGCTGCTTGATAGGCCTTTATGACTTACTGTCGAGTTGTTGAATCGATCACGTTGGCGAGGCAGTGCATGCGCTGCGTTCGAGTCTACAGTAGCCAACCAAGTAACATGTGGGATGTGTGCTGTAGACGCCCATTCGGACACGGCATTCTGAAAGGCGCCGCAGGCATGTCAGCATGCAACCGCAGAAGGGGCTGTGCGCTCCCACTATCGCAGCTGCACCACTGTCCCAAAGCGGTATCGTGGCTGGAACGTCGGCGACTGTGTACATCGCGAACACCGCCCGTGATCCTCGTGCCCGCAGAAAATCAGAATTCGACTCTGCGTATTCTGGGCACAGCCCTCTTTTGTGGGTATATGTAGCAGGTGCGCTGGACGCTCGTATTGTTCTCGTGAGCGTAACAATACTCAAGACCGAACGCCACTGGTATAGTTGACCCCAATAACTTCTCTCTGCGTATCTTCGTCTTTCTAACCACGTTCTTAGCTATACCTATGATTCGAGCTCAAGCGACGATGCCTTCTACGACGAATTATACTCGTCTTCCGAGCGTGGACCCAGAAGATATCGACAGTGGAGAGACGAAGCTGTATCCCCCGCCATACTCCGCGCATCCGGCTACGGAGCTGCATATGTCGCCGACAGTCGAAGAGACGTATCTTCCAACCGAGCCCACTCCCGCTGAGCGCTATGGATGGAGCTCCCCTACGTCCTCTCCGGAATGGATCTGGCCACTGGCAGGCGCAACCAGCCCGCCGATATCCACCACACCTCCCCCGGGCGGGTCGTCCTCACAGGGCAGAGCCCAGTGGAATATCTACAGGGAGCTCGGCACCAACGCGATGGAGTACATCACCTCGGCCATAGCCTGTATGATCGGCTGCGCCGTCTGGGAGACCCTGTGCGTCCTCATCGGCAGCGGGCTCCTCTCCGCGCACGAGCCCTTCGCGAGCCACGCCGACGGGCTCCTCGATGCGGGCGTCCTCGGCGCGGGCGTCGTCGCCGCGGCGTGCTGGACCGTCACCTGGGCTTTCTTCAAGCTCGAGGCGCGCTACGAGGTCGAGAGGGGGCTGGTCGAGCGCAGCCCGTCCACGGTAGAGATACAGGGGCTGGACCTGGAGAGGGTGGACTACCCGCTGCATCGCTACGCTGCGCCGGTCGCGATTTGCGCGCTGGTGGTGGCGCTCGTCGGTGGGGCGGTCTTTGGGCCCGCTTTGGGTACGTGGATGCTCGTTGGGAAGGGCGAGCTTGTGGAGGGCGGCATCAACGCAGTGGATGCGCTGATGTGTGGCGCGGTTGGGTCTGGAGGAGTTGTTGCCATCGTTGTTATCGTCTTTGGCTGCCCGATGTATGCCTGGCATACATGGTGTGGTGTATGCTAACGGAAAACAGAACCCAATACAACTGCCCTCATCGCGGTCGTAATAGAGTACATATGTGACTGATCCCCACAAGTCAACACATAGTAGCGTGTACTACTAGGCTACTGCGAGTTAGCTATATTGAACTCTCATCGCGCATGCGTATGTAGACATTCGACTCGGAGTGTCGATGTACAGTACATCACTGTCACAGACTGTACATGGGTGGCGGGTACGCAGCGTTGTCGGTAATTGCCGAGCGCCTCGCCATGATCCTGCCGCCTGCGCCTCGCCACCTCGCCTCATGCGACCATTTACTGCTTACTTAGCCCTATGTTCTCTATAGATCCTGAGATGTCGAACCACCAGCCCGACGATGCTTGGACCCCTCCTTCTCCATCACAAGCCGAACTCGAAGAGTTTGAGGCGCTTGTCAACGAAGACTTCATAACCAGTCGCCTTCGTGACCTATGTCTTAGTCTACACCACGAGGACTTCGCTCGAGAGCTTGGACTAGCCAAGCATTCCGCGAGGGTCATCACGGAGGCTCTAATTGAATCTGCGCCTTCTGTCAGGGACACGCTCGTACCGGAATGGACCCAGTACAACGCCCGCAATGCAAAGCGTTTCACGGACCAAGAACTTGAGGAATGGTTTACTCTCATGATCTCGGCGGGCAGAAGTGGTAAATGGGGCGAGTTCATTAAAAGAGGTGAGAGTTACATCGACACCCTCTAGATTTCTAACAGTCGGTTCCTCTCAAAAGCGCCACACATGCGACGACGTCCAGGTGCAATGCAGTACTCCATGTGTGCCATTCCGTGACGCTGATTGTGCTTGATACTGCGTTGCAGTCACATATGAATGGCAGAAGCTCGGTAGGCGCACATCGTGTTTACTTGCCCTCGTAATCTTGCTAACCTCATGAAAGCCTTGCAGACCGCCTGGGGACAACCATACAGAGGGCGTGCACACGTTGACCTGATGAACCATTTGCGGCAACATAGCTGGTCGCCACGTCTCCCAACCATCCACGACTTTTCGATTGTGCAATCATCTCTGACTGGGAAGTCCCGCATGTTGGATGAACTGGCAAAAGAACATCTTGTCATTCCTATTGTTCTGGCCTCAGGCGATGTTGTCCGGGACTATGCAATGCGTAGTTGTTTTCACTAGTTAATGCCATCGGAAAGCATGCTAACGTAGAGTCCCAGCTCCATATCCACCCCCTGACTACGCGGTGACGAAATTCTTGAACGGGCTAGCGAGATCAACCACCATCACTTATGAATGCATAGTATTCGTTCAAGCACTGCTGCAGCATACACTGGACGTCCTTCAGCACTCCTTCGTCGAAGAAGCAAACAACGGTTTTCATTGCCTTTGCTCGGCGTTCCGGGAAAAGATGCAAGAGGGAATGCGTTGGGGCGGCCACGGAACCTACCGGACGACGTTCTATGACAACGTCATGAGTCTGTTCCACAAGCTATCTTCCGTGCGTGTTCGACGCAATGCATTTTATCTATTGTGTGTTCAATTACGGATATTGCAGACGCACCTGGACCAAAGACAGTGGTCGTACCGCACGTTTCCTGTGGCAAATGTTTGTGCACGGCTGATGCGATTCTTGTACCAAGTTACAAAGGACACGAGGTTGTGCTCGGACAAACCCGGTAGCATCCCGCCGAGGGAGGTCCTCCATGAGTACCATCCAATGGTAATCATCGCTTTCGATAACGTGCAGCATCTCACCGACGGCTCGGATGCGCACAATCATATCGACTCAGGCAAGAGACCAAAGTGTAACGTCGCAGTAGAGTTGAAGCGGGTCTTCACCCAGCTGACTTCGCGCTACCCTGTCATTGGACTGTTCTTATCAAGCTCGCCGTCACTGTTGTCTGAAACAGTTCAATCAATGTCTCCAGCGTACGTGGACAGCGAGACGCGCATACAGGATGGGTCTCTACCCGTGTGGATGGAGTTGGAGTTCGATCTGGCAGCATGCAAGATCAGCATACCTGATGGCTTCTCTTTGACGGAAGTCTCCTCCGATGAATATATATGTCACCTGGGTAGAGTCGGGTACGTACATCGTCTTATCGTGCTTGTGCTGTTGCTGAAAACTTCACAGGTTCGGAAGCCTCTGGGACGCGGGAGTCGCGCAGTGGAGGGAGGACGCAGTTCCGCTCGCAGCGCAGCAACTCATGCATACGCACCATCTTGACCAGAGCGGCATGGCCTCTGCGCAGATGCTCGCGTGCGTTTCTCAGCGACTAGCTCTCAACCTCGATACCATCCTCGTCAGCGCCGAACAGCTCGCATCGATGAGGCAGGTTCAGGATCACATGCGCTTATGCTTCTTCAACAAAGTCTCTCGTGAAGAATCGGCCCTGGAGGCGATGTCGCAGTCCGGATCTGAACCGCTCCTCGCTGAGGCGGCGTACTACGCCGTACACCGATGTGCCGTCAACCTAGTCACTGTGCTGAAGACCATCCTGGCGGACATCCCGGTCGTCGCCGTTAACGGAGGGCAGTTGCTCACCTGCCTGTTGCTGACGCTCGCCCGGGACGCTACTGTCGGTGAGCCTGACGCTCATGGCCGTCCTGCTCCGGGTCCTGGCGGGCGTAGCGGTAGGATCATGGATGCAGGCGACTTCTTCCGTACCATGTTCACCTTTATGCGTGCCTCTCGCGTCGGACTCATCGCATCTCATACCGAGGTCGGGTCATCCATCGACCAAGAGCGTCTGCTCGCAGACTTCGAGCGGGATTTCAGCGACTGTCAAATGTACTTCAACCACTTCGTTTCTGTCCCTCAGCGAGTCCTGCGGATGAGCTATCTGCATGCATTGTTGGCTCGGGGCGCAGCAGCCTGTTGCTCCCAACTCGATTCTCCAATCGATGCCGTCCTGACCATGGTCGAGGGTGGGCGCGCGGAGAAAGGCAGGGTCAACCTCATTCTGTCGAAAGCGGTTCTTTCCCGCGACGGGCTTCCTGCAGAAGACACATTCAGCGCGATGGATCCTTACACCCTTGGTATCTGGGATTCCGACTACGTGCCACAGAAGCCTCTGATCCGCATCGCCTTCGCCTTCGACGTCCCCCGAGCCCTTAGCGGCTTTCACATCGCGCGCAGGGAGAATGTCGACGGCCAGCAGAGGTCTTACGCCTCGTACGACATCCGCATTGCGGGCTTGTCGCCTGACACCACCGACGTCGTGAACGCTGACACAGAACAAGAGGCGAAGGACATATTGTTGATGTCTCGGACGCTGAAGACGCGCTTCAATCCTGATCCATATCGCGGTAACCGCGTTCCTGTTCAAATGTATTCATTCTCCATGCGTCCTGGCGCTGACACGTACTATGAACATTGGCATCGTTGGACAAAGGGCGTACGGTGAACACTCCACAGGTTGGTGATGTGGGTTGCACTTCGGACGTCGTTCACTCGCTTCTTGAATTGCTCCTGGCATACTGGTTCCATGTTCCTGTCGACGTTGTGACCCAACTTTACTGTTCTGATGACCTATCGCTATACACCTTACTCCGAATCTACGTCTGTTCGTCTGCGTCATCACTCACGAGGAAGTCCGGTTCAAGTCTTCGCACACAATAGCGATATGCTGTCTTGACACATGTACAAGGCCAGAGCTCCCTCTTTTTCTCTGCATTAATCTTCTGGGAGCGTCCTCACTCATCAAAAATACAGGTTGCATGACGCCCCTCGCCACAGCGGCAGGTCACGCGTTATCACCGTTACCTTGGAAACTTTACTCGTTCACCCCAGACAAGCTTCGCTCCACCATGGCATCGCCCTCCAAGTACAAGCGCCATGCCACATTGGTTCCGAGGAACAGCTCGGACGGGCCGAATGCCACCATATGAGACACCTGTTGCACGCCTCAACGCCCGATGAGTCAAGAACACAGGACCGATCATACTACCTGAGCACAATGCCATAACCATGTTCACTGAGGATCCACAGTGACCTCGACGATGTTGTACTTGCTGCTGGGAGCGGTACACGAGTAATAAAAGATCATGAAGGTATTACAGTAGTGATGGACTACTAGATTACGGCACGTCTGCAATCGTGACAAGTGGCTTCGAATGAGGCGGTACAAGACAGACAAGCACGACAGTGTGAACAACGATGCAGCTGAGCGTAGCTTGTATTGTCACTTCTGTAACGACCGAAATTGAAGTAGCTGCTTCCCAACACCGTTATCCGAGGTTCCGCGGTTCCACTACATTTGGATCTGGTATTTACTAGGCAAACAACACGGCCCTAGACGCCTCCTCGTCAAGGATATAAGTGAAGGTTCGAGCTCGACGATGGGAGTATCGCAACGCTCCTCTCTTTGCATCAACTGCGAACAGTCAAGATGGCCGAAAGTATCCAGGAAACCACAATACCAGTCGAAGGTACGAGCGTAGTTCTGTCCTTCGGTCATCACTTCTGAAAGTACCGCATACAGTCGACATGGACATGCAAAGTCCAGAGCACGTACAAACGGAATGTGTGCCAGTCTTCGGCGTAGACCTGGATGAAGTGAACAGGACCAGGCCGCTATATGGCGAGAGTCTCGCAATCTCCCTGCACCGTCACCGACACCGCATCACCCAACAGCTATCCACACACTTTCTCTTCATTATCGCGTGCGCCGTGCACGCTGCGGCGACCTCCTACATCGGCTGGATGTTCGTGAGAGCGAACAAGCCCTCCCCCGAATTTGAACCCGATCTTGACCTCGTCATCACCGACGGCGTATGTGGCGGCTCTATCGTCATCGCGTTCTTCACGACAATCATCGCCGAGCTCGCCAGAGGAACGGAGAGGGCATGCGAAAGGATGCGGAATCGCGGAGTGGACACCGTCGAACTGAAATGGAAGATGCCAAGGTTGTGGGGGACCTTGCGGGGAGCCTGGCAGGCCCGGGCAGACGCACAACCGTTGCTGTGTCTGAAGCTACCCATCGAGACGCAGAACGGCTACCCCGTGGTTCCGATCTGCAGGATGGTGGGGTTTATCATGAGCAGCCTGTATGGCCCGGCACTGGGCTTCCAAGTTTAACCGAATGGTTCGCACCTTGGAGGCATGACCCTGGTTGATGCTTTCGCGTGCGGCGCATATGGGACCACGATGACTCTCGTGATCCTCGCAATGGCGTGGTTTTGGCGAATGCTTTTGGTGCGACTTTGGGAGAAGAGAATGCGGTCGATGTTGTAGTGCTGAATGAGAGAAGAGGTAGAATTTGCTACGTAGTGGACGTTCAGTTAGTCTGTTGATCTATCTTGGTACAAACAAGGAATGTTACAGTTGTGAATGCATGCGATGAATCATACACGTACCGCTTCTCTCGTTTGACTTCCCAACGTGTTGACTGCAATAACTGGCCCCTTGTCGTCGCTCGTGACTTGAGAGATTACCCTAGGGGTTCGTAGACTGCCTGACCGTGACACTCCTATTTCTCGGAGTGGATTCGTCCTCTAAATTCTCCACGGCGCATGCCAGACAAGCATCCTGCTCCGTGCATACGACGAGAAGGATATAGTGCGCGCTCCGAGCAGATGCTCGCTCCATCCGAAGGCGACCACACAGGGAAGGGCAACGACTTACGTACAGCGAAACCCGGCCCTCGTTGTCTTCCACAAGCTACATAGCCTTGCGCCCGAATTGATGGGTATTCTTGTCACAACACAATAGTTGCGAGGTACGCACTTGGGGACAAGGATACGATACTGACGCCAAGCACGCAGGTGGCAAGGATGACAACTTCGATTTGGGCGGCCATCGAGCGCCCTTGCGTCCATAGTTATGTAAACGCGTACCGCGAACATAGCCTATACTTGGTGCGTATTGTTCAGCGACTCATACAATTATGCTGGTGTGATAACTTCACTAGAACATGGATGTCAAAGATTCTCAGCCTAGTGACAATCGAATACAACGCATTACGTGACGGACCTGGGATGTCAACATCTCTCCCGGCAACTGTCGGTTAAGCTCAACAAAACGCAGACTTGAGGAGAACAAGTGCGCGCAGACAAAAGTGCATGTGTGATGTGCGCATGGATGTCGTGCATGATCGATGCATATATCAGGGTCCTGGAACGAAAATTGGGATTCAGCAACTCGTCTTCCTTCACCCCGGTCAACTGCAGCACTCCTCCTTAGTCACCGGCTTGACTCGCAGTGCAAGAAATGTCCATCCGCCTCCCGGTTAACATGCCGGATGACCCGTTGTCCTCTTCAGCGCCGACTGCGCAGCCAGCCCCCGGCTTAGCGGTACCCACTCGCTCTAAGCACACGGCACGCCCGAAGAAGTCGTCGCGCGCGGAGCGGAAGCCGCGTTTGGAGAGAGGAACACGCTCGGGAGCGTCGGGCTCCCCACGAATGACACCCACAGCGCGACCCAACGCGACCGCCGATCTCCACAGACGTGTGTCCACAGCGACTATTCCCTTCATCGTTGTCCCTGACGGTATCCGTAGAACTCGACGTCCTCGAGGGTCGCGCGGAAGAGCCCAAGTCGCGCGCCGAAAATATCGGCACGATCGTGCTTGGCAACATATCCAGCTGTGTCTTCTTTGCCGCGGTCTGCGCCGTCTGGACCGGTGTTTGCACCTACGCGGGCTGGTGGGTGCTCCAGCAGAAGGAACCCTATGCCAACAACTATGGCATCGTCTGGACAGCCCCGTTCGGCGCAGCCATTATCTCCGTGCCATTCTACCAGGTGTGGTGGGTGTATAATAAGCTGGAGGCATGGTACGAGGCGAAGCACAGGATATACGAGCCTCCGAAGGAGCTCCCGCGGTGGTGGACGTCGCAGCAGCGTGACACATACGTGTCCCCGCCTCCGAAGCTCGCACACCGGTATAGTGGCACGGTCATCGTTGTCTGCACCATCGCGGGCTTACTATCGGGCGGCCTGCTGGGACCCATGTTGGCGACGAAGTTACATCTCGATAACATCGACGACCAGATGACGGTGCTGGCTGCGACGAGGCTTGGAGGCGTAGGCACCGGGATTATCACGGGGTTTTTAGTTATCGCTCTGTCGACATCATACGGTACTTGGTCGTGGTGCGCGGAGAAAGAGTACGAGTTGTGATGCCTGTCGAACGTGCATATGCCTCAGAAATATGTTGAGAGCTGACGAAGAACTTGAAGGACTTACAATAGACTGCTGTATATATGGACGAATGGAACGTCGGTGCCGTCGCCGGAGTCGATGCGTCTGGCATGTACGCCCTGTATGGATCGTCTGCGAACAATAGTAAATCGGCCGTATACGCAACTTGAATGTCGTGCACTTCGTACAAGACCAGTCGGAGGGTCAGTGAATCATGCCAGGAATGTAGACGACGTATACGTCTTACCCATTGAAATATAGACCAGGTCCTTGCTCCGCCCAGTCGCATGCTTCCCGTTCGAATCCGATGTGCTGCATACTTCTCTTCGGAGCGTTCGTACCATATTGCGTGGAAAATAACGCAGCTGCGCACGTCGTTCAGCGATTTCCGCTCGAGGCTCCGCCAAGTCTGCCTTGTCCTGCGGAGTTGCGTCGCAGCCGTCGCTGAGTCCAACAGGGGATTGCGCCGCTGTTGCGGACCGTCGCGGCTCTTCTCTACCTCATCGATTCCAGCGGTTGTTCTTGACTCGCCTCCGACGCATGTTGTCGAGATGGTCACGAGCTATACAGCAGGAAGTATTGGAGAGACCTCATAATATGGCCGTTGTGACGGTGCATAGCACGCAGCAAAGGGAGTCAAGCCAGTGATTGACGTAGCATTTGTGTCGATATGAAATAAAAGGATGTCATACAGCGCAGGTTCTTGGAGATGAGCTTTGTTTGAGGGCAACTAGCGATTCGGCTGGTCATTGATCAGCACTTTGGTCGTCACAGGCGAGAGTCAGTGCCAGCAGACGAGTCCAGCGCTTCCGCAGCCACAGCCAGCCACCCTCAGCCACCGACGCGTCAGGCGAAGTTCAAGGACCAACACTGGGACCAGCAACTCGAACTCGGAAATAGTCAAGTCATTGATCATACAAAGCTTTGTTCTAGGGGGCCTACTGGTGACTAAGCAGTGAATTATCGTAGCCGCACTGCACCAGGCTAACCGAGATGGACGGTACGGCATGCGGTTGACTTCAGGAGGTTGATTCGGAGTCCGGACGCTCCTCCATGCACATGTACTGCCGTAAGCATTGTCATTGTCTCATCGCCCACGAGCCAGCTAATATACGACTATCTATGCACACTACAGCAGGGACACGCTTGCTGAAGATGTCTAGCGCGAGACGACTGTCTGGCGATGGAACACCCTCAGCGAGAGAGGCCTTCACTTGATGATAGAGCCACGCCGGTCATGACAGGAAGTCGCGAGCGTATCACGGACGGGAGCATCCCACCGGTTGATTCACTACTGACGTTGGGCTCGCCGGTTCTGCACGGACCCATAAGAGGTTTCTTCTTGTTCTCGAACCGAGGATCCTCTGCGGCTTAGTGCTTTCAGACCATGATCACCATCTCATTTTTTCCATCTTGCCAGTGACACTCGGGTTCGTTGGGCTATACCGGACGAGATGGACCTCCCATGTTGCATGGGCAGGCAGCATGTTGCGTCGGAGTTGTGCCTGTTGGTCCGACTACTAAGGCTGCGTCCGCGCACATCCTCCATGGCGCGAGTGGGACCGGCGGCCTTGAAAGTCTTCATGCAACCTCGTGAAAAGTCCTCATACAGCCTCTGAATGTCTTCATGCAGCCCAATGAAGGGCCACTGTTGGAGCGTGGTGAGCACCTATGCTCCAGTGCGACGACATGCAAACACTGACCTGCATATATCTCTAGGCCATTCTGTCGCCGCTCCGTATCCCCGCTGTAGCGATGAAGTCCAGCCCGTACGAACTGTCCACGAAGACAATGACGTGTTCTGTCAGGTGCTCAGTGCAGTTCGCCGCTGAACGACTGTACAGTACTTACGTATAATGTCTGCCGTTGTCCACGCTAACGCGCTTCCTCTCTGTCGTGAGTGGCTCTCTTTCGCTACTTTACTCGACGATGGCGATGCTATTCAACCCATACGTCTGAGCAGGGGGAAAGTCGGGCACTGTCCAGTTTGTCCCAGTGCGACCACTCCTTCCCTAGGATGAGGCCTTCGGCGATTCGCTACTGTCTCTCCGTTGAACGAAGCGAAGGATCATCGAGCACGTCCAAGAGTGGCTCGAATTCGCCCTTGGAATCCCTCGACGCTTAGGAGAGCGGTGAAGTCGCATCACCGGTGCCGTTGTTGGACTGGCTGCCGCAGTGCTTGACCTCGGTGTGCCACTGCCCTGTCGGGTGCCGCCGTCGCTGGTTCAGGGACAGGCCCTTTGAGCCTTGCGGTACGTGAGGAGGGAGAGTTCGTGTAGCTTTCGTCGCACTCGTGGTCCTGAGTTCCTCTCGTATGAGCGTTGATGATTGAGGTCCGTTTGTACGAGGCACCCTCTCGCCCATGCGATGATGGCGGACGAGGTTACTCTCGGCGAGGACTGGTGTGTTCGAGGGCGAGATGAGTTCGAAAGCCATCCCGGCGTAGTCGCCTAGACATGGTGGTTAGGAGGAATGGTGACGCGGTCGGATCAGACCCTGCGTTCGAGGGAGAATGGTGAGGTGAGTACGAGTCGAGCTGTCTCATGGTGAAGCGGGAGTGTGGGTCTACTGGGAGAGACGGCGTATGTTGCTGGCCTTTATATATACCGCGGCCCCTGGCTGTCTCGTGGACCACATCTAGTGGACGCTTTGTCTGCGCCACATCGGTCGCGCTTAGTGAGACGCATGCGGTTAGGCACTTTGTCCATCTGGTCATGGTCAAAGCACAGGTGCCACACGGTGGCCTGCGCTATTTAGGAGAGCAAAGCATTTGTTGATCAATAGGGTGATGCGCGCACGTTGTGGCGTAGTCAAGGCGTACTGAAGGCACTGCGCAGCCGACCGTCCCAGCCGCGTACTCTCCCTTTCCTACGAACAATAGGTAGTCGGCATGCAGACATGCGGCTCCTACATACTTGTCGACTTGAAGCTAATTGATCTTTCTTTTGGCGCACCTGCCGACCCTCATCCAATGTGCTACCTGCGTCCTTCATGTAAGATCGAGATAGCATTCGTCATCGTCATAAAGGACGCATCGTAAACATACACGTACAGATCCGTCACATGTACGAACATTGCATCGCGTCCAGCTACAAGCATACACACCACTTAGCTAAGCACTGCACCGCTCAGATGTAGATCGGCAGCGTCGGGTTCAAACCTATCCAGTCTATGCCCTCCACGAAGTCCTTCTGGTCGATCAAGAAGTCCTAGCATACCTGTCAGTATCCGCAGACCGTGCTTCTGAACACGGAACTGCAGACTTACAATCGGACATTCCACCAGGGCACCTCTCACTCTTGAGAGTCGGTCCTTCACATGGTCGAGCGACACTTCTGGCACAACATGCCCGGGCATGACCTTGGGCACATATTTCTGCGCCTACAGTTAAGACCTCCAGCTATTGACATGAGATGGTAAAACTTACGGAATACTCGTCCCAAGTCTTGACCCAGTTCGTCGGCACAGTACGGAAGATCTCCGCGAAGATCGAACGGTTCCGCCTTGCAGTCTCGTTCCAAAGCGCTATTGTGTGGTCCGCAAGAGGGTCCGCAACGATCTTGTCTTCACCTTCATCGGTCTCGTCGTCGTTCGGGTGTGGGGCCGGGCGCATGAATGAAGTGACTTCCTCGTCTTTGCCCCTGCAATACTGAGGCGGCATGAGACCGAGGTGCTCTGTGCAATGAGGCATGAGCACAGCGACGCAGACGGATGACATCTGGCGTACCTCTGTAGAGCTTCCTGCGGAAAGTGGCAGCGAAGCGTGCTGCCATGTACGGCTTCCCGTCCATAGTGGTCTCGATCATGTCCTCATCCTCAATTACTAGGGCAATCTCGGAGTCACCGTTACCCTGGAAACGACGTGAGCGCATGTTGCGTACTTCCAGAAGGACTTTACCTTCATACTCCGGTCATTGATATTCGGGGAGCCCATCTTGTCAATAGCCATTAGCAGAAGCTACAACGATCGAGAGCAACACTTACGACGACCCTCCGATCATCCACAATCATGACCTTCGAATGGATGTATAAGAGCTCAGATACATACGCCGCTTTCTCCTCCTCAGGTGTGCCTAGCCACCCCTCCTCTTTCAAGTTTGTCCGGTCTTCCATCGTATGCTGAACGACGTTATCGGAGATATCTCCGCCCTCTCTGAGACTGATCGCAGCACGGTGCCACCGATCGACGATCTCCTGTGCCTCCTCGTACGACTGTGGCAGCTGGTACGTCTCGGTTTTGAGCTCTGGCTGCTGTCCCGCCGCGCTCGGCTGGTCGACAAGGTTGCCCGTAGGGAGGACAACTGTGGTTTCCTTGGGCGCATCGTGTTCTTCATCCTTGCCGACCCAAAGGCGAGCGAGAGCGGTCATGGCTTGGTGGAACTTGATGCCACTACGCCCTTCGATGACTTTCATGTAGGACTCTGCGCCAGAGGTTAAGTGGGGCCATAGAAGCTGAACTCTTCGCTGCTTACCGGACGGTGCATTAATCCGATCGTAGGTGCGCAGATGGTAGAATCGAATATAATCCATGCTTAGAGAGGAGGTGAGAAGGCTGGGCTGGCGATCGATGATTTCACTTACGGCTCGTATCCCGCCTTGGTGATCTCCTCGTAGATGCTATGTCCTCCACGATTCATGGTGCGGTACTGAGCAGCCATGATCGTCCTGATTGACGCCTCATTCTTCACTGGTTAGCCACGTGAGCATCACGGAAGCGCATATGCACGATTGGTGTTACCTGGTCCCGCAAAACCAGGAACTTCGGGAATCACGACTACCACCTACGACACAGCGTGTTATGAGTCACAAAATGACGAGTGATCCTGTAAGGAAACTGTGCATACTAACCTTGAACTTCTCGCCATTGCGGGCCGCTAAGAGAATTCGGTCGACGAGTGCTGAGGCGATTTGGTTCTTCACAGGATCGCCTTCCTTCCGCGTACTCGAGATGCTGCAAGACCGCACTCAGAAAACAGATTACAGGGATCGCCGTGCGTGCTCACAAGAACTGATTCTCTGTGTTTCCGAGGTAACACTTCTGTGAGCATCGTCACTGATCAGAGCAAATGGGTTCCTCACCAATGTAGATGAAATGGGATGCCTCCATGATCATCTGGCAGTCTGGAAGTACTAAGTGAATACGGCGCCTTTAGACCGGTGAAACCCACTCACAAGCGTTCTGGACACTATGTTCTGTCAGCACTCCGTTACTCCAGTCGCCAACACTGCGCACTGCCTGCACGCGACACGTCCCGTTCGGAGGGCGTGGATACAGCTCCGGGTCGTCAAGATCGTCAAGTTGTCGCGTGGCGTGAGCGCCGTGGAACCGTTGTCTGAAGTGCCGGCCCATTTGGTGCCATGCTTCGCGGTAGGGGTGAACTTCAAATCGTGTGAGTCCTGGGGCGATGGGAGAATTTACATGAGACATACGTGCAACAGCCTCATCTGGAGCTGATTCGACATCATGCGGGAGGGCGAGCCAGTCATAGCGTCTGGACGGTCAACGCATTAGCTGGGAGAAGATAATGTAGCGGGGAACGAACTCACGTATCATGGCTGTACTGTAAAGTCCTCAGTAACTCAATGTATACCATAGGGTCAGAAGTACGCATACCTTCCTCCGCTTGATTTCGTTCCAGCGCTCCACGAAGTGCTGGACAAGATCTAGCACCGACGGCCCACAAATCGTCAGGTGCACCTTCAATCGAGTCATCTAATCAGCCGCCAAGTCACTTCAGTGGAGCAGAATTTTGTGATATTTACGTCGTGCCAGGGCATCCGCGCAGACTCGATCTCACTCAGTCCATTGCTCACGTAGTTCTGGACGTTCTTGAAGTCCATGATCCGCGCGTTGTTATAGTCCTGCCCCGGAAAGAGCGTCCGCGTGAAGTCCGTCGGGTGTACATCTGCGAGCGGGTGCAGGTGCGTGTCCCAGCGCCCGAAGGAGAGGTCGAGCCCGCCGACGCCTGCACGGTGGTTGTCAACAATCACGAGCTATGTGCGCGTCAGTTACAGTTGTTGCTCTGAAACCTGTAGGGATCGGACCTTCTCGTGGTGTGACCAGAACTCGACGTCGTCTGCGGAAGTGTCAACGCCGCAAGGGCGTCATGCGCATACACGAGTCGCACCTTTACTCCCGATGTGATCGGGGTGACGCATGCACGCGATGTTGGGATGCAAATTCTCGAGAGCATGCTGCCAACAAGTCTGAGTTTCTCAAACTGTTCGTTGTAACGCACGAATCACCTTGGTATGAGCTGAATCCATTGTCATTTCTTGGCTAACTTCTTTGTACACGACGACGTAGACCCGCACACCCTCTTCAGCTTTGCGCTTGAGGAGGCGATCCAGGCGCCATTCTTGATTGAATGCCGGGGGACGACGTAGGTACAGCTCGGGCGTCAGCCACCAGTCCTATATCATCATCGTCAGCTGGTCACACGATTCGTAGGTCACATAGGGACATACCAGGATGAAGATGCATTCGCGCGCGCTATCCAGTACTTCTGACACGGCATAGAAGTAGTCATGCCCGTCAATGTGCCTGTCGAAGGTGTCAAAGTCTGTGAACATGTGTTGTATGGGCGGACGAACTACCATTTCACGCCATTGTATTGGCGCTGCTCTGCGAAGGACTGGAAGCGGTGACTGTCGTTTATCTCGGTCCTGAGAGTGTCGATACGCTTTTCCTCAGGCGTGTCATGCCGACCTACAAGGTGTGAGGATGACTTCACTATAGAACAAGGAATAACGCACGGTCCGGATTCAGAAAGCCTACACAATATGACATCATCTCTAGCTCCTCAGAATCATGCAAAGCATGGAACTCACCGTCGATAGTGTCCCAAGCACCTTCGACGCCCTTGGGGATATCCTTTTCGATCTCGTCGACGACGTGCTTGATTTCCTCGAACATGGCTGAAGTAGAGATCGTAGCTATCCTCCGACGGGCCTGCAGACGTTATATAGGGACGGCACGCGCCCATCAGCCGCGGCGCCTTGCACCAACATGGATTCAGAAGAGACGAAACAACGCAGGGTGGGAGCAACCGGGCATGCTGCGCCGATGGCACTGCCAGCGTTCTAAGTATAGCTATCGTTCACTTGTTAAGCGCCGCGGAATCTTGTGAGGGTCGCGGGGGACACACATGGCAGCATCCAGTAGTAGTAGTACTGATCTAATTTGAGATTCGTTAACTGGTCTTCACTGGGCACGAGGGACAACGAGGATTGTGCCGTACGGAAGCATCGGCACGACACTGGGCTCCGAAACCGATGTCAAGCTCTGAAGGGCGATTCAGACGATGGGCGTTCGATCCTCCGAGTAGTCAACCGGTCACACCTGGGCCGTACTGTGAAGAAATCAAGCTTCGCAAGCCGTGCTAACGTCGACGTCTGGGCTATGCAGAGCTGGAACCTCTGAGCGCTGCAGAAGCGGGAGAACCTCAGTGTCCCTGCAATAGCTGAAGGCTAGCGACTTGAAGGCCATAAGCTTACGAAATCAGAATTGGACATAGCGAGGGCGTTGGGACGCACCATTATGAGTAGTGATAGAGTCATAGTCATTGAATGCTGTGAAGAAGGACCCGAGCTGTATTCGCCATGGTGGGTCATACAATGCCCTTAAGCCTGAGGCTGCGGACGCGAGAAGTGGAGGATCGGTCCTGAACTTTGAATTGAAGGGTCACAGCATCCTGGACACCGGTGCGATTAGGTTGCACGCCTATAGACCGACTCAAGACACAAGCGAACGATACCACACAGTCATCTGGTCCTCGACATGGATTCTTCTTCTAAATGAAAGAGAGCTGCGCGAGTGGAACTTAATTTGGGTGAGCTTCGGAAGACTTGTTGACGGGGCGGTGCTACGGCAGTAGTACTTACCTTCGTAGCGAATACAGACCGGAGGTTGCCCCTCGTCACACACGGGTGCTGTGTACTCCTCAAACCCATGAAAGTACTTGATCCTCGGCCGCCGCTTGTTCGGACTGGGACACATACCTCGAAACATGCATCACGGTTCAGGCCGCCGATTAAACGATGGTAGAGCTTGAGAATTCGAGTACCGCCAGTGAGTCCGATGCTACTGTATTGGATATATCCGCAGTGACTCACCTCAGGAGACCTAGACAGATCTCGTGCGTACTCAAGCATGCCATCTTGCTACGCATCCGACGTCGGACCTGTCCTGTTGGCGTATCCCTTCACGTTGCACGAAGGTACATCGTACCCCTCGTGAATTGCAATGCGTCACGTACATGTCATGCTGTGAGCGCATAACTTACCAGTAGTGCGGACCAAGATGTGCGAGAAGACATAGCACAAGTCGTGTCCCGAGTCGTTCGGATGGCGCTTGGCTAGGATTCGTTCTGTCACCTTGAGGGAGTCCAGTGTCCACACAGTCTTGGAGCAGTGTATATGGATGCGCAGCAATACATCAAGCTTGAATCGAGGAAGTAAATGGCGGCAAGGCTTCATGCCCTACAAGAATACGGTCGCCGGTCATTGTCAATGTCAAGCAGCCAGCTCAAGCTCAGGCTGCCACCGTCGAGCCGCAATCATAGGTCACGTGCGCGGAAATAGAGTCCTAAGCGCTCGTTTCCGTTGGACTGCATTCAAGTTGTTACCATGACTGCATCGTTCAGGCTCGATTCGTTCAGGCTCGCTGCTGTGAGTACGCGTAATACGTACGTGTGCTAATCCTTCTAGGCAGATACTCTGGGCCGTCTCGACTCTCAAGATCGATGATTTGCCAGCCTCACGATCGTCGTGTCGTAAGCCCGGGAGCAAGGTCAGATCTTGCGAAGCGTTGAGCACGAGCATAATCGTAAGCGAGACAGGTACGCATAAAGCTCAGTATGCATAGGACAAAATTGACCACCACTGTACATCCTTAGGTAGTCCATAACTGCCTATTTCATATCGCCTAGGGTGCCTCCGACCGCATCCTGATACTTCCGGGAACAAGAGCTCGAACTCCATCTGCTCTGGGCCTATGTATCTCGAAAAGCGTCAATTACTGTTATCAGAGTAGCATTGCTCCACTACGAGGCACGCGGCCACGCAGACAAGTATGATGCCGACGAGCACTCCGGTCATGATACCGCCCCATTCCATCGCACGCATCGCAGTGAACGCGCCGTCCGTGACGCCGTGCTTGATCAGGATCAGCGCTCCGATCACAGGCCCGAACAAGGTGACCACAAGCGATCCCAGCACGGCGCAAACACCCGCGACATAGCACCTGTACCGGTGGGCGAGCTTCGGAGTCGGGGGCAGGGGCTGGTTCCTCTCCCGTTGCGCCGGTGTCGTCATTTCCATTTCCGGCGAGGATGGATCGTAAATTCCGTAGGCCCTCTCATACGCGTCCTCGAGCTCGGAGAAGACCCAGTACACTGTTGTGAAGCCGACCGAGAGGATCGATGCGCCGAGGGAACCCATGAGGAAGATTTCCTTGTGATGAGAGGACAGGTTGTTGGGGAAGACCGCCACGGAGAGCAAGGTCAAGTAGGCCAGCAGGCCGTTGCATCCTACGACAGCCACTGCGGAGAGAAAACATGTTAACACGTAGCTCACGAGCAGCCACGCGGCTGCCTTGGCATTGGTGCGTAGCGTCTGCCAGTTTGGCGTAGGGAACATGATGTTCGGCCATTTCAGACACAGTTCCCTCGCTCGGCCCGTCGTCTCCTTTGGAAGCCCCTCCGTCGGGTTGCCAGGTATCTCTGCCACGAGCGTGATCATCGATGCCGCATCGGAGGAGACGCGGTGTGTGGCATCCTTCGCAGCTTCTAGGTCGGGCTGCGTCATGTCGGCGCGAGCGACGCGGAAGTTGGGAGGCATAGGGCAGATGGCCATGGTTGCGGGCGGCGGACTCGAGGGCGGGGACAGTCTCCTTGGTTCGCCCAGCTATGGATGCGGGTAGGCGATGGGTCATCCTGCACGCTCAGTTGCTCTCTTTTATCTTTCAGAGGTGAGGAGGCTGTGTCTATGCGGACGCAGGCTGCGCACTGAGGACTCTGTTTGCTTAGAGCTTCTCGCCGTGCAACTGTGGCGTAGCCTGCGGTTGCCATCACAGCCACTGGTTCCAAAGTATCGATACTACGACTGCTTGACAATACCACTTGCACAGGTTTGCTTTGGCCCTTGCACCGGTGCTAGAGATGACTGTTTTTGACCCGATGAGGTTGTGGGCACTGCTTTAGCCGTACCTCCGCACAAAGCCTCACCCTCACAGGTACCGTATCGTACAGCGGGGCCCTGAAATCAAGCCAATAAAGGAAACGTGAAATCATCGCAACACCGGTACAAGCGTGACTCGGGGCGGAGCGACGCGCGGCGCATTCTATGCTAGACCTCAGCACAATGACTTGGCCAGTCCCGACTGGGAAGGCGAATCTGTGAAGATGATTGTCCGTTGGCATCTTTTGCAGAGACGTACATATTACATAGTAAGTCCACTGTCACCTTCTGACCCTTTCTCCGTCAACACCTATACCCCAAGGGATATTCTTCCTCCGCACGACACATTCAAAACCCATATATCGAGACGACGAAGGACGCGATTATGACGATCGTTCCAAGGAATAGCCCAGTACTTGCGCCGCCCAGCTTCAGCGCCGCCAGCGGAGTCATCGCGTCGTTCAGCTCGCTGAGCTGTAGGACCGTCCCGATCACAGGCCCGAGTAGGCCGGACAAGACCAGGCCTGACAGAAAGCCCGCCCATGTGACCAAGGTCTCATACCGCTGCGCGAGCCTGGGCCGCGGAGGCACGTACGAGTCGCGCTGCTGCAACGTCCACCACCGCGGGAGCTCACTCGGAGGCTCGTAGATCTTGTGCTTTGCCTCGTACCACGCCTCGAACACGCAGTACGCAAACACCACGTTGGTGAACGGCAAGGAGAGAATGGCTGCGCCCCACGCAGAGGCGTAAACGATATTGGTGTTGCTGGCGTATGGTTCCTTTTCCCCGAAGAGGCATATGGCCAAGAGGGTGAAAAGAAGACTGCAGATCGTGTAGACAGCGGCGAAACAGACGCAGCTGCTGATGTAACCAGAGATTTTCACGACGATCTGCTCCATGCGCGACGGACGTTCTTGCGTGAGAGCCTCGTGTACAACAAACTCTGCGTTGGTATGGCAGTTAGTCACAGCGCATGGTATCGACGGAACAGACATACCTTCAGGAAGCCTGACGCTAGAGGAACCCGTCCGCTCAGGCTGCGCACGCGAAGACCGTTTGCTGCGTGATGCCTTGTGTGAACGCGCAAAGCGTGGAGTTGGCTCAGGTAGCACTGTTTCCTCTGAGCCATGGGGTTCCGAGGGCACCTCGAAGAGAGTGGCGTCGTCCGCCACTTCGGGATCAGCCTCCGGGAGGCGGATGTGGCCAGTTCCGAAGGCAAGACGAATGGCCATGGCTTACAAGGCGGGATCGAGGGGAATTAGCTTGGCTGTGGCGGAGAGAGCTGTTGCTGTGAGGTGATGAGGCGTGTATCCTACCTTGCTCTCCTTTTATGGTCGGGCGGCGAGGAAGCGGTGTTTGGTCCCTGTTGTTGTTAGGATCCTGTCAGACCTTATTGTCATGCATTGACGTATACAGACCCCGAAAGGACAGCTTCGATACCAAAGGTGCCGCACAATACCACAGCATTGCTTTGTCCTAGTAGTAGGGCTTAGTAGGGTCGTCACAATCAGCATCATGGCGCACCCAGGCACTCCGGTTCAATTACAATCTTGTCTGATCACATCATACTGTCCTGCATACGACAAAGGGTAGTGTGTCGCAGAGCCGGATCGAAGAGGGACATTGTGTGGTGGCCATATCTAATGATCGATCGCGAGATGCGGATGAGTGGCGGTGACGCTACACGTCGCTGTGATTTGTCATCGATCGGCGACAGATCTGAGGGCAGCCACTGACGCGACCTGCCAGAGCCCAGAGGAGCCTTGCAGTTGCTCTCCGACTTAGCGTTGCCCAGGCAGGCACTTGTGCTCAATGGCCACGTATGTTTGTTCTTTCCACCTCCGGACGTCAAAGTGCCCTGTCCAATGTTGAATGCGGCGTACCTCACAACCTCACATGTCCGGACTCAATCGGAGCGGAGGCGAGCCTCTCAACGACGACTCACGTTGAGTGTCTACAAGATTCTTTCTACAGTGTCCAATACCCCTTCACCGACATCATCCTCCAGGATATCAGTTCCCTTCCTATACGGCGCGTGTACTCCCGGTTCGTTCAGAACATCATCCAGTATCGGCTGCACAGCGAGGCCACACGGCACATCCACGTATCGCGCGGCCGCCGTTGCTGAATGCCCAGTTGATTCACCAAACGCCGCAAGTTTCAAAGGTAGCTGCGATTTCCGCGACGGTCGAAGCTAGTCTTCATGGAGAGAACGGGAGTAGGCCTGGTACGTACCTGCTTGCTGTCTGGGTCCTCTGCCAGTCGCGCTCGCCTTCCTCGTACCTCTTGAGTTTTTGAATATACGCTCAGCATTTTGCCGCCACGTGGAACGATCGTCTCTTGCGAGAACACGGCCGAGCCAGCCTCAGCCATTCGAAGTCTGAGATGATGCGGGCGCTCTCTGATTCTTCGGGGAATGCACAGACCTCCTCTCCGCGGTGAGCAGCCCAAGTATTGCGAGCACCTTGAAGATCTCCGGTAGCGAACGTTCCCGCGAATTCCTGTATGCGCCTCCGGGATGCCATAGAACTCGCGGAAGGGCACCAAGCTGTGGTTCGTAGAACGTACGGCGGGGAGACGTAATACGGCGCCGCGCTCATCAGATCCTTCCCATTCACAGTGACGGGCTGTCCAGCCAACAGGAAGGAAAGCGAGTTCAGATGCCACCGCGGGCAAACCAGGTTGTTCGAACTCCGAAAACCCCTACGAACATCGGTCCCGCCTGGGAACCTTTACGGACTCCGAATATTGTCAGAACATGCTGCGAACATGATGCGTTTCAGCCGATTTCAGCATGTTCGGAGGCCGAACATGCGTGTTTTCGGCGAACATGCTACGAACATGAGAAATGTAGGAGCATTTTCGGAGTCAGTCAAGCTCTCCGAAAAGGTTCCCATGGAGGACCGATGTTATTAGCATTTTCGGAGCCCGAAAAACCTGGTTTGCCCGCGGTGTGCGGTATCAAGAGCCGCGCGCAGACCATGAGAACGTGTACCCGAGCGGGTTTTTCGTGGCCTCGGCTTCTGGCAGGCCGCTGAGGTGCGAGTAGAACTCGTTGATCTTCCCATAAATCTCGATCATAGAGATGACTCAAGCACTCGGATCATGATTGAGTGCGTGGTCAATCGACGTTTGGTGTCGCCTGTCTGACTAGAGCCATTCTTTGCAGTAAGATGTGTGGGATTGCAGGCGCAGAATTGTATGAGCTCGCGTGGTCATGTCAAGATGACGAACAGTTGTCAAGGCCCTCAATACCAATGGTACAAAAAACAACGTCGCAGCGCATGATGAGAGTGAGATTCGAACTCACGCCCTGTTCGGACCAGATGAACTACTTCGAGGCGAACATCCACGGATGTTCCCCTGCTCCTTAGTCTGGCGCCTTAGACCGCTCGGCCATCTCACCATGGATGGCGTGAGTTCGAATCTCTCTCTCATCATCCATCGGTACTACCGTTGTACTTGTTTTGTTTTGACGATCAGGCACACTATTTAGGTTGCTTTTTTTGGCGGTAGATGCAGCTACTACGCCGTGATCTCCACTTAGAATTGCCGACTCAGAACCTCCGCTGATATTGTTACATTGAAGGCACATAATAATTCCGTTGGGCTCGTCATTCGATATCCGTGGCTCAAGCATAATGATACAACATTCGTAAGGTACAAGTTACAGATTTGCGGACCAATACGGGCGACTTGCAGTCGAATGATAAAGGACTAGATGGATTACGACTCGATTGATAGCTGGTTCTTCACATTGACACGGGGGCCATTGATCTCCGAGTCGAGCAATGTCGTTCTAACGTCTTCTGACGTCCTTCACTCTGTTCGCTGACAGGAAGGACGCGCTCTGCAAAACATCCAAGTTGAGCCACCACATTGCTCGAGAAACAAATTCTCACTTGCGTAGAGCTCCCGAGCACGATGCATGACGAAGAGCACGACAAGAGCTAGTGTTATTGGGAAGGCCCCCATCGTACCCACCTGCAGGGCATGAACGACGCCTAATCCTCCATTCGGGTTCCCTCCCAGTACGGCTACACCGACTGCTTGACCAAAAATGCCGGTGATGAGGAACGCCACCGGTATGGTGCACCGAGTCACACAGCTGTCAATCTTCTCATGTTCGCTGAGGGTTCCTCGCCCTCTGCGTATCAGTACAGCGTGTGACTGGCATATGCCGATGTTCGCCAGGAACAAACTGCCGCCAAGGAGGGACCCACCGACCATGCACGTATGCGCGACTGCCCTGAGTATCGCGCCTGCGTACGGATCGACACAGGTGATGACATCTTGTCCGGGGAGACAGCCGACCAGTATCACGATGCCGATGGTCGACACGATTGCCGACCATAGTGTCCCGACGGCCATGCTGGTCGTCAACAATGCTGCGAAGCCGAGTATACAGTTCACTACGACGAACTTGAGATTTCTGAATGTCTGTTGCACGTGAGTAGGCTTCGTTGTCGACCGCTGTGCATCGTGCGATCCCAGGCGATCATTTGACAGCATATTACCCGAAATACTGCCCGACATTGGAGATGGAGGCCGTTGGTTTCCTACGCATAGTGATTCGGTGCGCAGACAAGCCAAAGGCGCAGTTCCATCGGGTCCGTGGGCGTGTTCCAGAGTACGAGGGGTCAGGGAGATTGACATGTTTGATCCTGCAATAAAAGGGTCGCTGAGCTCCTGCTCGGTGAATCATGACAGATACCGTACCGTTGGGTTTGTGCGAGCTGGCCTGTAGGATCCGCTCATGCGCGCCGGCTCTTATAAGTCATGTTGAGTGCTGTCCTCAGACGATTATGTGCGTCTTCCGCGCGGAGCAGCAGCAGACCCTGACAGCGTCATTTGGTAGTCTTGAGCTCTATGCAAGTGGTCAATTGTGGTTCGCGAGCACGGCCCAATATGTCAGTGTTCAGTACAGGTACTGGTCTACTTGTATCATTGAAAGCGCAGATGTATGGAACGAGAAAAGACGTACTTCCAACTGGAAATGTTCCTCGTACTGTCTGTGCGCTCTTTTGATACGACCGGTTCCAATCCGTTCGGCTCGCGCTAGCTACGGCAAGACAGTCAACTCATCGGTCTCAGCAAGGCATAGAGGTCTAGATCTACGCACCTTCATGCGGTGCGTACTGTACGATGGACATGATTTTCATCATGCTATGGCTGCGATGCACCACAGCCCATGTAAAGCAAGTGCAAAGTGAAGAGCTACCCGTATTGCACTGCTCTGACGTGAGTCAGTTTCATGCATACGGCGGCAGGCTGTGTCATCGACAGACTCGGAGCCTGTTCAGACCATCATAACAGATTCGGAGTCACTTGCCAAAACGCATTGCCGGATACAAGCAGTCAAGAAGGCGTCGGGAATGAGCCTGGCCATTCATTGTGGTACGCGAAGCATCCTGGTGAAGTCAGTGTGTCAGAGGTTCGGAAGACTAACCGTCCTTGTATGTGACTTACAAAAAAAGAGTCTGCCGACCGATGCCCCGGCCATGCTGCGTTCCGAATCGCAATGGTTGGTCCAGAATGAGGGAGACCGGAGTGAGATGCCAAATGCGTAGATTTTTAGAGCAAAAGCGCGCGTCACCTGAGCGATTCGAACACTCGCGGGCAAAGCCCAACCGCTTCACTGAAGATAGCAGGCGATCCCGTTAACCACTCCGGCAAAGTGACTCTACGTCATGATTGAGGCATGGTGGATGCGGATTGCGAGGGGAGGAGGCAGGCATGCAGTGGTGAGTCTGTGACGCGTCTGTGGCTGTGAGATCTGTGCCCGATAAGCGCTCATCGTTGCGTCGCCGCCGGTCGCGCGACTCGCGTCGACTCTGCTCACCGACTTCCGGAACCCGCGGCAGTAGCGATAAGTATGCTACACATTGCGTTGCACAAGCCTCTGGGATCCGACCCGCATAGAAGGAGCAACTTACGCAGATATGCTCACAGGTGACGTCCGAGGGAGACTACTCAGGCTGCCACGGCTGCGACCGATTCAGGTCGCGGGCGGAACTGCTCAAACGAGCGACATGCCAATTCGAGTGATGCTTTTGTCCTCAAAATGGTGCGTCTATATCTGGTCGCCAGAGTATTACCCTCGTTTCGCTGTTCAGTACCGGAGCTATGTTCAGAAGGCGGCGCCGCGGAGTGGCAAACGCTTTGACATATGAACAAAGCGACCATCTCGCTGTCGCCACCTGTTGCCCTCATTTCTATGTGGCATTGTCCTTGTGCCCCTATGTTGTGAAATGCTTTATGTATAAAGGCGAGCGCGCTCTCTGCATCCCCCTCCTCAACTCGACTTCACCTCGTCAACTAGAACCACATCGCCACACGAATCATGCGACCACCTTCCCGAGGCAACCATCGAACTTACGAACCTCCAGAGGGTTTTACTGTTCCCGTTATCATTCCTCCTAACCACGCATCTGATAGTGTGCCCCGCTCACCTGGCGACGGGCCTGGACTTCGGTATGGGGTCGTTGTCAATCTCACACGACGCGCCAGTCAGCAAGTCTGCCGAGCCACACCTCAGCCTTGATGCAGTTATGGCGAGGTTGTTGTTTGCGAGCGAGCCTGCGACAAACCACGCCTGCGAAACTAGACATGGGCATGGCGTCTCTGTCGGTCTCCCCGACACACACCCCCGTGCTCCCCCGTCAAGAAAGTGGTCGAGAAGGAGAAGCCCGCGGAATTGGAGCTCGGTCTGGAGATGGGTATGGCGAACTTGTCGGTCTCCTCACCTCGTCCGCCACGTTCCCCCAAACCTCAGCCTCTCGATAACGTCGTCGAGTTGAAGGAACCCACCACGACGGACGCTACAAGGAATGTACCATCCATTGTGATAAGTCCCGCTCCGAGCGCCCCGCCCGCACCCAAACCTCCAACGCGTGCAGCTCCTCCTCTTACTCCCTCGCCGACTGTCCTGGCCGCGGCAGTCTACCCTCTTTCTGCGCGTCCGCTCCCAGCCTCAAGACTCCGCCCACCTGCAGCCGCTCCCCAATTTGCAGTGCCTAAGCCCTCCACTACGGTGCTCAAACCCCCTGCGCCACGTCCGACGCCATCTGTCATGACACCCACTACCCCTGTCGACAAGAAGACCTACATGGTCAAGCCTCCGCTCAAGCCGGTCCCCAACCAACAACCTGCGGTGATGAACACGGCTGCAGACGTGGATACCATGGATGGATACGCTAGCTGTCGAAGACGATGAGCCTTGCGCGGCGTCATAACTGGTCCGACGGATAGGTGACCTCTCGACCCGTGTGATCCCGCCTGGAGATTTCTCTTGCAGTGGGCATACGAGTCGTGAGACGCACTTTACGTGTGACGTTTGATATACTTCACCTGACTGTTGCAGGAGTTCGTCAGCATCGGGATCGTCAGTGTGACGATCCCTCGTACTCAGACCAGCGTGATAAGGTGAGTGGCCGCCCAACGCACAGGGTGCTGGCCCTTCCCCACCACTGCTTCAAACGAACAACCACGATGAAAGGGCGATCGTCCGTTGACAGCGACTCGGAGGAATTTAGTAGCCACTCAACTGGTACGCTTGGAACGGGAGTCCTCTCGTGTGAAGCGCATTGGTTGTACGGCTGCGTAGGATTGGCGGGGAAGGCTCTGATACTAGGTTACGTGAGTCTTGTACGTTCCAGCACGAATCAGATCGAATTAGGCATCAAACCTCGGCCTGTTTGTGCAGTGACGCAAATCACTCTCGGCTGGCAACACTCGCGAGAAAGACGACTGTCCCACTCTCGAAGCACACCAGCGGAGAATGAGCGTCATATATCCACGTGCGGATCTGGAAGATACTCGGACCTCCGAGTCCTCTGGCGCATATGATGAGAGCATCCAGTTTTGATGTCTGCCACCGTGGCGTTGTTACAAGTCTCGTCCACTAGGAACTTGTTGGCCACCACTAAAGCGGCGAGGAAGTTGTCCTTGGCCTTGTCCGTGGCCTTGTCCGATATGTTACATCTGGCTCCGACCTGCGAGAGATCCAACGTGAGAGAAGCCTACAAAAGGAAGATACAGCTGAGCTTACCTAGTGTGCCGCGATGCGAGTGGGCGACGTCTAACACTCATGTAGGAAGTGCGAGCAAGATTCCTGGGCAGCCTGATACTCTTCCCTAGGTACGACCCACCGAACTTGAGGAGATCCATCGGTAAGTACCCACGGTATGCCCGGATGAGCAGGCACGATTCATCTCTGTGATGGAGACTGCATCAAGGATGCGAGCTCGCGGTTGTCCGGGTTAGGCCACCCAGACAGTTTCGCATAACAGGTGTCGCCGACTTCGATAGGTCTTCCGTGCGTGGAGCTGTCAAGAGTGTCATTGCGTGAGCGACTAGGCGACTTGTTGAGGGTATACTGTGTCATACCATACACTGGAAAGGCATGTTTCCCTTCAGGCGATCCCAAGCGATATCGTCGTGAGGCGTCGATACACGGAAACCTGGTCTCCATCCCCTAGATAGAGCACGGAGGTTGCATCCATGAACGTGTTCTGCGTTGAACGCAGCAAACGTAGCTCGCATGGAGAATCTCGATAGGTCCGCAAGGTCCATAACGCATGGGGTGCGAGAATAAGGCTTGTCGCACTCTGGCCGACGCTGCCTTCCTCGTCGCCACTAGTCTTGCAGCGTGATGTCCGTTCAGCTAACACCTCGCCGCCCGCAGGGACCAAGCCGTTCACCTGCCGTCCTACGAGGGATAAAGCCTAAGTGAATGCCAAAATGGGCGAACTGAGCAGAACTCACCATCAATCGAGAGACAGTGCATGGTTCCTCGTGGCGTTGACGGACACTCCGGACCCCATCACCTAGCTAGAGCGTGCCGCCATAGCGATAGACAACGACGGCAACACCCTTGCCCTCGCGGTGTGCAGAGGTCAAGCACCTCCCGCCGTAGTCTAGCCTTAACGCTACACGCCATTCTCAGCATCGGACACAAGGAAGAACAAGCAAAACTCACTATGAGAAGCGCTATTCACGAGTGGTCTTCAACTCTTCTGCTCGAGGCGTATCTGTGGGGTTCTTCCACTCCTCGCATGCTTTAGCGTACTGGATTGCTACATGAGCCGAAGTGTCAATGGCGTGTATGCAGGTACTCGCCGCGAGGTGCGCTGCCAGAATCTCTTTCTGCCCCGCGAAGAACTCGGACCGCGAGTGTCGTCGTCGCTCAGACGCTCCCATGCTGAATGCCAGGAGTCAGTCAAGCGGATGGACTAGCATAGTGGATGGTGCTCACAGAGATCTGAGCGATACCCTCGAAAGGGGCACCTATGTAGGCAGGGCTCGGGCTTGGGCCTCGTCTGGGTCGTTCCCGTAGGCCACTAAAGTGATGGTGTAGGAGGAATGGTAACGCGATGGGGGAGATGAAACGTAGTCGTCGTCTGAGTCGATTCATCGTGGGCAGACTCGGAAGTGTGCGCTGTGTTAGGTTCCAAGTCGCTGTTGACGCAGGGTATTTATATGTGAGCGGGTCTTAGCGCCACGGTGTGGCAACGAGCGTGGCTTTGTGCGCGGATGATCCGGATGGGCTATGTCTTGGCATGCTAGCCACGCTGTTTCCGTTCCTCTTTCGTCGTTGTCAGGAGCAGCATGTTGCTAGGCGGCATTGTCAGCCAAATCGGGCAAATGTCAAAAGGGGGCACGACACTGACTGAGATTGCCTTATCGGTCATAGAACCAGTCATGACAGGGCCGATGGTATCATTGCTTTGTGCGGAAGTGCTGATCGAACTTCCTTGAGTACGTCGCTGTAAGGCTCGGCTAAAACAGGGGGTCAGGGTTGTCGAACGTCATGACAAACGACGCACCATACGTGCCGCTTATGGTGTGGCCACCTGTGGCTCCGTTGCTACGCGAGACTGTCGCTCGACTACAGGGTGGCGCGGTCGAGGTATAAATATGAGCTCGTTCTCCACGCCATCCGTTGCAACCTTGCCTTCCTCCTTCCCCGAGCTCACGTCCCTGCCAGAAGAGCCATGCGACAGCCCAAAGCTCACCAAATTGCTTCCGAGTCATCGCCGACGGGTTTTCCCTCATCTGTTACCATTCCTCCTAACCACTATGCGGATCGCACTTCGGTCCAGAATGACTCCAATCAACTGCTGCAGCACTAGAGCAAGGCGCTCGGAGATGTGGCGACGCTAGTCTCGTACGTGAGTAACGTTTGCTCGTCTCACGGAAGCATGGTGCTGACGCGCACTTTGTGGTTCAGATGCGTCAGCGAAGACTGCCAGTCGGGGCGTTCGAAGCTTTACAGCACAGCTGGGATCCATAGACCTTGACCCTCTAGCTTCGAAGCCTAGGTAAAATTTGGGCTGGAACTCATGAACCAATCCCTCGCACCCAACGGTTGAACGTTGAACCCTTGAACGACCAAGCCCTACCGAGCCTCGCACACTGGAATAGGTAACGCTTGAGCTCACCAATATATGCACGTAACTAAGCTCTTTTGATTGCAGAGCGGCTGGAAGAGCATATCTCGACGGCCGTGGCCCTGCATTCAGGTCGATGGAGTGAGCGCAAATTGAGCATCGAGTGGACATAAGACCTACGCCTCCAGAACGCAGGGACAACATCGAAAGTTTCTTGGGACATGGGTTGACGATAGCCAGGGTCAGACTCCTCGGGTGGAAGGTCTCCCGACTTGCGTGTTCCCTCGCAGAGAGTCCTCCCGCGAGAGGCATGTGGGTCGCGAGGCATGCTTGATCCCGAGCAGTTGTCAGAGTCGCACAGTCGAGAGGGGTGTGGACGTACGGAGGTCGGCGTGGTAATTATTGCAGATCTCGTGGCACGCCACCGGCCATGACGCGTCTGTGGCTGCAAGATCGGGCACCGATCTCCCGCCGTCACGGAGGCCCAGCTCTACGATGTACATAATCTCGTGGATGGCAGTGGTGACGGCGTAATACACGATTGCAACTATGCAGACAAGAGTTCTGCGCATACTATCTCGCTACCTGTTGCACGTCCGCTGATGCATTTGCAATGTAGTCCTTCAAGCAGGCCGTCGCTCTCAAGCAGATTCTGACACTTAACATGATATGTGCTGTGCGCCTTGCGCCGTCGACAGTTCTGTTAGTCAGCGTTGGGGAGAACTTCCCAGTACAGCCATGCAAGCCCCGCACCGTCGATTTGCTCGGCCCAATTGAGGATGTTGGCGTTGCGCGTGTCCGTAGACAAAGCATCTCCCGTAGGACAATTGTTTTTAGAGATGTTGAAGTAACATGCACCCCTGTAAAGAAGAACGCAGTTAGTATCGCAGCACAGAATATGGATGACAGTCAGTTATCACCATTCTTCCACAATCAACTTCTTGCCAGCGGACTGCGCTTGCAAAACGTATGGCTGCAAGGCGGAGGTGGTCTCCGGTACCGTAGGCATGGATTAAAATGACAGCCAACGCATCACAGGTTGCGAATGTTTGGATGAAGTCGCTGTTCAACAGATACTCATTCAGGGCGAGATCTACTGTAGATCAGTGTCCAAACACAGAAGAGAAATGGTGGCCATACCACATGAACCATAACAACACACCGCGCGTCAAGCTTGCGCGTCGAACAGCACGTTGAGAAACGCATCTTGCCACTGGGCTGCGGTTTGGTGAGATAATCCCTCATTAACACTTTCGATCCGTAACTCTATAAGATTGATGTCGTATGCAAAGCCTTACAATGAGATGGCGCCGCCATGGAGGCAGGTCTGGACGCCGCACTCTCGTCCGCCTGTGCCCGATACGCGCCTGAGATGATTCTGCCAGTGGCGGCGGGAACAACATCGGCGGAGGAGGAGGATATCTAGGAGGAGTGACCATATTCAGCCACCGACCGATCATCGGCGTCTTGCGTGACGCGTCTGTGGCTGAGATCTAAGTCCCGATTGGTTCGACGCCGGTTGATACGGCGCTGGGCGATGTCGATTTTGGAAAACGACGCTTGCCTGATACTTGCTCTCTATCCTCTACCTTTCCAGACCCGCAAAGGGAATCTACCGGACACGAGAATGTCATCGACTGGTCCAAACTGCTTGAATCTGGAGCTTGAAGCTACAGTACTGTTCGACAAGTTGTTTTCCAGTGGCTGTCGCCATGAACGCGTATGCTGCCAGTCTTGACCGACCCGCGTCTGCTCCGCATTACTATCAAAGCTGAAGACCACTGACCTCGGAACGAATCAGACTAGCCGGATGATCTTGATGCTCATTTCATACGCGCAGGGCTTGGCGGACTGAAGGAAAGGAGACATGCGAGGATGGTGGCACCTGTCCCCTGGTGGGTCATGTCGTATCCAATGGCCGTCACGCTTCACTTACTATGTGGTCTCTTGTGGACTAAGCTTGAAGCATCCCACTCATGGATGCGGTTGCGTTAGGGTACAAAGGTTGCATTGCTTTGACATTCACCACTCGCTTTGTCCACCATTGTCCTTAGCTCGCGTCCTTCACCGAGGTCCCCAGGGGCTTCCGGCGGGTATAAAGACCACTTCGTCTTCGAAGCATTCCTTGCATCCTGTTACCTCCCGCATCCATTCGACATGTCTCGTCGCCACAAAGCGTCGTCTGCCACCATTCCTACACTATGTATACGGCGTTCTCTTCACGCGTTACCATTCCTCCTACCCATCGAGCATAGGCAGCCCTAGTTGTTCTGCATGAAGCGAAGCGGCAGGAGCAGTCATTGACGCCGAATGCTGGACGTATGTCCCTTGTCATTCTGTCCATGCTGGAGTCTAAGCTGACACGGAATGTTCGCTGGTTGATAGATCGACCAAAGCGAGGCGGGAAGAGCATGGCTGGCTCGTCGCGAAGCGCGTGCATCTTTGCTTCTGGCCTGTTGAACGAGCAGGACAGGCCCCAGCTGCGACGGAACACCATGGGGCCGAGACGGGTAAAGGACGCGAGAATGGAGGGCGCTCAGTCTAAAAGGTGTGCCACACCATCTCTCCATACAGCTCAGATACTGACTTGCGCCTAGTCTACGAGCAAACACTGCTCCAAGGCGCTCGAACACAAAGGCATACCTTTACAATGCAGAGCAGGAGAAACAGCCCTCACGGACCCTCGCATGCTGAGGTGATTCGAGTGCATGTGCAGACCATACCTGCCGGGTTGCGCCCCAGTACATTGGCTTCCTTGCGCGCTGCTCTCCCTGCTACCCACTGGCAGGGAGCCGTGACTCCCTACTGCCGAAGGCGCTACTGTTCGCAGACTTTCGTATGCCCGTCCGCTCCTGGGAATCCGCTCGTTTCGCCAAATCGACAGGCTGCTACTGCTTGAATGACGCTCGCGACATGCCTATCCTTGGACATGGGAAGAGTTCCTCTGGTTCGTGGCCATGTGTGCTTCTCGGACTCTATCATCGGCGACCAACCGATGATGCAAGTGCGCACTGGGGGAGAAGGCAGTCGCTCGACCGGTGCGTCTCGTGCGGGAGAGTCCTCCCTAGCGAAGCGTAGTGGTCGTACAACCGTGCTTGTAGGAAGGCGTGTTGAGAGTCTATGCATCATCGGCTAGCTTGGGAATCACAGCATATGTCTGCTCAACAGACCTTCAACTACACCTATCCCGACCTCACGAAAGCCCTCCGAGGAGCATATACGGGCTTCCGATGCGACGTGAGAGAATGCGCATATACTACTGACTTCAGCTCCCCACAGGCGATACAAACACAAGAATGGGCTAGGCGATGCACGAGATCTAGACAACGAGACCTAGCTAGACATTGAATGGACACTGCGAAAAGGCCTCTGCACGATCCTACCGCACAAGAGCATCGCACGCACGAATATGCTGAGAATCGATGGATCGAAGAAGCGTACGGCGACCCGCTGTCCTCACTCGGCGCTCCCATAACTATTCACTGATCATTTAGTAGTCACACGATAAGCTTTCTCAGCTCTTGGGGCAGGCGCGTATAAGTCGAGTCACGACACCGTTCTGACTCGGAGGTCGCTGAGCGCAGGAACCGATACCCATTCTCGGCTGACGATGTCCTCGAGCAAGACAACTGTCTCGCCCTCGAGACATACCAGCGGAGGATGGCTCTGGCGGCTGGATGAGCTTTGCTGCTGCCAGCTTCTCCAAGGAAAGTCGACAACGATACCAGGAGTCCCTGGGAGGACCAGTGCATGAGCAGAGCACGTAGCGGATGAAGACAGAATATCATACCTTCAATTGGACATCTGCCGCGATGACAAGTGGAAAGAACCCATGTGCACAAAGAGCTCGTGTGTGAACCTTTCCACATCCCCCTAACGTGCGACGCCCATCCGCTGTCGAGCGCGAGGAGATCCATGATAGATCATGCTCAGGAGCCTGAGCTCCCAGCACTTCCGCAGACACGCTGATCCAGGGCGATGAACCTGAAGAGTCGGCGCCTATAGCGGGCCACGGCGTCGGCAGATGCTCGTTCATGGCTGCTCTACGTCGATAAACTCGTTGGCTCTGCATCGCAGCACATGCGGTATATCTGGTTGACACAGGGATTCCGTAGCGCGCGATGCCTGCCTGGTGATACCTCGGCGTGAGTGGCGATCAAAATGGGCGAACTGAACAGGGCTCACCATTTGCACTGTCCGGACGCGCCACATGTCATAGTCGCGTGGCGGTTCAAAAGACCATGCACCCAATCACCTAGGTAGAGCGCGCCGCCATACCCGATTTGACTGCCGTCGACGCCCTTCCGTCGCGAGTCGCAGAGCTTAAGAGCCTCCCGTTCACCCTTGGTAGACGCGGACAGTCTGTGGCACATTTGGACGACTCATCATCGAATCTCCGTCGTTTGGTTTGGAATGTGACGTGGCAGTGGGTGTACCGTCGTGCGAGGTCTGCGGCGCGAGGTAGTACTGCGGCGGTGAACCGGCCCAGGAACGGGTGGCGGGATGGTTAGGAGGAATGGTAACGCAGTCATAGAGAGTGAATGTAGCTGTAGCGTGAGTCGATACATCGCAGGAAGTCGTATGTGCAGATGTTGGCTAGCTTCGAGTTGCCGTGGATGCAGGGTATTTATACGCGAGCGAGCCTGAGATCTGCTGTGCGTTCCTGTGGCCAAAGCGCCACGGCGTGGCAACAAGCGTGGCTTTGTGTGCGAATGATCCGCGTTGGCCACCTCTTGGCATGCTGGCCACGTTGTTTTACGTCCCTGGCCGTCGTTAGGGGAAGCATAAAGCTGGGCGGTATTGTCAACCGAATCGAGCAAATGTCAACAGGGAGACTACAGTACCGATTGTCCGTGCCGACTCACGGAACGAGCCCAAGGCGCCACCGTGACAGGGTGCACGCATCTGCCTGCCGAGCGATGCTGCGCTCAGAAACTTGTGACTGCTTACGGCAATACCAGGGATGGTATGCCGATGGTTCCAAATCCAGCCTGAGCTATGAACGTTTGAACACGCGGCCCTGGTCCTACAACCACGCACCTATAGAGGAAACACGGGCCCGCGGCGCACACTTTGCCCTATGATGCGCCGGTATGCAGCTGCGAGACCGCCAATTTGGGACGTGTACTACTTTGACTGATCCTTAAGTATAAGGACCGTGGCACTATCGGCCCAGATTCCACGTCTGACTGCGTTTGCTGTTCAGTTCTCCCCATGAGTCCTCGGGTCGTGTCTCGCGTTCAGAACACTGGGATTAACGGAGCGGCGCCACAGTGAGGAGGCCTCCTCGGAATAGCAGCGGAGCTTCTCTATGCATGAGTATCTTGGCTTGCTAAGGCGAATCTTTGTGCTCACACACGTTTTGCGCGCCTCAGTCCGATCGCGGGGGACGTAGTAGAATCATGATTCGCGCTCTGTCGTCCTAAACTCGTAAGGTTTCAAGTCGTGATTTGGGAAGCAACGTCGAAGAAGAGGGTCTGGTCTGGGGCTGTGCGCGTACATGGCCGCCGGTCACCTGCACGACGCGTCTGTGGCTGTGAGATTGTGCCCCCGATCACTTCGACGCCGGAGGTCGTCGCCGTTCGCGGTGACTCGAGTTGGACCACGCGGCTTGCTCCTCTGCAATCTCCTCTACTCGTTGTGGTCAGTACCAGTGCTTGCAGACAGGCGTAGTAAGTATGAGGAGCGTTGAGTGAACGTGGCTGCATGCTAGCGCGACGTGCGACGGTGGACAGTGAGCCTGCCATTCAGCCTGGCGTGAGTCCACTCGATCCGCGCAGAGCACATCAACATTCAAACATCTGGTAGAATTGTCTGTCAAGAGGGCCCGGACGACAGGAACAGGCATGAACGCGTCTGTGGCGAAGATGAAGGCTGGCCAATTTCGCGGACGCTATCATGTTTTCTGAGGACTCAGAACCAGTACTAGTCAGTAATGCACCATCTCAAGGCTCGCATACTTACACCTTTTGAGCGCGCCCAGACGGTCGTGAGGGCTCCGCGCTGCTGCGTGAGTATGATGCATTCCATAGCCGGCTGGTGCGCCGCGTTTCAACGGTGCGAAGTAGCATCCAATGGCCGTGGATTTCCACCCGTGAGACCCAGTCCGAGACTCACGAAGGAAAGAAATAGTCAAGTACAGTCATACGACCACTACGCTTCACACGAGAGGACTCTCCCGTGTAAGGCGCACCAGTCGAGTGGCTACCCTGTCTTGCACAAGCCCCTACGACGCACGCATCATAGGCAGCATGAAAGGTTCGTCCATGTTACGATCCGGCTCCGTTTGGTCTGTAGTAGGCGGTACGGACGGGAAAGTGGACTCGGAATGGGCGTCAGAGTTCGCGCCTTGGAGCTCTGATGCTCGAGCAGCGCGGCGGGTCTTCATCCCCCTCTCCTCCTGCATCGGTGTTGTCGTTGGTAAGAGGATGTGCACTGCATGTATTTGCAGTCGCATCCTCTTCCAGTATTCCTTGTAGCTATCGTTGAGGTCGTTGCTTCGTTTTTGGCCCGTACACCAAGTTTCCGCAATTTCTTGCGCCAAGGATGTTGCATCGTTAGTAGTCCTGGGCACGTTGTTACGAGCTGCAGGGTGCTTACGTACGCGGAACCGGTGTGCGTGTGTACTTTAGGCAGTTGCACACCGGCCGGAGAAGTCAGAGTTGGCGATGGGATCCTGCGTATACTGCAAGCTAGTTGCGTTGTGCAGTAGTCGAAACATTTGGCACCGACGAGATTGGGGCCTTTGCAAATAGTTGCACGACAATCGTCGCCGCATCGCGATGTGAGCAAGCTTGCCGACCATGGCTGGCGACCATGCTGGACCAATCTCGCGCTATCGCCAACGTCGCCCTCGAAGCGTGGAAATTCCCCGTCACGGGGAGGCCCAGATGCCGTACGGATCTGTGCGCGTAGGACGTCGGTCCTAAAGCGCCTTCGGCGGTAGGGGACTGACCACGCCGCTCCAAGTCAATGTATTGATGCTCGTGGCGAAGTGGGACGTATGTTCCGTGGAGGAACCGCTTGACAGTGTTCATCATCTGAAACAGCCATATCTCAATCCCAAAGAACAGACGAAAGACGGAGCAGGACGTACTACGCTTGTACCAGCGATGTGCAGGGGACGTAGCAGGAACAACGGATCGCCGGCTCTGTGTGATGAGGGCCTTCGATGTGCGCAATAGCGAAAGGTGGTTGAAGCATCACAAATAATGGTTAGGAGGAGTGGCAACGAGCACAGAGGAGGCTGCATAAACGACAAGGAGAAGGTACGGTGCCGCGCTGAGTGGCGGCAGAACAAGGGGGGCGACATACCCTGAGGCAGGGGCTTTGATCGGTTTCATTGAGGAAGAGAAGACTGGGAGGGTATTTATACCCGGGGAACAGTGCTTACAGGTGGATGAGGGACAAAAGGAGTGGCGAGAACAAAGCGATGCTCACCTCGCACGGACTCGGATTGTACGCGACATCAGTGGCAAAAAGGGCCATACAGAGACAAGACGACGCGCCGTTGGTGCCATATTCCGTGTTCCTGCTCTGAGTCGAATGAGAGCTCGAGTCGCAGGAGCTAGGCACGCTGCTAGTGTCTCCTCAAGCTCTTGTTGATGGTGCTGAGCATCGTGCGTTGTTCCTGCGTTGATGACCCAGAGATTGAAAGGACCGAAGATCGAGGCTTCCGTAGTCAAGGCTCGAAAGAGTACACATCGACGCCGACTCATTTGGAGTCACCGCTGACTGACACAAGACTGACAGTTGGAAAGTCGCATCCAAGTCGCGTCCGAGTCGGAGTAGTCGAACGGCGACGCGTCTGTGGCTGAGATCGATCCCCGATCTATGCCGAGTGGGGGGCCCCTGGTAACCGCAGACGCGCCCGCTCAGTGCGCTCACCAGTGCTGGGGATAGGCAACGCCCCCGCCAAATGGCTTTAGCGCGCGGCCAAGCGCTCGAGGACGGAAGCGGACACGATTGATGGTAGCTGGCCATCGTGCCGAGATGCCATATAATCTCTTGCAGATAGTCCAGCGATCGTCTTCGTATCAGGCGCCACAGTGAGCAGCCAACGGTATCGAAAACTGTGGTCTGCAACAGCGGCTTTATTCGTAGATCTTGTACACAGTGCGTTTACGATAAGGATTCTAAGCAAAACGTTGGTTGCCGATTTTTTGTTGTGTGTCGAGAAGTAACTGATCTCGCTGTATGCATGCTGAGATCGTGCATTAAATGAAGAGCTGTGAAGATTCGGCAACGAAGGATCGACTCGTCGGGTCTGAAAACGGTCATCCCGAACGTTGGATGGGCGAGAGGTTGTCGTTACGAGACCATACAGAAGGTGCTGGTTTTCACGGCGTGCAGATCAAGCGCCCGTGCGGGATGTGGCTGCGGTGTGCATGTCCCCTGTCAGTATGTTCAACAATGGCTATCCAATGTAGTCGGGACACCTTGAGAATGAATACATGAGTTGTTTTTCAGCTTCTCTCATAACCGTCAGGTGCGAGCTGGTGAGTTTCTTGCGTCTGAACGTCACGGTACAGCTTACATAAGCGATACATCGCACAAGCGCCGCGGCTGTACGTGCCATGTCCCTGGGATGCTGGATGCAGTCTGCTACTAGACGTCTGCGTTTGAAGTATAAGGCGGGCAATTTCCTGCCGACGGGGAGACGAGGAATCCAGGCTATAGCTGGCAACAACATGGTGAGTCATGTTATCACTGAAGTTGTGAACGTCACGGTGCAACTTGAACTTGAACTGTGTTGCCGCTGCATCGACAGGGACTTTCGAGTCGGTGCGCCACGGCGTCGGTACAGTACTCACTGCCGGCCATCCTCCACAAGAGCCCTGTTCCTAGGAACGGCTTTCCAGACACACTGCACTCCGAGTACAAGTCCAGTGCCGTCGTGGCCGCAAGTCTGGCGCAATGTCGCGCGTGTCCGCCCGCGAGTCCCTCCGCAAACTCAACTATTCCCACATCGGAAGGCCCGCCGGACCAAGATGAAACCGACAGCTGCGATACTGAGTGCACTGATCAGTGAGGCTGAGCAGGAGAAGACTACTGAGGAAGCCGGTGAGCAGTGAGGCCAGGCAAGACGAAGGTGAAGGGCAGGCCCAGGATAGAGGATAAGGAGTGCAAGCCAGTGGACGTGTTCGTCAAGACCGTTGCATGCCATTTCCAGGAGCTCAAGCTCACCGACAAGGTGCGTACGTTCGAGGTCGCTGCGGATGCCTGATGGCTCCGAGCGGTGATCGTGTCACCGCGGGATCTGTGCCCGGCCTGAAGCGGAAGCAGCGCGCGTCGCGGGACGTCAATATGGACGTCAGTGTCGACGAGGAGAACAAGGAAGATGTCGAGTACGCCGGAGACAACGAGAAGGTTGACTCGGACGGCGAGCTCGAACGAAACGTGCTGATACCCCTACTAGTAGACCCTTACCGCCACGGCAGTGGCGGTCTCAAGCTCTACTACTCTTCCGACACCCTCACCACGTCTCCCGCTCATCGCAGCGTGGCTACCGCACCCATACTACATCGACCCGAGCCGCATTACCACCATCACTGAGTCAGATTCTCGTGCGGCAATGACGTCGCAGCTGCCCTGGCCCCCGCTCTCCGATGCCCCCTTCCGCGCCGCCAGCACCGTCGCTGCACTCACGCTCACGCTCCCGGCGCCCACGCACCCTATCTAGCCAGTCACTGCAAGGGAACGTGCCTAACGACTCGCGCCGCGCGGGCACACAAGGTTCGCACTCGGTGAGTCCTGACGTGGACACCGCCGGAGGACGAGACAGCCGCGTTACTCTTGCTGCAGACGAGCAGCTCGCCGACGTCGATGCAGTCGAGCTCTACCCCGACGAGCTTGGCTCGGGCGGACCGACGTTTGCGCTACACCTCCCGAATCTCTGAGACCCACTTTGCATGTACAGACTGACCTCTGTAATTCACAATATACATGTATCATACATCCAGCACTCATTTACTACAGTTTACGCTCTTTCCCGCTGCACACCGATACCTCCTAGCACTATGTACCATGCCTATCTACGATATCGCGTTCTGTGTGATCGGCACGACAACGATAAGATGAGATATTGCACTATCGCTCGTTTAGATAACACTAGATTACACGGCCGTGATCCCGGCACGAATAGACGCTGGCCGTCCAGCGAAGGGGCGTTGCCTATCCCCATCACCACGGTCGACGGGACCAACAACGCAAGACTCGCGACCCCCATGCTCATCCCAGGAGAACTCTCCCTGATGCGCTACGCAGGTCGGGAGACCGCTCGTTGGCCGGACCGAATATTGACCTCGCGGGACGGTGTACGGAGGGTACTATTCACTCTCGTGTCCCTCTTCATCATCGCCGTCATCAAGCTATAAGCCGCACTTGGCTGGCTAGACGCATCGCGGCGCGGATAGCCATGTAAGTGAGTTCTTGAGAGGACACGCGTTGGCTCCAGACTTCGTCACGGTGAGTAGTACTTGGTCGCTTCTGCATGCTGGTGATGTCCCGCTGACGACAACGCAACGCTTCTGCCAGTATCGATGCATCGTCCCCTATTGAGGTGATCAGGTGCTGTAATGGACAGAAGCAGACGATGATGAGCACGAGGCTACTCACACAGGTGCGGCATACGGGCATTATCCCTCGCTGGCCGAGGTTCACGTTGGCATTCTGCGCAATGGTCGCGCCGTTCTGATAGAGGTATGCGTTCTATCCAGCTTCGGCCGTTAACCCTCTTGCTCATCTTTAATATGCGCCTCTACAGCTACTCAGTCGCCCTTAGGCCCATGTCTGGAAGCGCGAAAGTGCGTTCGATTCACTTCCGTTGCATAGGGCGAACCAGATGGCGAGTACTCACGTGTCAAGGTGGTCCAGCACCGCTTGATCGCATCATCAGAAAGTCCTGAAGCCTGTAGTGCTCCAGGATCGCCCTGTGGCTGTCGCAATGTTGCATCCGCGGAGTGGTTAGGAGGAATGGTAACGCGCGCGAGTAACACGCGTATGGAAGGCTGATGACCGGAGCGTGAATGCATGGCTGGTTGCAGTAAGGTGAGTGTAGGTCCTGAGTGTAGGTGTGCTGAGAGGGGATATACGAACAGGGGCTCTGTTTATACGTCGAGTCGGCCACACCAGGGCACAGGGCATGTACAGACCGCTTAGCGAAGGTGGCCATGCACAAAGCGGGGATCGGCGCGTCATGCATCAAAGCGACCGCTACTCCATATTCGGACGAAGAGCATGGCAACGAAACTACGACCGCATTTGGACGTCCATAATGTGGCGTTCAAAGGGCATCCGTGCGCGTCCTTCGACTCGTGGCATCGCTTGTGCAACGTGCCCAATAACACCCTTTCGTCGAACGTGATGTCTCCGTCTGGCCCATCGGCGGCCCAATCAGTCCAGCTCTAGGTTCGCGTGTAGTCGGACGGAGACACTTTTTGACCAGTGCTTGGGGTCGTGCGTGTCCGACATCTTGTCCTGCACCCGATTTGGCTGGCAATGATTGTAATGCTGCTATCCCCTTCACGCGATGGTCGGCATGTCAGCAGATGTGGCCCATTCATGCCCCTATTTTACAAAGCGACACTCGTTGCCACGCTTTGTTGGGCTTTTGCCGGGTGGCCGAAGAACAACAGCGAGCTGCCGCCCGACCAGGTATAAATACCCTGGACATCCCAAAGACCGCATCCCTACTCGAGCAACACCGCTGGAAACTTCCCCGATGTCTCGCCTCAGACTAGCATCCCGCTCTGACGTTATGTCGTTACCATTCCTCCTACACCATCCTGATCACGGAACACCCAAGCGGCACCACTGCAAGACATGGGACACCCACTGCAGTCTGTGAGCGTACCCAGAGCGTACCATCCGCTCCAGCGCGCCAGTACTCCGACGTCTCGCTATTCGTCTTCTCCTCGCACAAGCTGTTGTCCGACTTGCTCAACGTGATCTGGCGGGATCGACACATCCCTTCTGTGCGATTTGAAATCCCAACCCGCTGCCCATGTCAACGACGCAACGACCAACATCCTTACATACCCACAGGGCACCATGGTCGTTCATGGTCCCTGCGGCGTACCTCTTGCGTGCGGGAGGTTGTGCAAATGGGTATGGCCGACGGGGATGACCTACGGGATGGAGACCGGGTTCGCCGCTGCGCCGAGGGCCCTCATGCTCGGCTTGAGCATTCGCATCGGCGCGACGCAACCCTTCGAGCGATACTGCCAGATGTGCCTACTCACGCAGTACCGCACTTCATCATCCACGTATACGCAGTCCTGCGATGCAAGCGTGTAACCGTCTCCTTCATTGTCGATGTATGCGCGATGTGGCTCCCCGCGATTCCCCCTCCCTCTTTGTCCTCCCCCGCCTCCTCTCGCACCATGCACTCTGCTTTCGATCACGTAGCTCTGCCTTTGGACGAGTTCGCCGACTTCGCTGCGTTCATGGCTTCGATGACAATGGATACCCCGACTCTACGTTCACGGGTGATGACCAGTACTATATGCCAGACTCTCTCAATGAGCCGGTATGTTACCATGCACATACCCACTAGTGCCGTGACTGATGCATCCTTGCCTCAGATGCTTCATATGCGCGAAGCACTATTCTTCCGCGATGTGGTAGAATCTGTGGTCACGGTGCCCTCATTTGAGGAGGCCGTAGGTACCGACGACTCCAGCAGCTCAGCTGGAGCCCCACCCGACCTCATCGCTCCCCGTCCCCGCCGCATCGCCCTCCCTCCCTTCCTCCTCCGGTCGGTCTTCCACCTTCACTCCGCCCCCGCCGAGCCGCAAGCCCGCACTGTCGACCCGCGCCCGCGCCCTCCCCGAGCCTCCGCTGACCTCCCCGCCCCCGCCGAGCTGCAGGCCCGCCCGCACTGTCGACTTCGTCGAGATCTTCGATGTTGATGCTTTCTATGGGACCTCGGAGTCGTTCTCATCTTGCATTTTTGGCCTCCGCTGTATCATCTACAGGTACGCGCAAGCGGCGCTTACAGCCATTCGAGAGCGGTGTGTAACATTTAGCGATGCGGGGCGGTGCTCTTTGGTTCTCGCCCCCGGACCCGTCGCACGCGGTACCCTACGAACCAGATCGTCGCCGGAACCCTGACACTGTCTCAAGAAGCCCGTGTACTATCTCACATCAGAGAGCATAACTTAAGCAGGCAATTAGGGATGAAAATATTTGGTCAGTCCTCGACTCTCATTGCTCCACGTACGCCCTATTGATATGACAATTCTAGGAACATTTACCGCATAGAGATCCCTCGTACTCTGTACTTGCGGACGTTACACGCGGCGGTTGACGACGTGCCGGGTGGATGATATGCGCCATCCTTTGCTGGGATGCTACTAGAGCGTGACAGTTGTCCCGCTCCTGGGCATAGCCAGCAGAGAGTGGTTCGCGTGCTATGCAGCTACCTTTCATTACTGTAGCGAGGTGACACCGCGTGTAGCCACCGAACCTTTGCGTGTCCCACGCCACAGACGCGTCTTTGTCACAGTCTGCTACGCGTTTGTCGTCTCCCCACCCTCTAGCCTCTTCCTCGCTCGAGTACACAGTGAACTCTGAACATGTTGGCCAGCGTCACTTCCGTACATCGCGCCTGGGCCGCGCAGGGCACTACACATGTGTACTCAACGTTCAGCCTGAGAGAGCGCCCGGCGGCGCCGCCCGCCATACATTGCGCTGGTCACGAGGACCCAGGACGTCATGCACCGCATAAGTACTGCTGCGAGAGTCCTTGACCTTCGCCACCATCCCACTCGCAGGGCATGCACGCTCTAGCACTCATCTCTGTCCTCGTCTAGCTGCTTCGAAGTCGCGATGACCACTGCGAAGATCATCTACGGTACTGCGTGGTACGTACGCGCGCCGACTGCCGCGAAGTTGCTGAGATCGATACGCAGGATGCCAGGAAAAAGGAGCGCACGACGGAGCTCGTTGTCAGTGCAGTCCTCAATGGGTTCCGTGCTATCGATACCGGTACGCCTCCTGTGCACTACTGGTAGAAACGTCTCTCACGCGCGATACCATCCGACAGCCGGCCAGCCTAAGCACTACAAGTGTGTATCTTTGTGGGGATATACGGGCTCTATGCTGAACATGCGCCTCTCCTCGTAGCGAAGAACTCGTAGGCGAGGCACTTGAGATCCTACAGAAACAGCACGGCATCAAGCGAGAGGACCTCTGGATCCAGACCAAGTGAGCATTTCGCCTCATGGGACGCCGCTTCCTCTCACAACGCAACACACCTCTCTTGCCCAGGTTCACCTCGCTAGGCGGCCAAGACCGCTCCAAACCGCTCCCCTACAACCCCAGCGACCCCATCCCCACGCAAATCCAGACCTCCGTCCAGAACTCGCTCAAGAACCTCCGCACGACCTACCTCGACAGTCTCCTATTGCACTCGCCGCTCTCACGCCTGCCCGACACCGTCGCCGCGTGGCGCGCGCTCGTCGAGCTTCAGGACTCCGGCACGGTGCGCACGATCGGGATGAGCAACACGTACGACGTGCGTATCCTCGAGAAGCTCGAGCAGGAGACCGGGCGCCGTGTGCAGATCGTGCAGAACCGGTGGTTTGAGGGCAACGCGTGGGATAGGGAGGTCTGTCGATACTGTCGCGAGCGCGGGATCCAGTACCAGTAAGTCTCGACTGTCATTCTTGTACTCTGGCGCCGCCCAGTCCTGTCGGTGGGACGCGTCTGCTCACCATCCGTGCCCCAGGTCATTCTGGACACTCTCCGGCTCGCCCTCCCTCCTCGCTCATCCATCCCTCCGCGCTGTCGCCCAGGCAAAGCACTGCACCCCCGCGCAGGCGCTCTTCCGGCTCGCACAGCTCCACGGCGTCACGCCACTCTCGGGAACGACGAGCGTCCAGCACATGCAGGAGGACGTTGCCGCGGAAGAGATAGAGCTCACTGAAGAGCTGAAGGGTGGTGAAGCAAGGGACATCGTGAGGCTTGTGTGGGACGAGTGAGTGAGTGGTGCTTCATGAGAAGCAGCATGATGAACGGGATGTGGACGAAGGTCACTGAGCGTGTACGATAGCTGATGTGTAGGCAAGCCGACCCAGTTCTCAATACAACAGGCAATGCCAACTACACGGAAACGAGGTCGTATTCTTGAGGGGTAGAGACATCTAAGTCCACGCCAGCGATGGTACATACTTACATAGTTTGAAGCTGCGTCGAGTGAAGGGTCCGCAGCCATGACGCGTCTGTGGCTGACAGATCTCGCCCCGATCTCAGGCGCCGTCACGATGTTGGCGTCACGGTCGACTTGTGCTTTGCCATTTCGACGTCAACACCTGCCCGACACAGCGGACAAGTCGGTTTTTAACAAATCGGAACATTGGTCTTACATAGCAAGGGTCAGTAGTTTTTTAAGCGGCCATGTACGGTTACGTAACATGGCGCTTAAATATGGAATGTTCACCGCATGTAAGAAATTTCGTACATAGGTATTAAAAGATGTTATATTCGGCTACAGTACATTGACCACATGTATCCTGCATGTTAGCAACACGTACATTGAGACTAAACACTGTATGGTCAGAGAATGGTAGTCACTCTAGCATTGTCAGCACAGTTATAATGTTAGAATCTCGTGCATTGCGGGAACAAAGGGCGCACATTCGAAATGTAATCGCAATGTAAGAAGGCCCCTCTAACATTGTGCTTACATTGTCATTACATTTGAAATGTATGTCTTACATTGTCATTACATTTTTAATGTGCGCAGCCTCTCTTACATTGTCATTACATTCCAATTGTGCGCCCTTTGTTCCCGCAATGCACGAGATTCTAACATTATAACTGTGCTGACAATGCTAGAGTGACTACCATTCTCTGACCATACAGTGTTTAGTCTCAATGTACGTGTTGCTAACATGCAGGATACATGTGGTCAATGTACTGTAGCCGAACATAACATCTTTTAATACCTATGTACGAAATTTCTTACATGCGGTGAACATTCCATATTTAAGCGCCATGTTACGTAACCGTACATGGCCGCTTAGAAAACTACTGACCCTTGCTATGTAAGACCAATGTTCCGATTTGTTAAAAGCCGACTTGTCCGCTGTGCGATATCACTTTCCTTCCGACACCAGCCTATCGTGCACCTACGGAATGCGGAATACAAGTACACTTCCCGAGTACTCCGAGCGGGTGAGTGAGCCACACCGTAGCTGTCATCGAATTATCGTAACATGTGCCGGCTCGAGCTTGGCTTCAGTAGCAGGTACCACCGGGGCCCGGAGTCTGCCCCAGTGAGTTCATTTCGACTTTTGTGCTCGCCTTTCGAGGGTCGTTCGCAACTCCTTACGAGCAGGTCTACCACTGCTGAGTCCTGACGCGTCCTAATGCCTCGGTCATGGACCTTCGTCGTGGCGATATTGTACAAGAACTCGCAGCGTACGTACTTGTCGCGCAGCTCGCAAGCAACTGGGCTACCTCCGAGCCCAATTACGCGACGCGTCACTGAGCTTCAGGGACCGTACGCATTACGAAGATGCAGACAGAAGATCACGAAACCGTTTGGGGCTGAACAAGGGTGAAGACCTGTGCGTGCTCAGCGGCTCCTTCAGGCGGTCGTTTCCTCCTTCAGCCGGACGTATGACGGCATCGACCCGGGGATGCGGGTGACCCGCGCGCAACCCCCTCCTCCGGCACAAGCTGCAAAAAGGCAGAAGAAGACGGTCTCGAGGCTCAAGGGCAGCGCCGGGGTCAGAGTCAAAGCTGAGCTGCTCGATGCAGCAGCCTCCCTCTCGCTGCGGACGGGCTGCCTCACCGACAAATCCAGCCTCCGCCGGGTCTCCGAAGAAGAGGGCCACTTCGCCTGAAAAGCCCGCTTCCTTCAGGCGATCGTATTATCCCAGAATGTTGGCTCATCGGGTGTGATCAGCATGACGTGACGACTACCAGTCCATCATCGCCGCATCGGTAAGTCAATTCGTCTCCCCTTTCCTGCTTTTTCTCTTGATATTGAGGTACAACTGATGCAGACTGTGTGCCTACACTTGGACCCTCGTGTCCGTCTGCGACTCAAGTGCCGACGTGAGTCATGCTCCCATTTCTCTCCCTTACATACCCATTGACAGACGTCAGGGGTCCCCGTAAACCTTGGCACTCCGATATATGAGCGCACGGGAAATCTGGCCTCGATAGACGTCGCAGAGAGATCTGATCGAGCACCTTCGCTGCAGAGCGCGACATAAGCCTATGCGCTCACAAGGGATCCTTACCAACAGTCCATCGCGCGATGTTACGCGCTCTGTGGCCCGACAAACGGATGACCAAGATCGCGGTGTACCACTGAAGACCAGCGGCTCCAGCCCCTATCGTCGAATGCACGAGAGGTGTCGATGCATATGGAAATTGCGCTCGCTGACACATTCGACCTGACCGAGCACCGTTGACACCTCGCGCGGAACGCAACTGCCCGCGATCCCATCGACTCATGGGAGTCCATGGCCATGGTGCATCGCGTGAGGGATAGCAGCCTATACGTGCGACATAGCGACGAACTAGGTGGCCGCTCGACTGGTACGCTACGCGCGGGAGAGTCCTCCCGCGTGACGCGTAGTGGTCGTGCGACCGCCGATAAGTTTGCTGACAGACTAGAGAGATGCCCATGGACTACTCGACGGACATCGAAGCTTAGGACGTCAATTCACGAGGCCTCTCAAGCTTCCGTGCTTGTGTCAGCTTCCAACAGAGGGGCCTGGAATGACGATAGCGAGTAACGACACAGCAATATAGGATTGTACGGATCAGCATCTCGCGCATCCTCACTTGGGACTCTCGGGAATACCCCTAATGTTGCATTCGTGCTCAACTGAGCCACGATGACGTCAATAAATATGAGTGCAAAGAGAGCGTGGAGTCAGGGATAAGAGGAGTCGCGACGACGTGTGCGTTTCCCGTAAATGTACGTTCCAACCCGCCTTCCTCCGACACGTTGGACCTCTCACAGCAGGTAAGCCGAAAAATCGAATGCGGCTGTGGCCTGTGCGGCCGCTTTCGCTGCCTGCTGGAGGGTGCTCCAGGACGGGTCGTCCACAATGCCGATCTCGTAGTCATATGATTGCTGTGAGCCACCGGGGGTTAGTACTCGTTTCAAACACCTTACGACGGGGCAGGAAAGTACGTACATGAGGGTCAGCGTTGGGGAGAACTTGCCAGTACAGCCAAGCAAGCCCCGCACCATCGATTTGCTCGGCCCAGTTGAGGATATTGCCGTTGCGTGTGTCCGTAGACAAAGCATCCCCCGTAGGACAATCGTTGTTGGAGGTGTCGAAGTAGCATGCACCCCTGTAGAGAAGGAAGCGGTCGATATCTTGGCAAAGTATGGTAGGCAATCAGTGATCACCATTCTTCCACAATCAACTTCTTGCCAGCGGACTGCGCTTGCGAAACGTATGGCTTCAAGGCGGAGGTGGAGAGATCTCCGGTACCGTAGGCATGGATTGAAATGACGTCCAACGCATCACAGGTCAACCAATCAGGTTGGACGGACTCGGCCAGCCACGACGCTCCGCCGGTCAAGACAAGAATCTGTCAGCCATGAGCTACATGATACTGGGGTACGAGCGAGCACAACAATGAGACTCACCCCACTGCTGTTGCCGAGCTGACCCTTGATTGTCCCGGCACGGTCGCACTGCCTATTCGAATCAACATGTCAGGTCATGTCATTCGCATCGACCACTGGCAGGAACATGCTGTACCATTGCTGATGGTCCTCAATGAAGGATTGGCCCTGCAAAAAACGTCAGGACAGGTCGAAGTAGATCGTTCATGACACGTACATCCCCGATCATTGCTTCGTTCTCCGCCTCAAAGCCAAAGATGTAGTCGTTCAGCTCCTTCCACGGCTTGTTGAGCGAAGTGTGCACGTGGTTCAGGATATGTACGAGGCGAGCGTCGAAGTAGGTCTGCGCGTCGGTGTTGGTGTAGAAGTCGCTGATGCCATACCACTTTCCATAGGCATCGTTACTAGACAGAGCATTGTAACTATGCATGGTGATCAGGAGCTGTCGAAGGTATGTCAATATTACGGTCAAAGTCTCACACAGGAAGAACCGGTAGAAACCTTGATTCCGTAGGAGTTGGCCGCCACCATGAAGTCGTCCAAACGTTCGAGGACCGTGTCGTCGTAGCAAGAGGCATCTCCGTTGCAAGGAGTGTTGGGCTCAAGATCGTTGAAGGGATTGATGTTGGTCCCCTGATCAACCGTATAAGACATTATAGCAACCTTGCAAAGTGGGCGAATTCGTTACCTTCTGGCTGGTTGACTGTCCGCCAATCCAAACACGCAGCACCTTCATACCAGCGCTTTGCAGCCCTCTGTTAACGGTTTCAATATGGGTCAGTAACACGGAAGCATTGATACGACAAGAGGGAACTCACTGAAGTAGGGTAGTTCTGTCATCATCGTACAGACCTGCCGCATAATACAGGTTAGATCCAGCGAAGGAGTTGGCTGCCTGGACAATCGGAGCAGAGAGGAGTAGGAAAGCGGAACAAAGAGTGAATATACACTTCGATCTAGACGCGAACATCGTGCTCGAAGCTAGTGCGAATTGCGAAGGTGAATGGTTTCCCCCACCTCGTTCAACGTTTAAATGCCGTCTTCATAGCGCCTCATTGTAAGGATGCTATGATGCTACAACATTTTGTCCCCTGCTCGACGCCGCGTGTGACATTCAGATGAAACATTCTCGATGTCCAGGTCGTAAGAGCGCATCTTGATGAACACGCTACGACGACGCCCTGGAGCCACGGCTAGGCCCCAGCACAGGCGCATTGCTTGAATTCGATGCGCACTATATCATGGACGTTTGTATGCATTGAGAACGATCCAGGATTCCGTCATTGTACGAGTCTCACCTTGTATGTCACAGTCCTGGTGGACTGTGAGAGACACGGGCTGAGCGCTGAAGCGCTGATCGGCCAAGGCCACATGTGTATCGAATGTCGACTTGTTGTTCGTCAGGTTTCCGATAGCTTCTCGCCTATGTCGTATCAAACGAAATGGTATAGACCCGTGAGGTATTTCACATGGTGGCGAGCTCGCCGAAGATCTGGAGGCCTATTTCTGGAACAACTTTGGTGGCGCGCTGGTTGTGTTATGCTGGCGGATGATCGTACCACGAGGACTTGACAGACGGTATCCCCGCACAACGCCACTTGGCCCGAATTGAGTACACCGTTCCACGTCCTCTGGGTGCAGTCTAGACCAATATGTTGTCAGCCTTGAGCCTCGCGGTTCATCGGTCGCAAGTACTGAAGTAGACGGGTAACTCAATACCATGCCGCTGCCAGACAATCCCCTTAACGAGTCGTTGTTATGCAAATCTGTGCCTGTTCGACGGCGGGCGATCACGCAACATGCAGTGATAGATGTTGCAAATGTTTGGTTGAAGGCATAAGTGATACGCATTCAGGGCAGCATCTACGGAGGTAAGCGTCCAACAAAAGGGAAGAGAAATGGTGGCCATACCGCGTGAACAACACACATCGCCTGTTGAACTTGCGCGTCGAACATCAGGTGATCATTTGAGGAACAGTGCATCTTGCCACTGGACTTTGTGAACACCTTCGATCCGTAACTTCCCGCAACTTCCTAGACTCGATATCGTGTGTTATGGCGATACAGCCAGAAACAACCTTCTGCAAAGCTGCAGCTCTGCGCGGATGTTCACCTATCTCCGTGCTCTGCACCGGCGCAAATTTCATAGCTCGAGCCGGCGCCAGCTGACTGACAGTCGGTGGTGACCCATCCGCTACAGGGTTCCAGAAAGCCACCATCGCCCAACAAATCTGTAGATGCCGAAGTAAAGGGGGTTTATTCCGGACTAGGTATAGCAAGTAGCAGAGGAGAGCAAGTGGCCGGCCATCGGCCTGGGTACGAGGAAGCCTTCCTGACTCGGGTCGTAGAGACATCGGCTATGCTCTATTCGGGCCGGTGCAGACGCAGACGACGAGGCGGATGGTGTTGGCGGCCCTGGTATATACCTTAAAGGTGAAGTCAAACCCCGTGTCCTTGGGTGTGAGGAAGGTCCTGTCCGTCGTCACGCTATCGTTCACCACCTCGTCGAAGGATCCAGTCGAACGTGAAGAAGGGGGCTGCGGCTGCACAGGTTGCAACGATCCGAACTCTGAGAACGGATCATCGCTGCGAGAGCGGGTGGCCTATAGCCAAGATCCCCAAAAATTGGAGAACTCGTCTGTTGTCAAAGTCGACAGCTTCACAAGCAGGAGAGGCGAGCCAGAAGCCAACGCCTGGGATGAAGATTATATCCGCAGATGCTGCGTCGGCGTCGATTGTCTGGAAGCAGCGGCAGGGGGGGTCGAGGACGGGACCGACGGCTACGAAGGCGGAGCACGCGGCGGCGCCAATACCGGCGGTAGCGCGCCATCCAGTCGCGAGCTCGTCAATGGTGGCGATAAGAGAGGCACTACCACCCACGTCCTGGAGGCAGGTCTGGACGCCGCGCTCTTGTTCGCCTGTGCCCTATACGAGTGTGGATATAATTCCGCCAGGACCACGCCGATGTGGGAGCGTCCGGCAAGCTTGCGGTCTCACCCCCAAGTGTCACGCTGAGGCGGGCGCGGGCGCACGGCGCCGGTGGTAACAACGGCGGAGGGGGCTTCGATGATGGGGCTTCTTGCATTGCCTGCTGCGTGATAGATGGAGTGTGGGAGCATGCCGGATCGTTGAGTGCACGTCGCACAGCGGAGACGGGAGTGGGAGTCTGCGAGGAACTCGAGGTCGTCGGATGACAACGTAAGCGAGTTCTTAGGGCTACCGGAACCCGCCGTACTGCATCTGCAGGATAATCTCCTCCCTAACAGACAGTGCTTGTACGCTATCTGGGTCGACTCGTAGCTCGAGCATATCAGCGTACGAAGCCGACCAACGTGTGGGCGCAGTCGGTAGTGAGGAAGTAGTTGGTCAGACGAACAGACATGACCATGACCAAGGCTCCGCTTAATTGCACAAATGCCGTATCAGAACGCAATGATTGAACACACAGTAGCGTACTTACAGACATTCAACGCCTTCCGAGTCCTGCGCCTGCTGTTTCTCTTCGTCCTTGTTCTCGGCATCCGAAGACGTAGGCTCCGCGCAAGCTTCTTCGCAATGCTCGCAAGAGTCCTCGAGCATCGCGACCATAACCGTAGGAGGTTACAAGTATTGAGCAGGGCTCGACTCGAATGATCAAGTGAGACGTAAGTACTGTTTACGATCCTAAACAGCCTTGCGCGTCAGCCTGCACCTGAGACTTGCCAATTGGGATCTCCTTGTAGATGCTCGCGCCCCAGGACAGATCGTGAGCCTGCGCTGTATATTTTCGAAGGGTTGAATCCAACAAATCCCAGTTCTAGAGGATCATGAAGCATGACGAAGCCCTTGAAGGTACCGCCAAGTGGCAGGCCTCCTCGCCACTGCCCATCCGCCGACTGTGGCTGAGAGATCGAGATCCAAGCCCCGATGCCGATTCCGCAGGACCGTGCCACACCGGCGTGCCAAATTTTGATGTCGACGTCGTCCTCTGCATCCAGTCTGCATCTCCAAGGCGTGCAGAGTGATGCTACTTGACTTGCTATTGATCTTTCAAGACTCTCGGATTCTAGTCCCTGGAACCTGAGGCTACACGCCATAGTTCGACTTGCTGTCTATAGTAGCCGGCCACTGATGTTGACCACCCCGCATCTGCTCTGACGTTTCGTCCAAACCGAAGATCGCCAACCTCAGAATCGACAGCTGAACGATTTCTATAATTGATAGGCACAACCCTTGATGTACTGTAGGAGAGGATATGCGAATCTGGCCCACGACGTGCGATGACGGTGGTACGTCGTTGAGACCGTCTTGTGGTAAGTGGCATTAACGCGTCGCATGCGCATACAATCACAGAATACGCTTTGGTGAGTAGCACCCTCGTAAATCAAGCATCGTGGCTCACGGAGGATGCGGTCGCGTCGTTCGCGTCACGCTTTATACGCTGCATTGCTTTGACATTCGCCATTCGCTTTGTCCGCCATTCTCCTTAACTCGGGTCCTCCGCCGGCATCCCCATTCAGGGGCTGACCCAGGGTATAAAGGCCACTTCGTCTTCGAACCAATCCCTGCATCCTGCTACCTCTCGCTTCCATTCAACATGTCTCGTCGCCACACAGCGTCGTCTGCCACTATTCCTACACTGTGTATACGGCGTTCTCTGCACGCGTTACCATTCCTCCTACCCATCGAGCATAGGCACCCTTAGGCCGTGCTACGAAACGAGGCGGCAGGAGTGCTCAGTGGCGCCGAATGCTGAACGTATGTCCCCTTTTATGCTGTCCATGCTGGAGCTGACACGGGATGGTGGTGAAGATCGACCAATGCGAGGCGCTAAGAGCATGGCGGGCTCGTCACGAAGCACACGTATCCCAGCTACGACGGAACGCTATGGCTATGACGAGACTCGCGCATACATCCTCGAGAAGCCGGACACGCAAGACCTGATACTCGCTCACCTGAAAGAGTTCATATGAATACGAGCACACACTGCCTCAAAATGCTCGAACCCGAAGGCATATCTATTCCATGATGCAGAGCAGGAGACACACCCCTCACGGACCATCGCGCGCTGAGGCGACTCCAGTGCATGTGCAGACCATTCCTGCCGGGTTGCGCCCTGGCACATTCGCCTCCTCGCAGTCTGCTCCCCCTGCTGCCCAGGGAGACGTGACTCCTACTGCCGAAGATGCTACCGTTCGCAGACCTCCGTGTCCTCGTGCGCCTCTGGCGTCCGCTCGCCCCGACAAATTGACTGAACCTGCAGCTGCTACCGTTCGGTGGTCGACTGATTATGCAACTCAAGGAAGAAGGCGGTCGCTCGACTGGTGCGTCTCGCGCGGGAGAGTCCTCCCGAGCGAAGCGTAATGGTCGTACGCTTGTACTTGTGGGAGGGCGTGTTGAGAGTCCAGGCATCATCAGCTATCCCGACGTCACGAAAGCGCTCCAAGGGGCCCCTACAGGTTCGCAATGCGATGGTGGGAGGTAGCTACTCCAGGCGGTGTGTTGCATTGTCTGTAGATAACCTCATCTCTCATCCTTCAGTCACACCACAGGCGTTACCGCTTTTCCAAGGCAAGAGTGGGCTAGGTGATGCGCGAGACCTAGACATTCAATAGGGGTCGCGGTTGTCTGCGCGATCTGACCGAACTAGAGCATGGCGCACACACATAGGCTAGGATCGATGTAACGAAGAAGCGTACGGCGATTCACTGTCCTCACGCATCGCAGTGCGGTCGCATAGCTATTCACTGCACGTTTGGCAGTCACACGATAAGCTTCGTCAGGCCTCCGGTCTTTGTGTACGGGCGCGTGTAAGTAAGTAGAGTCACGACAGTCGATCATCATCGACATCAAGCCCCCGTTTTCACCGTTCTGAGCGCTGAGCGCAGGATCCGACATCCAGTCTCGGCTGACGATGTCCTCGAGCAAGACAACTGTCCCGCCCTCGAAACATACCAGCGAAGCTCTAGTTTCTTGCCTATGGTTGCACGAGTCTTGTCCGCGTCGCGTTGCTTGTCGAGGACGAGGCGCATTCGATTGATGAGCGCGCGTTCGCCGACGCCCAGCGCGTCGCTGAGGTACTAAATTTTGGTGCAACCACATACACCCTGGCGACCGAGGTCTGGCCGACGTTCTTGATACCGTACTGCTCTGCGGAATCGACAGGCGCACCACAGTACACCCAGCGCTGCCTGGTTCTCATTCGAGCGGTGTGTCTCCAGGTGCCGCCGAATGTCCGACTTGCGCCGCGCGGAAGGCGGCATGTACTTGCACCCGGGGGCGGGGCACCGGAAGGCGCCGTCGGTGTAGGTGAATGAGGTATTAGCCGGGTCCAGAGAGGATTGGACGTTGCGCAGCGTGCCGGGGAGAACGAAGTCCTGGTAGGTCTCGCTGGATAGGGAGGACGCGCGGTTTCGAGAGGGGGAGCCGTGGCGCATGCGGGGTGAGGGAGAGGGATAAGGAGAGTGTCGACCCCCTGTCTGCTCGTCAAAAGCAGCCTCTGAAAGACGGGCTCGCTTTTGGAAGCTACTCAAGACCCTGTTTCATCTACCACGTACCATTTACTTCACCTCACATCAAGCACCCGCGCCATACAGAGCTCTGCGAACCCTTCTTGCTTCTTACCTCCACTGTCGACATTTTTCCCACGGTCCCGACCTCCTAAGGGGTGAGGCAGACGGACGTGTGGACGACCTAAGGAGCTATATAGACTCTCTAAGGCAATAAGACTAGTACTCCCTGAGTGACTAGTCCTACTCGATGTCGCAGACATCGAAGAAAACACCGGTGTCGAAGGACTCCAAGTCGGCAGGGACACGTAGCGCCAGCCTCCGGCCAGGCGGCTCGCCAGCTAAGTTCGACGACTCGCCGGACATGATTAGCAGCAGGAAGAAAGTGGACACGTACGAGAAGGCCTACGCCTTGCTCCGTAGCAGAGACTGGATACCAGAGGAGGATCGCCCGAGCCTAGATTCGATGACGAGCGGCCTACTTCACCTTGCTGGGCACGCATCGGCACCGGTACGGGAGGCCCTCTGCGCTTTCGCGACCTATGCCAAATCCATCTCGGACGACCAAACCTCCAACGCCCTGCTTGCGAAACTCGGACCGACGATCGACAAGATAGCGGTAGCCACGCGAACCTGGTCGGAGGAAGTCGAGGATGAGGATCAGCGAAAGGCAACGGAATTAGAAGGGGTGATGGGCAGACTGGTGACCGAGGTGAGCAAGTTATCAGACAGTCAATCCCGTCTTGCGAAGGAGATGGAATCCATGGGGAGAATGCGTACGGAGTTCGAGGAGGTGATGCAGAAGGCGGCGACAGCGGCGGCTGCAGCACCTCCACCGGCGGACCATCGCCAGTGGGGCGAACCGCCGGAGGATGGAGAGATACGGGGGAGTGACCCGAGACGGTCATACGCGGATATGGCGCGTCGCCAACTCCCTAGGGAGCACGCGCCGACGATTGCGCGACAGGAGCGGAATGCTCGCCAGGTACTCGTGGACGTGAAGTCCCGGGCGGATGCCGAGGGCAACCCCCTCACAGAACAAGAGCTGGTCGAGAAAGCGAACCGCGCGCTCGAGCTCATGACGAAGGACCCGGCAACGTTCCCTGAAGGGGAACGTTTCGTCGCGGTGAGCAAACTCAAGGAGGGTGGCCTCCTGTATGAGACGTCGAACGCGAGCATGGCCAAGTGGCTTCTAAAGACGGATAACATGACCGCGTTCACGAAGGGTTTTGGCTACGAGGCTGTGATCCGAGAGAGGGGCTACCTCGTCTTCTTCCGTAACGTTCCAGCGTACTTCCAACCCAGCGAGCAGGCGTATCGCGCGCTTGAAAGGGAGAACGATTGGGCCAGCCGGAGTCTAATGACTTGTCACTGGATTAAGCCAGTCGACAAGCGCAAGCAGGGGCAGATGACGGCCCACATGTTGGCCAAGTTCCGTACGCTCAAAGCAGCGAATGCGGCGTTGATATATGGGGCAACGGTCTTGGGTCGCAAGATCAAGACCGAGAAGCAACCCAAGGAGGCACGACGCTGCCTCAAGTGTCAGAAGTACGAGCCTAACCATCTCGCGGCACACTGTCGCGGCGATGAGACCTGTGGAACCTGCGCTTCGACTGAGCACAAGACACAGGAATGCACGGCCACTCCAGTGGAGTGGAAGTGCGTAAACTGTGACGAGAATCACAACAGCCATGCGTCCTGGGACAGGCTGTGCCCGACGTTCATTCGGGCTAGCCAGAGGCTGCAGCAGGCTGACCCGACGAGTAAATACCGCCTCTTCCCCGACCTAGAGGACCCGACTACGTGGGAACTCCGTACCGAAATGGCTGACTGGGAGGCCTTTGCTGCGGCAACGGCACCTCGGCCAGCCAGATATCCCCCGCCTGGAGGACCACCACCCTCTCAAGGCGTGGTGTCTGATGACTGGTACCGGAACATGGCAGATGCCCGCGATCCTCCCGGATTGGAACGCCAGAGGTCACCAGACCGACGCGGACGAGGACGACGCCCTGCGTTCTCGTCTGCTAACATGGTCCCCGTTGCTACTGACCGCTCGCGCCCACAGACGCGCGACTTCCGCGACTCCAGTGGGAGACGGCAGACGACGTTGACAAAAGAAGGCGGATTTGGACGGCGTTCACCATCAGCGGCACGACCCAGGCCTCGGCAGTCAAATAGTAGCCAGGAACTATGGGACCACTATGATGAATGACAACGCCAAGACCTTGAAGATCTGCCAGCTGAATGTCAACAAGTCGAACACCGCGCAATCCGCCCTCCTCCACAGCATCGCCGACTTCGACATCGTCGCTCTTCAGGAACCACACATCGACTTCCTGAAGAACACACGAGCGTCGCAAAATTGGATCGTTATCTACCCCACCGGACACAAGGACAACGAGGCTACGTCCCGCTCGTTGACCCTCGTTAACAAACGTGTATCCACTAACAGCTGGACAGCGATCCCAGTCCCTTCCCCGGACATCACTGCTCTCACGCTGCGCACCCCCACCACGCTCCTCCATTTGTTCAACATCTACAACCCGCAGGACAACGACCTTGTCCAGGCGCGTCTGGCTCGTGAGACAAGGCGACTACTCCGGGACGATGACGAAGAGGACGCCCAAGTCGTATGGCTGGGCGACTTCAACCGACATCACCCGCTGTGGGACGACGAGCGCAACATGCACCTCTTCACGGACCAAAACCTGAACCGTGCGGAGGAGTTGATCAAATTGCTGAGTGCTTTTGATCTTCATATGCTCCTTCCCGAAGGGATCCCCACCCTAGAAGCTATGAATACTAAGAACCTCACTCGCCCAGATAATGTCTTCGCTTCCAAAGGCCTGGCCGACAGCCTCCTGGAATGCAGGACAGCTCTGGACCTCCGCCCACCCGCCACCGACCACTTTCCCGTGGTGACCACTCTCCAGTTGGATCTCCCGCATTCCACGCCAAGGACGTTTCGGAACTTCCGCAAGGTCGAATGGCCCGAGTTCCGGACGAAGCTGGTGCTCCGCCTGCAGGATCTCCCAGACGTTGAGAAGGGGATACCCACGAAGGAGAGTTTTAACGTGATCCTTGATGCCCTAATGAATGCGCTCACCGAGACGATCGAAGAGACCGTACCGGAAACGAAGCCGCCTCCCTTCGCCAAGCGATGGTACTCCAAGGAGCTCAACAACCTGCGCCGGGAGGTAGGGCGACTCGGACGACGAGCCTGGAAGTTACGGGAGTTCCCGGACCACCCCATCCACCGGGAATACCGGTCCCTCCGCAACCGCTACGGTGACCAGATCCGGTCGGCCAAGCGTGCGCACTGGGACGCGTGGTTGGAAGAAGCGGACACACGTTCAGTCTGGACGGTTGGCAAGTACATCCGCGCAGGATCGTCGGACGGCAGCAAGAGCAGGGTACCCGCTCTCCGTCGCCCGGGCAGCACCGTGCTCGAACAGGAGAATGAAGCCAAGAGCAAGATCTTGTATGAAACCTTCTTCCCGCAGCCCCCTCCCGACATCGAGCCACCCGACGACAATCCCTTCCCACCAAACGCGTTTGAGTTTGCGCACGTCACGAACGAGCAAATCCACGACGCATGCCACCGTCTGAAGGAGTTCAAAGCATCGGGACCCGACGGGGTCCCAAACGAGGTCTACAAAAGGTGCGCAGATCTACTCGTGCCAATTCTGGGTCCGCTTTTCCGTGCCACGTTCGACTTGCAATACTACCCGGATCGGTGGAAACACTCGATCACGGTGGTCCTGCGAAAACCAGGGCGCAGCGATTACTCTATCGCCAAGTCTTACCGCCCCATCGCGCTCATGAATTGCATGGGCAAGATCCTCTCATCGTGCGTGACAGAGATGGTCGAGTTCGAACTCGAGAAGCTCGGGTTGCTACCCAAGCACCACTTCGGTGGCCGAGCCGGTCGTACAACGACCGATTCTCTACACCTGCTCACGAAAACTGTCTACGATGCGTGGCGAACCAAGAAGGTTGCCTCCATACTCTTCCTAGATGTGGAGGCAGCCTTCCCGAGTGCGATCCCTGAACGCCTGTTCCACGAGATGCGCAGACTAGGCATACCAGAGACGATCGTGGGATGGCTGCGCCGCAAGCTCCATGGCAGACGAACAAAGTTGTCATTTGACGATTTCGTATCAGAGCTGTTTGTGATCTTGAGCGGCATCGACCAAGGATGCCCGCTCTCAGTGCTTCTTTACAAAATCTACAACTTGGTGCTACTCGAGTGCGCAAACGCGCAGAACGGCGAGATGGCGCTGGGGTTCATTGACGACGTGGCAGCTGTCGCAATCGGGAAGACTCTCGAAAGCACCACAGCGGCGCTCAAGAGCTACATGGAGCGCCGCGGTGGTGCAAAGCACTGGTCCCGCACAAGGAACTCTCGCTTCGAAATCTCGAAGCTCAACCTTGTACACGCGGACCCTAGTCTTGGGGCAAACGACATGGGACCCTCCTCTAGCCCTCTCAGATGGAACTGTCCAACCCACGGACGCTGCAAAGTTCCTGGGAGTCTGGATTGATCGGAAGCTCAGCTTCAAGAGACAAGCTGAGTACGCCCTGAAGAAGGGTACGACTTGGTTGATGCAGTTTGGACGGCTGGCACGCCCGAAGGGCGGAATATCACTACGCCATGTCAAGTCCTTGTACCAGCAGATGTTGTTACCGGGCATGCTCTACGCGGCGAGCGTATGGATCACTCCACAGAGAGCGATAGAGAACCGACAGCGGCTGTACGGCTCAGTTGGAGTCATACGCAAACTGGCAAGGGTGCACCGCCAGGCCTGCATCATGATGACTGGAGCGATGAGAACGACCGCAACAGACGTGATGGAAGCGCACCTGAATCTTCTCCCCTTCCACCTCCTTGTCGATAAAATGATAATGCGCGAAATTTCTAGACTATGCACCCTCCCCCCGACGCACCCACTCCATTGCCATGTCAAACAGGCCGCAGCAAGATATGTACAACGGCATCGGAGTCCCTTACACGAGACCCTCGAAGCCTATAAGCTGCGACCTACGGAGATCGAGACCATCGACGCTGTCCGGCTCCCGCCGGGATGGCGTCCCCCCTTCAACGTCTCCATGGCGGAGAACAAGGACGCGGCCCTGGAGGAGGAGGAGAAATGGGCGTACAAACCGGGACCCCACGTGTACACGGATGGATCAGACGTTGACGGAGGCGTAGGAGCGGCGGCGGTCCTTCTCCGCCCAGGACAACAGCCCAAGGTCCTACGATACCACCTAGGAAGTGCGAAACACCACACCGTTTACGAGGCCGAGATCGTCGGACTGGTGCTTGGAGTCACCCTCATCGCTCGCGAGCTCAGCGCCAGAGTCGCATCCTGCGCAGCCGACAACACAGCCTGCCTCCAGGCTTCTAAGAACCGTAAACCGCACCCAGGACACTACCTTATCGACAAGCTCCTCCGCGAAGTCGACAACCTCCACCGACGTCACCCCGGCATCAAGTTCACGCTGCGCTGGGTCCCGGGACACAAGGGCGTAGAGGGGAATGAGATGGCAGACGAAGAAGCGAAGAGAGCGGCGAGAGGAGAAGGGAGCGCAGCAGCCCAGCTGCCTAGATGGCTGAGGGCCAGCCTGCCAATCAGCTTGGCGAAGGTACGCCAAACGTTCAACGAGGAACTAGGCGAGAAGGCGAGAGCGGAGTGGAGAACCTCCCCCAGGACGGAACGCATGGACAGAGTCGATCCCGACTTACCCTCGCGGAAATACGGGAAGCTCGTCGAGAGGCTGCCGAGACGTCACGCGAGCATCCTCTTCCAGCTGCGGACAGAGCACGCACCACTGCAGCAGCATCTCCACCGTATTAAGAAGGTCGACTCACCCACCTGCCCGAACTGCGACACAGCACGCGAATCAGTTTACCACTACCTGCTTGAGTGCCCGGCGCACGACGACCAACGCGCGAGGCTAGCGCACGACCTTGGACCCGCCGTTGCGGGGTCGGTCCGCCACCTTCTGACCGAGCCGAAGGCGTTGAGCCCACTGTTCCGCTACATCCACGCTACAGGCCGCTTCGCGGCGACGTACGGCGAGCTCACGCTACGAGACAGCGAACGGAAATGATCGCCTACGGCGATCGACTACTACGACGCACACACCACCTACTATACCCTGTCTCATACTGTACTAATATCCCCTATCTCGACGGTGCTCGAGCATACTCAGTGATTCATTAGACAACCAACGGACTCTACACTACGTACATCTTATGTCTACATAGGGCTACGCCCTCAGTGACAATAAAGGGAACAAACAAACAAAAACAAACAAGGAGAGTGTCGGTTTTTATTGCGCTTGGGAAAGCGCGAAGGGGCGACTGCTCAACGACTAGGGACGGCGCTAGGCTGTCGTCGGCGTGAACCGAGGGGCGGTTGTCGAGGCCGTCCGACTGAATGGGTTCCCCCGTGTCCGACTCTGGGTAGCATAGAGAAGGTACCGGACTGCACATGAAGGGTGAGTTGTACGTGGATGCCACTAGGCTGGCAGCGTGAACGGGCTCCTCGGAGCGCAGGGGCTCTGGGTAGCACACCGGACTGACGTACTGTACGTCCAACGAACCCATGGATGATGCGGGGCTGGTGGGGTGCATGGATCCCTCTGAGGGAAGTGACTCTGGGTAGCAGAGGGAGGGAAGTGGGCTATGGAACGCGTCCACCGCGTTCATGGATGTTGTTGGGCTGCTAGATTGGTGCCGAGATGAGTTGGCTGAGGAGGAGGGGTAGCAGAGGGACGGGATTGGGCTAACCGCGTGAACGCTACGCGGAACCGATGAGGGGCTGGTGGTCGCCAACGGCGCGCTCGCGTTCGGTGCCGGGCCTACCGTGGAGACCTCGATGGGTGCGGGCTCGTCGATGGCCGACTCGATGATGTGCAGGAAGAAAACGGGACTTGCGAGGTATGAGTCGATTTCTTGCAAGCGCTTCTCAGCCAGTTCTGGTGCAGCCAAAGAGGTGCTCGGTAACAGGGTCGCGCTGGGATCGTCGGCGAGGAACTTGGTGTCACTGCAGACGAGGAATTCACAATGAGGGAGAGAGTCAAGTGCAATAGACGACGTACAAGTTGAATAGTGAAGGCGAATCAAAGCTCAGACCGAGCATGTCGAGGCTGGAGGGGAATATCTGGAGGAAGTGTGAGCCATCACACGATGCTATGCATGTAAGGCTACGTACCTGAGTTGGATCAAAGAGCCTCTCGATGGAGGGTACTTCCAGGAGTCTCTGGAAGAGCCGATGCGTGAGCAAAGCACGCTGTAGATGAAGACTCAATACATACCTTCATCTGCCGCGATAACAAGCGAGGAGAATCCGTATGATCGAAGAGCTCGCCTCTGAATCTCCATGGGCGATCGTGCCCAGAAGCTTACGCTCTTCCCAGCACTCCTCAGTCACGCCCGATCCGCGGTTCCAAACGCGAAGGATCGACGCATATGGCCGTCCAAAGTATCGGCTGATGCTCGTTCTCGGTTGCTCTACATCGATGAACTCGTTGAGTCTGCACCGTGGCGCATGCGGTATCTCTGGACGACCCAGGGCTCTTGCAGCGCACGTTGCCTGGTTCGTCGGCGTGAGTGGCGATCAGAGTGGGCAAACTGAACAGGGCTCACCATAAGTCCGAAGAGTCGGCGCCTTTATGCTCGCACATCGCAGAGCTTAAGAGCCTCCGGCCGCACTTTGTGGCGTGCGGACAGTCTGTGACACATGACGTGCACGACTCATGATCGAATCGCCATCGGAGGGGCTGGACGGCGAGCTGGTGGTTGTGTCGTCGCGCTCCGAGGGCTGCGGCGCGGGCGATGTGGCGGTGAACCGTCTCATGGACGGGTGGCGGGGTGGTTAGGAGGAATGGTAACGCACTCGTAGAGAGTGGCTGTAGCTGCAGCGTGAATCGATGCATCGCAGGAAGGTCGTATGTGTGGGTGTTGCTTGGCTTAAAGTCGCTGTGTACGCAGGTATTTATACGCGGGCAAGCCTGAGGCCCGCCTTGTGTCTGTGGCCAAAGCGCCACGGCGTGGCAACAAGCGTGGCTTTGTGTGCGGATGATCCGCGTTGGCCACCTCTTGGCACACTGACCAAGCTGTTCTCCGCTGTTCTCCGTTCCTGGCCGTTGTAAGGGGCAACATGACGCTGGATGGTATTGTCAGCCAAATCGGGCAAACGTCAATAGGGAGACTACAGCACCGATTGGATCCACGCATTTTCCCGGGAGATACCGCTGCGCCCATCATCTTGCAGCTGACTACGGCGACACTGTGCATGCCCGGTGATTCGCTTTCGCTATGTGATCTGTAGATGATCTCCGATCTCAGCTATGAACATGCGTCTCTAGTCCTACAGTCACCGTGACATACTTAGAGACGAAGAATGAGTGGCGCACACTTCGCTCCCTGACGCACCGGCGTGCAGCAGCGAGGCCACAGATTTAGGACTTGTTGTTGGACGTAGGCCAACTCTTGAGTATAAGCACCGTGGCGCCATCGGCCTAGATTCCACGTCTGTTTAATACGCTGACTGTCCACTTCTGTGGAACCATTTTTCGGATTGTGTCTCGCGTCTTCCAGAGAGGCATCACACTAAGGGAGGCCTCCTCAAAGCGGCGGCGAAGCTGCTGCTCTATGCATGAGTATCCTTGCTTGTTATCGCGAAGTTTTGTGCTTACGTCTAGATCGTCTAGATCAGCATGCAGCGCGACAGGTATCCGGAGTACCGCAATGTCTCGAGATCGAAACACGTGTTCAAGAACGTTGCAGTGCTTTCGAAGTAACACAGTCGATGCGCCATTTGTTTGTCAACTTGCGTAGGCCTCCGAAACCTAAAGTTCTGCGTGGGTTGCGAAGACAATCAGAAAGTATGCGGGCGATCCACGAGAGAGTAGATATCGCAGTCAGTGAAGGTCAAAAGAACGCTGGCCACTGGCAGCGCTGGGCCGCGTCACGGCCGCAGTGGCCGCCACGACGCGTCTGCGGCTGTACAGCGCACGCGACCCCTTACTACTGATGAGTTGTTAGATCCTCAGCGTCATGCGTTATTTCTGCATTCGTTGACGCAGTGATTGAAAGTATCGAAGAGCTAGTTTGACGTAGTCGAGGTTCGACAAAGTACACATCGACACCGCGCGTGCACCACGGTCGGACTCGCTAGATCGGGGACCGATCTCTCAGCCACAGACGCGGCACCATTCGACTGGACGCGCGCGTTTCCGACGAACTAGTGCGCCGTGTTCTACACCCCGAACGACGCAGGCCTCGCGACCCCCGTGCTCATCGTAGGAGGACTCTCCCAGATGTGCCACGCAGGTCGGGAGACCGCTCGTCTAGACCGAACTAGGACCTGGCGGGATGGTGTACGGAGGGTTATTCACTCGTGTCCCCTCAGTGAACGTCGTCATCAACCTGTGGGCCGCACTTTACTGGCAAGAAGCATCATGGCGGGGATTTCCATGCCACTGAGCCTATGGGATAGCGCGTGTGGGCTCTGACCTTCGTCACGGTGAGTGCTTTGTGCAATCTCAAACTGGTGATGTCCCGCTGACGACAATGAGTACGTCCTCTCTGTCGATCTCTGTGCATCGTTCCCTATTACGGCAATGAGACACTGTGACAGGCAGAGACGGGCGAGACTACTCACACAGGTGCGGCATACGAGCATCATTCCTCGCTGGCCGAGGTTCACGTTGGCATTTCCGCTGCGCAATGGTCGCGCGGTCGCACTGGATGCATGCCTTCTCTCCAGCTTCGGCCGTCGATATCTTCACCACCTTCAACGCAGTCAAGGCGTGCTCGACTGCTTTGTCTTCTGGAGCCACACTAACGTGGGCCGCATCAACTTCGTCTTGCCTTCTTTTTCAGAGGGCTGAACTCTTTGGAGAGCCATTGCTCTCGCGGCGGCGCGCCTGTTTTATGTGTGGCATGGCCGCCGATATCTTTGATATGCGCTTCGACAGTGAGTCAGTCAACTTGATGTCCATGACTGCAAGTGCGAAATCGCCCTCGTCTCGGCGAGTACTCACGTATCGATGCAGCCCAGCACCGCATCATCAGAAGCCCCTGGAGTCTGTAGTGCCCCAGGATCGCCCTGTAGCTGTCACGACGTTGGATCCGCGGAGTGGTTAGGAGGAATGGTAACGCGCGCGAGTGACACGCGGTACGTCTGGAAGACTGATGACCGTAGCGTGCTTGCATGGCAGGTTGCAGTAAGGTGAGTGTAGGTCGTGAGGCGTGGGTGTGTTGATAGGGGATATGCGGACAAAGGCTCTATTTATATTTCGAGTCGGCCACACCAGGGCACAGGGCACAGACCGCGTAGCGAAGGTGGCCATACTTACACAAAGTGGGGATCGGCGCGTCATGTATCAAAGCCACCGCCACTCCATATTCGGACGAAGTGCGTGGCAACGAAACTAGGACTGCATTTGGACGGTCGCTTGTGCAACGTGCCCAATAACACCCTTTCGTCCAATTGGCGTATCCTTCTAGCCCTGCGGCAGCCCAATTAGTCTATCTATAGGCTCGCTTATAGTCGGACAAAGACGCTTTTAGCCAGTGTGTGAGGTCTTGCGTGTCCAACATCTTGTTTTGCACCCGATTTGGCTGACAATGCTCGTAGCGCTGTTGTTCCCTTCCTTACCGGTCTTTGGCCACACCCGATTATCGGCGCGTCAGGAGATGTGGCCCGTACATGCCCCCTTTTCACAAAGCGACACTCGTTGCCACTCTTTGATGTGCTATTCCCGGATGACCGGAGAACAACGGGCAGCTGCCGTCCTACCAGGTATAAATACCCTGGACATCTCAACGACTGGGGCAACACCGCTCAAAAGTCCCCCGATGTCTCGTCTCAGACCACCACCCCGTTCAGACATTATGTCGTTACCATTCCTCCTACACCATCCTGATCATGAACCATCCAAGGGACACCACCTCTTGGGATGGTACGTTCACTGCCGCTGGTGAGCGTACTCAGCGCGAACATCCCCTTACAGCGCGTGAGCTCGGCGACCGACTTCGATGGCTTGGACGCGGAGCTCTTCGTCATGGACGATACCGAGTGCGACTCCGGGGCCCTTGACACTGACCCCCGTACACCATGTCGCTGACCGAGGACTCTGTTCTGGGAAGGGCGTACCTCGCTGTGGGAGCTGGTGTCGTTCCCTCATGCCTACCGAGGAGCACCAGCCGTCGTTCTGCGTCCTGCGACGCTTCGCACTCGCGCAAACACCACCCGTACGCACAGACCATCCGGAAACGCGTCTCCTCGACGTCGTCGTCCAGCACGCGCGTCTTCGAAACATGGCAGCAGCAGGGGAAGCCGCGCAACATCCAGTCCGCAGTCGACGAATCCCATTTCGACCTCGACGACTCGGACGACAGCATCCTCTTGTGTCCCAGACTCTCTCAATGAGTCGGTATGTTACCATCTACATACCCCCCAGTGCCGTAACTGATGTATCCTCCCCTCAGATGCTTGATATGCGCAAAGCACTATTCTTCCGCGATGTGGTGGAATCTGTGGTCACGGTGCCCTCATTTGAGGAGGCCGTAGGTACCGACGACTCCAGCAGCTCAGCTGGAGCTCCACCCGATCCCCTCATCGCGCCCCATCCCTGCCGCATCGCCCTCCCTTCCTTCTTCCCCAGGAGTCGGTCTTCCACCTTCACGGTACCCCGTTAGAGCCGCAGGCCCGCACTGTCAACCTCGTCGACATCTTCGAAGTTGACGCTTTCTATGGGACCTCGGAGTCGTTCTCATCTTGCATTTTGGCACCCGCTATATCAACTACAGGCACGCGCAAGTTGCGCCTACAGCCATTCGAGAGCAGTGTGTACCATTTAGCGATGCGGGGCGGTGCTCTTGGGTTCTCGCTATCGGAACCCTGACACTGTCTCAAGAACCCGTGTACGACGTCACACCGGAGAGCATCGCCCACGCAGGAAATTGGAGATGCAAAACATATCGTAAGTCCTCGACGATCATTGCTCCATGTCGCCCTCTTAATGTGACAATTCTAGGAACATACTGCATAGAGATCCCTCGTATCCTGCACTGCGAACGTTACACGCGGCGGGTGACGACGGCGTGCCGGGTGGATGATATGCGCCATCCTTTGCTGGGATGCTACTAGAGCGTGACAGTTGTCCCGCTCCTGGGCATAGCCAGCAGAGAGTGGTTCGCGTGCTAGCTACCTATAAGTTTATTACTGTAAAGACACAAGGCGTATGACGGGTAGCCACCGGCGACCGGCGAACATTTACGTCTCCCACGCCACAGACGCGTCTTTGTCACCGTCTGTTAACATCTCCTGGTACGTGCGGGACGTGTACCTGCATGTTGTTTTGGAGTGACTGTCGCGCAAAGTACGACCCGCGGTTATGAGGAATGGTGACGCGCACGGAAGAAGCGAGGTGAGTGACGGCGAGAGAGGAGGTATCCGCATCGAGTTGCTGCAGAGAAAGCGCGGTGACATTCTGAGAGACGGAGGAAGAACAATTCGATGTCGTAGAGAGAGGAAGACAGGAGTAGGGGTGTTTACACCCAGGGAGGCTGTGGGCATGCGCCTGAGAGACAAAAAGAGTGGCGGGTGTCAATGATGCAACGCTCACCTCGCACGAACGTACGGCTAGTGGTAGGTTGGTGAGCGCATCACGTCAGCGTCGCGCAAAAAGAAAGGCACACCGAGATAGACAAAGTTGCACTCAGCGGGACCAGATTGCAGACCCCGGAGGAGGCCCTTCCACTCGCTAGGCAGCCTTTGGACTGGGACAGGGCCCACGCTGCTGAAACCGGTGAGCAGCTCGTTCCGGATGCCTAGAGAGCGCGCGTACAATCTAGAGGTAGAGGCATTACAGCGGGCTTGCCATGACTGCTATAGACTTACTGTAATGGAGAGGATCACCGTTGGACCACCGTTGGTCAGTCGGCGGCGGGACACTGGGCGCCACAGATCGGGACACGATCTGTCAGCCACAGACGCGTCGTCCACGCGTCGTCCCTTCCCGCCGCCACGCAGCTCGCCTCATATCCCTTTCCACTTGCCCGCCCGCACAGTTCATCGTCTCTTGTCGTACACTGAGCTACGATGGTGGACGCGGTATCCGCTCGAACAGTCGCCAAAGAACGCACCTCACGACCCGCATGCCCGTCGCAGAAGAACCTACCCACCGTCACGGTCGTAGCTGGTTGCGAGGTGGAATAGTCACTGATCTCGCTAGCAGTGGCAGTGCAGCCAGTACAGTACCCAAGAAATCCTACTGGTACAGCGGTACTACCCATATGAGATCAAGACTGCTTCATATATGCACGCGATGGACCTGATCGCAATTGGTGAGTCGATTTCATCTTGATCGCTTCTGCTGCGTCAGTAACAGCTTCGCTGGCAACTGGCTCGACGAAGTACCGAGCGGCGTTCGCCCATTCAGGACATCCGCATACTGAATTGAGTGGCTGTTCTATCAAGCCTCTTTGCAGCATCGTCACGGTACAGTCGTGACACGGTGGGGTGGGGTGATCGACATCGCCGAAGAGCGATGTAGTCGCGACGCAATCTCCCATCATATGGGTTCGGCTACCGCGGATGGATGTTCTCTAGATGTTCTCACTGCAGCAAGAGCATCGCAGCTGAGCATAGAGTGATAAGTCGTTCGTCAGTCTACATCACTGAAGCTTTGTTCTGACAATGGCTAGTTCAATTATCATTAGAGCGTGAAACCTGCCAGTTTGATCCCCTTTGGAGCAGCAGGCCACTCATACTTGACGACGAGTACATGCTACACATATGCAGCAGGCTGCGTCAGAAGAGCTTCCGTATCGCGAACCGCCATCATCGAAGTAGATCCAAATGCGATGATCTGTTGAGCACACTAATGTGAGCTGATGTGATGAAACCCGCACTAGATCTTCGAATCGTTGCTGTGATCCCAAGTACTTGCCACGGCCACGAATACCAGCGCATAAAAGGAGAGGTATGCCTACCGTATCCCTCAGCTCCTCTTCTTCTTTCGAGCTTACCGAGTAGGTTGCCGGCAAGTAAGTGTTCAACGTTCAGCGACGGTGGCAGTGTGAATATTGCACTTATCTCTTGGAACTCTCCAGCCTCGCTCTTTTTTTGACGATTCACGTTTATTCCGCCAAAATACATCGTAACGACCCAGCACTTACAAGACATCATGCGTTACTCTACGCTCACCTCTACTGTCCTTTTGGCGGTGGCAACAGCTCCCGCGCTCGCTCACCCGGTCACCATGTGAGCGCCTTCCTATTCCTCCTTTCTCATAGTTGACCATGCAAAATGTGACAGTCGTGCGACAGAGGATGCCTCCCTCATTGAGCGTGAGCTCCAAGGCGGACTGGTGGAGCGCGGCTACTACGACGACCTCCTCACTCGGGACCTTGAGGCGCGCAAAAACGCTGACGATGTTCATCAGAGTCATCCGTCAGCGAGCCAGGGTCACTCTGCGGGGACTTCCAACGGGGCAGCTCACCACTCACATATGCTTATGGCTTCGCTAGGCCGGCAGTCTGGGCCTATACACCACTATGTCTGGTACCCGGGGACTGCCCATGAATATCCACATCAGCGCCCTGGGTATAGGCCTCCTAATAGTTCGCCTCAGCACTCTGGGTCTAGGCCTAGTTCGCCACGCCCGCATCCACGGGAGTACGACCTCGGTGGCGAGTTGTTCATGTGAGCCTCTCGCTATTGATACCTATTTCATGGCTGAGTATGCAACAGTCGCACGGCCGAGGATGCCTCTATAGTCGAGCGTGAGCTCCAAGACGGACTGGTGGAGCGCGGCTACTACGACGATCTCCTCACTCGGGACCTAGAGGCGCGCAAATCCCCTGATGACTCTGCGGATAAGGCACGCGCCGCGAAAGTGGTTGCCAATATAAGGGCGGACCAGGCGCTTCGGCGCATGCGGACACAGACCCTTTCGCGGGCGGCGCGCGGGGGGTACTTGCACGTCGTGACTGCGCCGTCGCATCCTGTGCCGTATGAGACGCATCCTCTGATGCATCCTGCGCATATCGGTGGCTCGGGGCAGAACGGCGGCTCGGGGGCCCACGGAGCCCACGGCGGCTCGGGAGCCCACGGCGGCTCGGGAGCCCACGGCGGCTCGGGAGCCCATCCCCATCCCCGGGAGTATCAGCTCGACGGCGAGCTGTTCGAGCGTGGCTTCGAGGTAGACGAGCTTGACTGAGCGGACGTACTTGGCATGATTGTGCATCAGTAGAAGTCGGATTTTGCTAGCGGTTGCTAACGGTTGCTGACACGCTGACCGATGCTAACGCCAAAGCGTTAGAAACCGTCAGCGTGTCACTGAATGCTCACCTTCGTTAGTCGTTAGCAAAAAGGTGCACTTTGCTAACAGTTTGTGACGGCCACTGACACACTTACTGAAGCCTCACCCGATTGGCGTGTAGCAGGGCTTGTGTGATCACTGGTACACTGGCATATCGATTACATTCATTCTATCTATGTAGCTGTCTACTCTATAACCCGCATCGTCTGCACCAACCGCCTTCGCTGCCACCAATCGTCTGAACTGACGAGCTCGTTCCGGGCGCACCTCTCCCCTCCCCCAATGCATCCCCGCAACGCGTCCCAATCTGGACGCCGCCACCGTCACCGCCACCACTGCTGCGCCCGCCCCTCGTTGCCGCACCGCTGCGCGCGATGCGTCCCAATCCAGACGTTGCCACCGTGTCCACCGTCTCCGTCGCCACATCCCGCCTCCGCGTCCCCCGCCTTGCTGCCGCTGCGTCCGCCCCTCGTCGCCGTCCCCGCGCGTTGCCATCCCCGCGCGTCCTCCGTGTTCCTGTCACACTCAACGTGCCCAGGGGCACCAACACCACGTCGCCGCCAACAAGAGTGGCGCCTGCCCTGTGCCTGCTGCAGGCAGCGTAATCCGCCGCTGACCGCTGGAAGGATGGTGTGATGTCCTGCCCGGGTTCCTGCAATAGTTGCGTGAAGTTAGCACCGAGTCCCTCGACAGCCGTCTTGCTCAGGTATGTGAACTTCATCTGCCGGCCCTGCACACCAAGAATGAGGCCGACGCTGCCCTTGCGCACGTACCAGCCACTGCTCTGTTGCTCAATCTGTGGACATAGCATCTTCTGCACGCCGACCTGAGTGATGAGCCCAACGATTCCGCATAGGCACGCAATGACGAAGCAGAGAGCCATCTTCTCGCGCCATGCCTGGACCTTGTGTTGGTCGTCGAGTCCACCAATGGAGCTTAGTTCGCGAGTTCTTGTGCCACCGCCATATCGTCGCGCTGTAGTACACACTGAGCACGTCGAGCACGTCACCTGCAACGGAAAAGCGCATCAGGGGCACGTTGGTGGCGCAAATGCTGACAGTCGCTGTGCTCACCATTGAAGTCTATCTTTCTGTCAAAGTATGTGTTGCCAAAGTTGTTCAAGAACAGGGCGGGGAGCCGAAGGGAGGCAGCAGAGTGCATGTTGTCATGATTGAGGTTGCGAGGATCTGTGGCCGCGGGGTCAGGCTTTCGGCCGCGCTGCGTGAGAGGCAGGTCCTTGTCGCCGATGTTCGCGGGCATGTCGTCGTGGTTGGTCGTTGAGCGGGTCGCGGGACGGCTGCATTTGAGGGCGTTGTCCTTGAAATCAGCAGAAGGCTTCAAGTCGGGCTTCTTCACGTCGATAGAGGACGCGGTCGGTGGCGCGGGCTGGTCGACACTGAAGGTGAACTGCATGCGATGAATTGTCCCGAGCCTACCGTTTTGATTCGCCTCGCGCTCACGCTCCCTCTTGGCAGCGCGCTGTTGAAGGAGCTCTGTCGAGGGGTACGCTAGAAGCCCGGGCCGCCGTGGTTGACGATGGGCGGCATGATGATGCGCTTGACGAGCCAAGGCACACCGAGGACGAGAGCGGCGAGGACGACATCACTGAAGGAGCCTCTGCCCTCAGCGAGGCCGACGAGAGGGGTGTTCTTGTTCTTGATGGCGGGCGTGCCCGTCTTGGTGACTGACCGATGACTGACGACCGGCCGTGCGAGCGCTCCCGCAGTTTAGGGCAAGCACAGGTCACACTTGACATGAGTGCGTCGCGCCCACACTGACAGCTGAGCAGTTCCCTCGAAGTGCAACACAGGATGGCCCAGTCATTATCCACATGCTCGAGTTGAAGATATAACTTACCCTCGCTGTCTACACACGACCATCTCCGAGTCGCCGCCATCGTGATCGAACCCCCGGACCCGCTTGACTTCGAGTCGAAGCTGCACGCCCTCTCGCGCAGCATTTCCCTCGCCGCGCGGCCAATGTCCGCCACGCACTCCTTCCGGGCGCACTCCATGCACGCAACGAACCCCTCCGCAATCGACGTGCCGACGCCCTCGCACATCCCCTTCGCCGCGGGTAAGTCCGACCTGTACGCCTGCCGCAAGATCATCGAGCTCTACATGGGCGCGGAGATCTTCGAGAGCCACGCGGAGGCGACCCGCGGGGAGCGCACCATCGAGGACGCCGAGGCGCACATGGCGATGTTCCTCGAGCAGCTCGACGTGCGCGAGCTCGGGAGCGGGCGGCGCTTCGTGGTGAAGGAGAGCCACGGCGCACTGCAGGCGCTCCTCAGCCTGAACGCGTTCATCCTTGACCTCCGCAAGTTCCAGCACGCAACGGCAGAGGCGACTCTCGCGTCGATCTCCCGCCTCCTTCCCCTCGCTTGGATGGCCTACCAACATGATGTCAATGCAAGCCCTTAGCCGACTGCGAGGTCGTGTGCCTGCTCCGCACAGCGCAGCCACTCAGCCCTCGTTGACACAACAAGCAAAGACCGCCTTGCCCGGCATGCTGGCGTTCGACACGAAGACGGATGAGCCACCCGCGACGTGCAATACGGAGAACGGGCTCGGGCTCGTGCAAATGCACAATGCGAGGACCCGCCCGCTTGTGCGATTCGCGAGTATTGTCACGCCCGCCCCGGTGCGTAAGCTCGAAGCTCAGGCTGCCGCACAAGCCGTTGGAGTAAGTACTGGACTCGGAGCACCCAAAGGAGAACTTGAACCAGCCCATTGCGCACAGCTAGCCGCGAAGGCTTTAGCCAGCACACCGATGCGGGCCCAACAAGGAATACAGGGAGGCAGGATATCCCCGGTGAGTACGCTCACTCACTTCTCAACATGTTCACAGCTCACTTCTCAACATGTTCACAGCGCGCGTCCGTCCTCACAGCAATCGACATGCACACTTCCGAGCGTGCCCGCCCAGGCTTCCTGCCTCCACCTCTCTCGCGCCCGGACAGCCTCTCAATGCGTCAAGCCCCACAGCAAAGCCGCCCTCAGGACGATCGCAAGGTAGTTCAACTTCTCCCGGCACGTCGCAACCACCTGGCCCCAGCTGATGTGCCTCGGACGAGCGAAGAATGCTGCACTCTGCGCTCAAGGCGATGATGCCCAACTCCGATGAGGTCCCACGAGAAGCCGGATGGCGTGTTCGCATACCTGAGCAATGCACATACCTCGCCCCCTCGCCCCCGAGTCGCCGACCGCACGACCGCACTGCTCGAAGAACAGCGAGCCCGACCAGGCGTGAGGCACACGCGTGAGGCACGCGCGCAAGCCGCACCGAAGCTGGAACTGCACCGGCACACGCTACGGTTCAACAACCCCGGATATCCGCCTGGGGGCACCCCACAGCATGCGCAACTCGAGGAACCGTTCAGAGGGAGGAAGGAGGGATACTACCAACTACGGTGAGTATCCCGCTCGCTCCTTGCCCGTCTACGGTGAGTCCCTTGCACGCACGATCCTTTACCCACTTGCCTGCACGACCGCACGGACGCCCAGCGCAATTGTACATCTCCCCGCTGGGCCGCACGTTTGTACGCTCACCTACCCGCTCACTCTCGCACCGGTCGACTCAACTGCCAACCCAAAACCACGTAACCGCGTTACTCGTCGCCCGTACCCACTGTGGCGGGTCTATACCCGGGCGGGTGCGATTATTAGTAGTACATACAGTACTAGTATATACGATGTGTAGCATACATTGAAAATGAGACCTATTGCCAGAGCATTCAGCACGGAACCAGAGAATGGGAGCAGCAGCTGTGACGCTTGCTGATGGTTGTGTGAACTGTTATGGCTAAGTAACGACTATCTAACGACGCGATCGCCATATCTTCCCGACCTTCTAAAATGCGGCGAGTCTTGCTAACGTCTGACACGCTGACGCTATGTAAAATCGGAATTTTAGCAACTGTTACGGCCTGTCACAGCCCGTAACCGAAATCAGAGAAGTTCTGATGTGAGGCTATTACGTTTCCGCCTGTTGTACCCATCGGGTACATTGTTGCGTACTACTTGTGATGTCAATCGTAATCGTAACGTGAAGACTCAACTGCCAGTGATCATTAAATCCCCAAGCACGCACGACTGAGTGTTGTTCACGGTGCATGCAATGTCATTATGCAGGCCGAACATCCCGATAAGTAACGGTAAATGGCCCGGTGGGAGTGACCATGAGCATGGAGCTGGCGGAACGACAGGAACGTCTCTAGATGTGATTGACGACAGCCTGCGACGCGTCTTGTGCATGTAAGTACGTCGCTTCCTCTCTCCAGACATCGTATGTAGCTTCTTGCCAATGTCTAGCGACGCATCCGAATCACTCTTAGCGGCAGCATCTGCTTCCGAGATCTGAGGCCTGAGGCCTGAGGATCCAGCAAATGGAAATCTCGAACCGCTTCGGAGTGTCGATGCTTTTGTCTCGCTTACGGAACATGTGTTGGATTGTACGAATGTGTATGTTCCTTGAAGGGCGTCCAAGTAGCCTGGCTGACAGTGTCCGAGCAGAGTACGCGAAGAGTGCCATGACCCGGTGACCGGCGCGTTACTACTACTACTACTAGGAGACTCGGAAGCGGCGCACCATTGCACAAAGCGATATTCATCGTTACAGTAACGCCTCAGTATGCTTTGGCCTAAAGAGCACAAAGACACAGCCCTCCAAGCTATATAAACCCCGCACATCCTCAGCAGAACCAAGAACATTAATGCAACGCTCGCCGCACGATGTCTCGCCACAGACCACCACAGACCGCGGCCCGCCACACCGGCGCTCTCAGGTCAACTGCATCTTGTTACCATTCCTCCTACACCATCTCAACATGTCCGCCAGTTCTTTATGCCGTGATATGTGCATCATGCGACCGCCGCGGCATATTATAACCTAGCCCGTAGTATACAACGATCGGTCGCCTTCACGAATCGCGATGGGTGCTTTCGCTGGCACACGAGTGGCCGTGCTTGCCGCCACGAACGCAAGTTCATGCCCTAGGTATCCTGCGAAGTTACCGTTTGATCACGCGCAATATAAGTGCACCGCGCTCAGTCGAAGTTCTGGAGCTCGCAGAAGAAAGCGACTGTGAAGGTCTGCAGAGACCTGAAGGTTCAGCCTGAGCACAAGGACGCAACTCGTTACTGACACCTTCCACGCGTGAGTCGCTCGACGATGTCACTTTCATCATCGAGAGCGTTATATCCGTCTTCTATCTATAAAGCATAGGATGGCGCCGCAGCCGTGCCACGCAGAGTCCTATCCGATTGTAGATCGCGGAGCCAGTCATCGGTGCTATATGCGTGCAGAATCTGGGATCTCCGCCGCATCGCCACCACCACCGCCTGTGTACAGCACGAATGGATGTCGCACGGACGGACACGGCGACCTGCGTTAGCTAGGGGATGAAGTCACTCGCAACAGGAACACCATGGGGCCATTCTTCGCTAGGGTGTTCCGCGAGCAGGACGGTCGTCTTGCTTCAGGGTGTCCCTAACTGAGAGTTGTTGTGGTAAGAATCAATTCGGCGTTCTGAGACATAAGCCTCGAGACACCGTTGCGCGCGCGACCTATCATTACGTGCAGTTAACGTCTACCTTGCCGTAAGCATGACAGTCTTGCGCGAGGGAGGGAAGGAATCAGGTCGCACGACCGCCATGCTCTGCGCGAAAGGACTCTCCCGCACAAGGCATACCAGTCGAGCTCCCCAATCTGCGAAAACTGTATTATGGCCAAGTTCAAGTCGTTGGCCGATGGCATGAGGTCAGTCGGCACTATATCGTCGTCCAGGGTCCTGCGGAGCGTACATAGATATTTTCGACAGGGGAGCGCCCCTGGGGTTTGCGTTGTCTTCGTTCCTCGTGGCGCCGCAATTAGCAACAGCTTGGCAGCGACTCTGCGTTGCCCGAGTTCCTTGATCTATCCTGGGTGACCTCGGTACGTCGTACTTCGTATTCTTCCTACATCTCCACAAGCGTCGAGTATGTCAGCGGTGGTGATTGGTTACCGATACGGAGTGAAGTGGGGTTGAGGTGCCATGACGTGTGATGCATGTCGACCTGTTCCCAGAGAGAGACATCCCGGCTAGCGCCTTCGGCGGTAAGGACCTGCGCCTCTGCTGCCCACGGCAATCCGTGTGCTTCTGCGTTCCAGGAGTTGAGGGATCAGTCGCCAGGCCACTCGTTGGATCCCGTCGTCGGAGAACACTCTCGCGCCACACTGGGATACCCTGCTTTCGTGCAAGAGTCTAGTCTCCCGCAACAACTGTCGTGACCAGATGGCAGACATCAGCTTGCGCTCGAGCAGACATACTAGGCCTACCTAAACGAGGGATAAGGCAGATAGGCGGGAGCGTCGGACTGACAGGTGTACCGTTACCCGCTAGTCCGAGGATGAAGGTCTCGCGCCACGCACCTCAGCCACACCGCGTCTCCGGATTACCGTTACCCGCTAGTCCGTGGATAAAGGTCTCGCGCCACCTGCGCGCCACACGCCTCAGCCACCTCGCGTCTCGCGATGTCGCCTTCACACAACGCTCGATGCCTCGCTCAGTACTCGTTCTATGGCTGTGACGACCTCGTTTTCGGAATATACGCGTCAAAATCACCTCAGGGAAGGTCTCGGGAAGGCCATATCGACAGTAAGCGCCTTGCAAGACCTCCACTGGCAGACGTGTCGGCGAACACCCGCAGACAGCAGGACTGGCGCACGGGTCTTATACATCGCGTGTTGGGACGCTAGGAGAGGGTGCTAAGCATCAGGAAAAACGTTTCTTACTTCAGAGGTCTTAAATAAGAACCATGCGATCTTAAGCGACCTCTGGTAACTTGTGCACCTTAAACGAGTGCAGTATGCACCTGAAGACCGCTGAAGGGAAATGAAGTACCTTTGAGATTTGCGCCTTGTTTTCAAGACTCGAGCCATGCAGCTTCAGTGCTCTACATTAAGACCCCTGGAGTACGTGTAAGCTAGCTAATGACTACCAAAGTGTTTGATACGCGTAGTGAGAGGTCCAATTGTTCAATAAGAACTTTGAAGCGCAATCCAGTACAGTATGAGTCGTCCATTCCTCTGGTAGATGCTCAGGAGAATCTCCCACTGATCCGGGGAACTTGGGAATCAGTTGGCAAGACTGCCGTATCATGCTGAGAGGTATTATCTCTCCTTGGGGATGTCCGTTGGCCCTGAGAGCGGGTTTGTTGACCGCGTACATCATATGGACTGGGTCGGCTGTACGTGCGAGCTTGGAGTACCATTCCACATACGCTAGTGGCCCTTGATCTGGCCAGGACGCAGGCGCAGGCAAGGCAACGCTGGTCCGCGGATCATGTATGCGCTGCGGGAGTCTGAAGATGACCTTGACTCGTCCTATTCTTGTTCCTGAGCGACATGCGTCTTTGAGTAAACAGATATTCATTTGAACGCGAGTCGGTGACATACCTTGGAGGCCGGTCGTCTCTGCATCACTCTCCTGCAGGATGACTGCTGTATCAAAACGGGCAGGCTGTTTGGCGCATGCTGGACGCGCCTTCACCACGTCGGTCTCGTTCTTGTCGTCAGTCAATGGCTGGGGAGCGAACTTGAATCCGTGGAAAACGTCGACGCGATTGAACGGCAAGTTGGACGACGCGGTCTGAAGCTCAGTCGGAGTGAGGCGTCGACCGAGTTTGAGGGTATAGATATGCTGGAGGAGTGCGTGTGTAAAACCGGGTGCATTGTGACGTTCTTCGACGAGCTTGATGGACTGGAGCGGTACGCTTGGATTCTTTGGCAGCTTGATCTGGGTGTGGCGCTTGGTCGAAAGGTCCGGGTCTTCAGACGCAAAGGCAGCGTCCTCGTCCGGATCCTCGTCGATCTGTAGCTTCCTGCGAATGGTAGAGCTGAGCATGATCATCTTCTCCTGGCGTGCTAGCCATCGGACCATCTGAGGACGCGCGTCGCGATGGTTCGACGCCCTCCAGCCGTTCTTGGCATAGTCGATATGAAGACGTTCGAAGGCTTCCGTGTTGTAGTTGTCTGTTGCGCCAAGCAACCGGATTGATTCGACGTAGTGGAGGAGGGAGTGGAACTTCGGGATCTTCATGTGTTCGCGCACGCCAAGATTGACCAGAGCTTGTTTGTTCTTGTGATAGATTTTGAGGGTGTCTTCCATGTACTGGAGGGTGGAGTCATCGTGGGTGGTGTATTGCGCGAGATAGATGAAGTCGAGTAGAGATCTGAACGCGAGCATGACGTTCTGAGGAATCTTGCCGACCAAGCATCCCAGCAGGATGCGTGCGATCTGCTTGGACTCCATACCGGATACTTGGGATAGAGAAGTGATCCCGTTAGCAAAGTGACGAGTCCCGAACGCGGGGGGAAGGGTGCGAATTCGGCGGTCCAGTTCGTTCTCGTCGATGAGGTCGCTGCACCACTCGAC